ATTCTATTAAGCGGAAGTTTATTCTAGCGTCGGTAACTAGCTAGTCTAAGGGTCCCTAATATATATCTATCTAGCAAAGGCGTAAGGCTTCCTAAGTAGCTTTCGTAGAAATATCCTTAAGGAACTAGGCAGCGTTAAACGCTATAGCGGTATCGACGACGTAGAAGACCGGTCTATTACCTTTAAGGTATATTACGTCGGCGATAACCTCGTAGTTAAATTCGTAATCGTCTCGTAACGTAAATTTAAACCGTAATAACGCTAGTACGTATATTTAGTATCGATAGTAGACTTTCGATAGTTGCTTAATTACCGTAATTTCAACTAGGTAGCTAGCCTTCTAAAGCACCTTGTATAATCGTTAAATAGATAGGTATCCGAAGCGATAGTAAACCCGTCGCAATTTAGTATCTATAAGGTAGTTCTAGGCAAGTAGTTTCTCCTTATTAAGTAATAACTATAGGTAGCCTTATTTACAAATAATAAGTACGACCTTATTTCCTTAGATAAAGGTATTTATAACGTTATTAAAATAGACTTTTAATCAGTCTATATCTCCTAGGCATATAAGGAAGGGAGTATTAGTCTTAATAACGTGAAATTTAACGCTTCTAAACGGCGTTAGTACTTTAGTAGTCCTTATAGACTTTAGTAGTATCTTATCGCCGAATTTCACTATAACGCCGCTAGCCGCCTTAGTGTTTAACGTAATTCCTTCGTAAATTTATTATAAGGCTACGAATTATAGGTAGCTAGCGGTTAAGAATCCTACTATGCCCGAGTTAGGCATAATCCCTTAGAAGTTCTAAGCAGAATAGCGTCCCTCAAGTATAAATTACGAAGGTAGCTCTTTCGGTTCTAGTTAGTTACGGAAGAAGTCTTCTTTCGTAATAGCATAGCAGGTTAATGTTACGACCCGTAAACAAGGATAACAGCTGAACGACCCACTTGGGCGTCGGGCGGCTAGAACAGGACATTTGTACTGCAGGATCACGGGAACAACAGGGACTCACTCGGGAACGGAAGAACTATGGTGCAAGTCACGTGACGATAAGATAAGAGATTAGATCCGTACGCCAAGAATACGGAGTCCGTCCTTGGCACATACGGGATCCGTATGAACGAGGAACGGACCCCGTCAGGATCAGGAACGGTAAAACAAACAAAGGGTACTGTTCGGACTTGTATATAGTATGACCTGAGCTCGACTCATAGTCAGACTTCCATAGCTCTTCAGCAATCAACTTTGTATTCATCCTCAGGATACTTTCAGCTTACCTTCACTGCGAATACTTGTTGAGCCTAAGATTGATCACCTTAGCCTCTGACTACCGATCTACGACACAGCCTACGACCTACGAACCAGACTTACGACACGACAATACTGTTTACTAGCGTCAATCCCCAACTTCTGTTAGCAGACCCTACTGTCGGATAGCTGACCGTAACAGTTAACTAGTCTGCTAGGATCGTAGCGATCTTATTACTATTAATTACTATTATAATAAAATAGACGGTAACTTAGAATTAACTATCGCTACCGGTCTCTTCCTCTTCGTTACCTTTACTAGTTTATTCGGTTACGTAGTAGTATTGCTAAGGGTCTTCGGCGGTAGGTTATAAGTCTAACCCGTCGAAACCTTCGTATTAGACGAGAAATTAGCTATATGCTAGAAGTAATATATCCTAGGCATATTAGGTAGTTTTAAACTTCTTGTACGCTTTTCGTCTCTCTTCTATAGTATGTTTAGTTAACTAGCAGTTAGGTTTTCTATATACGTAGCACTTCTTAAGCGTTAGCGGTAATAAGGGTCTGTCACGGCTTCTTCCTCGTAATAATCGACTTCGTAATAAACGACTATATCGTAAATAACGCCCTCGACCGTTAAAAGTTCTATCAGTCTAATACTACTCTAGTAGGTTAGCTACTATATTAAATTGTTATTAGTTAAGACGGGTAGCTATCTCGATCGACAAGATTAATTAGCTACGAAGTCCCTCGTACGTCTTAGCCGGTATAAATAACGCTATTACATACTCTAGAATATCTCTATAAGCGTATAGAAGTTAGGTATAGAGGGATCGGTCGTTATAATCCTATTATAGCAAACTAGGCTAAATCTTGCTTAATTTATTATATAGTATGTTAAAATACTCCGATTTAGTCTTTCTAGGGTTATCGCGAATGATTTAGGGAAGAGTAGTTATATTCTACTACGTAACGTATGCTTATTGCCTTTCCCTAGTCTCGAAGTATGATTTTAATTAGTTAATTATAGTCTCGAAGTTAGGCTATAGGTTAATTACTTTAATCAAGGCGTAGAAGTAGGTTTTAGCTATTCCTTTTAGTATTAGGGGAAGTACCTTATTATATTAGGAGGTATAAATTCCTAGCATTCTATAGTAATCTACGAATACTAGCATCTTCTTTTCGAGTATATCGTATATATCGCTACTATATTTTATATCGTCGGGGTATAGTTTTGCAAATTCTATTAATTACTTTCCGATACGGTCTATTAACTCGTATAGTTAGAAGTCTATTAACGGAGAGACCGTAGGATATAGCGGTCGGTACGGTAGTTACTACTATTATTATTCTTATAGAGGAGGTAGCTATAAGGTTAGTTCGACTCTTCCTCCTATACTATTAGCTACTATTGCCGGTCTCGTGATCTCTTCGTAGAATTCGGGGTCTTTTATTAAAGCCTTTAGGTTGCGATATCTCTTAACGCCTTATTCGAGTTCTTAAGGTAACTAGTAGTAGAATTCTTCCTTTTTAAAGGCTAATACTATGTTTTTCAAGATTTTCTTACTATCTATTTCGACATAGACGCCGTTACTAATTAAATAGTTTCTAAAGAATCGTAGGATTAGGGGAGGTACGTTCTAAAAGTCTTCTTCTAACTAGTTAGCGAAATCGGGAGAAACTTCGTTCTATAGCTCGAGGCTTATAAGATTCCTCTTCTTATAGGTCTCAAGTAGGAAACCTATATAGGAACCTAGTTGCTATAGGCTAGCGTTTATAAGGTCGATTGCCTAGTTGCCTTATACTGCTAAATCGATTATACTTTCGATTCTCTATAAGATAAGGACTATTAATTAGCTTTTAGTAGTAACGCTACTTGCAAGCGATCCTTCTCGTAAATTTCGCTCTATTCTAACAGTATAAAAGGATTACTTCTATTTAGAATCTTAAATTCTAATCTTTAATAGCGTTAGCTACGATTAGTATAAGATATAGGCCTAGAAGTAGGAGTTAAAAGACGATTCGGGATATTACGATTCTAAAGGGAAAGAATCGTAAAATCGGGGATTTTCGTCGGTTTATCGTTTATTTCCGTCGGCGCCGTTCTTGCTAATATTCTCGAAGGGTATAAAGGTATATATAGGTCTCGAATTAGTAAGGAGAGAGTTCTACCGTAGATTCTCTCGTAAATCTCTCTTTCTCGCTTTAGGCTTTACTCCTTACTATTAGGAAGTTTAGAATCTAGTAGATAGTTAGCTTTATAACGCTTATAACTACGTACGTTTCTCCTAAGCCGTAGCCTCGGAGGCGTATACGTATAGCTATATAGGCGGATTACTACTAGTAGTCTTTGCTTGCCTTTCGGCGTATTCTTCTTCTAGTAGGGAGGTCTCTTATAATAAGCGCCTCGCGGTTAGTACCTCGTCTAGGGATTTATTAAGAAACTAGCAAGCGCTTCGTAATTAGCACCGCGCGTAGGGGATAGTTATAGTTAAGGAAGTTGTTATCCCTTATAAGATTCGTAAATCTTCGCCTTTATAGCGTAAAGAGGTTAGAAGACCGTCGATTCGGTAGGTCTCTTCTTCTAGTAATTGAAAACGCGTAATAGAACGCTCTTGCTAGCGATAATTAGCTACGATTAACCTTATCCCGCCTAGGGTAAGCATAGTAGTCCCTAGGTTACTCGAATAATTGGATTGCTAGTAGATTCGAGGAAAAAAAGCTTTCTTCTACTAGTTTCCGTAGATCCTAGTTACTCTCGCTTCTTCTCTCGTTAGTACGAAATCCTTACTTTTACCTAGGCTTAGGTATCTAGTTTAAGAAGTCGTCTCTTCTAGTATTAACCTTACTAATCTACGGTTTATCCATAGCAAAGTAGTAATTATAAAGTTAACTAAATTAATAGCAACTATAAGGTTTACTACTAATCAGTATAGGTTTCACAAGGGGTAAAACGGAATTCCGTTTGTTAATAACAAATAATAGTAAATTAGTTCTAATCGATAGTTTATGATAGTTGAAAGTAGTGTTGTTAACTAGAAGGTGGGGATATTCCCCCTTGGCCTGTCACGTGGGTCTGGGAGGCTTGGGCCTCTCAGCCTGGCGGGCGTGTGGCTGGAAGTGCCACACGACTCCGTATTCCAACTATCGCAACAAGAACAGTCACAAACTCAACACAGCCATGATACACAAGGACTGTCGCCTGTACAGTCCAATCTTGCCGAGAAGCCGGATCCTTCTTCAATGGCCCATACAAATCGACAGTCATTGAGGAGATAAGCTGGAACCTTGGTTTACTTGTCAAGGAAAAATAAAAGTCTAGAGAACTGGAGAACTAGGAAACCACCATGCGCACGAAGCCCGTGAATGCTTGTTTCGGCATAATAATAACATTGAGAGAAGGAAATGCAGAAACGTTCAACGCAAAAGAAGAAATCGCACGGATGTGAATACATAGTAACGTATCATTCAAGTACCGATTGAAGGGCGGAGAAAAAGTGGCAATTAAAGTGGGATTACTAGCCCTGAAAAAATGAGGTCCAGTTACACTCGATAGGATATTTTCTTCTGATTATGAGCACATCTACAGTATTCTACAGCTGCAGTGGATTTGTCGACATGACGTCACAGATTGCTGTCATCTTGACGTGTATCAGCAGATGATGAGAGAAGCATATATGTATGTGTGAGAAAATTGAAGAAGATGTGTGCTTGCTAAAACTGCAAAATTATTTGTCCGTAAATAATCGACATGACCTCAGCAAACGCGAAGATGCGTGCCGTAGCCGTCACCAAGTATGGTGATATCAACAACCTCCAAAGCATCGAAGTACAGAAACCCTCGAATCCGGAAGGCCACGACATTCTGGTTCATGTCAAGGCATGCTCTGTGAACCCAGTCGATACAAAGGTCCGACGAGGTGTGTACGACGACTATCCGGACTACTATGACCGAGCGCCCAAGCCTCCGCAGATACTTGGTTTCGATGCTGCAGGTGTGGTCGAGAGTGTCGGTCCAGATGTCAGGAACTTCCAAGCCGGCGACGAAGTCTTCTATGCCGGATCACCCATCCGTCAAGGCAGCAATGCTGAGTATCAGCTTGTCGATTCAAGAAGCGTGGCTCTCAAACCAAAGAGCTTAGATTGGGGGCAAGCAGCCAGCATGCCTCTAACGTGGATCACCGCCTGGGAAGCGCTGTTGGAACGTATGGAGATTCAGGAAAACGAGAATGTCGGTATTCTCATCGTCAACGGTGCAGGTGGTGTAGGAAGTGTGGCAAGCCAGATTGCCCGACACGTACTGAAGCTTCCTGTTGTGGTAACAACTGCCTCCAGGGAAGAGACCGTGAAGTTCTCGAAATATGTCGGAGGCGCCACTCACACTGTCAACCACCGCGAGGACTTAGTCAAGCAGGTTGAAAACTTGAAACTGGATGTTCCTATCAAGTATGTCTTCATGACGCACACGCCAACTTCAGGCTACCTCGCACCTGCCGCCAAAATCCTGGCTCCGTTTGGAAAGGTTTGCTCGATCGTCCAAGACCAAGAAATGCCGATGTATGGGACAGAGTTCATGGCGAAGAGCTTGACCTTTGTGTGGGCGCTGCTGGGCACTAAGCCATATTATGGCGTTCAGCCAGAGAGCCACGGCAAGATCTTGGAGAGATTGAAGGAGTTGTTGGACAACAACGAGGTGAAGTGTCATAACACCCAGAAGCTAAAGGTTGACGAGGAAGGCGTAAGGAAAGCTCATGAGATTATTGAGGGCGGAAAAGCTATTGGTAAGGTTTCTTTGGAATTCTGAGTATTGGTAGAGGTCCTGAGATGGTGGCAATGACATACTGTAACTTAAGAGCAGTAGCCTACAATGAAGAAGTTCCAGTTTAAACGAATTGAGAGCAAGAAACAAATAAAACCACATAGATCAGGCACGCACATGAGCCTACAATCGCGTCCAGCGTGGTGAAGATCATCTCTGAGAATGTACTATTCTTACTAGGCCTGACTTCTACAATGCTCAGCGCTTGACCAGCGACTATCGCAGTAGGTGCTATCCTCTACAATATCGCCGTTCGTAATGCCGGCTACAAGATTTGCAGGTAGTCACCACTAGGGAATCATCTGGATTGGCCAAAGTCAAGCTGAGCCTAGCAGCGTATGACAAATGATCTGCGATGGTTTATAGACTTTATCAAAGTTAGAGCTTCGTAACTTTCGTTCAATCCTGGCTGTGTGCAAGTGCCATCAGTTAGTGTTGTGGCAATTGGGCTGATGTTGCTCTGGACAGTGAGATCGAGATGGTGTTGTATAGTTTGTCACAAGATTGCGGTGTATGATTATCTGGAAAAGTTTCGTTCTGAACTAGGAAGCGCTCTGACTTTTCCTTAAAACGGCATGTGTAAACCCCTTATCGTATCCCAATGCCAAAGGAAATGGCGAAGTCAGGCTCGTAGACCTTCCGCTATTAGGGGATTGCTGGGCAAACGCAATTGTTAGGTTTAATACCAATTGAATCATAGCTGGTTATTGTCTTGTTTCAGAATCACGACAAAAGACGTAAAGATTATCGATTTATTCCCCGAAAGAACTAGAAATGATCCGCTTATTGTCATCAATTCATCAACAAGCCTGCCTGTTTTCAGCACATACTATCTTTGCCTTGCAAACCACACCGAAGCTCCAACAATGGGTACAATCACGCTTGCAATTTTCAGACTGGTTTTTGTCCATGAGAGAAGCATGTCTCTCATAACCATCTTTTGAAATTGCTCGGCTTCATTGACTCTAGGATAGGGGACATCCGGAACCTCATGTCCCAAGAAGGAACAGATCTGCTCCCAGCCCAGACCATCTTCGAGTCTGATCACGAGAAGCTTCTCGGGAGGTATGATTTCTTTGGCAGTTTTGTTGCTGTGTGGTTCATTAGCCTTTTGTCATTGAAAAAGGAGGTGCGAGCGACTAGGCCGCAATCCCGTCTGGGCGCGGCGCACGAACGACAGGAAGCTTACTGGTTCTCATATACTTTGACAGCCTCTCTCAGCCCCTTTTCCTTATCGGGTCCCATGTATCCTCCATACAGTACATAGCAGAAACTTTCGCTAAGCCTGCTCATGTAGTAAGTATATCCGTCCACAAAGCCGACAAGGCGTATGGCAGGTGATGCGAGAAACTCTCCAAACGGCTGGAAAGTCTTTTTTATCGAGGCCCTCCACGCCTCGGAACTGCGCTCAGTGAGAATGAACTTGGCTTCGGGATATGCCGCAACTAGATCTCGCAGGAGCCACGCTGGGATATCAGTAATGCTGTCGTAGTCGCCGAGCCACTTATCAAAGTCCTGCCGTGTGAAGCGCGGGCCCACGTTCTGACTGCTAGCGCGGACAGCATCGTCCATCATACGTAGGTGTGGTATCCCATTAATGAAGACTTCGAGTTGGTGGTAGGGCTTGTAGCCCAAGGTCTTGAGAGCGTGGTAGAATCCTAGAGTGGCATTTCTGGAGATGGTTAGTCAGTGTGGGAAAGTGAAGACGAGAGGTTGCGTACCGTCCAAAACTCAGAAGAATGACTTTTTTCTCCCGGGGGTTTGGGTGCACTGGTTGACGGTCTATGTAACGAGACATGTTAATATCGCCTTCTTTAGGTCGCCTACGATCTCAAACAAAGGCTGTATCTTTTTGGCGCATCATAATTATATAGATAGACACTACTCCAGGAGTTTAATTCTTAATACAAAATTCTGCAAAAATTAACTGCTGCTTGTTTTGGCAATTATCGTTGCCTAACCCGCCAGCCTACCCCGCGACTGGCAGTCAGCACTTATGCAACCTATATGCCGTCTTTCACCGCATACGTCTTCCTGATTCCCTTAAGTAGCTAAGCGTAACAGTTTCTGGTCCTCAGTGGCATTTGCGACGTTGGGTATGATGTTTGTGGCGTCGTAAGCAGCTTCGATGCGAAGTCACGGTATGAGTGTAGTTAGAAGAAGATAGACAGACATCGAGTTTCTGATTGACGCCAGAAACCCCTGTTAGCTCTAAAACGACATTCAAGTCTATAGCTCAGCCTGGAAAAGTGTCAAATCCAACGTCGCATTTCCATAGTCTCACTAGCGACACTTTTTCCCGTTAGTCACCAGAATGCCAGCAGTTGGATATGGTGTCTTATCTCCCACACCAACCATGCTTTCATAAGATACTAGGTAGTTTGCACACCATTGCAACATTATAAGCGACACTTTTCCTCCCCGTCAATGTTGATAGAGTGCCCCGATTGGTCCATAACATGTATCCTGGAGTCCAAAAGGGCTATTAAGCTTCTACTATCGCTCACCCTCATTACCTGCTAGTCTTTACCCTGGTCTTATCGAGACTAACTGCGACGAGCCCTCTTTGCTACAGCCGACCAAAACTATCCATGGTTGGTAGCAGAAGAATTAAATATCGATTTTGGCTACTTATATTGAACATGACTGAAGTAATTCTCACTCCACAGCAACCGTTCGCCCTTTCGCAGCCTCCAGTTTCTGTATGTCATGATTCTTACCGTGTAGCTTTAGGTACCCGTGCCACCACCTTGCATGCAGTCAACATGCTTCCTCCCGAGGTCTACATTGCATCGTTGATGGAGGTGACCTTTTTGGCTCCTCTGTCCATCGCAGGCTTTCCGCCCGGGACAAGATAGTCAAGATTTTCGCCAATGAGGCTGGCAAGAATACCGTTGATTGTTGTTGGGACATCTTCTACGTTAAACCCACCAACTTAACCTCAGATGAGTTTGACTTTAATCACTGAAATCGTGTAAGACAATGGGCTTGGCCAAGCACTATGATCAATCTCTTAGAGACTATGCTTATACAGACATTCATTCTAGCATGGCCTCTGTTGACCTCCACCTTTCCTCATGACAAATTCGGTACTGGCCAAGGTGCCCAGGTATTCAAGTTGAAGTTATTATAAGTCTGGTCCGTTCTGAACACACTAGTCGATCCTCCCGATTGCTTCAAGAGGAACTTGTTGATAAATGCAGTAAGTTCGCTCTGCTGCGAGCTGGGAAAACTGCAGTGCGCGTGGTTACCGATCTGGCTATACCCAAATGTATCAAGAGACCCCAGAGCCTCCCACTGCTTCCGAGCCGCTCCCATGCAGCCGTATGTGCTTATAGTGCCGAGCCACTCGTAGTCGGGGTTCTCCATGACGTATACGGCTCTGGGTGCAATGAGGCCAGCCAGCATGTGATGGTCAAACGGCAACTGGTTGACATTGCTGGTGTACTGGTTGAAAACAGGGCTGAACCACGGGTTCTCGGTCACGATTTGCTTCGCGTCCTGAACGGTGAAGCCGTTGCGGTTCTGCCAGTCAGCGAGGCGCCAGCAGCCAGCTCCGCCGGCACCCGATTCTTGAGGGAGGGTAAGGGCGATGCGCGAGTCGAAAGCCCCGGCGACGAAAGCCCCTTTGCCGTTGCGGGAGCATCCTGTCACACCGAGACGCGTGGGATCGATACCGACGGATGGCGTCGACTCCAGTGCGTCGATGATGCGCGAGACGGCCCAGGCCCATGCCATTAGAGCTCCCGCATTATGATTACTGCCGTATAGGTCATAGAACTTTCCCTTGCCTCGCGACCCGCCGCCTTGTTGCTGAGCAATCTCGTCATTGTTGAAGGTGATGGTTCCCACGTTGGAAGGTACGGGAATGCTCGCGGCTCCGAAGGCGATGATGGCTGGCACGCTGTTCCCACTGGGCTTGGAGATGGTGACTGCGAAAGAGATGGATTTGCCGCCCTCCGAGACGTTGATGGTGAGTCTGTTACCGGAGTATGACGCGGTGACGGACTGTGGCTTGGGAGGTAAGGTTCCTAGTTCCAGGCGCTGAAACTGGGAGTTGATTTCAGCCTGCCGGCAAACCCAGTCGGCCTTGGATGTAACCTTGCCTCCGTTTTGAAAGGTAAACGGGTCAGGTAGAGCGGTGCTCAAAGGACCGAGGCCGTTGGGTAGAGCTGGACAGGCTGTGCCGCCATTGCCCGGTGCTGAAGATGTGCTCGTGACGGGGTCATTTCCTTGTGTTGTTGTTGAGGTTCGGAGAGTGGTTGATGGGGGCGCTGGTGCCGGCGAGCTGGTAACGGGTGAGCTTCCGGGGACACATTGTGAGTACCAATCATTCTGGTACCGGCAATAGTATCCGGAAATGCAGGTGGTGCCGCCGGTGTGCCCGATGCCGCCGCACTGGGCCCATGCACCTTGCTGGGCGCTTACAGATGTGCCAAAGGCAAAGATTGCCGCCGTCGCGAAGAGGAACTTCATCTTGATATTTATTGCACTAATATGCGGGAAGATTAGGAGGCAACCTAATCGAGTTATTGTCTACAGTGTTTTGAGGGAACACAACACAATGGGACTGTTCATGACACCCAGTCTTATAGACTCGCTGCTTTGGAACATCAAGTGAGTCCCACTATAGATTTCGTAAAGAGAACGGAACTTGAACTTTAGCGTACCAGACTTTGATCGGGCTCAATATGGTTTGAGGCTCCGATGCTGGGGTAATAAGTGGCTGAGGTGCCATGGTGGGTAGCATCCGAATGGCCTCGTGGTCCCCCGGGAGAAAGGCATTTCAGGCTAAATGCATACCTTATTCAATGGGTCCTGGAGCTCCCCATTCAGAAGTCACAATTCTTGGAGTTGAAGGTCAATGCAGCTGGAGATATCCAGACGATAGATTGTTTTATCAGGCCATTGCAGAGCATTGTTTGGTTCCGAATGCCCGGTTTCACAAGTTGGGTTGCTCGAGGCTCGAAATTCCACCAACCTCGGAGAGTTATTATTTAGGCAGAATCAACTCTCACTGTAGATTTTATATCAATCGTCTTGGCTTGTTGCTATTCCGGTCAAGAGGGCACCCATTGTAGTTAGACGTCATGACCCAGCTGTCAAGCCCGGTGGGGTTTCACCTGCTCTGCGTTGTGTTCAATTTGTCTACTTAGTTGTAGTGGTTTAACAGCCGATTCGGCAGCGGAATCAGGGAGGAAATCGTTTTGTCCCTTGGCGTTTGTCGGAATAATCTGGGGAATAATCCAGGATAAAACTACCGTTCCAGAGTAGAGACAACGAATTGCGTGAGACGTAGTTGCCTCCTCCTAGTAGAAATTGCCCACTAACAACCCCGAAGATTAGAGTTCTGTCTAAAGCTAAAAGACAATTGGTCAATGACGAGACCCAACTTTTGAAATTGTCGACTCTTTCAGATAGTCCTATGTGCTTAGACTATTGTGAACAGAACGGCTTATGCATGTTTGCTCCGATGCTTTTGACCTCGTGGTAGTGCAGTTAAACATCATCGCAACCTCAAAAATATCACAAATGTTTCTTGAGGAGTTCTCGACTCAGGCAAGTCGCCCAGGATTGCCAGAATAAGCTATGTGGGTTCTCAATTATGGATTCTGATTGGCGAGGTGGAAATCTCGAAGAGTGACGAAGTCAGGATGGAGCTCCCATCTGCATGAACAATTTCAATAGAAACGTGGGCATCTGATCTGCTAAGAAAAAACCAACCAATACAATTGGTCTAAAGGGATGAATTAGATTGGGGAACCTTGAACACGATGGCACACTTGTTCACACTTATTTTCAGAACCAATGCCGGATATTTCGTTTTCCATACGCCGTTTGCTGTGCTCTAAGGAAGCGAGACTCCATAATGACCCGCACGTCAGATTTCCACGATGCTTCGATTGGCCGGCCATACGCGGAAGGATGCGGTGGCGCCGCACCACTAAGACATTGAGGCGCTAAGCTGCTGGTGAGAGTAGTGCTGGTAATGCTGGTAACAGGTGTGAATGACACCTCTGGAAGTAACTGCAGATTAATTAGCGATGCGACGGAACTTCACAATACAGTTCAGATCCTTCTGTACAGAGTGACATTTAGAAGAGAGTGTGGATTGAGGTTATTCCCAAAAGACAGGGTTCAAGGAGGAAAAGCTTAGGTTCAACGGACTTTGGCGAAATAAACAAGATGACGTAAGGGACTATCTTGCTCTTTTTATTGGGTATCTCGGTTTGTCGGGCAACAAGCCTACACTATTCTACGTAGGGTGCTCCGTAATAGTGTAGATGACAGGGATTGGGGTCACAAGGATCAACCAGCACACCTGCACCGGGAGGGAATAGTGGGATCTCACTCGCCGATTACACAATCAAATTCCCACCTAAAGAGATCCCGCTTGTCCCGCCCATGTCACCCACCATGGCCGCCGTCCGCAGGCTCCGACCCTTTCCAGAGCGATCCTCGCATGCGGTGCTGCTTGCTGACGCTGACAAGTAAGACGTTTCTTTCTCTTCTCTGTTGTCATAGGAGCGCGTATCTCCATAGAAAAATCTATTCACCGCCGACTCCGATATCGAACCTCACATCTTTTTTGGAAATATCAAACATCCATCGCACATTAATACAACGTCGAAGCAATGGCCGATACTGCGCCCACCGACCCCGCCACTCAGGTCGATACCAACGCCTCAGCCGGCGCCGAACACGGCTACCCTCATGGCCACCTGGGTCACCTCAGCCAACACGAGGAGGCGCAGCTCGTCGCCTTCAAGAACCTACTCGAGGAGAAGGGACTGTACAAGCCTGGCCCGCCTGCCTCGCATGACGACCCAACACTGCTGTGAGTCTAATTGCCGTCTTCCGGTTTTTTTGGTTTTCAATTTGGCGCCGGATGTCTCGGAAGTGGTGAAGCTGACTTGTTTTTTTCTCTTCTCCTCATACAGTCGCTACCTACGAGCCCGTAGATGGGTCCCGGAGGACGCCTTCACCCAGTTCAAGGACACGGAGGACTGGCGCGTCGCCAGCGATATCGATACCCTCTACCGCACTATAGAGCTTGACGCCTACGAGGAGAGCCGCAGGCTGTACCCGCAATGGACCGGTCGCCGTGACCGCCGGGGTATTCCCCTGTATCTCTACGAGATCAGGCACCTCGATAACAAGACCATCGCCAACTATGAGAAGTCGGGCAAGGAGTCCTTCAGCAAGGCCAAGTGGGACGGCAAAACCCCCCAGGGTCTTCTGAGGCTCTTTGCGCTCTACGAGAACCTCACCCGCTTCACCCAGCCCTTCTCTACCCAGCTGCAGGACCGCCAGCACCCCGATGCCCCGATCACGTTGTCCACCAACATCGTCGACATTTCCGGTGTTAGTTTGAAGCAGTTTTGGAACCTCAAGGGCCACATGCAGGCCGCAAGCCAGCTTGCGACGGCACACTACCCCGAGACTCTTGATCGTGCGTCCCAACTACTTCCCAACCGAAGAGTGACGACATACTGACTTGGCAAACCTAGGCATCTTCATCATCGGCGCTCCCGTGTTCTTCTCCACCGTCTGGGGCTGGATCAAGCGCTGGTTCGACCCCATCACGGTGTCCAAGATCTTCATCCTTAGCCCGCACGAGGTGCAGCCGACACTCGAGCAGTTCATCGAGCCGCGCAACATTCCCAAGAAGTACGGCGGCGAGCTCGAATTCAACTGGGGCGACCAGCCGACCGTCGACCCGGCCTGGGAGGGTGTCGTGCGATGGGAGAACGGCCACTCATCCTTCAAGTCGCGCCCCGCCGTCTGGCGCGTCACCGACGACGGCACCCGCGTCGAGTGCTTCGGACTCGGCAGCGTCGGCGGAAAGGAGCAGAAGGAGCTTATCGCCTCCGTGCCCCGCACCTGGCCGCCGGCGCAGGAGAAATCCAACGGCGCAGCTACGGAGAAGACGACTGCAGCGGCACCGGTTGAGACCCCCGTCGAGGCTGCCAAGACAGAGCCCACGGCTGCGAACGGAGAGGAGGAGCTTGCGAAGCTCTCCATCTCCGATACCAAGGAGATTGCGGAGAAGCACACCAACGGCGCGGCGGCGCCGTCCCCTGCCATCCCGTCGACGGTCGCATAGATGAATACCAGAAGACATTTAGAGTATAGAAAGAGATGAGAGAAGGATGGGGAGATATGCATATATGGCATCGTAAACAGCATGATGGCAATTGCTTTTTTTTTTTGTTATCTTTTTTTAATTCGTAGTTGGACACGGCTTTATATATACCCCCCCCCCCCCCAAATGGGATTTTTGATACTCCTAATAACGGGCAAAGGTCAGCCGTCTACGGGACAAGGCAACATGGGATGGGGTTGGAGTTTTTAGTAGTTGAAGAATCTTTTACATGTTGTTTCTCTAATCCGCCAAATCGTTTCTTGTTTATGCCTAGTAATAATGTGGTATCAAGACGTTGCGGTCGTCCCATCTAAAAAAGTCCAATGACTCTGAAAATCGGATCAAAAACATCGTTTGATCATCCCGTCTCCAGTTGCAACAGCGCTCTGATGCCCCGTCGGACGAAGCCCAAATAGTATAGATTATCGCGCCCAACGCCAGTGGGAAAAAGAATGTCTATAAATCTTGTCGTCGTTCACGCCGATGTATGTCTTATCAAGTGTATCCCCGCCTCTTCCGCCACTCGGCAACGCCCTTTTCGATCTCGGGCCACGAAACACCGTCTCTGACAAGCCACATCGTAACCCCCAAACTCTCCGTATCACGATTCCGGCTCTCATCGTCAAAGAAGAGCATGTCGGTGTACGGAATGCCCGTCTTTCGGAATATCGCCTCGAAATGGCGGATCTTACTGCTAGGGTAAATCTCCAGCCCGCCATCAAAGAACTCGAGCGCCTTCCTCGTCTTCTCCTTCTTCCCGCTGCCGCCCTCTTCCGCGCTCGGCGGCGGTACGTGGAGGAGCTTCAGCATGTCGCGCGCCAGATCGGGTGCGCTTGTGCGCGACGCGACGGCAAGTTTGATCCCGGCGAGGGGTAGGGTGTACAGGATGCGCGGGACGTCGTTGTAGAAGGCGAAAGATTCGCTGTGGCGGTCGGTGGCGGCCGAGTGTGCAGAGTTCGCCTTCAGAGGGCCCGCGACATGGGTGTCTACCCAGAAGGGCCAGAGGGTGTAGTCGAGATCGAAGACGATCAGTTTCGGGAGTGGGAGCTCGTCGGTGAGGATGCGGGGGAGGGCGAGGGAGCTTGTTGTCGAGGTGGAGGGCGTGCTTCCCCCTTGGGGAGCCTTGGAGAGTTTCTTGGGCATGTTGGTATGCGAATCGCTTAAGTATTATAAGATTGAATGCGAAGAATAACAGATGGCTGCGCAGGCTGTTGCAAAAGAAGAGATGCGATGGTACTTGACGAACGTGGGGTAGATGAGGATGGAATGTTTGGAGGGGCAGTTTGCGACTGCAGGTGGCGGTTTTCGTCACTGGCTTTAGCCTCAAGCTGCCGCACGGACCATGCCGGGTCGGTACGGTACTATGTAAGTGATCGGACGAGCAGTAGTAAGAGCCGTGCAACACGGTAAAAATGCAAAGCCTAGGAGTGGAAAAATCAAATAACAGACGAAAATTAGAAAGTCGAAGGAAAGAACTCTTCAATGATTTTCAACAGGATCATACAAAGGGTCAAAAGTAAACTGACATCAACAACAAAAGATATCGACGTTGGCCTGATTCGAACAGACGCTCCCGAAGGAACAAGATTTCTAGTCTTGCGCATTAGACCACTCTGCCACAACGCCAGATGACCTCGCTTAGAAGCGGAGATGCTGATTTCAACGGATAAACAGCATAAGTAGTAGCACATCAGCCTTGAAAATGTTCGCCGACTTTCCTCCAAGGCTGCTGACTTCTAGTTTTAGCAACATAATAACGCTTGCTATTCAGATACTTTCTCACTTCCCGAGGGCTGTTCATTGAAAATATCTGGCAAAAGGCGTATTGCCGCCTATAACCAGTAGTCATAGAGGGGAGTACTCAGAACTGGGTACTATGAGCAATAAGCCAACGCAGTCTTTCCGTATCCTTTTCTCGTATGGAATTGCTAGCTCTACATCTCGCAAATTGAATTCTGATTTCTGATGTAAATAAACATTCAGGCTGCAGATATACTAGCGGGCCATGGGCTAGTGTATTGAGCAAAAGATCCACGTCCTTCGAACCCTTCAACGCGTCGGCAGTGTGCCGAGCAGGTGGATGCATGTTGCCACCACAATTGAATAGTGCTTGAATTACCGCAGTAAATAAGATCTCTACTTAAGAATTCTCTCGGGAGGAGAAATTCACTCATGGCAGAATGACGTAAACTCGCTCCATGACCCAGCGGACCTCGCCGGAGCCGGTGACCCACTCGGACACGGCGACGGGCCGCCTTATACCACATATTGAAAAGAAATGGCCGGGCCAGTAGCCTATCTATGAATCTCTACCATAAAAAAATACAGTGAACTAAACTTGGGATTCATATTCAACACCGAGCTGAAAATCCTTGTCCCACCAATTGCTAGAAGTCCTCGGAAGCACGCACGAATTTCGTCTCATAAAGACAAACCTTACAAGAGCTGACATCCAGAGCCGTGGCCATCGTAATGTTCGAATTCCGATCTGCCGCAGTGCAAGGAAACCTTGCTCGTACATTAAATCGGAGCTACTTTTAGCCCCGAAGCTATAGCCACACGTCAACTCAAAACGCAGTTTGCTCAGCTTCCTTTCTTCATCGAAGCTCTGATACGCAGCGTCTCACTCGGTAACTCGACCGGCAGTTACAATGACGTAGATTCAAAAGTCCGTGACAATCCAAGTCGCCATTGACGGGGCCGATCAGCGGCAAATAACAAACAGCAAACAAGCTTACCCTCGGGCCTCTCGGGAACCTAGGCAACGTATGCAGAAAAAACAACTTCTAACACGGGCATTGGCGGCGCCACGCCTCCAGCCCGAGCGGCTGAGTTTCGGCACCGCGCCAACTGAAGCAAACACAACCAACGCCAAAAAAGCCATGAGCCACCCAAAAAATGGGGTGAATCTGCCCGCCACACCGGACTCATTACTTTTCCCTGTGCAAGTACCGAGCGCGTGTGCCTGACGTCCGATGGACTGTGGTGGGGTAGTGCGGGGGAATTAAACTGGCTGATGTCCCCCCCCTCCCGCGGTCCTTGAGACGAGATGAAAGAGCTGTCGATATAACAATACAAAAGTGCTTTAACCCTGTTCTCGGCCCTAGATCTGGCTGCTTTTCACGATTCACCCACGAGCAGGCTCCCGCGCAATTAACCACACAAAAGACAACAGATTGAGACACATCCCACCATGGCTTCCCGGAAGATTCAGCTCGTCCGCATCTCCCACGTTTACTACAAACACAAAAACATCGAGGCAGCCCGCAAGTTCTACGACGACTTTGGTTACTACGAGACGGAGCGCGTGGGCAACAGGACGTACTACCGCGGCTACGGCACCGAGCCCGTTGTTTTGTGCGCCGAGGAGGCTGCGGAGGACGAGTTCGGAGGTCCGGCCTTTGTAGTTGAGTCGCTCGACGACCTCGAGTACGCTTCCAAGACTCTTCCAAACGCGACTCAGATCTATGAGCTGAAGGACGTTCCCGGCGGCGGCAAGTGTGTGACCTTCAAGGACCCAGTCGACGGGTGGCCGTTCCACCTTGTGTACGGGCAGACGCCTGTTGAGAAGCGCGACCCCGGGTTCCCTAACCTAAAGTTCAACTTTGTGAGTTATGGAGTGTGCGTGTGTATATTTGGAGACAAAAGTTGCTGACGTGCGGTGTCGTGTACAGCCAAATGAGAAGCATCGTGACGTGAACCAGAAGCAGCGCTTCACGAAACGGCCTGCGCCGGTGCATAAGCTGGGTCATTTTGGCGTGTGCCTGACCAACTTTGACAAGGCGTATGAGTTTTACACATCCAACTTCAACTTTTTCCCCAGCGAGGTAGGTCTTTTTTTTTTTTTTTTTTTGTGGTATCCATGAGATCGCAGTATTTCGCTGACGGCCGTGAAGCTTGTTCATGCTCCCGACAACAAGGACAAGAAGGTGACCGTCTTCTTCCGTCTCAATCGCGGCAAGGAGTACGTCGACCATCACTGCTTCTTCTTCTTCGAGGGACCAAAGTACCACGTCCACCACTCGTCATTTGAGACGCACGATTTCGACGCGCAAGTACTGGGCCACGACTGGCTGAGGCACCAGGGACACAAGAGCTGCTGGGGCGTAGGCAGGCATATCATGGGTAGCCAGATTTTCGATTACTGGTAAGTCGAGGGACCGACTGATTGCAGTGAATGCGATACTGACTCGGTGGCAGGTTTGACCCATCTGGGTTCATCATGGAGCATTACGTCGATGGCGACTTGCTTGACGATTCGGAGGAGACGCACCACAACCCTGCGTCGCCGGACAATCTCCACATCTGGGGTGAGTGCATATCACGTCGCTTTGTGATGCGATGCCCTTTTGCTAACTTGTAAACAGGACCCGAAGTGCCGCCCGATTTTTTGAACTGAGTGGGCTGTGGGCTCTCAGTGGATTGATATATCAAAACACTTTGTATTGTAGCGTACCGCATATGAGTGTAGATTGCATAGGGCAGCGGCTAGGCCTATTGCCTTCTAGGACGAAGTCGAGTAAATAATTATCATCTATAAACAATTTAGCGTTTCCCACGAGGACCTTTGTGATGTGGAATCTTGCTATTTGTGAGCTTATAGTCTTTCAATGTCTTCTTTCTAAGTGGTCCTCACCAATTAAGGCAACTCGCAAGTTCTAAAAATGACCTCTGTCGCCGAGCTAGCTCCCAACTGAGGGGCACAATAGACATCAGACGAGATCTAGGCGAGGCTTTTTCATGGACAGAAAACCCAGAGTTACTATTTCCGCGACCGCCGGTCGTTCAGCTCTACGGGTCCATTGCAGCGAGCCTTGTTCGTAGGCGGAGCCTTGAAAGGATATCGCTGACCCTATCGAGCTCCAACAGCACATCCCGGGCTATACTTCTCAGATACTATAAGCAGCCGAACGAATAGATCTGCCGCTTGACATCACTCACTGTGGCATATGAGACGAGCATCAGCCTTGCTAGTGTGGCTTTGCTCTTGACATCCGTCAATCGATGAAAGCACGGACCGGAGGCTGGGCCGAGAGGCGGGCCGTTCGGGGATGCCGTGGTTTCAAATGTCGCTGGCTGTTGGTTGCGAGGAGCGCTGCGGATACTCAACTTCAATTCTGGGTACAGACTATAGATGGAGTCGTGGAGTCGCGGTATCGACCGATTGATTCTCTGCGTGCATTACATAGCATGTAAAAGCAACAGAAAAAGAAAAAGGAGATTTCCGAAAGAAGCTCACAACGCACTTGGCAAAATACGACCTCATGTGAGGCAACTGTTTTCTTTGATTGCAGGGAGGGATAAGCTGCAAGTGTAAGCTCACCAAGGGCAATTAAAGTGAAAACCTTGATCCAGTTTAAAGTATATCGATTTCCTATTCCAGCGAGTCAATCACGATGTTAAAAAAGAACGACAGCACGGGCTCACATCACATTACGTCCACGGTGGGAAAAGAAAAAAGGCCCATGGACAACAGAAGAGGCAACCTGGATGATTCCCACCCGGGCTGACGAGCATGAAGCATCTCCCAGCATCCCTGTCAGCCGTTACAATGGAACGCCAACGGAAGCGGCTCCCGTCCATGGTCGCATTCCCCATCGGCACTGACTCCCTCTTGCGGCATCCATGTCCGTTGCTTAATATCCAGCATCTCCAGGACTTCCAACAAGGTCAAGGCCCACGTGCAGATAGCTTCAGCGAATGAGGCGCCGCCGCGGGGTAGAAGAGGAAGCTCCCATCGGAGGGCGGCTGTTAGCTCGTTCGGTTCATTCGGTCGCGCTATTCGGGGGCCCTGGTTTTCAATGAATCAGGCACGTCGCAGCGAGCACGATTACCCATTGGATGCGGGGGTAATTAAGAGAACCACCAATGCTAAAGCTTGGAGCTGCTTGACTAGTCCGATCATCATTTTGGTCGCCCTGCAGACTTGCCGCTGGAAGACAAGGTAGGACGATTTGAAAAGCCGTGCAGGGTGGTATCACCTTTGGACGAGGCACGTGTCAGTCTCTCCTGGTTGTGGTGGACGAACTCCTGACAGACCCGGGGGTGTTTTGTTCTTCGATAATATGTTTGTTTTGGCCGTTTACTTAAACTCAGCTGTTCGCCACAAGAACTGACGAAACGCATCTTGTTTACTCCAACCTCGAGCCTCAAAGCAAGCCGGCCCTCCACCTATCGCCTCCCCCCCCCACAGCCACCTCGCCCGCCTCATCGTCATTTCTTCTTCAAGATGCGCGCCACTACCACCGTCGCCCTGCTCGCGCAGGTTCTCGCCGTCCAGAGCATCCGCATCATCCAATCCAACGATGACGGCTGGGCCGAGTTGTATGCCCGTTCCTTCAACGATGCGCTCAAGGCTTCCGGTCATGACGTGCTCCTCTCCGCCCCGGCCGAGAACAAGTCCGGTTCCGGTTAGTCTTTTTTTTCCATCTCTCGCACTCATCACAGACCACTAACGGATTACCAGGCTCGCGTGACGAGGAGCCTGCCGCTCGCAAGACCGCCTGCCAGTACGACAGCTGTCCCGCCAACAGCGGTCCCGTCGGCCTCAACGAGACCCAGACGGACCTGCGCTGGGTCAACTCGTACCCCGTGACCTCCATGCGCTACGGAATTGAGCAGTTCGCAGGCGAGAAGTGGAACGGCCAAGCACCCGAGCTCGCAGTCTCCGGCCCCAACGTCGGCTCCAACTTGTGGCTGTCCGTGCTCGTCTCCGGCACCGTCGGCACCGCCGTCTATGCCTCCGGCGAGAAGGCCATCCCCGCCATCGCCTTCTCCGGCGCCTCGAGCGGCGTGCTGCCGTGGAACACTACTCCCGTCCCCGCGCGCAGCAGGGTGTACGGCGAGTTGGCGACGCGACTGGTGAACAAGATCGTCAGCGGCGGCGCCCCTTACCTGCCCGAGAAGGTGTGGCTGAACGTCAACTTCCCCCAGGTCACGGAGACTCAGTGCAACAACCCTGATGACTTCAAGTGGGTTCTTAGCCGCATCAATCCTGGTCTTTTCTCTGGTCCCGATGTCGGTACCTGCGGCAGCAAGGACAGACTTCCTGAGGAGAACAAGGTTGTCGGTACCAAGGGTTGCTACATCTCCATCAGCGTTGGCGACAACGACAAGACTACTGCGCCCAAGGAGAAGCAGCAGCCTGTCTTGGACAGACTCGGTGACTTCCTGTCCTGCTTGCCTTGAGTGGCAATGGCAGGGACGTTTGACATGATCATGAGGATATAAAAGCGTGGAGAAGTTTTTAGGGATGAATGAAACTAGGAAGCGTGTTATTTGTATAATTGAAAAAAGGCTAAGCCAGAGAATAAATACCCTCCAAACATAATGTCGGATGATTGCCTTCGTGGAATGGCTATTTATTATGTAAAAAGAGGCACTAAAAAAGTAAAATACTTTATCGAAAGCATGCTTTTTGTCGTTAATCGTCTTTCCAACGTGATACTTGAGCAATAGTAACGCGCAAAACATATAAACTAAGTTACGTGAAGGAGAAGGGGGCGCACCGACGCAAAATGGACATGAATATACTTCGTGCCTGCCTTGGGTAGTGGGAACGCTGTGGCTATTTGTACCCTATTATACGCATTTAAGTTGTAAGCAAATATGGTTTGACTACACTAAAATAACCATCCATAAATACACGTGCCTTGACTGAATCTCAGAAGGCTCGGGGACATATAAATCCAGCTCCCCTTCATTTCCACATGAAGGCCACAGTCGAACCAAAACCAACTCCATGCAGGACCGAACATGGAAAACCCAGCAGATGAAACCGACGATATGCACTTCGGCGGATCTTACGCAGCGACTCCAAACTACCCGAATTCTCGTTCAACAATCGCCCAGCCGAAAAGCTGTGTGGTTTGCAATCGCATGTATCGCGGAGTCTGCAACTTGAAAGAGGAAGATCTGCGATTGCTTGATCGTCAACAGGATACCAACATGAGATGGAACCAGCTTTCGGGCCTTTATGCATCTGATACGCCAAAGTCATCGGCCGCCAAGTCCGAAGATAGCGACTCAAGTCTACCCAACATCTCGTTGAAGTGTCACTCTTCAGGCAGCACACGATCCCTAGCATCCTTTGAGCGAGATATGGATGTCGAAACCACCACTTCCAAGGGATCAGATTCCAGACGATCGAAAGGATCGGACAAGCTACAATGGCGACATGCGGCCCCTAGAGGGGTATACAAGATTAGCAGAAATAAGAGAGACACCGCTCACCGAAATAATCAGCGGCACAAGCGTGAGATTTGGAACGATTTCCCTAGCTTGGAATCTCAGCTAGAGCTTTCCAAGCAGATTAAAAGGGAAAGAGAGATCAAGAAGATGGATGAGTTGGCTGGCAGACTAGATCGGCTAGGCGTGAACGGAGCGCAGTAGGCGACTATGAACGAGAATTAGAAGCAAGTGGATATCTACACATCTGGTTCACTGGAGCTTGAACAATCTTACAGGCACTGGGACCAAGATATTTTTGAGTTTTTCCAGTATAGGGGAAGCTCTTCTTCGGATGAGTTGGTATTTACAGTTTTTGGGGATTTCTTGCTGATGTGGAAAACATACCGTTGAAAGCAGGGCAACTGGGCACTTAAATTAGGACTTGGATCCGACGAGCGTTCCATACATCGACGTGAGCCATCCTATTACTCATATTAAATTGTACCATGATTTAGATTGCTTGCGATATCTGTTGGGTAAGGTATAAGCTGTGAAAGGTGAAAGACGACGGAGTAAATTGCAGGTGGAAAACAAGGAAATCCCTAATAAGCTCTCAACAATTTTAAATAGGACATATACAGGTCAAATCTAGTGTCACGTTATGCTGTCTCGTGGTGATAATGCCAGCATTTTCTCAACCGTTAATCCTTTCTCAGCTGTGTGCGTGGCCATTTCTTCTGAATAACGGGTGATATAATCCTCATAATACCGTTCATCTTCTTTCCTTAACATACACCTCCTAATCTGTAAGGCTGATATTCAAACCTCTCCAAGTGTACGCTCAGATGTTATGCCCTTCACAATTCCGTCCGGTACCCGACACGCCCACACACATCATCATACCAGTCCAAAGCCTGACCTTGTGTTTCATTGCCGCATTTTTCGTTCGCACACATCATCACATTCTCCACATTCCACGATGGCCATAGGTAAAGCTGCTCCCTACAAAAGACCCTTCGACTGACAGTGTTGATGTCGAATTTCTTTCTTTCAAGTACGTTGTTGACTTGCTGAACGCATTCTTGCCAACATGAGGGTAGTTTTTCTAGTGGTAGCCTCTGTGCTTCTAATGAGGCCGGTCTTGCTAGCCCTTGAGCTGTGAAGGTAAGGGCGCTTGCAAGGACCGTAATAATTTTCATTTTGTGTAAAATCCCCTTAACCGTGCAGCTATGGACGGCGCCAGGTCAAAAGATGTATTTGTATCTTGTAATCAATTGATGTGAATGGACAGAACTTAAGGGTGATAGATTCGCAGTCTCTAGCCATTGGATTTCAAAATGATGATAGACAGTGGGTACCAAAAGAGTCCTGGCACGCCAAAGACAGTTGATATACGAAATGTCGAACCGCAGTTAAAGTCCTACCAGTGAAGAGTGCTTGAATGGTACCAGCTATTTTGTAGAGCATGTTGCGGTGAACCTTCACTTTTTCATGGGTCACACAGAGGTTAAGCCAGTAGGTTCACGATTCTGGAAGTTGACACATAGTTGATAAGCCACGAGCCACCTGTTTCCTGTTTAATCACATCATTTCTGAAATGGAATACACACACAACATCACTACAAGGTGTCTGATATCCCCAGAGAAGTAGATTAAGGATGATCAGAATTTTAATTACGATGAAGACCAACAGAAGCTTGAGGCAATACTTTCATTCTTCAGGCCAAGTTTAGCCTTAGATTCCAAGAGTCCACTGAATGTCTCTTATTGGATGCACAGAAAATTCAAGTAATGGTAGCCTCCCAAGATAATGCGCTTGAGTTCGACAATCCTGCAGACGACAAACTACCTTGCGATAACGATAACCTGAAGTATTGCGTCATAGATGAGTATCTGTAAAGGGTCTAACCCTGCCTAAGGATTACAGTGACAGCCAACACACCTGCATGAATTCACTACCGCGCAAGATTGGATTCAAAGCAGAGAAAACGTAACAAGCAATCGCTTACTTATTGCTTACCTGCACCGTTGGGATCACAGGGGTACCCATAAAGTGGGATAATCTTTTGAGAGAAAAGCTGGTGTCTAATGTTGCCTCTGGTCTCCGAGAAAAGGTTTGAGCTGAAGTGCTGGAGGAGGTGACCGCGGAACTCATCCCCATCTATCGGACTGCCCGTCACATAGGCAGCCTGGCTGCCGGCAGGTCTACCGGCGACGGAGCCACGTCAACCGGGAGTTCCGGCTATTGCAACATGCACCTAAACACCTAGAAAGGGGCATCCCTGGAGACAAAGACATGCCACATAAATCGTGGCATCGCCCGTGACACTATCTGCCATGACCATACCGTCTCCTCATATGTATAAGCTTTTCCAACTCCAGAATAGCTTAGATGGGACCAACGAAATTTGGTCCCGTTAATGAGATTACTCCTCCAACGAGAGACCAGCGTATATTACACTAGAACACTTCTATCGCGTGTTTCATCCTAGAATTTGAACAGACGTAATAAAACGGCTTTTAATAGTAAAATAACACACAACAATTCAGGATGCTGACATTAAAAGAGAGGGGAGGCCAAAAGCATCTTTCCCAGGCAATCGTCAAGTCAAACCAAAACAGATTTCGAGCTTAAGCCTAGAGCGTTGCAGTGTGAAACGTCTTACTTACCTAGCCACATGATCATTGAAATTTTGGCTTGGAAAGATTCCTTATCTCAAATAGTTGAAGGCTGCAAGTGAAGGAGAACGATAAAAACAGAGGCGAACAAGGGGGCCAGGGAGAAAGATGTTGACTTGGACAGATGCACAAATATAAGACCCTGGTACCAGCTCTTTCTGAATAGACTCAACCTCATTAGATCCATCAGATTACTGGCCCTCCTCTTTAACTTAAATCACAAGCTTTACCTCGATGATGGCTTTGCCTGCGGTTGCGACAAACCTGCCACAAAGGGATGCGTTAAACGGATGAGTACTTGGGTAAAAAGGGGTTGAAACTGCAAGACGCAGTGAAAGTAAGGCAAGAGCAAAGATCATGTGTCTGGAAGTGGCGTAACAGTCCTGAGTCACTCCTATACGAAAAACCAGTCACCATCCGATTCATGCAGGACACTGTGAGTAAATATCATCACTAAATGCATTTAGAGAAACATCGCCCAATTGAGAATTCACGAAAACTTGTCGTCGAGTTTGGAATGTTCACAGGTAGATTGCTCTTGTTCTTCGACTATCTCTTACCTCTTAGATCCATAACATTACATGGTTAGAGGGACTCTGAGTGACAGTTTTTCTTCAAAGAGACGTATCCGTTGCCATTTCATTCTCGATATGCTATGCAAGTGGCCTATAACCCTATCTAGAAGCACATTTCAGCAAACTGCTCAACGAGGCACTGAATCACAAGAATCAATCTACGCCTAAAAAGGTCGAACAACACAACAGTGAAACCGTACATGATACGCTTCGTTTTCAGTTAGAGGATTAGTGAATCTCCATTTAAGTTAGATATTTAGATAGTCGTTCATGGTGCAGTCGGAAATTTCGATCCCGCAAAGCCTGTTTGGGCAGTATGTGATCAAAACTTGCTTTGAGTTACTGTCCCTTGCAGATATTATAATCCAGTATAGTGGGGAAAGCCGCACCGGCACCTGGAGATATGCATGATACATTGCATAATTAAAGTTAACGGCAAATCCATTACCAGCGATGTCTCTTGATTATTGAGTTTCCCCCATCAGCCCCGGGATAATGGGAACGGGAGATCTGAATGATCTGCGAGTCCCGGAGGCAACTACACGATCAAGAGGTTCCAGCGCCGTAGGTTACCGAAAACCTTGCATTCAAAAGTTCCAGATGGTCGGACAGAGAAGAGGGGATTTTGCACACACCAGGAGGCATCCACCTGACAGCTCCTTGACAGGCGTTGACAGGGTCATCCCAAGTGTGATAGGCTTGCAGTTTGATGATCGACGGTACGGCATCCATGGTATCGTTTCCCCTGGCGATCGGCTTCCACAACCCATCGGAAAACTACCGCGCATGTTTAACTCTAGGCTATTGTTGCGCCTGTTACACACTACGCGTGTCCTTCCTTGAATCTATTGGTTCATTTTTGTACCCCGCAACGGGAGATTTGCGCAGCCTGCATACTTGTGTATGTGATCACCGAAACTCAGGTGGATATGTCCGACGCCAGATTCACCTCAAATGCGAACCATGTCCCCTCACACATCAACTCGACTCCAGTGATTCTTGACACTCTATTGAAAGATCCTTAGGTCAGCACAAGCCGCTAGAGCTTCGAGATGACACAGATGATAACTTTGATGGGGGCTAAACCTAGGGCCCCTGGCACGAACTCAAGTTTATCCGTCTGATGTGTCCCGGAGCATTCCGCAGAAACAAGGTAGCTAGCAGTAGCAGTAGTCACCGAATCCGAAAATCCCGAGGATTAACGCTGATTAATTGGATAGCTCCGATACATCTGAACCATCCATCTCTACTCCAACGCTGTCTGCCTCGTTCTCGGTCAACAACGAGCGATCTAAAAGTCAAGCAAGTCGAAAACAATCGTATCTGAATCGTCTCAGGCTCGTAACTTAACTATGACAGCAACTTTCCTGAGAGAGAGACGGTAGTTAATGACCATGAATGCTGGGGGGGGGGGATGGGTTGGCGTGGAAGTATTAAAAGCAGCATCAAATGCCTCCATGACGCAGTGAACTGTCTCTAGCAGACAAATTACGGTTTCTCATCAAACAGCTTCTACAGGTTAGCGAATTGCAATCCCGTTCGTCTCTACAATATGCCTTCCATCAAATCACTTCTCATTACACTCTTTGTCACGGGCAGCCTGGCAGCGCCACTCGTTGCCCGTTTCGACAGCCACGACACCAAGGTCGGTACTGTCATTACTCCCCTGCAGAACGGCTCTGAGACAGTGGGAGAACTTGCCGAGCTGCAAGCCCGCGGGGAAGAAGCCGACCTTGATGATGAAGTTGTTCCCCGCGATATACGCGAGGAGTATCTCGGTGAGGCAGAGGGCGGCGAGTTGTCCCGCCGCAACGAGAACTTTGAGGAAGACGAAGTTGAGAACGTCATCTCCGCCCGCGCAAACAAAAACGAGAAGGCAATAAAAAACGTTGAAAAACAGAAGAAGATAGACCAAGCTGAGCTAGCTGCCATCAACAAGCAGCTGAAGGCGCAGAAGAAGACCTCTGCCAAGGAAGTTGACAGAGCCGAAGACCGGATTGCTGATGCTCGCAAGGCTGTGAAAGCCGCCAAGACTGATAAGGCCAGAACTGCGGCCACGAATGTGCAGAATAACGACATTAAAAGATTGAACCAAATAAAGAAAGAAAATGAGGTGGAAAGGGCCCAACTTCTGGCCGGAAAAAACAGGGAAACTAAAGAAATTGCCGCCGGCAACCGGGAGCTCAAGAGACTCAGAAACGGTGGAAGAGTAGTCGATGTCCCTGACACCCGCCCTCTGGTAGAAACGTCCCCTATCCCCGTGAGAAAGACTGACAACATCTACATCCCGGCGGATCCATACCTTCCCTTGGGCGCCTATTGAATCCCGACGCGGCAGAATGCCCCCTGTCATTAAGAATATCACGTCAAGAAGTCTGTGAGGAAAGCGTTGCCTGTATTGTTCGCAGTCTGAGAAGAACTCAAATGAAAGAAATCGATCGGGAGAAACAGGAGACATGGTTCAAGATCATGAAATCAAGACAAAATGTGCGAGTCTGAAGATCCAGTACGATAAGTTCAAGATTGATCAGTTAGTGTGCGAGCAGGAAAATATCGCGATGGAATGAATACGGGCGTATTTGGCGCAACTGGCGCAACAGGAGAAAAGCAAGAGCTGATTCAAGGGTTTGAGCGGGGGATGGCCCAGAATGACATTTAGGCACTAGCAAATGAGGTTGTGATTGCTGAGCTCAACGTTGTCTCTTTAGTACGCCAGACGGCAGAGCCCGACGGCCAAGTGAGGTTAAATAAATATGCAATTACTGAGATACGTTCTTAATGCCACGCAGGCCGTGTGCTATTTGCTTCCGGATAATTATCCTTCTGTGTCGTATCGCTGATACTCACCAACCCGTCTTGTGAATCATTATCAAGTTGAAAAGGTTCCTCACTTAGGGATCGTCAAGTTTGATGACAATTCAACCGAGATGACAGTACCAGCATATAGGAGTGACTACACTGCCCATGTAGTCACTGTACTTACTCAAACGCATTGTGTAAGGTAAGTTTGTGGCCCAGCTTTACTAGGTTCGCATCACAACGCGTCAACCCGCTGATCAAGTCTAACAACTCTCAAAGCAGGCAGCTGAGGAATAAGAACAACGGGAAAACTCCGCTGCGACGAGGGTTAGCAGCTATGTGTTGCCAGGGGCCGCCAGCACTCCTACAGCCTTATGTCCTGCCGCACTTCCAAGAATCTCATCTAGTTAACCTTCCCGCCTTATATGACCATACCAACTCTCTCATGAAGGATTCAGTGTTACGCAGATTCTTGATACGGATATGTTTGCACAAGGCCAACGACTGGTAGAGAGCAATGGGGAGCATTAAGACAGAACATTGGACACGTCCACAAGCGATACCACGCCCGCTCATTGACTATGGTCGAGAGAAAGCGTTGCCACATCTCGGAACATGAAGCCAAAATCTATTTCATCACTGGAGGCAGCGAGCCTCAATCTCTATATGAGATAGAAAGACGTCTAGTATGCAGCCTATATGGTGCAACCTTTAGCCAAGATTGAAGGCGAAAAAACCGTGAAACGAATGGAAAGTATGGACCAAAGAAAAGAGTACAAGTCGAGATGGGCAGCGGGGAAAGGCTCAGCACATTTCCCACAACGGTCGCGGCAGTGCGGCGTGTTTCCGGGGGCCTGAGTACTTGCTCGGCTGCTCCTTGACAGTCACGTAGACGACCCGACGCGAAGGGTTGCCGGTCGTGATGGACCGGGACTCTAGGCCATAGTAGTCCGAGATGGAGTGCGTCAACCATCGCCTGTCACAGTCAGCACAAAGCCACATCCGAGCTCTCGGGAATTAGAATGAACATACTTGAAGGAGGCACTCTCATCATCGCCCAGGGAATCGAACACCATGCCGGTGTCGACCTTTTCGCTCCCCACCTCTCGCCGGGCCTTCTTCCACCCCTTACCGGCAGCAGTCATGCCCTTGCGGCCGACAAACACGATCTCTTCGTCCTCACTGTCACCCTCGGCGTCACTCTCCTCGCTACGCTCCTTGAGGAAGCTCCTGATAGGCTCCTCAAGCACACGCACCCAGCCCTTAATCGCGGGCGAGCGCTTGGCAGTCTCTCGCAGGTCGCGAGGCACCTCGCCCATACCAAGGCCAGTGGCGGACCCGTCCTTACGTTGCTGCTTTTTCCTCTGCGCCTGCAATTTTGCGGTCTTATCTTCGATGCGCTCGCGGAGACCAGTATCCCAGTACTTGGCGATGTCGTACCGGACAACCTGAACAGGATATGTGGGATGAACCTCCCAGTCACTTGGCAGAGGAGGTTGCACGTTCGGGACGCCAATCAGGCGATCTGATGTGGCAACAAGAACACGTTAGCCATGTAAGGACCCATCGCAATATGTAGACCATTCATCAAGAAAGAATGGACCAAGAAGGGAACCACTGACCGTTCTCCCATCTTCGACGCTGCCGAGTACCCTCGTTACCCTTGAGCAGCGCCTCCCTCTTCTTCTGGCTATCCCTTCGACTCAACGGCCGACGGATCGGTGTCTGTTGTGCAGCGGCCGGGGTCTCGGTGGCAATTGTAACGGTCGTCGGCTTCGTCACATGCTCATCGATGTTGATGCCGAGAGGAGTTCCGGTGCCGCGAGCAATCGGGCTGACACTCAGCGACTCAAGAGCGGAGATGGTCCACGCTTCAATGTCGATTGCGGATGTCGCCGCGTGAGAAGGGTTGAAGCCCGCCGGTGGCGGCGTGAGAGACTGTGGATGAATGCTTGGATGGGCAGCGGCAGCAGTGGCGGCAGCAGTGGGGGCGACCGAAGCATCAATGCTCTCAGGAGGAGGCACAGCACCAAAGATAGCCATGCTGGGCAGTGAGGGTAGGTATAGCGAGACGTGACCGCGTGCGCGTTGAGGATCGGATCGAATGGATGATCGTCGAGATTGCGGTAGGGTTAAGGGCTGCTGATAAGGGTGATAAGGGTGGCGATCGCGGGGTGGACGAATTGCCGATAAGGGACCAGGAGGCTCGGAAGATGGAGAGGTTGGAGTATTCGAGTGCCCAGTGCGACGTGAATACCTTTAAGATGAGGTCCGAACGACTCCTTTACCCGGCAGTTGTCTTAACGTTAAGTGGTGGTGGCAAAGGGTGGATGAAGAAGCGAAGTTGAAGTGGAAATGGAGGTAGCCAGGTACGCTACTTCGATCCGGACCGGGATCGTCTTAGCTCCGGAGGGGGGGGGCAGCGTGACACACATGATTCCAGAGCTTTGACCAATCATAACGCGAGCGCATACCACGTCTTCGGCGAGTGAATCATGAGCCTGTTAGTCACTCTGAATCAATTGGAGTCACCAACACCTTTGTGTGCGTGTTTAGAGCATTGTTGATTGCGAGCGCATTTAATATCATTGGGATGTTTACATTTGAGTTTTTCAATTATGTTTCAAGCGCATGTTGACCCAATTTGCATCTCATCTTGACTTTCGCAACTGCTGCGAGGTATCTAACCGCCTCACGCAGTTGGGTTACACCTACCAGTCTGTAATTCGACGTCCAACATTGCGATGAGTAATTTGAGCAGTTTGGATACAAAGGCGGTAGTGGGAAAAGCTTGCCATTACTTTGACAAGGCAAGATAAAATTTATAGCCTTTTTAAATCTACGTTATAAAAGTTGGCATAGGTTTCTATTGCAGCCCATACTCCCTAGGTAAACAATTGACTCGAATGAAGCTGCTATCAACTTACCTGAGTAATAAAAAATATAAAATAAAAATAAAACCAAACTAATTGAATTCAAGGTTTACGGCCTCCGTACCTTAGCGTCTGGTGTGGAAGGGTTTTTAGCTAGCCATATGTCACTAGGGCAGCTTGATATGGGGCGTTTCCCCAAACAAGACTTAGGTTGAATACACCTGTCAGCCAAAGATACTCCCAGTAACTATGTACATTGCCGACCTCGTAACTAAATGACGCCTTCAGAAAGACTGCTTTCACATTCTAAGCGACGGTCTTTACGAATGTAGAAATGTCATCCTCCGCCCTTTGCCAATAAAGCAGCTCGTGAGGCAGTGTACACGACTCATTTGCGTCCCAGGTACATCTCAAAGGAAGGAAAGATTCCTCGCGATTTACCCCGCGCAGATTGAAGACGATTGGTCCGCGTCTTGACAACGACACACTTCGTGGAGCTCATATTTTCAACGGTCAAGTCCTCGAGAATCAACATCGCTATTGCTCGCTTTTGGTATACCACGGTTCAGACTTCTGTCCATAATCCATGTGAGGCAGGCACTTCCAATCAGCGGCAGATAGTTGGCGAAGTATCTCTAATCACTTGCAGGATATGACGCAGTGTTAAGAGACCATATGAGTGACTGATCGTTCACGAGTTCGAAGAGTCTGAGCTGGAACACTATGGTAGGCTGGTCCCATTTCCATTAGTTAAATTATTGGTTCTAGAGATGGCAACTTGAAGGTGAGGGATTATTGATCATGTATAAAGAGACGCAGAGAGTATGAAATAGCACTTTGACTCAATGCCGCTAGGGAAAATCCTCAGACATGCCTCGTAGTTGATCAGCTGTAATGATGGGTTTAAGCAGACCAAGTTTGTTAAACATGCTGCAACGACAAATCTAAAGAAGTGCAAATGATAAAATTGGTTGTCGGACATGATTTATTATTCCGATTCTATATGGACTCGCCTAGCTGGCAAGGTCCCAGGCAGCCTTTCGTTGGGCAGACAATGATGCATCATCCCGAAAGCGAACAGGATGCTCCGGACCGTCATTGCTACGCACAAGGTTGAAAGTAGATGTATGGACAGGCTAATTCCCACTTGCCTTGCTACTTACTCTCGCTTTGCTTTGCAACACGCAGCAGCGGATAATTCGGATAGAAAGTCCGCAGTTTGCCAAGGAAAAAACACTGCGCTGCGACATCGTACAATGTGAATCTTTCTTGAATTGAGCGAAATGCCTAGAAATCGCCAAATTTCTCGCTGGTTTCTGTTTTCTCTTATTTTCCTCGACATGGATGAATATTTGCTCGCTCGCATAGTTTTCTTTAAATTGACTTTTTCTAGATCCTGCTGCGCACATCTATAACTAGTAGCAGAGTCGCTGATCATTCAACTCAAGACGAACCCCCTGCCAGTTAGCCAATCCGTTCCCTAAAAGCCTTACAGAGTTTCTCCAAGACCCGTAACTGACGTGCTTTTCGCCGACGTTCACATAATCTGTGAATGTCGGATACACCCTCCGACAGGCTGATATGGTGCACATCGCTAGCAGTTTGTAGTTCTCCCGCATCAAGACATCACTAGTACATTAGCGCAAATGGGTTCTAATATGGAACCTAGAAGGCGCAGGAGTCTCGGCACTTGCGGCTTTGTAAGGTACTTTATAGGGAAAAAGTTAAACTTGCAGAACAAAGACAGTGACGGATCAAGACTGCCAAGAAACCAGCCTGTAGGCCCAGCCTTCGCTCGCTACCGTGTTCCTTTCTGGGAAGGTAGCTGTATAAGACTCGTCTATATCGCGCATGAGAAGATGCAAAATAGTTTTGAGCTTGCTAGGAGTCTATGATTCCCTGTGTTTTTATACACAAGTATCAAGATGTCCCTCCCTTCTTTGAAAATGCCGGATCATCAGCAAGTTGATCTAGGTCTTTGGGCCAGCTCTAGCTCTGATGATGAGCTCTCTCTTAAGCACGTCCATCCGCGAAAATGGGGAAAAGCACGAAAGGTCTACGACACAAGTGTGATTATGTTCCTAGAATTCTTCACGTATGTATATCACTGTCTCCTCCTCCTGCTAGCCCGTGCTGACTTTTTCAGTACAATGATTAGCACTGCGGGGGTATGTATCGAGTCCACGGGGTTTAATATCAGTCAAATCACAAACTAACTCTCTCAAAAAGACACCGATAGCTGGCCACATACACCGCGATCTTGGCATAGGCCCAGTACCGGCAACCTGTATATTCGTATCAACGTGAGAAACCGTACAACCTATGCGCTAAACCAGTCTTCTAATGCGAACCCTAGGTACCTTGTCGGCCAAACACTTGGCGGAGTTATATTCCCCCCTTGGTCAGAGTCTTTCGGCCGCAAAAACCTCTACGTGTTCAGCACTGGCCTGTACAGCATGTCGTGTCTCTTAGGGGGAAAGTTTCCGACAATTCCCGGTATCGTGATTGGACGCTTCATTGGCGGACTGCTTTCCGCTATACCAACCATCGTTGCTACAGGCAGCATAGAAGACATGTGGGATACACAAGCGCGGGTGTGGTGGGTATTTTGGTGGGCGTTGCTGGCCAACATCGGTCTCTTGACGGGGCCTGTGTTCAGTGATTTAATAATGGCATATGTTGATTGGTAAGTGCAAGCGCTGGCTATTTGATTCCATTTATTAAGCTAACTTTGTCGATTTTTTAGGGTATGGGCGTTTTATACGGCAGCAATCGTGACCGGGTGTGTGACGATGCTGTTTCTCACCATCAAAGAATCCCGTCCGTCGGTTGTCCTAGCCAAGGCTTTACCTCCTGATACCGACGGCACCACGTGTGACAAGACATTGGAGTGCCAAACCGGCACTCCCAAGCGCGAGAAGCTTGATCTCCTCCGACCTCTTCGATTACTCTTTACGGAGCCCATCGTGTTCCTCGTTGCCTTCATCAGCGCAATAGCGTTTGGTCTCGTATACCTTTTTACAGAAGTATTGCCAATGGTTTATGCTTCCCTCGGCTTCGAAAACGGCTGGAAGAACCTTCCCTTTCTGGCCCTTGGAATCGGCATGATCCTCAGCATACTAACCCGCTTCTACGACCTCCGGGTTCTCAAGAATAGTTCTACAACATTTATCGCACCAGAGTCAAAGTTCGCAGGGTTTCTCATCGGGGCTCCAGCTTTGGCTATAGGCCTATGGTGGTTTGCGTGGACAATCCCACCACATGCAATTCTTCACTGGGCTATTCCCACGGCGGCTCTCATACCCATTGGGTACGCGGTCAACGAGTTCGACTACGTGCTGGCCGGATACCTCTCCGACTGTTATGAGACCTATACAGCCAGCAGTTTTGCGGCCTTGGCACTTACCCGCTCGTTTTTCTGTGCAACGTTCCCGCTTTTTGGGGGGACTTTGTTTCACTCACTCAATTTCAACAATGCGTCATCTCTGTTTGCTACCTTAGCAACGGTCCTCTGTATTGTTCCGCCAATACTACTGCGGTACGGAAGCCGGCTGAGGGCGAGAAGTGCGTACGCAAACAAGTAATTATCATGTACATATTTGACAGCAAATATCACTAGAGCCGATGGCCGGTATCTGGTATAATTGTCTAAGATATAATAACTATTTAATAACCTTATTTATAATTATATTTATAAAAAAACAAAATTACCTGATACTCAACTAGCGATCATACTTCTAGATACACCTTAAGACGTACCTATCTAACGGCTGGCTTTAGATAACAATAGAATAGCAGTAATGGATAATGACAACATGATTGCCAATAGCATCAGTATTAAGAAGGCGGCTGGGAAGTATGCCGGCCATCCCCGATGGCATCAACTGGAAACAATTACATAACCACATTGAGAGGTCACTGCCTTCTGCAGATCGCGATGGAATGTCATGGATCTCGCCAGCGGGAAGACGGGAGAGCGGCAATGGGCATTTTTTGACCGAGCGCAATAGCTCCCGCGTTCGCCGAAATATCTTCAAGCCGTTGTCAACAGCAAGGGATTCAAGTTCCACACCATAAGCAGTACGTCTTTTTAGCCACTGTTACGTGCCGGTGCTGTAACGTCTTCATCTCATCACCGCCATGTTCTGCGGTCCCCCCGGCCTGAGAAACACAGTTTGCGCTCGGATCCGACGTTCGCTAACCTGACCACAAACAAGCGACATGAACCATGGGCAGAGTTCTCGCAACGCTTTAGCTGGCGCTCAGATGATACGATGCCATGCCGGATGTACCTGGTCACACGCTCCGAACAGTACCGAGAGAAAAGGCATGTCCCCCGCCAGCGCTGTCACCTGTCACGGCATGTCAAGAATGCATAGAATACTGATCTCTGTGAATTAAACTTCTCTGGAGAGATTCTGCAATGCAATGCTATACATTCCTCAATAGCTGAGGGTCAAAGGAAAATCCGGCTCCGGAGACGCCGGTCAGTTATTGTGTGTAGTGTTGTAGTTCTTGTGCGGATCCCCGATACCGCCGGGACGCAAGAGAGGTCTAGTCTCTCTTTCAACTTGTCTTTCCTCTCTGTCATGTAAACGCTCCAGCTCCTCCTCGGTATCTGCGTACCTTTCGGGATGGGCCGTGTACGGGCCGGGGAGACCCTGCTCCCAACCCTCGGAGTAGGTTCTGATGGGATTCGGCCGTCTGGGCTCGTCGATCAAAGTGCCCGGGGACTGTGGCTCAGCATGGTGTTCCTGGAATTCGTAGTAGACCGCCATGCACAGGAGTATGCCTTGCACAAACGCCGTCAGAACAAATACGCCCCAGGTGCTCCAGCCCTCCCAACCCAGCCTGACGAACAGACTGCCCGCGAACAGGAAGCCACCAGGGGTCTGAATACACATCATCGGAATGCTCAGGCTGCCGACATGCTTGATATGATAGGTCGTCCAGATCTGGGGGATGTACTGGATGGCCGCAAGGACCGCAGCCATGACGCCGAGAAGGTTGGCCCAGAAGTCAAGATGCTCACGGAGCGCTATGCTGAAGACGCCGGTCAGAATTATGACCAGGAGGCCGTGAAGCAAGCACATCGACCCAACCATGATGGCGGTACTTTTTGAAGGCGGATTGTCAACCATCTCGTCGTCAGGAACATTAGCATCGTTATAGCGGAAGAATACAAGAAAAAGGACGAGACTGCAAGACCAAAGTTAGTATGGGCATGCCTCGAAGACAGCGGAATTAGACGTACATTAGTGCAAATGAGATCCATTGCACGCCAAGTTGGGCAATTCCCAGTAACCCGGCAATGCACTCAAACGTTCCTAATTCACTGCAGCACTGGATATCTCGTCTTGAAGGTGGAACGGTCAAAATGTTGGCAAATCCAGCCGTTGCTGAAGTGGTTCCCAGCAGGACGAACCAAGGCGAGATACCCTCTGAAGTACCTCTGGCGACAATCCGGTAGTGTTGGGGGAGGTAGGAGATGAGAAGACCGACGAGGATGATTCTGAACGGAGAGTTTTAGCTATTGTCCGGTTCGCCATGGAAATACTCAAAGTGGCTTGACTCACATGGAGACGGTTAGGTTGAGGAAACCAGGAGCTCGCAACTCCTCGCAACGGTCGTCAAAGACTGTAGCAACCATCATGGATACTCAGTACGCTTGAGATGGTGATTCCCAATATGACCCAACGAGCTTTTTGTTTCCCTCGAATAGCTGGAGGAGGTGGCGGCTGAGGCAAGCAATGTGGACGCGCTTGATCGGTGTCGCTATGCGCAGGCTTTCCGTCGTCTCAGCTACGCGACACGACGGGGTTCGGAGGCCAGTGACAGAGCGACAGGTGCACAAAGTGATGCTCAGATCTAGCTGAGCATTGCGCAATCGTCGGAAGACAGCAGTGACGGCCAGCAGTCACGGGAGAAGGATATAGCTTCGCTTCGCGTCAGTAGGTTGGCCGGTCGGTAGGTTTGGACGAGGATCGAAGCCGAGATGAAAGTCGAGAAACCGAGAGACGGGATGGTCAGGCTGCTGGAGAAGTCAGAAACAGTCCATCCATGAATTGCCCGGGTAAGGCGGTGACACACCTGAAGGCCCGACGGACGAACTGCTAGAAGAGCTTCACAAGTTTCAAATCTTGCCAAAAAGCGAGGCTGCCTGCCGAATGAGTGCTTCAACTCAGCTGTGCTTGTGCTGTATCGGAGAGGAATCAAACCCAGGTACAGCGGGGTTGGATATTGAATGCGACGTTGTTTTGGGGGGTGGGAAGGTCACGGTGAAGATCAGTAGCAGGCAGACCGTGGACAGCAGCATTGGTGGTGCCTGCTGGTCAGGTAATTTGGTGTGCTCCTGCTGCAACAGTAGGCGGCAAGTCCCACACCAATCAGCGCTAAGACCAGGAACATGCGCTGGCCAGTGGGCCTATGACGTCGCCGTCTCAGTGGCTTTTCAACTGTGCTCCGGGCTAATCAGCATCAGCGTACCTGAATCGGGGGCCTGAAACTACCTGCCTCGGAGGAAGGAACTTGGGAGATAGACAGGTACACAGGGGGGGCAGGGACCCTGATACCCTGAGGTGGGCTCGTGGGGAGGAAAGACCTACTTAGTGTAGGGGAAGGAGGAAGTGCCGAGGCACCCACCCCCCAGCTACCAGTCTGTGCCTACCGGCATCCCTTTGCAGTGACAATGTCCGTACAGCGCGAACCTCGTCGGTGAGGTGAGCGGTGAGCCATTCAGGTGAATGGTAAGGCATCTGGCTGGATCCTTCACCGAGAAATGACCCCACCCTACAAAGTGCTAATTATGCGCCTGCACTTTTGGAGTGGATGCCTCTCTCTCATTTTCCACCAGTGGCTTCAGAACCGAACATTTCAACAACACCGTCAAGACACATACATTCTTGACGACCAGCAAGTCGGGAAACATCCCCCACCTACACCCATTGTTGACTCTGCAGGGACTATATTTTTTTCCGCCAGCTGACCACCGATACGATCCTTAGTTGCACATTCCTTGGTTCTTCAACACACCTGCACGCAGCAGCCTCACTTCCAGCCGCCAATCACTTCGACACTTGAGTAATGCTACTGCATATTGGCTTGTTCCTGGCCAGCGACGATGCAATGCGCGGGAACTCAAGGTGCGGACCCGATTCCGATGGCCGAATCACCCAATCAGCCCAAAGATGCACCCCCTCCCACTATGGATGTCGTCGCTACTACCGAGTTAGCCGCCGGTGATGCTTCAGATCTCCATCGCCCACCCTGTTTCTTTCGCAGTATTCAGTGGACAGCGGACGGCACTAGCGTCATTGCTTCTACTTCGGACAGCCGAATATCGTCCTATGTTCTACCAGAGGATCTTCTCGACCCCGTAGGTAGACCCCGGAGTCTAACACCGCAGGGTCAGTTGCAGCTTCCTGAGCCGTTCTACTCAGCTGCCATCGCACCCTACTTTTCCCTATCTGAGCCGCAGTCTCACTTGGCTCTTGTCTCATGTAAAGATCACCCTATCCAGCTTTACAACGTCTTCTCCGGCTCCCAGTCACCTCCACTCTGTTCGTACAAGCTTGTTCGACGAGAGACAGAGGAATACATTTGCGCCGAGTCTCTACTCTGGTCCTGGCCCGGATCCCATTTCCTCACCGGTTCCTCCAACCGGCTTGACTACTTTGACATATCACGCACCGGATCTGATGGCCCAATTCTTACCATACCCACCATCCCTTCCAAGAGACATCTGCTCAAAGGCGGCGGCGTTGGGATGAAAGGCATGGTATCGACGCTGTCAACCCAGCATCCCGACGAGTCTGGAGCTGCAATCATTGCCGCCGGCACTTGGACCCGTTGGATGGGCCTGTACGATATAACTCGGACTAACAAGCCCGTGGCTAACTGGAGCATTCAAGGCGTAGCCGAAACCCACTTTGGTCAAAGTGTTGGGGGAAATGGCATTGTTCAGACTATATGGAGCCCTTGTGGCCGCTATTTGGCTATCAACGAGCGCCAGTCCAGTGGTATTCTCGTGTACGACATACGGGGGACGGGCCAGCCTCTTAGCCTCCTTCTTGGCCGGACCACAGCGACTCAACAGCGACTTACTTGTGATGTTTTCCCTGGGAGTGGGGCCTCGGGCGGAGGGTTCGAGCTTTGGGCCGGGACAGACACCGGAAATGTCCTCGTGTACGAAGGGGTTGGTGGCAAGGAAGGCGTTGCTGACAAGTCTTGGGACTGGGCCGCCCACCAGTCACCTGTCGGAAGTACGGCAGTTCATTCTACCGGATCAGTGATCGCCACCTGCTCGGGAGCATGGACAGCCCATGCGGATATTGAACTTGACAGCGAACTAGGAGTTACCGACGAAAGCGGTCAGCCACTTTTAGCATCTACACGCATTACTTCGGAGTCTTCCCTCAAAATCTGGACACTGGCGTCTACCACCACGCCCCATGCAGAAGATGGCTCTAGATCCGATTGAATCACTCTGGCAGCAAGAAGCCCGATCCTTAGTACTTGCAAAGCCTTGCAAAGCACTATCAGGAACCTGGAAAGGTAGTTGTTTAAAGCTTGCAGCTTGCATTGCCGCTAAGCTAACGTGGCAGTGGTAGGGTTCATGATGCTTACGGTATGCATCAGCCGGTGAACCAGACTCATTATAGGTAGCATAGATTGTGTGGGTTTACGATGCGTTTCCGCAGTCTCAAGAGAGGATAGGCATGCCGAAGCTTGCATCTCAAACTCTCGCGAGAATAGGATGGCCTGCTCATCCGTCTCGTCGTATCTCGAATCCTTTTGGAAATGACCCCCAGCGGCATGGTGCAGCTGGTTACGAGCTTATCCGAAAGTTCTGCATCCTAGAATGATTGATGAGAAAATATCTGATGGCTCGTAGTCAGGATATGAATAGCTCACGACATCAGCCTCCTTGCATCGCATCCTGCAAATGCTGGTTGGCTGATGATAAGTTTAAAGTCATCCTAGGATCCTGCAGCTCGTTCCAGGAACTCGTATTCTGAGTTGTAGAACCGACTGTTACACCAATCGTTCTTCGAGACGACAACGCTTGTTATCTCATCCGAACTTTTGAAGCTTCTCCAGCTTGCCAGCCACACGGATGGTACACTGCCCGGTGCATCAGATGGAAGCCAACATGGACAATTCTGGAGTCGAAACTGGCTCAGGCCGTGGGGCTGGTGGAGAGGCCTGAGAGGCAATCGGCGACCTTCCGGCTCGGTAGTCAAACGCTATGTGCAGAAGCAGTCTCTACCCTGCACACCCAAGTTCATCCTACGAGTATTATTGCGGCCCCGCGAATGGAAAACCCCGAATTATAGACTTCACATGCCATCGTATTCTTGTTCATGCAGCAACTTCTTCGGCCGAACAGACTAAATTGGGCGCAACTATTAACTAAACTGTCGTGTCGTCATTGCCGAGAGACACATGGCCGAACGAGTGACTGAGCGATCAAGCCATCAACCTTCTTTGCACGTCAACAAGACATTCGTTCCCCTTCGACTTTGGCAGCTCTCACGATTCTCTGTAGCCTTGGCCACAGACCTCCCCGAAGCCCTCAAACACCCATAAAGGTGACTAACTTGAACGGATGGCGCCGCGGCCAAGTGTTCCACACCAATTAAACTACTTCCCAATCCAGCCATGTTTGTTCCTGACTAGTAATCCCCGTGCAGGTCTCAGCCTAGCAACACTATAATTCGGATGAGGAAGAAATCTTCCCTCCAAGAAATCGTATCCTCAATGGTCGTTAACAACTCCCTGTCATTGCGAACTGGCATTCCTCGTTGTACCTTGGTTGTGTGGACCTCGTCTTGTTAGGGATACTTGCCGAGATTCGCTGAGATCGCATTTAGATCACCACGGGCTTTGGTGGCGGTTGGGGAACACCCATGTGCTTTTTAGCGCCACAAACGACCAATCTAATGGCGCGAGAAGAATCCGTTTGAGCCGCATCAGCAACTCAGTGTCCCATGATTGAGTGCAAGACTGCTGCCAGTTCCACTGTCGGACCGGGATTCCCTTCCCTGGCCGAATGCGAAAAGAATCTCGTCTCTCACAGCCAGAAAATGCTTTGACCTTCAACTCAACGCACGTCTCGGCGATGTGATACATGGACGGACTTGAGAGAGTCGAGCTGTGCAGCTCCTCCACCTGCACCTCCCCACGTCAGCATCCTGACTTGAGATTACTGCTATCTAAGCGGCCGGCAATCGAAAAGCCGGAAGCTAAAGAAAGAAGCCTCATCGAACAATCTCCGACACGCACGCCTAGCCTTCCATAAATACAACAGATGAGCCAACCTTTGTCATGATATTTTCCAAGTTAGCACCCATCTTTCGCTTCAGGCTTCATCATCTTTCGCTTCCAGACTTCTTGTAGTCCTGACCTTCGGGCAGGTTCCATTCGTCACAGTCGTTTTACAACTATATTTCTTGTCCTTGTTGTTCTTGATCCCATTTCTACTTCTTGCAACCATGAAGACTGCGTCTTTCATCACCGCCTTTATGGCCGGTATTGCATCTGCCCACCCCGGCATGAACATGGCAAAGATCATGGCTGAGGCTGCTATACAGGCTCGCCAGGCTGGCGCCGCCGGCCCTTCCACTGAGTTGATTGGAGATCTCGCAACCCTTAAGGAGGACAAGCTCACCGACACTGGAAGGAACATCAAAGCCATCTTAACTCTGAAAGCCAGCGGCCTGGACCAGGAATCCACTTACGAGGCCCCAGGCCCGAAGAGGTCGCAGGAGTGCAGGGAAGATACGTGCTGCATCTGGAAGTTCATTGCCGACGACATGGCCGAGCAGATGGTGGGCAACGCTGGTCGCTGCAACAGTGTTGCCCGTGGCGCTGTCCGCCTCGGCTTCCACGATGCCGCCTCTTGGTCCAAGACTTCGGGTGGCACTGGCGCTGACGGGTCCATTATTCTCGCCAATGAGTGCCGCACTCGCGACGACAATAAGGGACTCGAAGAGATTTGCGACACTATGGAAGGCTGGTTCAACAAGTACAAGAAATACGGCGTCACCATGGCCGACATGATCCAGTTTGCTGCCAATGTTGCTACCGTCGTCTGCCCCCTTGGGCCACGCGTCCGCACCTTTGTCGGCCGCAAAGATACCACCACACCCTCCCCACCCGGCCTGCTACCCTCGCCTTTCCAAGAGTCTGGTGAATTGTTCAAGATGTTTGCGGAAAAGTCTTTCACCCCCGGTGGTCTTGTTGCTCTCCTCGGCGCGCACACCACCTCCCAGCAACGCTTCGTCGACCCTGAGAGGGCTGGTGCTCCGCAGGATACCACACCCGGTGTCTGGGACGTGGCTTTCTACGGCCAAGTGCTCAGCCGCAGGACTCCTCCCGCTGTGTTCAAGTTCCCCAGCGACATCAGCATTTCCCAAGATCCCATCACCAACGACGTCTGGAAGCAATTTGGTGCTGGCGCTCGCGGCCAAGCAACATGGAACGAGGTAAGCTTAGTCTTTTGGTTCTTCTCTTTTCTTAGTAAGATGCTAACAATCCTCTTTAGGCTTACGGTACTGAGTACGTCCGCATGTCCATGCTCGGCGTCCCCAATATGAACGACCTTACCGAGTGCACTAAGGTGCTCCCTCCGTTCAAGGGCCGCGACTTTAGGTCACCCGATCAAAGCGAGCTCGACAAGTTCATGAACGGTCTTCTCCAGTCGGCAGGCGATGTCCTGCAGGCCGTTCAGGCTCTGGATAAGGGTGACAAGGTGATTGCCCCCGGCGCAAACGGAGCCCCTGGCCCTGCTGGTCCTCCTGGGCCTCCCGGACCCCCTGCTGGTCCTCCTGCTGGTCCTCCGGGTCCTCCTGGCCCTCCTGGTGGCCCCCCGGGCTTCCCTGGTCGCCCCGGTCCTCCTGGTCCCCCTGGTCCCCCGGGTCCTCCCGGTGGTCCTCCGGGATTCCCTGGACGCCCCGGCCCTCCGGGACCCCCTGGTGGCCGTCCTGGCCCTCCTGGTCCTGGAGGACCTCCCGGCTTCCCTGGCCGTCCCGCAAAAGCATAGATCACGACACTCATGTCGAATTATACGAGTATATAATGCTTTTCTTTCTGTTTCAAAGTCTAACCAACTTCAATTGTATAATATCCCATGTAAAACAAGGATTACAAGGCGTTTGTGGTATTTCCATTCAAAACGGCGGGGAAGAAGGCAATTGTAAGAGCATGACCATAAAGGCCGAGGCTGGCCGGAGCCTGGCGATGCAGGGGGGGTACTGAAAGGGGGAGAACACTACTTTCTGGCATTTTTTTTTTCTTTTGAGATGATTATTCATTCTTCTTTCTCAATACCATTTTCAGATTAGACTATGCATTTACCTTGCATCTACACACGTCATCGACATCACAAGAGACATGTCCCTACAGCTACAGATTTCTTCTTGAACCGAGTGAGCACTTACCTCGGCCCCAAGATGAGACGTCAAATCCGATATAGATCACGAGGGGGACAAGAAGAAGGTTGAAAAGAACCTTGTTTTTTTTTTCTTCCTCTCCCCCGCCCGAGCCAACAGATCGTATCTGCAACCCGACGTAACGCACGTCCACATGAAAGCGGGGACGAAAAAAAAAAAAGGTGAAGTGCTGATACTCTAATCCATCCGAACAAAAAAGAGAGAGAGAGGCAAGCTGCAGATGGGTTTCCCGGCTTCCGAACGCCCTTGCAGACTTAGCCCAAACGCGCATTGACTCTGTCCACCACGCTTCTCGCCCCTCCACCCGCGGCGCCACTCAGAAGTTTGCCAAAGGTTTCCCACCTAGTCGCCGGAGCCATTTTTAGGAACTGCGAGAGCGGGGAATCCTCGCTCTTCTCGCCGTATTTTCCCTTGAGAATAGCAATGACAACCTGGGCGGCGTACATGTTGAAGCCAGCGTGTCGGAGGAAGAGTTCCCACTCCGTTTCTTCAGCCATCAGGAGCTGACGTGTGCTCGGAGGGTTCTCGTTTACTTTTGCGGATACGAGTGCACACGTCCAGGTCTCCAATGTCTTGTTCCCGCCGCCCACGTAGATGACTCTGACGCAGCAGCCGACTGAGGTGCCGAGGGCCAACGCGAATGAGACGAAGCAGGTGTAAGCCTCGGCATCGGCCTGGCTTATTGATCCGATGTGCTCTTCGTTTAGAGTACTGCCTTCGGAGACGAGAATGACGAGGCGTTCGTAGAGTGGCGCAACCTTGATTACGCGTTCGCGTAGCTGATTTATTTTGGAGTTGGAACCGGGCAAGGGTTGCTGGCGCAACTTGAGAAGCGTAGTGATTATGATGCCTGTCGATGGAGAAGGTATGATATCTGCCTCGTATGAAAGAGGGGAAACCTTTTGCATGCGACTCGTGCTCCCTGGCGACCATGACCAGGTGTCATATCTCGAAAGATCTCGGTCGACAAGGTCAATTCCGGGCAGGTTACTCTTCAATGCATTGATCATACTTCGGGAAAGAGTGATTGAGATGATCACTTGCGCCGGCCCTTCCAGTCTACCGATAGGGGGAGAAGGGGGGACGACACCAGTAACTTCATTTCTAGCTTGAGGAGCGACTTGTTTCAGCAATTTCTGCGGGCTTCTTGTCTTCGTTCCATAGACACGCGGGTTGGTGGTGAGGCCCTCTCTAGCCGGATATGAGGGCCTCTTCGACCTTGACATTGTATTCTTTGAGCCTTGTAGCTCCATGAAGTTGGCTAGGAGCTTCCCAGCGGCGTGGGGCTCGTCTTCTCCGAGCAGCAAGCTCCCACCGAGATTTCTAACAGCGTTTCTGCGGTTGATCATGCGTTGAGACTTGTGTTGGACAGTAGGAGACTCCACTTCCACATCGTCTTCTTCCATGAGCTGACTTTTTCGTTTCCTAACAAGATCCATGATGCCGGACCTGCTGCCGTCCGTGTCAATCCATGGGTCTTCTTCTCTGGACTGAATAGGTAATTCGCTACCGCTTTCCTCACTTAATACTTTTAGCCGTGTGGGTTTTCGAACAAAGTCTTCACTTGTCAGCAATGGAGCCCCCGGAATTTCCAGTATGCGCTGAAGGATTCCGTCATCATTGATTGACTCTTCTGTATCTACTCCTGCTAGTCGCGAGGAAAACGGAACCCATCTTAGTTCGCGTGTTTCCATCGGGTTCTTTGGCCACAGTGAAGATTCGAACTGGCTTTTGTTACGATGACGGATCCAGGAGAACATTTGTGAAGCCTCTCCAGTAGTTTCTAACCATTCAGGTACCGGTATGTTGAAGTCCATCGCAGGAGGTTGAAACCTCGCCGTGGCATCAACGACGTGGATCTGTTCTTGCTCTGAGATGCTAGTCAACTCGTCTGCCTTGGTTTGAAGAAAAACGGCGAACTTTTCATTGAACTCCAGGTCGTCTTGGTTCATGGTTTGCTCGCTTAGCTTGAATTCAACGGCAGAATCAACGCCTGGCATGCTGCTAATGAGATCCCTGCAGACAGTATCGGCTTGTGCTGTTGACGGCCCGCTCTTAAGCGGCTGGAAACTAGGTGCTTCTAATATCAAATCTTGAACGCGATCTTTTGGTGTAAAGAGACCGATGATGGCAGTGTCTGAAAACAACTCTGCAGAATCTAAAAAGCTTGTTTCTGGAAGATCAGGAGCCATGTACAGGTCGTTCATTAGTGATTCGGCGGTGTTCAAATCTGAGCCAAACAGGCTTTCTACATCTGAAAGGGATTCGACGTTACAAACTTCTCTGGTGGGAATGACATCCGTATCAAGCCTAGAGTCTGGGGACGGCAGAATCAGAAGTGGAGTCAGAGATCGGTTTCGTTCCTTGGAAAAACATTAGTACATGTCAATGCCGCCCGAGGACATTATCTTACCCGCCGTGGGTCGATTTCTTGGCTGATCAGGCCCTGAAGGTCATCGTTGGTAAAGTCTTCGTACACAAACTCATCAACATACGCAAAACTTTCCTCGGTGAAGCCGATATCTTCTGGTTCAGGGCCTTTGGTAAGTTGGCTGTGGAAGTGTACGGCGGTAGGGGGGAACTCCATGGCCTCGTCGTTCTTCACGTCAACGGGATCATGAACGAGATTGCTAGGCTTTTGAAAAAAGTCGTGCAGCTTCGTTTCCGAGATGGTCTTGCTCAAGGCCTTGAAGTCGTGCCTTGGGTCGCTTCGAAGAAGGGGGAGCTCCAGCTTGTGGACTGCGCTGACGAAACGAAAATGTGAAAAGCTTGCTTCCATTGCCAAATCCATTAGATTATCTTTCTTTTTGACCCCAATGGCCTCTGCCAGTATTTCTTCGACGTTTCTACCTCGTAGATCGGCCTCCGGGTGAAAAAGAGGATCTGGTATCTCTGCCGCAGGTAGATCTTCTGTGGCTTCGGTGATTGCGGTTGATTTCCGTAGGTTGTCAAGTATCGTCATCGTCTCATTCGATATGTAAGATTTTGAGTTGATGAACAAACCCAACCTTAGAGCGTACTCTATTGGGCTCGGTTCAATAGAAGCCATGGCAGGCAACACGAGGGTTCGCGTGGAAATGATTGATTAGGGCTGGAAAGATAAATTTTGATGTTTGGAAATAGATTCAATGAAAATGGACAGTTTTGGTCTCGAGGATTACCATGGATCGATTATAGGAAGGTCTGAGATCATGTTGGTTAAATCTTTTCAATTCCTTGCTGAAGAAAAAGTGAAAAAAGTGCTGCTCCCGCAGGAAGGATCATCTAAGCTGATACCTGCCAGAATCGGCTGCGACTGTCAGCAAGGGAAAGACCCGATAGGCTGGACCTTCCAACCGATTAGATCCTGCCAATTGCAAGTCACCTACCCAATCAACCAGCCAGACCAATATTCCAGAGACTTCTACAGAGACTTTTACAGATGACATTTTCTCGCTTCTACCTCTCACTATGGGCAATGAACATATTGCACAAGATTTCACTTCTGACGGGGGATGTAACAGCGCGTTCGACTGACCTTTGCAGATCCTCACATCTACTTGGCTGGCCCGCTCCGAGACACAAGGTTACCCTTTGATTCGAGAGCTTCGGTCCTCAGGACCAAGACAACTCCGACTCTTTTTCGCACGATTGAGCAAGTAATTAAACCTTGGACGGTGAACTGGATACGGAAAATACAGTCAAAGGCCCGAGAATGCGTAGTCACAGGTCACAAGACCCCTGTCGAAACTGACTCCGTCAAAGTGTCTCGATGTCCTTCCGAAGCCTTTCGGATCTTAAATGGAGCTAGGGCCAACGGTCTCCCACTATGGCGCCTATCGGCCATTCGCGGAGTTCACCCCCGCCCACTACACAACCGTGTCCTTGACCCGATTTCCCCCTGCCACAGGCCCTCATTGTGGAGCACATCGCGGATCACACCGCGGGGGTTCGGAGCAAGAGTGCATTAGTGTAAGGTGCCGCACTGAAGACAAACGTCAAAACCCATGTTGGAAGCATTCCACTGTTGCTGAGTAAGGTAACTCGTCCAAACAGGAAGTGAATGTGATGCAGACCCTCTGATTGCGGAGACAGTAACTTGTTTCCGTCACCAGATATATAAATCAACCGAATTCCCACTCTCTACTCCTTCTTTTTCCAAGCACATACTCATCGTACACATAGTACACCTCCAAACATACACCCCTTGAAAACTCTTTTCCGTTTTGCTATACCCTCATCTTATCCTTCACAAATCTCAAAATGGCTTCTCGTTTGGGCGACAAGAAGACTCTCCGCATCGGTGTCATGCTGGAGGAGGTCCAGTTCAGCGACATCGTGGGTATTGACCTATTCGGTAACCTCTCTCTCGAATACTTCAACAAAGTCAAAAGCTTTGGTCAGGACATCTCCGCATTTGACGGTCACGCACCAGATACGACCTTCTACTACATCTCCTCCACTCTGGAGCCCGCGAACACGACAGCAGGCTTGAGATTCGTCCCCAACATCACTTACGATGACTGCCCCCGCGATCTTGACCTTGTCCTCACCGGTGGCCCGCTGCCCACCCACCGGCCCCCTCAGGCCGAGCGTTTTATCAAGGAAGCCTTCCCCAAGACCCGTGTCTGGTTGACAACCTGCATCGGCTCGCCCTGGTTGGCCAGTGCCGGTGTTCTTAAGGGAAAGAAGGCCACGACGAACCGTGAGTTCTTGGACTTTGCGAAGATGGTCCACCCCGACACGGAGTGGCTTGACCAGCGATGGGTGATCGAGGAAAAGGAGTATGATGGTGAGGGCAAGGGTGAACTCTGGACCGCGGGCGGAGCTGGAGCTGGTGAGTACCTCGTATTGCTTGATGCACTTTAATGGTCCCTTACTGACGAGACAAAGGCATTGCCATGATCATTGCGTACTTGAAGCAGAACTTTGATCCTGCGTACGTGACCAAGTTCGCGGTCGAGGGAATCGCACTGGAAGAAATTGAGCTCAACCAGTTCTACAAGACGGAGAAAGCCTAGAATTTTTTAGAGGAAAAGATGGCAGGGGGGATATCTCGGCGATGAAATCTCAGCTCAGTAAAAAAATTGAAAACATTCAAATGAAGCATTTCTAGCCATGATCAATTCTAGCACTAGAATGTAGTTTGTGCTCTTGTTCTCTACACATATCGAATGATGATCTCCGGAGAGTTATATCGATCCCAGCTTTCCACCAGACTCCTGTCCGCAGCAATCTTCAATGCAAAAATGGCCAAACTATACCTTCCAGGCGGGACGCGCGAGCCATTCGCCAACGTTCCATCCCAAGGATTCATCCAGCCAATCGGTCTGCGATAAATGACAGGATAACCCGCAATGTTCCCCAGCGTGCTAACCCCGAGACCGTTGTCCTTGGCATCGGGATTCGCATCGAGCGGGACAACCTCAATGCGCACCTCGGCGCTTCCCATAACCAGCCACACATACTGGTCTGGCAGAGCGCCAACTGGCAGAATGAGGTCTGTTGTATTGAGCAGAGGCTGGGCCCAGTCGGCGTGGTCGGCCGGAGTAGGGAGCTGGAAGGTCGTGTTGGCGGCCACCGTCGGGTTGCGCGGGTCGTCACTACGGGTCAGGAATATGCGCTGGGAAGCGAGGACGGTGACGTTCTTCATTGACCCTGCGACGCCAATATAAGGGACTGACAGGGCGATTCCACCGTCGCCATTGGTGCCGTTTAGAGCGACCCATCCAGAGTACACAGGCAGAGACGGGGTATCGAGGCCCTTTGGCGGGATGACGCTCACGCGGACCTCGGCCGTAGCGTTCGGCTCGACGGTGAACGAAGACGGCTCAAATGTAAGGCTGGCGTACACCGTCTCTAATATAGGCGAGCTATCGCGGTAGATTTGGTATAGCGTGAGCGCTGTCAAAGCCGGGACGTGAGAGACGTTGTACGTGGCCGGGGTATCTCCGACGTTGGTGACAGTGAAGGAGACTTCGGAGGCTAGGTTGTCAGTGTCGTTGAATGAGATACCGGCAACGCTGAGAACGGTTGTTGCGTAGGCTGCGTCATAGGCCTGCACGATGCCGGCACCTTGTTGCGGGACGGGGCCGAGTCCCGCACCGATATTGGGGTCGCCGTAGTTTTGAGAGAAGTTTGGCTTTGCTGTTGATGCAAGGAGTCTCTTGATCAAGTCCGGGTCTCTTGTGTCGCGTGCCTATTGTTTTTAGATTCTACTTCTGCACAAGGCTGAGTTGTTCCATAAAAGGGCCACATACCTGAATGATAAGGGCAACGATGCTAGCTACAAGAGGCGTCGCCATCGAGGTGCCGGAAGCCAGAGCGTACGAACCAAGAGCCACAGGAAAGGTCGAGGGTATGCCGCCTCCCGGTGCACCAAAGCTCGGGGCCAGGTTAAGCTCGAACGTCGGACCCCAGCTCGTGAAGGCAGACACTTGTCCAGCACCATCAGCATCTTGGTTCTGGTACGAAGAGACGGAAATCACTCCATCGCCAGTGCTTGGCGAGCTTATTCCGAACAATCCCTCGGTGCCACCAACTTCATTACCGGCAGCAAAGGTGCAGGGCACGCCGGCATCGACGATCCTCGCAACCGCTAGTGCAAAGGCATCGCCGGCCCATCCGCTAGGCCCGCCGATGGAGCCGGTAATAATGTCGGAGCCGTCCTCAAAGGCCTTAATCACACCAGCCAGGAGAATGTCACCCGTCGTCTGGCCAGTGCAGCCAAAAGTTCGGTACATGCCCAACTTGACTCCGGGGCTCGCACCGGTGAATCCCCTGGGGTTCTCCTGAGCCGCAATGATGCCGGCCACGTGCGTTCCGTGCCCTTCGCACTCTTCGAACGGATCATCATCCGGAACAGGGGCAGATGTACCGTCGTATGCGTCTCCGACAAGGTCGTAGCCATATTCCACTAGGCATCCAGGACCAAAGCAGCCTCCAAGCGCCGGGTGCTTGTAATCGATCCCCGTGTCGACAATGCCGATTCTAAGGCCCTTACCGGTAAACCCCTTGGCACGGAGTTTGTCGACCTGCGTCATTACATGAGGTGGCCAGCTATCAGTTGAATTCGTCTGGCGCCTGTGCTTTGAAGCGGACCCGTCATTGCCGAGCACAGTGAAGTTGAGCTTGGGGACGGAGATGAGCGGGACCGGCCAGAGTTGCTTGACATGCGGCAGGGCCGCGATCTTTCTTGCCGTCTCGTCATTGGAGTTCTCAACACTGATGGAGACACCCTTGAAGACTTTGGATTTGAAGTCTAAGCGCTGAGAGACCTTTGCGAGGCCTGCTTCCGTCTGGAGGCTCGCGACCAGGCCGGCGGCGTCCTGTAAGTAGTTAGCATAGAGTGCTTATGGCCAGATCTGGTGTCGACGAACCTGATCGTCGGCGAGCTCGACGATGTAAGCACCCGGGACCGTTGTCTGCTCAATAGCCGGTGCGGCATCATCTCTCTTGTAAGTCGAAGCCGAGACGAGGCTCGCGATGCCGGCCAACGCCGCGACGGGGGTTTTCCAAATGACCATCGTGAAACAGGCCTTGCTCGTGTAACCCGAGAAGCTTTGGAGCGCTGAGGAAAGTCAGGGTCCCGAATCGCAGTGTACCTGCATCCGACGGACCATTTATACAGATCAACTTACACCATTTCGACCGCCCTCGGCATCATCGCAAGGCGGTTCTTGGCAGACAAGGTTACATTAGCCACTATCGAGCTGCCGCCGTGCAGGGGCATTCGTCCCCACCGGGATTTCCCAATGTCGACATCTCGGATGGACGAAGCGACCTCGATGCGGGGCAATACGAGTGACTGAGGGCAATTGAGCAAGATAAGAGGAGCTTTGTGGGATTGTCTCTGCCGACAATATTAAGGAGCGTAAAATACCTCTATGGGTTTCTGGGGAGGGAAACCATGTCCGTGAATGCAGCATTTGATGCCATAGTTGCAGCGGTAAAGTGGTGTCATTTGAGGTCGGCGAACCTGCAAGAGATTGGAAGGTGGTATTCTATCATGAACCCCCTTGCCCTGCATGCGCTCGAATGTGACGAGGCCTTGGCGCATAGAGACTTGCCTGAGTTGGCGCAACGAAAGCGCGGTTGAAGTGTCATTCCCGAGACCAATGGGTAAGGTTATCTGCTGATCGCCGAATCTAACCTATATGGTCAAGAATGCCCCTCGACTATGGTGCACCGCTTGTTTATCTAGACTGATAAACGGCACAGCGATTTGAGTCCAGCAGGTCCATGTACATATAGCTGCCGACCGTTCATTCATGTCAACATCAGAAGCACCACTTGCCGACTTGAGTGATTAAGATTTCTATCTAAGGTGGATATCCAAGTATGGCATCGGTTTCCCTTCTAATACAATATTAATCGGTGCACGGCGTCAGGTAGTTTCTCACCATCAGTGAGTTAACCATCGAGTTTCCAAGATCTAAATTCCATCTGCCGCTGCTAGAGCCCCCTCAACATAGAGCTTGTCAAGGACGTCCGCCGCCGTGACATTGTCCACCTTGAGATTCAGCCAGAACTGATTCGTAACGCTAGAGTCATACACCCACTCATTCGACCCGTTCGCGTAGACGTAGTTGTAGCCGTACTCGTTGCCATACTCAAAAATATCTCCCAGACCATGAATGGCGTACAGAACGGTAAGAGGGTCCCAGGACTCGCGAGGTCGGTGGAAGTTGTAGTAAATGTACGCCTGTCGCACCGGATCGCTCAACGGCCCCTCGGCCAACAGCTTCGCGCCCGAAAGTACGGTCCCCCCGACTTCCGTTCCGCAGTATACGACCCTGCCCTTCCAGTTATTCATGACATGAGCCGTAGCCAACGGGTTGTCGCCGAAGAAGTTGAACTCGCGGCCGGAAGGATATCCGCCGCCCATGACCACCAACTCCGACACTTTGCTTGCGATCAACTCCGGCCCGGTCAGGTTAGAGTACTTATCAGCGGTGGAGTTCAGCAACCCTGACAGATTCTCAAAGAATCCGATCGACGCAATGGTCACGGGTTCTTCCGCTTCAGCAAGAATCTTGCGGTAAAGAGAGACGGCGTCCCACGCATCCTCTGCCTTGCCAAAGGGAAGCGCACCGCCAGAGTAATGGTACGAGATCTTGCTCGCGTATTCGCCGAGATCATATGCGAAAGTGTCGAAGAAGCTCTCGTTTGTCAACGGGCGCCTGGTGCCGATGGGCACGGTGGACTGGTTGTAGTGTGCGAGAATGGCGGAGGTTGCGGTCACTGAGTAGGTTGAAGGATAGTTGACGTTGACGCCCAGAAGGTTCACATCTGGAGATGTTGCGGCGATCAAGAGAGCACCGGTGTCACTGTGGCCATGTTAGAAATTTGCTTTGCGGCGTGTTGAGAGTGAAGAACTGACTCGCAGTCACTGAAAATATCAGTGTCGACGATGATGTTCTTACGGGCAAAGGTGTGCTGCACTAAGAGTGCGCACAAGGCGATTTTGATGGGTGAGGGTAGCATTGTGTTCATGTGCCTGCGCCGTTTTCTCTCTCGCTGTGTGTCAAGAGAAGCTAGGATAGCGATCCCATAAATGTTGAATGAAGCAGCGGCTGTCCGGTAATTAGGGTCTTTTGTTCTTATCTTAAAGAAGCTTATCTTTCAGATCTTGACTTCCGTTCCTTAGGTGGCTCCGATGTTAGGAGAGAAGTGGATCCGTCTAATTTCATTTGGCGATGATTTTCTTCCAGAAAATCGCAGCAGACAAGGATTCCGTCGATATGGTTATCAGCACGAATCTTCAGGTAGTGATATTGACGACACGGTAATTGACTTTGTACATTTGGACACTAGAGGTTTACTACTTCAGCCCTATTCATACATCTCTTCAAGCCATGTACGGCTTACCTCTATCCGTGTAATCATATCTGGAATGAGAAACATACCGCATTAAATTGACTACAGCCTCTTTTTATAGTCAGACGCAATATGATCCCATCCGCTGGAAGAAAACATTTGTGACAAATTCATGGTAAGAGCGTTAGCAAAGATGAACTCCTCGCATATGGAGTGAGGTAACCCATGGTTATTTGCCATTTTGAACTATTATAATGCAAATGCGATATTGCAAGGCAGTTGGTAACTTCAGAGGTATGTACCATACCGCTATTGCGATAACTCGAAAGTTTTCGTAAGCGAATAGTGGCTGGGAAAAGACCACCAGTCTACCGTCCTGCCAAAGATGAACAGCAAAAAAAAAATATCAAAAACATACAACACCAGGTATTCGCTGGTCGTCACCGACCCAACTACTAATCCGGCCCTCACTGGCTTATCTATGGGAGAGCGGACGGGATCCCGAGTTTTCCAGTGGGTATGGTCGTATGTGGAAGACTGGTGACACAAAATGACTTATAATACTGGACAATGGATGGTGTACTTTACAAGCGACATTAAGCGGCGCGCGGGCGACAGGCACAAGATGCCCCGGGTAGACGTTAATCCATCCACTGGATCCTTCGATTGGGTTGGCTATTCTCTTTCCCATCTCCAGTTGGCGAACCGTTGCCTTCCTCCTTGTACGAGGTACAAGAGACCATCTGAGCCAGGATCGAGTTCAGATGTACGCTGACACTGGCGGATAGGGACAGCATAGCCGGTAGCTGCCGTGAAAAGGAAATTTTGACACCTTTCTACTGTATAGCCTAGTTGTTGACAGTTATTGACAGTCATTGGTTGTCTGGAACTTCCATTCGGGAGATCAAGTTGGAAGACGTCGATGAAGATGACGACGAGAGGTTTTGCAGGAAATGAGGGGAAGAAAGAGATACACCAACAAACAGGACCTTGGCTTTCTTATGTGATACAAAGAAAATTGCCGCTTGCGCGACTTCTTGCCAGACTGCTTTGCAGGGCCGTGGTCACGAACCTGGTGCTTGTTTGTTGTTGGTTACTAGTCGTTGAGGGTCGTTGGTTGTGGGACAGCCTGCCGACATCGAAGCTTAGCCTCAGCACTGCCGCCGAGCCACCCCAGCTCCCCCAACTAGGAGGGTTAGGCTCATTGCTGGTTTATTTACAGTGGTACTGCTTCTACCATTCTCTGGAGAAATTCTATTAGGCTGCTAGCTTGATACCTCAGATATCTAGGTACTTGGGTGCAGTCCTTGTTTTACTTTTACCAATTTCCAAAAACAGCCGCTCGACATTTCAATTCTCTTCAACTTCAGGGTCATTAATCACACTTCTCGTTGCTTCCTCTATTTCATTCCTTGTTACAATTCTCATCTTCTTTTTATTCTTTCGTTTCACCAACGTTAGCAACACCCAATGCAAACGAGTCATGGACGGTTTTCCCCCTATGCCGGTCGAGATTGCCCGTCTCATCGCCATCGAAATTGTGAGAGCCCGCGGCATAAAGCGCGCTCTGCGCCTACGCCGTGTCAACCGCTCATGGGACCACGGGATCGTGGAAGCAATAGTGGAATCAGGAATCCTCGAGGAAAACCCCAAAAAGAAGGCTCATTGGACTCTTTTAAAGGCCAAGTACGTCATGCACAAGCTGCAACAGCGCGAAGACCTACTATCGCGAGGGCTCCGCATCGTACGCAAGGCTGCGCAGCGTCTCGTGGCCCTTCGAACAGGCAAACCAGAGTCCGAGACTCAAGAGGAAGTCCAAAAAGTCCTCTGGGAGTTTTGCAAGGCTACACAAGATTTCTGCGGAGTTACCGATGATTCGTATTTTGAGGTGCCTAAAGAGATAGAACCTATCGATGATTCGGACGAGGCTTTCAGGGGAGCTATGGTTGCTGGCGCGGTCGCATTAAAAGACCTGCATCTTCTCCGGCAAGTGCTTCCGTTAGTGGAAGACCAAGACAGTGAGCATTTGATCTACATGCAAACGGACATGAAAGAGTAAGCTTAAGCTAAAGCCTTATGTTCCAAGCTCAACATCATGCTGATACTGTCTGCCTTACTCTAGTTGGGTGCTCGGCTGGCCGCTAGATATTGCGGCCTATAGAGGTCATACTGAAGCGCTGCGTATGCTGTTCGAAGTTCTGAAGCATCGCTTGGGATTCATAAATGCATATATGACTGCATTAGAGTATGCGAGCGCAGCCAGTCAGATTAAGACAGTCAAGCTCTCTCTATATCCCCTCGGCGATTCAACTTGCGACTACCCATACGAGTATTTCCTGTCAGAAATGAAAAACAAAACCCCTGAAGTATTCGATTGCCTCTACGAGTGGCGCAAAGACAACTTACTCAAGAGTCATTATAACCCTTGGGAAATCCGGGATATAGAACACGCGCGGTCAGAACTTCGATCTCAGGCATACTGCTGGTCCACCTCATATGGCAACCTTCCCATGATGAAGTACCTTGTGAACCACGGAGTCCCGGCCAAGCTTGATAGTCGACTTCCCGACGACGGAGACACATACCACACATGGATGAGCGTTGTTGCGGACGGGGGGTACGACGATGTCATGGAATTCTTACTGGAAAATGGGCAAGAAATCAGCTCCCAATCACTCGAGTATGCTTGCCGTCACGGAAGTCCCGCTTGTGTAAGAATTCTCCTTGAACACGGCGCCAAGGACACTCTCAAGCCAGGGAATGCTCTTCTCGAGGCCGTCAAGGGAGAACATGAACAAGTGTTGAGACTATTGGAGTCGGACGGCTCGGTGAGTGAAGGTCACAGGAAACGAGCGCTGGAATTCGCGGAGAAAGAAGGCTTGGAGTCAATGGTCCAGCTCATTAAGGAATACATGTAGATATATTAGTCACAGTACAGGAGTACCGACTTCTTTCTGTCATGTTGGCGCGCTGTACTGAAAGTACTAGAGATACGCTACGAAAATAAAATAAAATGTTGCTTAAGAACTGGGTCATTTACAGCCCGTTTATCAATGGGTGTTCCGTCTTCTTCGTGGGAATGGGATCTTTTGGAAGAACCGCATCTCCTGCCTCGAATCTGTGCCTTTTTATTGCCAAGTCCACTCTAACGTCTAGGTAGTTCAGCTCTCAGGAGGCGATTTATTGATAGTGTATGTGCTCAGCCGCCGTTCCTGTTTTTGTCACAAGTCCCGAACTTGTTGACTTGCCGAAATTTATAATCTACGCATTAATGGCCCAGGTCTCGAGCAAATTCCGGTTCCGATTCATATTTTCGCATAGAATATGTACAAGAATGGCAGCTGAGTGTTCTTCTAGCCTCCCAACTCTTGTTTCTTATGTCTACGCTGCCGGAATGGAGGCAGTGCGCGAATGGGGCTATCGATGCCGAACCCGACTTGGGTACATACTTGGCGCCTTGGCTTATCATTTGTTATATATACCCCTAGTTAGTTCCCTAATCATTCTCTTTCCCGATTATTTGCTAGTAGGACCCATTCTACGTATATTTCCGAAGTTTCCAAACAGAATGTTGTTTCGTAATTCTGACTGTATAAGTTGAGGAAAAGTATATATCCATTTTACCCGTTGGTATCGTTAAGGTTAAAGATCACTAATAAGAACCTGGAATGCAAAAGAAAGGCCGCCGGTAATGGATGTCAAGAGAACCGCGCCTGCGTCAGGTAACCCGTTAGCGGCGACCCAAGGCGGCGCCACCAATCGACACAGGGTGGACAGCAGTAAATCGGAGTTACAGTCTTTCGTTCTGTTAATCCGGAGATTCGTCAAAGATGTTCTTCCCCCTTTCTGGGTATTTAAAGCATTCGGGGCCCTGGTAGTCATTTACTATGTGCCATTTCTCCTGACACGGTGCCTGGAAATGCTGGAAAGAGGTATCAGGAGCTACAGGAGCTGGTAATAAAATACTCCGAGGGAGCGAAAATAGAAACTTCTCAACGTCTTCTGCCTCAGGTTCACGCAGGTATGATGTCTTGCCTGCAACGTGGCACTCGGGCTTGTCTGAAATCAAGGGCGCATCTATAACATGTGCGGAAATTTACAGTTTATGCCGAAGCCCCGGAGCCGCAAGCAAGCACGGCGGGAAGCTGGCCTATCCATGGGAGATCCCAGGCATTCCAGAGGTTAAGCTCGTATGTGGCAGTTTGGCGATGCAAACGTGATTAGTTATGCAGGACAAACTGACGGATGGTGCACTTGGAAAGGCGATCCGATTCTTATAGTCACAGTAACATATTAGTCATCGCTGAGGTACTGCCTATCCGTTGCCTTGGCGATGTGTATGTACTCTTGCTGGATTAAGCAAGCTTGAGCTTGGGCCCCCTCCTGCCGACGGTGCGGGGGAGATGTGTGTTTAAATAGGACCTAGCGGGGAGGCTTCTTTACCAACCTCGGCATTCCTGCATACAACTCTGAAAAGTGCTTGCCAGTAAGGATCATTAGACAATTTTCCCTCCAACTTGTAGTTTAAAAAATGTCATTGCACCAAGAAGCTTCCTGGGTGTCCATTGCTAGCCGCAAACAGGCCGAACGAGCCAGCCGCATCCCTCCAAAATGGCATATATCGCCCAACGTCATTCCGCGAGACCCTCCTCGGCTTCAGGATGGACCTCAAAAGGTCCTAGACATCCCCCCTCGCTTCCTCTCGCAAGAAGAGGTTTCCATCACAGAATCATACAACGTCCCAAGTCTCCTCCAGGCAATCTCATCCCGCAAGCTTTCGGTTACAGACGTTACAAAAGCTTTCTGTCATCGCGCGGCTATTGCGCAGCAACTCACAAACTGCCTCACTGAGCCTCTTTTCGATTCTGCTATCCAACGTGCTGAATATCTGGACCACTATCTCCGCGAAAATGACAAAACCCTCGGTCCTCTTCATGGCCTTCCAATCTCTGTCAAGGATACTTTCAACATTGCCGGCGTTGACTCGTCAATGGGCCTCGCGTACCTCTGTCACAAACCCGCTGAGCAAAACGCGCCGCTAGTCGACCTGCTGCTATCCCTGGGGTGTGTCATTATAGCGAAAACCAACATCCCACAGACCCTCGCAAGTCTTGACTCGGTAAACAACGTCTTCGGGCGCACGATGAACCCTATTAACAGAATGTGTACCGCTGGCGGCTCATCTGGAGGCGAAGGCGTCATGGTTTCTATGAAAGGTTGCATGATCGGCATTGGTACCGATATTGGTGGAAGTATCCGCATTCCTGCTATGTGCAATGGGGTTTATGGGTTCAAGCCATCGAACGGGCGCCTACCGTATGGTGGACAGGTTCTGACTGGTATCGAGGGCATGAGTCGCACCTCTATCCAAGCTGTTGCCGGGCCATTGGGTCGGAGCGTTGAGGATATCGATACTCTGTTGCGGGAAGTTATCCCTCGCGCTACACTTTGGGGAGAAGATTGTATGCCTGCTTCCTGGTCGCCAACTCCACGAAACACACGGGCTTCAGGCAGCGGTAAAAATGGAGAGCTTGTCGTTGGCGTACTTCGAAGCGACGGCAACTGCAGTATCCACCCGCCCATCGCGAACATGTTGGATGAAGTCACATTGTCCCTCTCGCTGAAGTCTAACGTCAAAGTGGTACAGCTCGATACTCCAAGGGCGTGGACAAAAGCGCAGTCTGTAATGAACAAGCTCATGGGCGTCGACGGTTCGGGTCCAATGGCCGATATGATTGAAGCTACTGGAGAGCCACTTGTCCCATGGACGAAAGCAAGGTTCAAGCGGGGACAGCCACTATCACTAACGCAAGTAGCGGAATTACAAGCACAAAGATCTCGGCTCGAACAAGAGATGCTGAAAATATGGGTTGAGGATGACGTTCAAGGACGACGTAAGCAAAAGATTGACGCTATCATCTGTCCTGTGGCACCGCACCCTGTGCCGCCTATTGAAGGGTACAACGCCGTCGGTATGACGAGTAGTTGGGTACTTTTGGACTACCCTGCTGGAACGATCCCTGTGCGTCAAGTGCAGGAGAGCGATCTTCAGCTTGGCTCCCCTCAGGGAGGCAAAGTGTTAAGCAGCTGGGACGAGAGAGCTCGTGATCTATGGGACGAGACCAAAATAGATCGGCGTCTCTACCTAGGAACGCCGTTAAGCGTCCAAGTCGTGGTGCCAAGGCTACGGGATGAGAAACTAGTGGAAGTTATGGGTTGGGTAGATGAAGCTTGTAGAGCCAGCCACGAGAGTAAAAAGGCGAAGCTGTAGCTTGCACGTAGTATCAGTAAGTGAGCGAAGCAAAAAATCGTCTTGGGTCTCTTGTAATCATGGCCTGTATCTTTAACGGCTTTGAACTATCTCGATCCACCGAATCTCCTTGAATAGGTCCAGGTTTTCGATTACATGAGGAAGTTTGAAGACCAACTTTTTGTTTTGGTAGCAAAGAAGGAGCCTGAAAACCATACTCGGTTTGCCGAGAGTACTTGAAGTCATGAATTTCAGCTCAGCTCATAATAGTGCATGTTGGGTCCTCGATCGACTGTAGCACTAAATCTTATAGTGTATTGCACCGAAGAGACGGGCTGACGATAAATCTCCTCAACAAAACATAATTTCATTATTGAAAAATTCTGCAGCTAGCAGTTCCAGTAAACAAGATTGATACATGAAACACACTAGTATGAGTCATAGTAGAAGAACTCATGTGTCGAGATCTGCTTGCCAGAAGAATCATGTCTCTTGGAAATGACATTTTGCACTCCGTTGACATCCCGAGGCTCAAAGTCGAGTCCCCTGGCAGAGAGCATAAAGACGTCTTCACCGTAGTTTTCCTTCATCCAGTGTGAAACCATGTCCATACCAGTGACGGCTCCTGCAGCAGTCCAGATGTTTCCGTCGACAATCCACTTCGCCTCCCGTGTCCAGTTAACATTCGGGTATTGCTTCCTAGCCCACTCGTACTCCATGTTGTTGATCGTGGCTTTTCGCCCATCGAGGGCTCCGGTCAGAGCAACTACACCAGATCCAGTGCAGTTGGCAAAAACGAGCTTGTCAGCAGCTACATGTCGGCGGATGTAGTCGGCGAGCTTAGAATGGAGGTTGAAATCGGCCAGATTGGGACCGCCGACGATAAGTATGTCGATTTCCGGGGCGTCGTCGACGGTTACAGTGGGTGTGATGAGCAAGCCACCAATGACCTTCACAGTATCTAGAGTAGCACCGATGTGATGAAACTCGATTTCGGGAGCTTCCGATGTGACCTTTTCGCCGACAGGGCCAAAGAATGCAAGCCCTTTGGCTAGGTCCTTGGAGCCAGAGTTCAGGACATCGAGTATTCCGATGACATCGATGGCCTGATATTCGTAGACAAGAGCTCCAACTCTGAGGCGAGACATGGTGACGGGGATCTGCTTTTGAGGGAAAAGAAGTGAGATACAGTGATTCAAGAGTTTCTGGAATGTTGTGGATGTGTTTGCAAGTGAGGACGTTGTTGGGAAAAAAAAAACTCGAAAACAGGAGGCGAATCTGGAAAGATTATATACCTGCGGGAATAGTTCGAGCGGGGGGCCAAAGCCTGAAATGAAAATTCGATTACGAACGGGACATACGCCGTGAAACGGTCGATGATGATGATGGTGCTGCAAACTTGTGATACACTCCGAGTTCAATCGGCATTAAACGTGATGGCTTATTTTTTTGCTGACGCTTGGACTTGTTGAACAACTGGGATTTGTCACAAGTTCCGAATTGAATCGGTGTTTATACTATGGAGCCCCATGCAGTGTGTGCACCAGATTTCTGGCCGGACTTTCAACATTCTATTAACTATCGAGTAAGGTTACAACTCAGTAAACACAGAACCCCCAAAACACCCCTAGTGGTAGACAAATGATAGCATGTGGTGCTACCTGGTTTTCTTAATCTGTGCTCTGAACAGCCTTTTTGATCTTTTCGCCCAAATCAGGGGATACCTTGGCAAACATATCTAGGGAGGACTCAAGTTAGCCATGGTGCACTATTAGTCGGCTTATTGATCGAGAATTTCACTCACCAAAAGTCTTCTCCTGAACCGCCGGCTGGGCGCTTTGGAGATGTCCCGCAATATTGGCAACAAGAGCTTCCTGCTGGCCAGGCTGTTTCCCAAGGACCTCCCAAAAAGCCCGAGCTTGGACGAAGTCAGTGTCAGAAACCTGTGACGTGAAGCCGCACACCCGTCCAACCCAGTTTTCGTGTCCACCGAGAGCGTATCCGTTGGCACCTTGCTTTCCAACAAAGTTGATCGCCTTCAGGTCTGATCGCACGTAGTTTGGGTCTCCACCGTAGTTGTCACCAAAGGTCATGAAACCGTCGCGCTGATAAGGGCAGTACACGGGAGAAACAGGCTTGTTGCAGGGGAGCTGCTGGTAGTTGACGCCCAGGCGGTAGCGGGCTGCGTCGTTGTAGGCAAACATGCGGGCTTGCAACACAGGGTCTGCAGAGGGGGCAAATCCAGCGACCATGTTAGATGGTGAGAAGGCTGCCTGCTCAATGTCTGCGAAATAGTTGGAAGGCTACCAGCAAGAGCACATGTCAGCGGGGCCACCCGAGGAAAGAAGTGCTTGCTTGCACTTGAAATCAAACCTACGTTCTTGTTCAGCGTGAGTTTGCCCACTGGGATAAGGGGATAGTCGGCATGCGGCCAGACTTTTGTCATGTCGAAAATGTTCCAGCGATACTGCTCTGCGTCCTTCGGCTCCATAACCTGGAAGTGTACAGTCCAGGAAGGGAAGTCACCTTTCGCAATTGAGTCGTAAAGGTCAGCAGTATGGCAGTCAGGGTTTTCTCCTGCAATCTTGACGGCTTCGTCGTTGGTCAAGTTCTGAACTCCCTGGTCGGACTTGATGTGAATCTTGACGTAGTAGAAAGTGCCGTCCTAGGACGGTTAGTGAGCTGACACCATGGGATAGCAAATGGAACCTCACATCTTTCGTCAGTTTATAAGTATGTCCACTATAAGCGTTCAGGTGCCTAACACTCTTCGGAGTACCTCTCTCGCTAAAGAGGTGCAGAAGAGCATGGATTCCTTCTTGGTTGTTGTTGTGAAAGCTACTTCTGTTAGCAATGAAAAGTGACGGCTAGAATCATCAAACGCACTCCCAGAACTATTCTTAGTTAGTAAAAGATCATTAGGTCATTGATTGGGCTTCTTACCATAGTTGAATCCGTACAATTTGTTGCAGGATGCCGTTTGTGGCTTCGGTTAACTGAAGGAAACTTGATAGGGTCACGAATGAAGAACACAGGCTACCAATGTTTAGAAATGCGAAGTCAATTACCTGATTCGAAGGGTGGTCACTTACAATACTGTTAAAAACCCAATCTTGGTTTCCCTCCTCTGTGAAAATCTTCATGCCCCAGCCACGCACATCGCGAACGGTATCGGCACTGCCCCTTTCAGGTCCCACAGTAGAAACTCGGAGAAGGACCTTGGACTTTTTCCCAATACCATTCAAGAACTTGGCCGAAGTGAATTGCGAGACATCGTGTGTAACCTCAAACTCGCCAAACGCGCCAGCAGCCCTGGCGTGAACAATACGCTCTGGAATGCGTTCACGGCTGAAGTGTGCCAAAGTCTCGATTAGCTGTGTATCTTGCAACAGCATTAAGCCCTTGACTGAGTTGCCACCGAAGTGCTGCGCTGTGGCAGGGTCGGCATAAGGGACGCCTGAGACAGTGTAAGCTTCTAATGCTAAAGTAAGTGAAAGGATGAAGCATACCCTCAGCAAGAGTGTAAGTTGGGGTGGCCATAGTTGCTTTATGACTATTTCAAGATAAAGATGTTGTAACCGGCTGTATTATATGATTAAAATGCACAATGATATAAGTACGAAGAAGTTGCGAGGACGGGAAACTATGAAGTAGTCAAATGTTGATGGTGAAATCTTAACATCACAAGCAAGCACCGTCCTTATATACAGGTTTAACGCCAGCTCATCATGGCCTCGTTTTTCAAGTCTCTCATCGATTTTCGCCAAATACGGCATCACTAGTGTAGCGGCTGCGCGCTGACGAGAGCCAGATTGGCGACTGGCGATACGTCATCAACGTACACATCTGCCGTGAACCCGGAGAGAATCAAGCATTCCGATGCATGCATATCTGCAAGGGGTATTACAAAGTGCGACAAGCCTTTGCTTGGAAGTCCCATTCTGGAGTTGGTGAGAAAAGAAGCGTTGTGGAAACCTTACTGTAGAGACTTAGGGGATTTGTTCGGCATGTGGGCGTACAACACTCAATGTTCTGTCGAGATCAAAATGCTCAGTAAGCTAGATTATGGCATCGCTAATTGGTTGACTGGGCTGGATGTTGATGCCGAAGGGCGAAAAAATGCCGAAGCAGGACCCGATATTTCGGAGCCGAAAGTCGGGTCCCACTCCCCCGAATCTAGTAGCTGCCGTGTTTTCCATCCAAGTGGACAGTTCGACTGGAAAAGAAACACAACGTCATGGCGTTCCGTCTGTCACCAAATACAACAGTGTATTTGTCTGTCTGGAACATTATTGAGTTCCGGCACGTATCGGCAACTGCGTTTTGTGATTGATGAGTGGTTCCTGGCGGAACTCCGCAGGGGCATGTCATCAATATCCACTTAAATCATTCCCTCGCTAGTTCAACTGTTCAGAATTCCGCATTTGGCCAGCAAGACGTCTCAATCCTAGAGCCTCTCCGTAAGCACCTATTACATACCGTCTCAATGCCAGTTTAGACATCCCGGCGACTTACGTACGATTGGTCTCCACCGGTTCAGAGGTTCCGTGTCATCATGAACGTCAGCCCTGTACGGCCCGACGGCATATTCGATATCCATCAACTTAATCTTAGTGATCTAGTTCGTGAACTCCGAACATCGATCATGGCGATTCAGAAATTGAATGTATAAGTATGGCTTCAAGCTGCTATCGTTGAGAGTTTATTCCAACTCACACACACACACACACACACACACACACACACACACACACACACACACACACACACACACAACATCAAGCAACAATCAATCACCAAGACTACCTAATTACACCAATTAATCCTACAACTTAATCATAATAACAACTCCATCATCAACCTAACAACATTAATCAAAATGACTGTCATCAACAACACCAAGGACTTCGACTTCATTGTCATTGGCGGTATGTCACGGGCTCTCCTATATCTCCTACTCAACTAGACACTAACCAGTTCTACAGGAGGCACCGCTGGCTGTGTTGTCGCCGGCCGACTGGCTGAAAACCCAAATGTCAACATTCTCGTCATCGAGGCTGGTGTCAGCAATCCCAAGGACAACGCAGCTATCATGACTCCTGCGCGCGCATTCGAGCTCCGCGGCAGCAAGTGGGACTGGGGCTACAAGACTACAATGATCGACCGCCCCGAGTACACGCGCATCGAAAAGCCCAACACTCGCGGTAAGGTACTTGGCGGCAGCAGTTGTCTCAACTATTACACTTGGATCCGCGGCAGCGCAGCTACCTTCGATGACTGGGCACCCTATGGCGGCGACGAGTGGACCTGGGCCGGCTGCAAGGAGTATTTCGACAAGCCTGCTACCTTCCACGACGACCAGAAGCTGTTCCCCAAGCACTTGCAGCATATCGGTACTTCCGGCCCCATTCATGTCTCCCCCGCTGAACTCGTTTCCGAGGCTGCACCCTTCCGTGAGGCGTTGAAGAAGGCCTGGGTCAGCAAGGGTGAAATCCTCAATGACGAAATCTACGACGGCGAGATGCATGGACTGGCTACTGCTGTCAGCTCCATTTACAAGGGAAGTCGCTCTTCCAGCTGGCGCTACCTTGAGGGTAAGAAGAATGTCACTGTTCTCGGAGAGACCAACTCTAAGCGTTTGGTGTTCGAGAATGGCAAGGCCGTTGGCATTGAGGTTATTGGACCCAACGGCGAGGACCTGACTTTCCGTGCCAAGTACGAGGTCATCGTCTCTTCTGGCGTCTACGAGTCGCCCAAACTTCTCATGTTGTCCGGCATTGGCCCGAAGAAGCACCTCGAGTCTTTCGGCATCGATACTATCGTTGACTCCCCCCACGTCGGTCAGAACCTTCTCGACCACCCCATCATGCCTCACGTCTTCAAGCTGAAGGACGGCTACGGTCTTGATAAGCACCTTCTTCGCGCCGGCCCTGAGAAAGACGGAGCTGCCTCTGCCTACCGCTGGAAGAACAAGGGCCCCCTCAGCAGTGGCCTTCTCGAGCTGATTGGCCTGCCCCGAATCGATGACCGCCTCAAGAACTGCGAGGAGTACAACGAGTACCTCGAGAAGAATGGTGGTGTCGACCCCTTCGGCCCCGGTGGCCAGCCTCACTTTGAGATTGACTTTGTCGTAAGTGCTTCCATCCATTGTGTGTTCCATTAGTCAAACTAACATGAGTACTTTAGCCTATGTTCTGCGACGCATTCCAGTGGCACATCCCCACGCCTCCTCAAGGTGACTACTTCACAGTCATTGTCGACCTGCTCCGCCCTCTCTCACAGAACGGCACTGTCAAGCTCAACTCGACCAACCCGCTTGAGCAGGCTAACATCAACATCAACTTCTTCTCCAACGATCTCGATCTCATTGCCATGCGCGAGGGTGTCCGCTTCGTCGATGACATCATCATGAATGGCGAGGGTATGAAGGACATCATCGAGAGTGATTACCCCTGGCCCATGCCTCGTTCTTCCGACGAGGCGATGATCAAGATGATTCTAGAGCGCTCCCAGACTGGTTTCCGTAAGTGAATTTTAATCTTTCTTCCCTGATTCAGAACCTTCTTGGCTTCATGGAAGATTGCGACGCTGACTGCGGTATTTGTTCAGACCCTTGCGGTACGACTCGTATGTCTAAGAACATCGACCAGGGTGTCGTCGACAGCAAGCTGCAGGTTCACGGGGTCAAGGGCTTGCGTGTGATTGACGCATCTGTTATTCCGGTCATCCCTGACTGCCGCATCCAGAACGCAGTCTACATGATTGGAGAGAAGGCTTCGGACATGATCAAGGCTGCTTACCCCGAGCTGTACCAGTAAGCGGGAATGGCAGTCCAGTTTCAAGCACTAATATAGATATCTGTACCACACGGTGGCATTTTAGAGTTCGGTCGGAGTTATAGAGTTAGATTTGTTAATTTATATTAATGTGCTGTTATGGTTTCGCTTCCTAAACCTTGCAGTTGGTTGCCACGGCTAATCAGAATCCGAGATCTTGAATCCACCCGAGACACGGGTCTGAAAGAACCCTGTAGGATCATATGCCTGGGCAGTACGGTTCAACAAAAACCTATCAGAGCCGATTGTCCACCAGACATCTTGCAGAGGGTTGGCGTAGTTCAGGTACTTCCACCGGAAACGTTGATGAGTGTTGGCGGCCCAGGCGGACAGTGTGGACTCGACGGCATACTGAAGCTTATCCGTTATGAGCTGCTTGTGTTCCGGCGTTGAGAGTAAGGCTTCGGCTTGAAGTACCATGGAATTCTCATAAAGATTTCCGTTCAAGTCGAGAACGTTTTCGCCGTTGCCTGCATAGTTGGTAGGCAGCGGTGTAAGGAGAAAAATGACTTGGTCGCTCTCATTGAGTGTGTCCTTGACACCCGCAATGAGGTCGTCAAAAACTTCAATCACCTTACGAGCCATGGACATTGAAGCATAAAAGGTCATGGTGAACCACACGTTGTACAAGCCGAGCTTCCCCTGCAGCTGTGTCACAAGACCTGAAATCGGAGTGTGAGAGCGAGTGTCGACGATGGGGGTCAGATCTTCCAGTCCGACGAAAGAGGTGGAGTTTTCGACTCCATCAACGTTTGCCAGTACGAAGGCTACAGATGGACCAGTGGCGGGACTCCAAGTCAGGGAAACAAAGCCGTGCTCCGCAGGAACTTGCTCGTTTCTTTGGACCATCGTGGTAAACTTCTCGAGAACAGGCTCAGCTTGGTTGTAAGGGAACGCTACGATTCCACCATAGGCGTTTTGAGAAGGGAAAGCCTGAAGGTCAAACCTAGTCACAAGACCGAGGTTGTTCAAACCGCCCTTGAGCGATCGCCATAAATCATGGTGGCTTGTCGAAGTGGCTGTTACAACTGTTCCGTTGGCAAGAACAACCTGTTTTAGTCTTGTCAGCAGCTTCGTTCTTCATCTTCTTTGATACATGGAACTGACTTCGTAACTGACAACATTGTCGCATGCAAGACCATGTTTTCCGGACTGCCAAGCAAATCCTGTCATGCATTAGCCATGCTTTTATCAAGGCACCGAACGTTCATCGACCTACCACCCCCGAGCAGGAAACCACCAACACCAACATGGCCTTCGCGACCACCAGTGACCATGACACCTAATTTCTCAAGCTCAGTGTACACATTGCCCCATCTTGCTCCTGAGCCAATTGAAGCGATGCCATGGCCCTTCTACGACTCGTTAGTCATCATGCTTCATGAATCGGAGCCTACGTCGGAGCTGTGAGCTCTTCCCGCGGACTATCTCACCTCAGTGCCAGCATCCTCGCTATAAGTCACAGTATTCAGCCTCTCCAAGTCGATAGTCACACCATTTTGAGCGTTGTTGTTCGGTGCAGGAGAATGGCCACCACTTCGAATGGCCACAGTCCAACAGTTGCCGCCCTCGGCACTGAGTGCCTTGAGTCCGGCAGAAACCTGCTCAGTAGTTTCCGGCTTGAAAATGCATCGAGGAGTAACTCTCTGGATGGCCCCGTCGTAGTATGAGTTGAGGGTACTTGCGTACTCGCTGTCGTCTGCGAAGTATAGCTGCGCTGCTAGGCCGGCCTGGGTAAGAGCGGCACACTTGGAGCTGTCAGCAAACCTGGTCATGGACAGCTTTTCTTTTACTATGAAATGGGGGTCCTTACCCCTCGGCCCAGGGTTACGTTGGTCTGTCGAATACCCACTTGGGGATTTGCAGAGGCAAGCCCAGAAAGGGCGACCACTGCGAGGGTGGCTGAACAGAAGAAATGAGAAGCCATGTCGAGCTGCGGTCGCATTCGTAACACAGCCGTACGTCGAAACCTTCAAATCCCGTGGAATTAAGGGGTCGCCGATTTTCTTTTGAAAAGATCTTGGGGTTTACCGCGGCTCTTATGATCCGGAGCACAAGATCGAGAGCGAAATAAGGCATGGCCCACACACTTTCGCTTGGGTGTCCTGGAAATCATTGTGTGGCCGCTAACCGATCCACGGGGGGCCAAGTCGCCGGTGTGGTCCCCAGTCAATGACTGTAAACATCTATTGGTAAGGCTCATCGACCTTCTGCCGTATTCATGTGGGCACAGCTGCGCAGCATGAAATCCATGTTAATGGCGGAATGCTGATAGGTGGGTATTGCAGCCGGTCAGTCAAAGGAACGAGCTTCGCCGATATCTATTTGATTACTGCATATGCGGCCGTATGCAAGGGCAGCCAACGCGCATTATTTTTCTCTGCTGCCACAACGTCGTTGCCATGTCGCCCTACGGGGTGAAATGGTAAACCGGCCTCGGCTCTCTCTGAACAATGAAATGTCGAACGATTCTCATGAGTCGTTCCTGTGGATTGATGGATCCTTTACGGGACTTGTTGGTTCTGCCCATGTGGCATAATTGGTTCCTACCTGCCTTGCTGCCCACCTCCGGTGCCTCCGAGCGTAGGGATAGGCCTCCTATGATCAAGCTAACCGGGATAAGACCGGGGTTCGGACCCATCTGGAGGAGATAATGAGGGGCCGACCCAAGATCCATCGCCCTCGGTTGCGCACGGCCGAAAGCGGATGATGCCGACCAAGTGGGTTGCTGGAGGTGGAAGCTTTTACCCTAAATGTGTATGGATTCCGTTGTGTACTCGGTAGATTCGGTTCGAAAAGTGAGATGGATCAATGGAGGAAGTCAACGAAGGGCTATCATTTGATCCCATTTCATAGATGGTTTCTTCAGGATCTGATTTTCCGATAAATGACTAAGAGTGTAGCCCAAAAATTGTGAGAGTTTGTTTATCTTTCGCTGCCCTGCTAAAATGAGTGTCAAACGTTGATTGAAAGGGCAGTCAAAACAAGAAAGTAAAAGGCACAGCACATTATGCAGTATGCGTCTGCCCTAGTACTACGTAATAAAGCCCGCCGCGCGCATACGCAGGATCGTGGGTCCGGTTGCGCCAGGGTCCATGTGAAAACTTCAGTCCTGCCTGCTGCTAAACTTTGCTCAGGACGGAATTTCTCTGTTGTACTCGGTATGGGGGTGCAATCGTGGGACGTAAGCTGTCCACACACATAACCAGGTTCAAATTGTACGGCCCCGCAACCTCATCAACTGCAGAAACTTACTGGACTAGCTTTCGGAGCCGAAAGTAGGAAAAAAGAAAGCGGAATATAATTTACCTCAAATTGACAGCTTGTGACAGGCCTTACGTAAAGTGCCAGACCTGCCAACGATGGAGAAGAGACGAAATGTCGTACGACATACAAATATGTTGTGCCTTTGCGTTTCCAGGGACTCGGGAATGCTTCGATTTTGACGAATTTCTGCGCCTCCCATCGTCACTTGTTCTGCCCACAGCTAACATCATGTCTGAAGGCGCGATCATGTATCCGATGCCCTCCGGGGACCCTTCGATAGCTACGTTGGTGTTATCGTCCATATGGACTATGGTCTTGGTAACGACGGTCTTCCTAGGGCTCCGTATCTACTGTCGAGCTGTACGGACGGCAAAGATGTGGTGGGATGACCATCTTCTAGTGATCAGCTGGGTTTTCCTGCTTATAGCAGTGAGTCTGCAGACGGTCATATATCGAAACGGTTATCTCGTCACCACTTTGTCAGGTCCGTTGATAATGCCGGTAAACCTTTCTGCCGACACGTTCACGAAGCTATCGTTAGCCTTTAGCAAAACTTCTTTCGCACTCACTCTATTACGGTTCACAGATGGCTGGGCCAAGTATGTCATCATCATAACGACGGTCATCATGAACGCGATGTGTATTGCCCACTCGATTCTGGTATGGAGGGCAAATTGTGGCGCTCCAGACCCACACACATTTGAGCCGTGCTGGTCTGCTACCAGCGGACTTTGGATGAATATGGTTGGCTCAAGTATGGATTGCATCATGCTATCGTTATTAACTGTATGGACTGACTTTATTGTGTAGTTATTTCCGCTATTACAGATTTTATCTTGGCCATGATACCGATCAAGGTTGTCTGGAGCTTACAGATGATCAAACGCGAGAAAGCCGGAGTGGCCATTGCCATGGGCATTGGTTGTCTGTCAGTGAAACCCCTGTTGCCCATCATACTGGAAGCACCACTAACCTTTGGATGGATACAGAGCTGGAACTGTGGCTATTGTGAAGTCAGTTGAGTCATACCACGCTGCGAGGGCTGTAGGAGTCGAGTGTAAGTTGCTGGCGTTCCTGTCTCATCTCCTTTTGTCCCTTTTGTTCTCAAGAATTACATACTAACAGTCTTGTCATCCAGTTTCTCGACGACTCGCAGTGCTTAGCATCTGGATCAATGCCGAACCGAACGCTACGATAATAGCCGCCTCTATCCCCGTGTTGCGCGTCTTGCTCCGGGACGCAAAGGCCTACTACGCAGGCAAATACCGCTCGGGTAGCCACTACATCAAATCTGACGGAGAATTCCATACCAACACCACTTCCAATGCTGTTGTAGTATTAGGAGATACGAATGACGGCGGCGATGAGACTACTCCGCAAAGCAACGAAAGGCACGCCGACAAACACGTCCTGGAGGATGGCGTGACAACCTTTGAGATGGGACATAGCTGGAAGGTGAACAGTGTTATCAATGATACAAAGGCTTCATCTTGATGGGATAGATACAACATAAGGCGGGGGAGTTATGATATTTATGATACCCATAGAGCAGGCTTATAAGAGAAGGAAGGGCAAAGTGGGCGTTATTGATTGTGCTGCCAGAAACATGTCGAGGCTAGCCCGAAGCAGTCTCGAATAGATAATACTTTCTTTTGTATTGCAATGCCCTGTCTTATGCATATACCGTAAGACCGTTTGTCCAGCACTGGGTTCCGCAGTACCAAACATTGTGGACGATTGCAATACCTCCCTCCAACTTCCCTAGACCTCCCGCAATTAGACGTGGCTCGTCAAAACTTCAAGGTGGATAGTCCAAAGTTCAAGATGCAAATAATAGCCCCTGTAAATGAACATTCCAATTCGTGGAAGTTGAACTTGGCTACCCTCAACCCACGTTCAATATTCACTGTCACAATACTGGACTTACCTAAGCCACATCCCACAACGCATAGACAACCTCGAACTGACTCCATCTCACACGAAGATCAGACGACACGGCCCCCCAACATCCGTATCCCGACACAAGCATTCAAATCAGACGGCACGAGTCAACATCAGACGATACTCACTCCCCCCTCCCCCTGCAACCATCCGCCTCCGCGAGCTCTCCAACTCTAGTCCCCTCCAAGCCACCACCCACAAAATTCCTGAACGAACATAACTAATGGTGAACAAAAGTCACAATCTCAGCATCGCAACACCAACAAAGTACAAATTAGCATCGTAAGTATCAAAGTCCACATAAGTTAACTCCGGCTAGACCCGAGAAACATCCCGTACGGATGAAACTCACCCCCTCCCCCCCCAACACGACCGTCCCGCCGGAACGCCCTACCGCTCCGACCAGGTCACCGCTGCCACAGTCAAGCTTCACAAGATATCCCAAAACGGCTCCCGTCGTAACGTTGCAAAGGACAAAAAGTGAGCGTGGTGCATTCATTACTTGCCGTCTGGTATAAAAGAACCATACGAAAGACGCTACACTTCCCCCCCCTTTGCTTTGCTATTACGACATCCAACCTCATAACCGCGCCCCCTCCCGTTCTCCCGTTTGTCGCGTTCAGACGTATCAATCTCCGACGTTTCTTAACATCTGGTATCTTGAACAAAAGAAATTAATGGACGCGAACCTCCTCATACAGTCATCTTTCGAACAGTAATCCTTCGAACAGTAATCCTTCGAACAGTCATCCTTCGAACAGTCATCCTTCGAACCCAAACACAACCCAAGTCTCGATACAGATCTCGCACACGCAACAATTAGGCCGTTTGTTTTCATGAAACCCGTCAACCCCGCGCAACCCCGTGAACAAAAGGAAAGTTTCGTAAAGTACTTAATCCGTATCAAAGAAGCTTCCCGTCCTCTTCAACATGCTCAAATCAACCAGACCCATCACCTTCCCATCCAATCCCCTGACGTAATCGTCGTAGAACCACCATACGCTGCAGACTGCCAGGCCGATGATGATTTGAGAGACTCCCAGCCCGACAACCGTCGACTTTAGCCCAGCCCACATGACGATGGCGTTGGGGATGGTCATGACGAAGATGCCAGCGAAAAGGTTGCGCCAGCAGGTCACACCGGCGTCCATATCGGCTACGTTGCGGAGACAGACGTTCATGTTGGAAGAGGTGAATTGCGTAGAGCGCCAGATGATCGGCCGAATCGCCATGTCGAGGACACTCGCACCCGCTGCAAGGAAGCCGAGAAGTAGAGATATGAGTGGGAACGACAGCTGAGTGCCGACCCCGTCGGTGGCGAACATGGCGGAAGGCACGTCGGCTACGTCGGACATGACGTGGAATGTCTTCAAGCCGAAGGCGAGGATGCCCGCCGCAGCTAGAACAGTGCCCCCAACCAGGGTGCAGACAATGTCGCAAGGAGAGCAATTCGGGCGCCGCCTGCGGTAGAATGCGAATCCCATGATGGTGAGTACAACCAGAATAAAGGGGGCTACCATCAACCCGCCCAAGGAGGAGGCGGGAAGCATCCACGGCATGGGGAAGAACAGCAGTGAAAGTGACTCGGTCAGGCCCCACAACGAGCAATACGGCAAGAATGTGACGACAAAGAGCACGATAGTCGTCGGCGCAGCAAATGCCCGGGGTGCCTGGAGGATCGTTCGCAGGTCCATCGTACCAGAGAAAGAGACGGGGCGCATCGTGCGGATGTAGGCTTTAGCATCCTCAATCGTCGGCTTGCTGAGCGGCTTCGGCGGCACAGACACCCACGGCGCCGAAGACCCAGGAGTCGGCGCAGGGCTGCCGCTGAACCACCGATCGAACGCAGTCTCGGGAGCGCCGAAGACGAGGAGTGGAATGGCGAGGATCTGGAAGACGTTGATGATGGCGAACTGGATCGTGAACTGGCCTGCGTTCTGCGAGGCGAGGCCGCCGAGGATCGGCGCACCCCAAGTCGTTGCGACGGAGAGGATATTGTAAACTGTGATCCGGGTGTTGCGCTCGTGTTCCTGAACGCCGTTAGCGCTAGTGAAGGGTTAGACTTGAGAGGACTCATACGAAATATGTATCCTGGATAGAGCCAAGGACAAGAGTGTCGAACGCGCCCCAACCCAGGCCTTGGAAAACGCGCGCTCCCATACACTGGCCGAAGCTGCCGCCTGCCGCCATATTCCATATCGCGCCGATGAAGATTAGAACCATCGACACCAGGTACACCGGCCTTTTACCCCAGATCTTGGATGCCATCAGACTGAAAAGTCCCGTGAATGACGAAATCACGAGCGGCACGGCGGTCAACGAGGCGACGGCTGTATATGAGACGTTGAACTGCACGGCTAGAACGCTGTTGACGCTGACACATGCTGTCTTCATTCCCCCAACCAAGCCGACCGTCATCAGAATCGCAAAGAAGTTCAGTTCCTTCTTCCACTGTGGCCAATTCTGGGTACGCTATCAATACTTGTCCTCACATATACTGCAGAGTAAACTCACCAGAGGATCATCAAGGTCATCAGTCGGTTGAGGGCTCAGCTCAGTCTGAGCGTGCTTTCCAGTCCCATACTTGATCTTCCGTTGACTCGTCGTCGTTGAGAAGGAAAGCCTCTTGGTCGAACTCGTCATCGGGCGGAGAACATTCTCCTTCGGCGGCGGCGGCGGCGGCGGTCCGGCGATTGACATCCTCGCAAGCGACACTCTATTACCCATATGCTCCGCGGCATGGCTCTCTTTTGGACGAGCCAAACCGCCGTCACCCTGATCCACGTCCTTCTCCATCATGTGTGCGTATATTATCGAGTTCGTTATGTCGTCCAAACGTATTTCTCAAACGGAGTCCAGCTCACGGCAACGGTAAAGACTGAACCAGCAGCAGTACAAGAACGAAAGAAAAAGAAAAAAAAGATAAGACAAGAAAGAAACAAAAATCCCAATCGGTGGAGTATGTTGAAGAAAGAACGAGCCAAAATGAGGGGCAAGAAGGAAATATGATCTTGAAAATTAGATATCAGACGACCAAGACCAACATGCTCTGGCCCTGCCGTCCTGCAGCTGGCATTGCATGATGAAAGATGGAAACTTCTGGTTGGCGTTCCGGTCAGTTTCGATGGAAAATCCTGTCAACTAGGGCTTGTTCGTTCCCACGGCTTTGAGCGACCCGATGCGACCTCACGGACCCGGGCATGAGAGGTTCCTGGGCGGGCAGGCATCATGCACGCGGCGTAGGCCAGGAGTTCGGTCCCTTCTCCGAGTCACCACTGGACGAGAGGGGTTTACAGGGGTGCCAGGCCTGTCAAACGGCCCCCATCCGTGTGCATGCTTGGACCGTCGGCGGCCTGGGTGGATAAGGGACTGAAACGTTCCTGATGCTGGGACTGTCTCTAGGGTATATTACCACTTGGCTGCCTTGGTCGGCGGAACTTGATATTGAAAGACCTTAATAAAGTAGGCTTAATATTGAAGAGGCTCAAAATTAGCGTCGTTGTGGCGACACTTTGAATCCCGCCGAACGGGCTTTGTGCACATACGATGGCTAGTGCTGCGGAACGATAATCTGACCAAGTGATAGGTATTCATGTGTAGATATACCTTGGCGAATGATACAAGGTTGACAGTGATAGGTAAGATTGCGATGCATTTAGTGATCTTCATCATCTGCTTTGGCAGGCAGGGAAAAAGCCGGCCACGCGTGTCCGACCACTGGATGCGGATCCATTACGCTTGGGTGCATATTTCTGCAGAAGCTGGCGACAAGAAGCACGTCGCTCACACGTCCCATGTTCACTTGTCATCCGTTGTGATGGAGTTGCCAATGTGGTCCCCTTACAATCTGTCTCTCCGACTCCTCCAGGATGGTGTCTCGTGGTTGTCGAAGCGTACTATCCGGAGCCCTTTTTTCTCTGGTTCTTCAACTTCAACTGTCGGTCTCGGTAAGTTGCGTCCCTTGGGGGGAAGAGCCCTGGTTGCAGGCCGTTTCGAAAAGCCCCCAAGAACCAGGGCCCCCTGCCAGTTCGCCAAACTGTCGCAATGGCCATCTTTAATGGCCAAGATGGCGGCGTTGCAATTAAAGATGGCGATGCACTGAGTTTGGTATGCGATTACTGTGTATTGTTCGCGGTTTCGCCTTACACGCAGGATCCTCTCGTCCGAGCAATGGCCTGGATTCGTCCAAAGACCCTTCTGGGCTAGCTGTAATAATAAAGTTGCCGTCAGCGAAGCTTCTATCGTCATCACATGCGTCTGTCATCGATTGGACAGGTTGCATTTCATTTTGACTGCCAACTGCTGAAATCCTCAACGAATGTACCGTATGCCGCGTCTACATTTGAGAGCTGTCTCTCCAGCGAGAAATTAGACTTGGCCTGTGACGTTGTCCCAGCGGCTTCAGTCTCGGCAGCTTCGGTTGATCAGGAGAGCGAGCCCCACAACGGCGATCATACATGGTGCCGTCAGATGTGTATGGAGCAGCCTTGAGGAATGATGAAGATGTTCATAGCGCATGCTTATTAGAATCAGTTCTAAAAAACCTTAGCGATCACGTCCCCAAGGTCGTGAAGATCTATATTGCATCCTGCATCCCATTGATCATTGCAGTTCCCCTTTCCCCAGGTCCCGAAGAGTATCTCCGTGGTGTAGCCCTTTCTAGGTCCCCCCCAAACGCCATCTTGAATATTCCATTGTAGTTGTGTATGGTGCATTTCTAGCCCGATCTTCGTCATAAATCCTTCCTCATTACTACTGGCGCATGATGATAATGCCAAAATGCTGAAACGATCGACCTGGCATTTCAAAGCATTGCATGGCAGGCCTGGCAGCGGCAACACCAATGAAATGCAACACGTTTCGTTAGGTAGCGGCCTCCAAAGTCTAGGCCACCTCTTTCGACAATCGCGCTTTATAACGTTCGCCTCTAGAGCTGGTTGTTGTGATTCAAAGTGTGTTAATTTTCCCCGAAAAGGACGTGTCATTACATGACAGCAACGGCGTGTGGGAAGTAAGGTCGCATGGCAGGCGCCATTAAGACCGTCTCGACCGCGTGGGCACTCTTGGTGTCGAGTTGCATGACGAAACCTACATTAGGTGAACAATTGTAAGTAAAATGACCAGGAAAGTGTCTGTGACGTAGTCGCGTATGCTTTTGAGGCTTAATCGGTTCTTCGTCATATAGATGGCCGCTACTCAGTGGTCAGACGGTGAGAATCGGTATAGCCCAAAAAAGGGTTGACCGGCCGCGGCCAGGGCGGGCCCGATGCAGGTCGCCCCCTGACCCTGCTCCAGAGACATTTCACTGCTGTTATCGAAACTTTTCTTTCAGCGTTTCGCCAGTGAAGCCTGCTGGCAGCATTGGCCGGCTGATAAGTGCTGTGTGTGTAGATAACGGCCGGTATCGGCCGGGCAGAGGGATACCCCTCAATAAGAAGTTATAATGATGGCTTTACCTGAATCGACAACCTCCTGCACCGCTGACTTCTCCATAGCCAGCAACACTTGGCTTGTGCGAACCAGCAACTCTGTTGGCATCGTCAGCTGCTTGCTGCGTGGGACGTGATAGTTCAAGACGCCAAACTCACCTTCGTATCGAAGAGAATATGTGACGGGCGGATCCTCATCCGTGAAGCGGGGGGCCGCCGTCCGCCCCGGGGTGATCGAAGTGACACTAAATCGTAGGCCTACGTTTTTGGTGGTGTCAGCCCACAAAATGGTGCTCTCGTCGCGCTGCTGCTCGCCGGCCGGTGCAACGGCGCACTTGACCGACATCCGCTGAAGCCAATGTCTCCAGACACGCACTACGCTGTTTTCAATATTGCTATGGCTAGCGAAGATGCCGGGACTTGGGCCCGTCTTAACCAAGCTGGTTGTTGTACAGAGCTGCGAAAACAGCTCGCCCTCATCCAGGCAGACTTCTTGGGTGACTGGCTGGTCGCCGACATCTTCTTGTGGAGCCGGGGCACCGGGCATGCGGCCGGAGTATATCCTCCGCATGCGCCGTGTCTCTTCCGAGACAACTGGAAGAAAGTGCGAGTACAGCTGAGAGAGGTCGCACAAATCCAAGTCCTCTTCACCGGCCCACGTGCGATTTAGGAAGTCGACTCCCATAAAGCGACATGAGATGGAAGGGGTTGATAACTTGGCACTCGGGTGATAGCTCTCCAGAATCATCTCGTGTCCTTCCAGCTTAGCCGTGTGTAGCAGACGGTGTTGCAGGATAGTGGTGGAGGTTGCATTGAAGCGGCGGTCGACGAGGGTCAAGGGGAGCAGCTCGCGGGATTCGAAGGTGGATAGGATCGCGATCAGGATCTAGAGTCCGATTAGAGGGCAATTTGGGTACAGAATGGATTGTAAGCCATACCTCGTTGGGTAACGAGTCTATCGGGGTTATGAGCCCAGACATGATATCCGTTTGTAAAGATGTAATAAAGGTAAAAGATATTGTATAGAAACAATGGCTCTTGTCGTTCAGGAAGGACCGAAATAGAACTCGGAAACCATATGAAGGACGGTCATATTTAAACCATTCCGCTCAGGTATTGAGGCTCGAAGCCACCGTCCAAAGAAGGAGGGCGTGCAGGGATACGAGGCAGACGTCAGGAACAATGGGTGATGCGATGGAGATGCCGAATGCAAGGTAGCCAATAGATTGGCTCCTACACACGGATGCGATGATGTGTCTGCTGTTTTGATTGAGTGGCACGACTAAGCTGACGCGAAGCTGGGTTTGCGGATAGAGGCTGGCAGAGGACAAGGTTGAAAGGAAGCAGGAGAGATGGGCAACTCAGTGATCGGTGGATGCGGTGACATGTCGGGCAGAAGTTGGATGATGCAGTACAAGGGATGCGCCCTGCAGGGTAGATAGTGAATAGCGCTGAGTGGACACCACCGGGCCGCTACGGAGACCAAACAAGGTGCTATTTCCAGCGCAATACCCGGCCGGCTACCATCCGACCGGTGTCGGTCACTCCTGCCCCTTGTCAATGATGGATGCAATCTTTTTCAGCAGGTACATACGTATAGCAAATAATAGGTGCTGACAGCGCATTGTGGCGCTCTCAGGGCTGTTGGGGAGGGTGCGTCTGAAGTAAGCTTTGCCTGGTTGTGGCTACCTGATCTTGCTGGGCACGCCGTACATAGTATAATCTTGTGCTCTCAGCTGCCAGAAGCAGTAGAAGCTGCACCAATCGGGATAAGCGTCTCGCTTCAGTGGCTAGCGTAACAAACCCGTGACAGCGGGCGACTTGCAGCGCTGCACCTCTTGTTTTTCGATTCTGCGAGCAACGGTCGCATAAGTCCAGCTTCATCCCCTCCATCTCCATCTATTGGACTAGAATCATCATCCTTTTCTCCAATCTAAACATCAGGCACCACCATTATCATCTCCAACGAGGATCTGATTTCCTTTCTTCTGTTTTCATCTGCTTTCATTTCTTGCCAACCAGCCAATTCAATGCGACTTCTTCCTCTCCAACAAGCCTCTACCCAGCACTGCTTCTCTGCATTGACCACTGTCTACCGGTTTTGTCCGACAAGGCCAAAAGTCTCGAGATAACATCATCATCACCCCATCCCGATCGTCTCACGAGTTGCGAGCCTCCCGAGTCAGAACCCACTTTCGTGGTCTGCCGAGCAAACAGGCGGTGGGAGCCTCAATCTCGGTATTCATCCAAGCACCACAACGATGTTGACCAGCATCCCTAACCCACCATCTCGCCGGTTTTTGTTTTCTCTCCGAGTTAAGAGCGAACCTGTCAACACCATCGCCCACCATCCCTGCAGGCTTGTTTCCCGCTCTAAAGCCTTCCCTGACTATTCCCTGTTGATCCGCCGAGATAACAAGCTCGTGGCGTGACCTTACCCTAGCTGCAGCGCCGCTATGGCGCGGAACCAGCCTGACCCAGCGTAACCTTGACGCTTTATGAGATTCGAGACCGCGGTACTTATATGCAGGATATTCCCCGATATGCATGCGTTTATCTCTCGTTATCATCGTACTATGTCTACGTCTGCGACTGAAAAACAAGAAAAAAGGGGGCCAAACAGAGAAGTTATTCTTATGAGCCAATCTCTATCGCCACACTTTGCACGCCCCTCATCATACCGAGCTCATTCTGTTAACATCCCTATCCTTGATCCGATCTCAACTCCATACCAGTAAACAAGGCGTGCATCATCGCACCAACAAAGTTCTAGCCTCTTCCTAAGCGGACACTACGGCAGGTCCCGGAATGGTGTACTCGCTGAACCCATTGCCCCAAATGTCAACCTGAATACCAGGATCTGACGCGCTGTATGCGCCAGGGATTTTGACGCCGGCCGGTGTCGTGCTGCCTCCGCCGGAGACTCGAATTTGCTGGAACAAACCCACATGCGTTAGCTTCCGAGAATGCCGTCTGAACCGACCGGGTGTGTGAGGCAAAGGAAACAACTTACATAGCACGTCATGTAAAACTGTGCTCCGCCCGGCTGCGAAGCCGCGTGTAGGGCGATAGCCTCAGCTCGGAGCAGGTAGTCTCCGGCCGCCAGACCTGCCGGGATCAAAACCTCAAACTTGCCGCAGTTCTCGTTGAGTACGTCGGTGCCCCACGTTTTGTCCGCCGCCGTGTACCCATATTGGCCGATCTTGAAGAAGTCTGACGACCCGTCCGCCGTTGTCGCGTCGGGCACTTTGCTCAAGTACACCATGACAGGACCGTAGTGGTTGCCGCCAATGGCTGGCCTGGAGCAGTCCCGTTCGCCAGGCTGCTCGTGCATTTCGACAGAGACGGTGCTGCCCGCTGTGAATACGAATTAGCAACTAGCAAGTACACCATGTCTGCAGCTTTCTTGCTGCGCTGCAACCTCTTCGATCTCGGTATTGTGGGTACTCACCTGGAACCTCGCAGATACCGGGGACGCCCGTGGCTCCGCCGACATTGCACCGCAGATCGTTAGACGAAACATCCGTGACGGGACTGTTGCTCGGCTGGACGATGGTTAGTAAGTATCTTGTGGATATCGTGGGTCGTCCTACAGGAAGTCTAGCGCAGCTACTGTCCTGATCCTGACTACCAACCCACAGCTGTTGGAAGGTCGCGTGACCGAGCACTGTGCTGGCCGCGCTTAAAAACACCAGCTTCGTAGAGGCTTTCATGTTCGCTGGTTGATAATTAAACTTATTGGCAAGTGGATGAAGCTGCAGAAATGTTGATGGCCCTAACGGAACTAGAACTATGGACGTACTGCTCCTATTTATTCCTCCTACATCTTTGAACGACCATAGTATCACCTCGGACGCTCTTCTTCCATCTACTAATTCGACTTCTTCATACTATCACAGCTCGCCATCAACTCTTTCTCCAGAAACCATTCTATCGTCCGTCAATCGATCGGCATCGGAAAGAGCATCCGGACAAAGTGGATCTCTTCCTTACTACCGATACCAAGACGCCGAAGGGAGCCGTGTGAAACGCATTTATCCAGCCACTCGGAGCCCGTCTTACTCTCGCTTAATGCCTGTGCCGTGTCTTGTTGTTTCCTCTTGATCACCACGTCAGTCGATCAATGCCTTTTTGCATCACGGAGGCTTCACTGCGTATGGGAACTTGGCAAGCCTAGATGTCTACGATTTGTTGGTGCAACGCGGCCTCGAGTTAATTCAAGGTCGGCCTAGCGTGATGTGTGTTCACGGCTTTTTCGGCTTCAAGATGCAAACTTGTCGATCTTTAATATGTGTGCCGTTTGCAATTTCAACTTCAGTGCTCCCTCCGACGTGTACCTTGCCTTGCGCTGTGGTAATAGGCGTTGATGGTATCTTGTTCATGCATTGCAACATTCGTCACATGATGTGTCCATGGGTGCCTGTGACGTAAAAAATACATTATTAAATATCCTATAGTAAGAATAACAAGCAGCTCTGGGCACCTTGTAGACTGTGAGATGACACCGCTTCCTACTTATCTTGAGGACGTTTTCCCTCGCGCCGCTAGATACGAGTTGGTCTGCATACCAACGGGTGCCAAAGGACCTGGCCAGAGCTGTTCAAGCTTAGGCTGGACTGTGTACAGCACTTAAGTTAATGATATCTCTGGAGTAAACCTCATGTCACGTCACCAGATGTTCAATCTTCTCGGGCACCTAGAGTGATGCGAGCCTTAGGGAAATCATCTCATGCAAAGTGTCCACTGTTAACGTCGTCTGAATGACTAACAATACCATTCTAAATTCAGTCAAAGTCCAACGCCGTTACTCGGTCTCATGTGATTAGACAGCGTACAGGGGTTGATGTACTGCGGATCACACACGGAACCACCAATTTCCACGTCGTTTCTGGAGATGGGTTTTGGAGAGTAACTGGGGCCAAGGGATGTAACATTCTTGCTGGAAATGGAAGTCAAACGGGGAACCATGGCCGCAGATCCAAGGTAAGCAGGGTACGCTTTATTGTGTCTCATTTTACAGTTGCACCCTCGAAGACTACAAAATACGGCGAACCATGTTTGCCCTTTAATTACAGAATATCAAGCATAGCAAACGTTTCCGCTTGTATCTGCTGCACACAGAATACTGTTCACCTCATGTTAAAGAAGTCCCGACACATGCTCATGCAGATACGAGTACCGGAGTAAATCTCGCCCCTTCCAGATGAAAATAAGCCGACTTCCAAAGCACCGAAGCTGAAAAGACCATGGTTCTATTTTACTTTTATTTCTTTTGCACGCCCACGAAGACGTTCATATCTACTGCTTGCCAAGCTCCTCAGAGCGGTCCGTCGCCGCCTTGACAGCGCCGTCCACAATCTCCTTCAGGCCAGCCTTCTCGAAGCTCACAAGAGCGGCATGCGTCGTGCCGTTGGGGCTGGTGACGTTCTTGCGCAGCTGCGAGGGCTCCTCAGATGACTCGACGAGCATCTTGCCGGCACCGAAGCAGGTCTGCTTCGCCAGGCGGGTGGCCTGCTCCTCTGAAAGGCCGAGCTTCGTGGCGCTAGCAATGAGGTGCTCCACGAAAGCGAAGAAGTAAGCAGGGCCGGATCCTGATAGGTACAGTCAGCGGCGCTTATTTCATCATCATCATCATCCGTGCAAGGGAGGGTCACTTACCAGACAGTCCAGTGACGACGTCCAACAGCTCCTCCTTGTCGACCCACTCGGTGGCCTTGCTCACGCTGCCCAACAGCGCCGTGGTCAGTTTCCTCTCATCCTCGGTCACGTCCTCGCTGGCGTAGATGCCGGAGGCGCCCTCTCCCACCAGCGCAGGGGTGTTGGGCATGACGCGGACGATGTAGGGCGCGCTGCCGCCGCTCTGCTTGAACCACTCGGCGATGCTGGCGACCTTGTTGCCGGCCGTGATGGAGATGACGAGGGGCAGCTTCTGCGATCCCTTCCACCCGGCTCCGAGCTCCTCGCACACGGTCTTGCAGACCTGCGGCTTGATGGCGAGGATGACGATATCGGCATCCTTGGACGCCTCGAGGTTGGACGTCGTCGTGCGCACGCCCTGCGCAGCCATCTTCTCGCGGTTGACCTCCCACGGCTCAGACACATAGATGTTCTGCTTGGGAATGTCCTTGGCGAGGAGACCGCCGATGATGGCGGCGGCCATGTTGCCGCCGCCAATGAAGGAGATCTTGGCTTGCTGGAGACTGGGAGTCATGTTGGGCGGGTTATCTGGGGGCGGGGGGGTGTTATTTTGGTGGTTCGTAGACGTCGTTGTGAGAATTGGGGCTTTTGAGATTGGGAACGTGGGGTGAATCATTCAGATCGAGAGGACCCGATAACGGTCCCGCATCGGAATACCCCTCCGACGATGACTCAGCAGAAAATAAAGTCGACTCCGGTTTATCTGGAGATGTGGATTGGACAATTGGAGAGTGGAGACTGGAATGACGCTGCGGTTGCCCCAGAGTTTGGCCCGGGGCAGCGAGTGCTGTGAGAAACAAAGCTTTCCTGAAAGCGTTAATAAGAACTCTAAAGCTGCCCTATCGGGACCAGCTTTCTAGGGAAAATGGCGCTTTGACTTCCCTCTTGTGGCTGTGGTGCTAAATGCTTAATGTGGCAGTTGTGGCTGAGACTACACCGTCGAACTGGAGTGTACGAAGCTTTGGTTGAGGATGAACTCTGGGAAGCAATCTATTGCATCAAAATGAATAGAAGTCACCATCCTCATGCAGGTGAGAAAGATCTGTTTGAGGAGGTAGATAAATCTTTGAGAAGTTGATTACTACTGAATGATATAGATAACTCCTAATAGACTCTAGAGAAATTATAAGAAGATCTTCATCCCTAACCCTGCACTCTTAACTCGTAAACTTGCTGGATGCCTTTGGTGTTTATTAGAGGTCATCATCTGATAGGTCTCCTGGGAAGCATGCCCCGGCATAACAATCATCATACCGTTTTCCCTGGAGTATCCTAGCATCGTCAACAGTAATCCCTGGTATGAACGTCCCTGGAAACTTGAAAACAAATTTCACTGTGGGTATAAGCTCAGGCAACTCAGATTTTCTGATGGACTCTAATGATGGCACCCTAATTCTACGACCATCGAATTGGTTGTCCCAAATCTCCAAGGCCTTTACTTTCGAAATTGCCTCCTTAGCTCGAGAATAGCCGTTCTCATGCCACCACGTCACCCGGTCAAGCCTATCCTGAGGATCCCATGCAGGAATACCACGGTCAGCGTGAAAGTGAAGACTTAGTAATTCTTCAATGCGAAGAGTGTCAGTCAATTCTACAACTTCGACAAAATGAATATCGGATTCAGAAAAGTCTGCAACATCTGTCTGAGTACCGTGACCATCTGATGAGCCATGGCTTTCGATGGCATCGGGCAGATCGGCAATGTCCGAAACCAGGGCTGCGGGTTCTTGCGTAGATGGGTGACTTTTCCTGGGAGTTCCAAGGCTAATCGGCGTGATGATTTCAACGGTGTGAATGATAATTCCGATCTTTTGTAGAAGATGAATTTGAAAAGTGGCCGAAGAATAACGTATAAATTTCAGAAGGCCAAATCTGACGGACAGCTCAAGACATGCCAGATCGATGGTAAGTCTTTTGAAGATTGGCAGCTGTGGCGTGTAATGCACCTTTAAGCCACCGTAGCGTACAAGTTGCCATCCGACGCTAAGCGTATCACAGGAAGTGACCCATGCTACTCGCCTTTGCTGAAACCGCCTGTTGAAACCTGAAAGCCTACTATCGATTCCGTGGTCGAGGATCTGGTGCATATAGGGTCTGATGAGAGCCCATGCCTCGCGGCAAACTAGCGCCGGGGCTGGAATAGGCAAACGGCGATTCCAGCACACTCTTTCTTTCACATTATTGCTGACGTGGATTGTTCGGCTCGGAATGGACATCAACCATATCCGTCTGCGAATTTCTGGCGGAAGTTGTCCGAATTGGGGAAAAGACTGGACTTTTGTGATATTTGGTGTCTTCCAGTTGCTCTCTGCACCACTCAAGAGATCTGCTATGAATTTGGTATCGACGGAGTGGTTACCGCTGACAATTACGTTTCTAAGTAGCTCCTTTAAAACGACTCGAGGTTCGCGGCACGACAATCTTGGTGATTCGAGTTCCAAGTTAGGTGTTACGACCCGTAAACAAGGATAACAGCTGAAAGACCCACTTGGACGTCGATTGATTGATTGATTGATTTATTCCTACTCGGTTATGAAGCCGCTCTTATGCCAGCAGCTATGCCCGGAAAGCGGGGTTTGGCAGGTAGCCGAAGCGTCGACAATGAACAGCGACGCCCCACTTCGCCCTGATGTTGCATCAGGGCCAGCTATCCCCAAGCTCCCCACTATGTTCTCTATTCTGTGTGTTTGTGCCCTCTGTTGAAGAAGTGTGTTGCTCTCCTGTCTGCTTTCTCGCTTTTGTGTTGCTCTCTAGAATGCTTGTTTTGCGTCCTCCTGCTTCGGTTCAGTTGGTGCTGGTAGCACCGTATCTGGTTCTTTGTACCTACAGTCTCCCCCCAGCGCTCAGCTTTGTCTCTTTGTTTTGTCCGTATCCTCCCGGACTTGTATGTGCCGTTTTCTCAGTTGCATCTGTAAATTCTTTGTTGCCTCCTGCCGGGTTCCTATGTGGCCTCTTGTTTCTTGCCTGTTGACCACTATTGCCCTCCACCACATTGGCCCAAGGGTCTTCCACGAAGCACAATGCTCCACTGACTCCGACATGTTCGATTACTGGGTATGAGAGCTCCCGCACAGATTCCGCAGACATTGTCGCGCGTTGAAGGGACACCAATCCTTCTTCGCAAAAGGGGCGACAGGGGACCAGTCTGTCTGTGGTCTGTAGTATTGTGTGGCATCGATCGTAGCATGCCTAATGCCTGGTGCTTTCTCCGTGCGGAAGGTGATACTGTTCTGTCGGACTCATCTTCGTCGTTGTGGGACGTTGCAAACTTTGTCGGGGGTGACAGGTGACCCAAAACCTGTCGGCGGCTGTTGTGTTGAAGTTGATTGTTTGGGCGCAGTCTTAGTGCTTCGTGTAGCGGCTTGTGGCTCGCCTGTGGTGGTGGTAACAGTGTTGTCTATTGATATGTCGTATTTTGCGGCTTGCTCTCAAGTTTTTCATTGTAGTCGGGGCGTGCTCTGCGGCCATCTTGGGCCCCTTTGGGACGTAGAATCAAGGCCGAGGATGGCATTGCATCGAAGGGGGCTCTGTGGCCGCGAGCACGCGTATTTGGGGCCGTTTTTGCTCCGATTTTCAAAAATTTCGTTCTCGCTGTTGTTGATGTTTTTCGGGCGGCTGTAACAGGACATTTGTACTGCAGAATCACAGGAACAACAGGGATTCACTCGGAAACGGAAGAACTATGGTGCAAGTCACGTGACGATAAGATAAGAGATTAGATCCGTACGCCAAGAATACGGAGTCCGTCCTTGGCACATACGGGATCCGTATGAACGAGGAACGGACCCCGTCAGGATCAGGAACGGTAAAACAAACAAAGGGTACTGTTCGGACTTGTATATAGTATGACCTGAGCTCGACTCATAGTCAGACTTCCATAGCTCTTCAGCAATCAACTTTGTATTCATCCTCAGGATACTTTCAGCTTACCTTCACTGCGAATACTTGTTGAGCCTAAGATTGATCACCTTAGCCTCTGACTACCGATCTACGACACAGCCTACGACCTACGAACCAGACTTACGACACGACAATACTGTTTACTAGCGTCAATCCCCAACTTCTGTTAGCAGACCCTACTGTCGGATAGCTGACCGTAACATTAGGGATTCCATCCATAATAGATTCAACACCGAGTGGTAATGGTCTAAGAAGTAGAGGAGAGGGCGGACTAGGTCGCATATAGGCAATATTAGTCGATTCGTTGTGATTGTCTGTTGAGGTAAATTCTTGTTATTAATACAGCGAGCTTCGATGTTGTTAACGACAAAGTAAAGTGAAATAATAACATGCGCTAGTTTCTTGATAAGAAAAACAAAAAAAGTATAAGATTATATATCTCTCAGCTATTCTTTGCTTTCCTTGGCGGAAATGGGAAATGGCTGCCTAAACTAAATGTGGACCTGGCGACCAATAAGCAACTGGTTTGACGAAATGACTATCCCCTTTTGATATAAACAATTGCTAGTTATGTAAAGGCGGATTAATTTCTTATCTGTGCTTGTAGTTAGCTTACAGATCCTTGTAAATCTTCAACAGTTACAAGGCCAATCACTGGCGCTCAACTAATTGTAAAGACATCATCATTTTAGGAACAGGACTCTCTTTGCTGGCCCCTGATTCTTAAACCCGGATAGTAGATCTACTCCCCTGGATGTGTCCTTTGGAAGTATAATAACATAGACAACGGCATCTGGAGCAATACTAAGACCGCCTAAGGTAGCTTAGGATCTGTTGCATATAACTAGGTAACGTAGGCTATAGCTTCTGCTTATACTATTGTTACGACCCGTTCGTTATGCCTAACAGAGGGTTAACGGACCCACTCAGGCCAGCGGCTGCGCCGTCAGATATATGCAGGACACACGGGAAACAATAGGTTACTACCGGAGTAGAAGAACTATCATACAGGTTACGTAACGATAAGGAAGTAAGTACTGATAAGGAATTAGTAAGCGCTTACGCTAAGGCAAGTAAGCGCTTACGATAAGCAGGGTAAGCGCTTACTAAAGCTACCTAGAATGCTTACTTCGGGACTTGTATATAGACTAGGACTTAAGTACTGCTTAAGGCCTTTAGATAGTTCTTTAGTAATCAACTTATAATTTATCCTCGATAACTTTTAGCTTAGCTTATAGTTTATAATATTACTATACCTTATTACCTAGTATAAGACTGATTACCTTACCCTAACCCTCGATCTACTAGTACGACATACCTATATACGACGCAAGACCTATTGTTAGTATCGTAGCCTCAACTTCTGTTAGCAGAAACCCTACTGTCACTAGCTGGCCGTAACAACTATATGATTTCTTCATCAGAGTTTACTTTCTATAAAGTTGAAAAACTGCCTGAGACTAAAGAAGGAAGGGTTGAGTCCGGCGGCTATTAATTTAGACTAATTAAATGCGTCGTTAAACAAGGTGGCTGAGACAGGTATGAAGATAAGCTGCGTCTCTTTTCCATCCTAAGACTTGATATTTTCTTAATTCTTGTGTAGTTGTCCGTTCTTAGTTGTAGCTCGGCTCGAAAGAATATGCACTCACCTTGACATGAGAGCGTAGCATCATGAAGATCAATACTATGGATGCCTTTCAGCGCACTCAGCACGCCTGCTATGACACGACTTTGGGAGATTTCGATAGCCATGCTTCACAAATGATCCGTTAGAAACTTAATAAACTATTCTGGTTTTATTGCAATGTATTCGAGCAGTCTTTGTTGCCTAGCTATAAGTTGGCGCGCAGGTAATATCGACATATAGTAGTCTGTTTTGGCCACAGCGAAATTTAAGGTTGACATAGCCCAGAATACATTCAGGTTGACAGGGCGCTGGATGTACGCTGAACGTCCACCTGAGAGTCGACCCTGGCACCAGCCAAAAAATATGATAGTCGAAAATGTCAGGCCTATTGAAGATATCTGGACGGCTATTCACCAGCCTACAGTGGACCATAAGGCGGTAAACCCCGACTGACTAGCGGCCCTTGTGGTTATTGCAGCTGTTGCTATGGCTTGTTCTGAAATATGATTAGTGTAAGCCAGTCTCCAGCTGCATATAAGCTGCTCCATCGCTTTAAGCCTTCCCGGCGAGGGCCTGCTCCTGTGTGAAATTGATATCAACATTTGTTCTCACGTTACACGAGGAGTCCCCTTAAAGTGTGATAACCATCGATTTCTACAATATAAAAATGGCTCTACATTGATAAACATAATGAATCCGTGAATGGATCGAGATATGCCTTGATAACGTATTATACATCGAGCTCTTGACCTATAATGTGGCCTGGGGTTGCATCTGTGCACTTAGCCGCCTTGGCCTGAAGGAGGATCACTCATCCGACAGCCGTAGCCTTAAAAGCAAAATTTCGTATCGATATTAGTCCCAAGCGCCGAGTGACGTTTCAGCTCAGCACCAATAATGCTGGAACAGCAAGAAGGGCGTGGCTGACGGCCGGCTATGAGTGTTGTTTGGCGCACCCACGTGACCTTCGTTTCAACGGCCGCCAGCAACCTCCTCCGACGGCTGAGTTTTACTTCCTACACATCTTCAGCCAGCTTCATCGTCAACTTTACTTTAGCATATTGTTGCTAAAGGATAAACCAGAGGTTCTACCAGCTAAGGCGGCAAAAGAGTAAGCTTGAAGAATCCACCGTTTTCAGAACTCGATGCATTACTCGGTGTCCAGCCCACAGAGAATGGCGAGCCGGACCTACTAGAGGTTTTTCCCTCAATTGTTGTTGGATGTGGAAGGGTTCTGCTCGTCTGAGCGGAATGACTTGGTCCACCGTCGAGCATCCTACAATTTAACCAATCACTTACTACTGCAAGCTCTGCAACTCGTTGCACCCCTATGAAACAGACGATTGGGGCGCAGCTGTTCAACATAGCCTATTAATGCCACAACTAGACGGGCGCTTGATCGGTCTCCTATTTGCAAGAAGTGGTATGAGCAGCCAGACGCGACGAGGGAGCGATGCCCAAGCGCTGTACCTGGGCCGGGACCTGGAGTGTTTTCCAGGGTTCCTGGCGCACGCCGATATTTCTTGATTTCGAAATACCTTCTCGTCCAGGTCCACAGGGTTCCTAATGCTCAACGCCACAGCAGAATGTATAGAAAAATCAGCCTTGCAGTTGTCTTTCTCATTTCCATTTGCCAGAAGTGCTATAGTTTGTTTACAAGCATCGTAGAAAAGCATTGACTGTGCTTGTCAGGATGGTGGTTTTATTCTCAGATGTGGCTTGGGAACAAGCTTTTCCGTGACTGCTTGGCATTTCCAGCGTCTAGTATATGGGGCTTGCGTTTTGATGCGGTTGGTCTGGACCTGGCCAGCCACGTGCACTGAGGCTTATCCTGTCGATTGCCAGAAGACAACAGGTACAGGGCATACGGGGTACTAGCAACTCATGCACTGGTAGTGCAATTTTGGTGAAATGACAAGTACTAATATGGTTAGCATTTGGAGAAACATGGGGTTTAAAAAGGGTCAGGTCTTACCTGTTGCCATCTGGCACTCGATACGATATCGGCATAGGATATGCTACTCCTGGTCCACCGCCCCCACGCACGGGCTAGGAAGAGTCAGGTACACGATTGCTGAGTCGGCGCCAGCAATAGAGCATTCAAAGGCCTTAATCCAACACTCTCAAGGTTCCAGATATCCAAATTAGCTTGTATGCTACGCGAAACATATGTTTACTGGAGTAGTGATAAGCATCTGTCGAGCCAAATCCTTCACTAAAATTGAACCCTGGCCGTACAGGTAGCAGGTCCTGATATAGCGACCTGTTCTCTGCTAAACACCGAGAGCTAGCATAATTGATATACCTTGACAAGAAATCGTACAGCAGATCTGTTCGCCCTCTTCCTTTTCTAGAGCGTATAGCTCTTGAATAGTACAGGTAGACCCGCAACTTCTAGATGACTACCTAGTCATGGCCCGCATAAAGTTAAGCAGTAAAGACCGCTGGTGGGCTATTTTGTTATGTCCTACCCCTGCAATTTGATGCGAAAGACGCCCATCGGCCGTTCCTACCTTCGGAAATCAAAACATGCCACCCTTGTACGTGCTCAGTGCCTCTCTTCTAGGATTGGTTGTCCATAGTTCAGACGTTGGCATTACGCTGACTTGGGAGAGACAATAGTGGCCTGGCACAACCATGGCTGTGCAACGGCCATTTCCAAGAAAAGATCGACGAGCCATTAAGCAACATTTCTGACTTCACGATGGCCGAGGATCCCGATCATTCACGATCATTCAAAGGCCAAAGCTCAAGAGAAGCTCGAAATATATGTGCCGCATACGTACAGAGACATGGCCGCCGCATTAGTTCCCCTCTCCGAAGTGCACCAGCAGTCCAGAAGCGGTGAGCAGTCTGTTGGCAAAAGCAAATAAGAAAAGACCTTACAGTCCGATTTCATCCTGTCGCAGCAAAAGCTGCTCTCGCGTGGCCTCGTCTAACCTTATAGCAACAGCTTCGTTATGCCAAAATTCGACCAAAATTTCTATAAAGACTTTTAAAAGACTAATATTTCGCAAGAAATTGGGCAATATTTAAGCAGGCTGGTCCCAAGCGAAGGCAGTAGGCATATTATCACAGGTATCGTAGATCACTACTCATAGGTGATACCTTGATGTAGGTATCACAAAGCCAAGGTCGACGTCAAACCACCACAGGGCTACGCAAAACTACTTGAGTCTTGTCAGAACAAACACGTCTATTGAGTCTATTTGCCTTTTAGTCGTCATGTCCCTCCTTCATTGACTTATTTGCAGACTCCAGTGTCAACGAGGCGAATACACTGGTCCGCAGTGTCGCAGCACCAGCCGCAGCCATGGCTTGCAGCGCCAGGGCCAGGGGTAGTGCACTTCGTCATGTCAGCATGTTTACGTACTTAGGGGAGCCAGGAGACTGCTTACGACAATGCCTCCTTTTCTCTCGGCACAGAAAAAGCAGCCGTCAGCCAAGACAGTGCTGGCGAGAGTGAAGAGAGTGAAGAACGTAGTAGTAACCTTCATTTTGGCTGGTGATTGAGGGAAGTTGTTTGATTGAAAGAGTGATGTCGTGATGCCTTCGAGGCGAAGTGCGCAGCCTCACCATCACGTGACCCACATATCGCCTGTGGGGATAATCCCGAAATGGAATGACCGGAATATCTTTATTCCGCTTCGCCCACAAAACATATTTAGGCACAATATCGTTCCATAGTGTAGTTAGGAGAAGACAAGCCACTCAATCTACTACTTTGAATACATGCCTACGTTCAGCACTTTGCTTCACCACAAGTGATGAATAAGGCCTTGTGGTATTGATGTGTTGAGGCTTGCAGCTTACAACAGGTTCACTCTACGGGGTTTGATGGCCTTTATATAGATTCACGACGTAGCAAATCGTGATATCTCGCTCAAACCTGCGGTGGAATTAGCTTTCAAGGAGTGATATTTTACATGGTTGCTGTATAGCATCGCTAGTAGGTAGCAACCATGCCGTCAATGCAACTACAGTCACTCAACTCTGGCGATGATCTTGACTGAGTAGGGGAAGACCACGCCCAATTTGATTATTGTCATTTGGCTAAGTGTGATTGATTGATTGTTGATTGACAGCGCTGATAGGTCAGTAACAAAGAAAACTCATGAGTCGGTAGTAACCGGGGAGTCATTGCCGGTTGTTCTAGATTAGAGGAACGCATGAGTCAGCGGTACGCGAAGCAGCACAAGGGTGACCCTAAGACAAGGCAGAAAAACTGTCAATGACAAGCTTCTCCAGTGGTTGGGGTAAAAAGTGGTTAAGCTAGTGTACCCCAGGGGAATTGGCCAAACTCTTACCGGGTTAAACTAAGTTACGATAACTATCTAGCGATTTCCACTGTAATCGATGATCGTAATTTACTACGCAGTGTACCATAGGAAGAAATTACTACAATTGTAAGGAATAGACGTGAAGATTCAGGGGGCATCCTTGCGTAGATACGAATATTCGGTTGGAGAAAGAAAAAAACTATCTTGAGGACGCTGTTTCTGGGGGTGATGGCGATGGCCATATTACGTGCGTATCATGTGATATGGCCTTGGGCGCAGTTAGTAAATTCTTTTGCTAGTCTTCCTTTGGGTAGGGTAGGCTATTAACATCGAACAACATTTTCCCAATTCTCAAATAAGCTTAGGCTCTATTACCCATCAAGACAATATTCATTTGAGCCCTTGAATGGGGCTCGACACATTGACGCCCATCTTTCCTGGAATGGGAAATCGCATTCGCATGGGCTTTCTTTTTGCAACGCATTTATAGTTCAAGCCCCTGAATGCTGTTTTGATTGAAATTTAAACCCAAGCATATCAAATGAAACAGTTGAGTTATATACAATCGTGAATAGAACATGGCCCCTACTACGATATATAGAGCATGAGGTGTTGCTGGTTTTCAAATCTTTGCGTTAGCGAAGTTTTGATTAGGAAACATGCTACATCAAACTGCGGCCCATTCACAGTTGATAGCACTAAAGTATTTGCCTGCATTCGGGGGAGACACGTGGAGGAAGAACGCGTCAGATACTCATTCGAAAGCACACACCGCCCTCCCAAGCTGCGGTCGTACCATCCTTACCGTGCTCCGGGCACTTTGAAACCGATCTCTCTCCTAGGAGTAATGCCGTTGAGGTACCTTTTCTAAAACCACGAATTACAGACATTTGATCGCGAGGTGATGCAATGGTCAGGGCAACCCATGCCAAGTTGCCTTGCGGCAAGGGGAGCGGTACTTGCAGGATATTTATCAGGCCGTATTTCTATCGCAATGCAATGGCTATCTGTGGGGAACTACTACTCAGCCGTCATTGTATTTTAGTACTTCACCAGTGTACTTATCAATACCGAGTTTGCCTTCTGACCTTTATGACTGTTGTATATCCGTCGGCGATTCAGAACTCGGTCAAAACTATCATATCTGCTGCTATGCCGCACAGAGTGAAGAGCTCAGGTAAAGGTTACAGGTTGACTGCCTTCATTTCCATCTCTAGTGACGTAGTCACTTCTGAGTTAGGAGTCCTTACTTATATGACTACATCACTGGTTCGGCAGTGGTGCTTGGATCGTTACCCCTCTCTCAACATAACATACCTAACATCTCCATTAAATGTTGATCCCCCAATATTCCTGTCAGCAGGGCCGTTTTCGCTTGTGGAAGAATGGAAATGCAAACGAGTCTTACCCTGTTCTCGGTGCTCGGGAAATGTGTTTTCAATTAGCGCTGATGTAAGAAATTGTCAAAGTTGATACAGCCAAAGCAGAGTTTGCAGTTCGCCTACGAGACATCATCAGTGCGTCAGAGCCCTACAGGAGCTAAAATCTTGTTTTTCCTAATTATCCATAATGTTATACTGACTTCAGACTAGGATTGTGACAAGGAGGTTTGCAAGTCTCCTTTTGAGCAACACAACCATGCAGTTTAGGCATCTACGAAGCTTTGCGACCGAAATGGTTTAAAGTGTTGTGAGCAGAATGGACATTCGCAAATTTCTGTTGTGATGCGCATACAATTGAGCTGAATGAGTATATGAAAAGCCTAACTGTAAAGCCCTTCACATTTTCTCTCACTAATGGTACGAAGCAATTAAGAACTGAATATCTGGACACATTGACAAGCCGCTTCATAATCTTTCCAAAGGATGTACGAACCTACTGTGCATCATCCCAGTCGTAACAGCCGGGTCACAAGTTTCACCATTATGGCAAGAGCCGTTCAGCGCAATCTGAAATAGGAACCTAGATAGAAGATTTGACGACTTTGGTAGCAAGTTATTGGTGGGAGGTTGTATAGAGTTACTATGAATGAATGACTAAGATAGCAGCGAATTTCTGTTACAGACTCCTGTCTCTGAGTATTCTAATGTGAAACCTCGTAAGCTATTGACTTCAGCATGCGGTCCTTCCTACAGCAGATATGGATACTTTCAAAAAATGAATTTAGTTTTTGTCCTCAATTCTTTGAGCCTGAGATTTAAGCAACCCATAAGACACCTATCTCATGTAGCTTGCCGAGTCCATAAAGAGGTAGGGATTGGTAAGTAGTAAGAAAGGATAGTCCTTAGAGACGGGTAGTTGAAAGAAATATATTACGTCTGCCGAGACGGAGTGGATAGAGGGGAATACTGCACAAACTTCCTTGGATTGGCAGCAAAAGGTTCGTCTCATAGAAAGTAATTGGAAATACTACTAGTCGACAAGCCCCATGCGGGAGGTGAACTCTGGTGTATCTGGATCATCCGTTAGTAGAATTTCACATTTCCCCTGGCAAGCATGTCTAGTACCATGAGAACCTCTTAGATCAACAGTCTAGGGTTGAGAGACAATCAGGCGTATGGGGTGAGGACATCCGTGAATTCACAACGGGCTCTATTTCAGGCTCTGCTAGCTCACGTTCATGATTTAGGGACAGAAACATGTACTTTCAAATCTGCTTTAACAGCCTTTCTACCCTATTACCAGAACGATGTCGAATAATGGCAATAAAAAGCAGCTCACGGTGCGAATTGACTTGGCTCTTCTTACGAATTAGGAGCTGTCTTTCATATGAAAGCGGTAGATGTGAAAAGTGGTGGTTACCGTGAATTTATGGATTAATTATGGAATCAAAAATATGATCGGAGCCTTTGCTATCCCCAATCTTTAGGAAACAGTGTCCAAACCACCCAAGTAACAGGGGTTAATATATCGAATCTACATTCCAGTTTGTATATAGACTGAGATTTCTATTAGTGTTTCCTGAAGCCACACGCTGTATAGTCTTCCTGTCTTAGGTATTACACCTAAGTCATAGATGAGGAATGTGTTAGGCACTAAACCTCACTTGCACTTGTCATAGCTGTTGGCGTTTCTCTAATGGACGTACGATGCGACAGAAATACAAAAACAGGAGGCCACTTGGGCTCAGTGACTGGTAATTTCCACTTAGCCATTAGCAGTCCAATATCCTTGCTTAGAGTGAGCATCGCAGCACGATGTAAAACGCTGCCAGTCCGATGTGCAACACTGATGAGTTCAAACGTTATTAGATGAGACATCTGAAAATTAACTGCTGCATAAAGTCCGTAGCGAACATAAAGCATCAACATCATCGAGCCTGATCAGGAGAACCCTACTGTTATTGAGCTGACTAAAATGATACCGCAACAGCCCAAGTGCAATGACAAGTAGAAGAATAAGAACAGCAATAAGAAAGACACGATGATTTTGGATGTACTAATGAGATTAGTTCCGTTAGAGAATCCCTTGCTTTTCCGAGTAAGTCTTTTCCGTGCATTGCTTAATAATGTTTAGAGCCTACTGGACTTAATGACTCCACTTCAACCCAAGTGGCGCACAAGGAAGGCGTGATTACAAGTTCCGCTTTACTCCAGCTACACTGACCGATACGAAGCTAAAGAATGCAATTGAAATTGAATGCTTCGAGCTGGGCAATTCAACTATTTACAACCTCCTTAGTAACCTAAATCACGGGACAACAGCTGTATAGACAAAGGATTTCTTCTGGTACTCTGTCTGATTTTAGAACACAAACGTAATCTAGCATGGCTGTGGAGTACCATTTGGGATATCGGCGAAGGTTCTCATTTGTTATAGAAAGCGTCTTCTCAAGAAATGAGGGAGTGAAAGCATTGAACGCCGCTAGAAAAGCCAGTACCGCCAGTCACAAAAGTAGAGCCCCGCCTGCTGTGCAAGATTGAGTTGTGTATTCCGCTGTTTAAGGCAAGTTGTACCCGTTGTCCCCTCGACTGGCGCACTAGAGAGCAATAGTGTCAGCTTGGGAGTAAGCCGCACCCCTTGTTTACTAAGTCAGTGTGAAAATATCAAGTCCATAAACAGAGAATGTATCATGCCACAAACACAAAGAAGCAAGAGTGACTGGATACTTCATCAGGGTATGATACAGCTTTTTAAGAGACAACATAAACATGCACACACACGGCTCAAACAATTACAAAGGTTGTTGACTTGCAAACGATTTTTTTTTTTTGGGTGTTTGAAGGAATCTTTGTTGTAGACCACAGAGGAGACTTAAAAAAAAATTTTTATGTTTCGTAGTTGAGAGCGTTAAAAGGATAATGGCATCGTTTCTCTAGAGAGTAAAGAAGGTTTATGTCCACGTCCTCAGTGTTACCTTGCTTGAAGTTTAATATACAACAGACATCTTTCTTACTGTTTAGCTCGGGCGGTGATGCCGTCTTGTGGGGCTGAGCGTCTGGTGTCCTGAGTGCCGGTAACCGTTCAAATTAAAGCATAGTTAACAGGGGTTTGAGGTATGGCAAAAGATCACCTAGTCTATTTACAACCTATCTAAAGGAGTGTAACGACTTTTCTGTCAATAAAAACGAATTAAGGAATGATCTTGGTCAGTATCGCGGTGTCACCTAGCCCGAACTTTAGATGAATACATCATATGTATATTGTAATCAATAATCGTTCTTGAAATGATATTTCCACATTCTCCGGCCGTTGTAAAACATGAGTCATTCTATGCGACGGGCTGTCTCCATCTGGGACAATCGGCACGACTGCCACACTTAGCATTTGAAGTTGCTGCCGTGTACCCGAGTCAACACTCGAAGACATGGGACACCATCTCGATCCAAATATCGAGTTGTCATGATCCACAACTGTTAGCCTGCCTCATTTAGTAAAGTCTTTGTGTCTGATTAAATAATGTCAACAGATTAGAAGAAATAATGCCCTAGATAAACCCAAATACTCATATATCTGATACACAAGTACTTAATGACATGGGATTGACAATCACTCCATCTCGGCTCACACATATACAGGCGCTTGTCAATCTCAATCATGTCTGAATTATCTAGAGGCCACACCGCAGAACGCCTCAGGTCCTTTCAACCAGGCTCGCAGTTGCAATCCTCGTCCGCTTTCCGTACATCCACACTGGAACTGTGAGCATGGAGAAGATTCCCATCAACATACCAAATATGCCAAATGGCTCTGCGGCACCCTTTTCTTCGACCCAATGCGATACAAAAAATGTCCAGGCAAATGCGATTATGGCACGCATGATAGTCACAACCACAAAGCAGTCTCCTGAAAGACGACCGTACGAGTCGATGAGCTGTAATACGATATGTGTTAGTTGCTGGAAAACGGTAAGAGGCATCGCAGGGACTTACATAGTTGAATCCGACCGAGGGCACCTGCATGAGTCCAAAAGCAACCATGGCAAACCCAACACACAGGCCAACCCAGCCGTTTGGCGAAGGATACTGAGCGACGAACCCAAACGTGAAAAATCCACCCGTGGCGATAGCAAGCGCAGGGAACATTGTTGGGAGTCTGTTCTCAGGCTCTGCCAGGCCCCCCTGTGTTTTCACAGCCTTTTTCAGCCGGGCGTCGGAGAGAAGGTATGTGTACAATGCACCAAGGATTGTGCCAATGACACCTCCCATATTAATGAGGCCTACGTTGGCGCCCCATGAGTAAGGTGGCATGGCCACCAGCTGAGGCCCGATCGTGGAAATGGTGACGATACCACCGACGAGACCGGCGTAGTGGAACATGACAACCCAGGTTCCGGGGAGAGCAACTGTTCGCCATGGCGCAATGAAATTGCGAGCCACACCGCCGCGATAGTGAGTAAAGCCAAGAGATCTGCCGAACGTGTAGGGCCTGTGATTCGCGTCTTGACTCCCAACATCCTCGACGTAGCTTTCCATCCCTTTTTCATCGACGTTGTTGATGACGGCCGGATCAACAGGTGCCAAAGTACGTTCGTATAAGGTCTCGGGGACGAAGAAGAGGACCCCGACAAAACACACCGCAGAGATGGCAACGCCAACCCAGAAGATGTAGGCCCAGCCAAGCTGATACCCAATGTAGCCACCAGCAATACCACCAATGAGTGGACCACCAGCAAGAAAGACAGTATAAATTGCCTTTGCAGTCACAGATTGTTAGTAAACGACGGAAACACCAGATCGCATTACTGAGTGAGCAAACTTACCATGGCCCTGCCACGCTCATCAACGAAGAAAACCTCGCCAATAAGAGCCGGAGCAACAGTCTCAGAAGCACCTCCACCTATAGCTTGGAAGATTCTGGCAACGAGGACAGAGTTGTACGAAGTCGCAACTGCGCACCATATGGTGCTAACAGTCATGAGAAGTGTAGCAACGAGCAGCACCGGCCTTCGACCAAAAATATTCGACAACGGAACCCACCAAATGTTTGAGGCGCCGAGAAACAATGTGCTGATCTGCAGCGTAACCGCCCATGAGCCTTTGAGCGCTTTTAAACTTGTGGTATCCCGGGTTACATACCGCAATGAAGTACGTCAAGTCGCTGAAAGGCCGAATTTGTGTCGGGAACGTTTTGAACCACAGCTGAAGTCCTGGCGCAATACTGGCACTCGTGAAGTTGCCTGCAAACGAGTAGAGGCTAACGGTCAAGAGAAGAGCGAACTTGCGCCATGATGGCCAGTTCAGAGGGTCGGCTGGATCTTTGGACGGCTGGGGAAATCGAATAAGGGAGGCTGATGATCTTCGGGACCCGCCCACGGATTCGTCTTCATCTAGCAGGCAAAGTCAACTTGCAAAACCTTGAAGCCTTAGATTTAAGATGAAGTTGCCAGAGTGAGTTTCCAATAGCCATCAAGGAGTGTGAAGGCTTCATGCTTAGAGGAAAACTGGACACGTCGTGACTCACAAATCAACTTCGCCGTCCCCGGAGGCGTGGCCTGCAGCACCTCATGCTTGCTTAACGAAAACGCATGTTTCCACCCAGACATCGCGTCGATATTGCTCAGTGCGATTTAACTGTTGGGCTGTGTTGAGAGAAGGGTTAGGTGAGAAACAAAGTCCGTTAAAAGGTTTCGGACCGAACAAACTGGTTGACTTTCAAACTTTCATACCTAAATACATTTTTTAAACAAGATAACAGCCCTCCAAGATAAATCACTAGACCAGACAAACTACTCTCTTAGTTCAAAACCCCAGAATCCCCAGGTGATCCACATGGGAGGTGTGCATGCAACCTTAATCCTCCAGCGGCCGCCGAAGTGGGGGACGAGGGGGTTCCGGAGGTGGGGGAGGCTGAAGCCGGCATGTCATGACGGCAAAGCTGCGTGGTTGTAACCGGCCAAAAACAATCTGGTATCATTTCAATGTCTCCAAAGAATATTAAAGATGTTACTAGACGATGAAGCATGTCAAATCTAAGGCTTGATGCTCATGTTGTGATGCGTAGATGCGAGCACGATGAAGCCGCCACCGGCTGGCTCCATCCATGAATCTCATTGAAACGCATCGGGGGGTAACAGAGATGGTATCGGACCACACCAAGAAAGAGAAGAAGTAATGTAGCGGATTGGCCAAGAAAGGAACTATTGATAAAGGTGCATCTGCCGCAAGGTGACGAAGACCAATAGTATGGCTGGGGAGGTTGGTGACGTCGGACCAATTTTCTAGGGCCGGCCCCGCTGGCGGAATAGCTGGAGGTGGGGTCCCGAGATCAACCTAATGTAGCCAAGGCAAGGACAACATCCTGTGGGAGAAGTAACTAACTGATGTGTAGATCAAGCTGGTTTCAAGGTATCAGGTGTTTCAAATGGGAAACTTTGAGAAATCACATACATGTTGGCAACATACAATAAATGCATCAATCCTAAACCATTTGCCAAGTTGCTAATGTCCACATTAACCAACAAGAAACCACCATCGCAGGCAGGTTATAAATTCCTTACCTTTGAATTTGAGCGGGGGAAACTTTACACTGAGAAAAATACATTCAGATTTTGGGTGGAACTTGATCATGGCTATATTTGGTAGAGACTAGCGTGTTACCCCGGATTTGCCGGTCCGAAGGGATGAAGTGAAGACTGGAGGAAGGTTTAAAACTAGTGGTAAGGTTATGCCTACTCGAGCACAGAAATCCAATCAGCTGGTTTTGAAATATCAAGAATCTTACTCCCTTCCTTGCGTCATGAACTTCACCTCAGCTGGACCCTATAACGCCGCCAAGCATCGTTGGCAGATCGCAAACATCACAGCCTCAAACTCCCATGCAAATGTATGCCAAGGATGCGGTTAGAGGCATGAAGGAAGACAGCGTCCAATCAATGCCTCCCGTGTTTGTAAAATCCATCACATCTGCCTCCACCTTTCCGGCATCTCGCTTAGTCGGACCCCGAAATAGCTTGGCAGGCAGGCAGGTTCATTTATTGCGTGCGCACCAAGGCCACTCGCGTGAAGGAATGTTGCTGCTGTCACATTCAGGCTGGTCGACGGCCCCACGATGAGTTGGCCACCTACTATTTGAAGAAGTGGCGGGGCCGATTGAGGCCAGATATCCATTTATTCGACAAGGGCTGGGCATCGAATTGCAACTGCCGAGTACATGAGGGCAACTTACCTACCTAACTCAGACACTATGCTGACGGTCTAACCGACACGAAGGCCAGAGCATAATAATCTTCTGAACTTGCAGCTTTTAAGTATCACAAGGTATCTCAATTTCTTCAGATTCAAGTAAATCGACGATGACAGGCCGTGCAATACAACAGTTCCTATCATCGGCTACGGGACCTTTGAGAGCAATCAAGGAGAGACCTAGAGAACTTTCCTACTTCAATAACCAGATGAAAACGGCGTGGGGCTTTTCAGGTTCGAGTCAAGTGCATAGGTAAGGCACTATGGTCAATGCAGATACATCACCCCGCATCTAAAGCAATATTTCTTATAAGAAAGAATACGGCTACAGCAATATTAGTCTGAGTTTAAGCCTACCTTGAGGTAGGTTGCTGGGAAAATCGTCTGCGAGTGTGTACGTTATCATCGAATCCGGGCTAGGCTGTATAGAGTACGGATTGTTCTTCGTTCAGAAATTACGCCAGGGCCGGAAGCACTAACCAGAATGTTCACAGATGAATCAAAGCTAAAAGTAACGAGAAGGGTTTTATTATTGTTCATGATGTCCTTTGCCTTCCTTGTCATAGTCCACATGACTTGCGTCAGCAATGTCGAATCCCCAGAAAGCCACAATCCTAACACCAAGAAGTTTACAGTGTATCTTTATCGAAATCCTACTGCTATTGCATTTGTTGAAACTGGCACAAACAATTTTCGTGATGAATCAAGTCCATTATCCGAGCCGAAAATAGCATGCCAGTGAGGACTGAAAATATCTTCGCCCTGCGGCGTCTCCAACCACAATACGTTTTTGATGTGAACGAGACTTTCATCCCAACTTTTCAACTCAAGAGAGGTAACTACCTCCAGTGCCGTTTCAACAAAAAAGTGGTATTGAGAAGTACCAGTTGCTGCAACCATCCCGATGGCGCAAAACCAGACATCGAGTGAACTAGATGGTTGAGGGGTTAAACTACGTTGTTTAAGTTGTTCCATGAATCTGGTGACCATGGCATTTAAAATGACTGCATGTGAGTAGTACGTTGGCCCGTGAATGGTGAACATGTATAGAATGATAGCATAGCGGATGCATTCAGTTATTGGTGATGTTGACGCAGTTGTTAAGTTTGGCGCTGAGAGTAAGAGTCGGTGTATCACGAAGCATGTCAGGTCGTGAAGCCGTGTTGTTGGAAAGGGTGTTCGCCGTGCCCTTTGAAAGACATTACGAAGACGGTAAAAGACATTTTCGACCGGATAGTCGACATTGAGGTCGGTAAGGTTGAACAAGTCATCATCAAGATGGTTGGCCTCCAGCTGCCATTCGGGGATGGGAGGTATGCCATGACCGACACCATCATCATCTTGTGTTTCGAATTGAGGATGACCTTTGACGATCATTGAAACCCTTAGAGGCATTTGAATGGCAATCTTTCATTTGGGAGAAGGTTACTTACCAGCTCACCATTCTGGCAGTTAGCGGACTAGTTTGTCTCACTGAGTTTATTCCACCTCTGAGATTTACAAGCCTTGTTGCTCCGTCTACATGCATTTGGCTAATCTTGACATTTCCTTTCCCAAACTACAAATAAGAGGATTCAGCTATACGTTCAAAAAGTCATGGCAAGCTCAACGGTCATCGGTGTGCCTGATTGAGAGACTTACTTCGATAGCTGCAAGGGTAATAACGGAATTCATAGTCCCGTCTTGTAAAGCTAGTGTTGTATTTTCAACCTTTCGTCTAAGTAGCGCCACCGAATCGGCCATGAGGATCTCGGATGCTTGGAAGCCCTTTTGAGCAAGTAACTCTTCATCTAGGCATGCTGTCTGTAATGAGACGTGAAACAAGGCAGGGTCGCCCAGAGCAAGCGGCCACCAAGAGACGAGGAACGGGTTTGAGCTTGCGTTCAAGTCGAGAGGGTAGTATTGGAAGGCGATCTTGTGTCGAACTGAACCAGTGAGCTAGGCCCCTAAGCAATAAAAATCACTGGGAAAACACCCGAAGAAAACGTACGTACAGCTATGGATAAGACGCTGAACATGCTCCCTAGGAAGTCTCGTCTGGGGATATGAATCGAAGGGGTCGAGCGATCCGAATCTGTAGCTGGTCAAAGCGCCAGATCCATGGTGATGCCTCGCAGAGTTGGTGTCATTCGACCCCGGAACAGCCGGCCGTGGCGGCGCCGGCGCCGTCAAGGGTTCGTTCACATATACGCACAGGATCTTGCGCTTGACGCAACGCGAACAGCGCGGTGTGCGTAGATCGCAACTGTGTTTTGATTTGGCACACGTATCACAGGACCGACGGAGAGTTTGACGCATTTTTGTGTGAAAATGATAAGGTATGACTTCGAAGTCAGAGTAAGCAAAGGAGAAAGTAAATGTGTACGGTGGAGATGGTCTGAGGATGAGCCAAAACCCCGTCGAAATTTTGTCCAAAAGAGGACTAGACTCCGCTGGGTGTGTCGGTTGTCGTGGCCGTCTGCACGACTTTCGGAGACTAATCCATAAACGGTAATCTGGCGTGTCCAGGTACGATCGTAACAAGCATTTGGGAGCTGATATCCACATACCCTTCTGTTGAAGGGAAAATGTGGCCTTTGATTGGCCAAGATCAAGCCAAAGAGATGAAATCCACACCACTGAATCGTCCTAATTGGTCACAACTTGGCCCGTGGATTTTGGATCTGTGAGATTGGGCATTGCAATGATCCGAATCGTCGTATCACCAACACCAGATTCACGGAATTGCGAGCTAACTAAGTCTCAGAGTGGTTAAGACTCCCCTTGGTCTGGAAGGTTGTGTGTCCGGGGTAAAGACCACTTTTTGGTGGTCCAACCAAATGCTGGCTTCTGCCAACCCGAGGACCATCTCATCTGGTATAAGAAAGACATGCAGTGCCCCATTTTCTCCTTCGACCAAGTAATCGTACGTCCACACGTTCCTAACTCCTCAATCATGTCTGCTGAGGTCGTCAGTAGCACCGCGGGTCTGTCCCAGTCAAACCAGACATGGAATCCGAGCCCTTCACAGTTGCAAAATGTCATTCCTGCATTCCTTACCGGCTGGTCAACATGGCAATACATCGTGACAATTCTGTTAGGAGCGGTGGTATATGACCAAGGTACTCACTCTATGAATTCACGTTGGAAAGATGATATCAAGCTGACACGAATTAGTCATGTACCTTAAGCGAAAAGGTTCCATTGCCGGCCCAACTTTCAAGATTCCCATCATGGGCCCATTCCTCCAGGCAATCTACCCAAAATTTGAAGCCTATCTTGCTCAGTGGGCGAGTGGACCACTAAGCTGTGTATCTGTTTTCCACAAGTATGTGCTTCCACACTATCTGAATAGCATATTGCAAAGCCACCCCCGCTTACCTGTTTTTTTGCAGGTTTGTTGTCCTCGCCTCTGATCGAGACCTTGCCCACAAAGTCTTTAAATCGCCCAAATACGCCGAACCATGCTTGGTTCCTGTCGCAAAAGACATAATCGGCCACAAAGCATGGGTCTTCCTTCAGGGAAAAGACCATGCGGAATACCGCCGAGGGTTGGCTCCTTTATTCACCAACAAGGCACTGGCTACCTATCTCCCGATCCAAGAAAAGGTTCTGGCAGATTACTTTGAGAAGTTTGTGGCTGCCAGCCAAGCCAATGGCGGGAAGCCGTTGGAATTCATGGCACTGTTCCGCGAAATCAACTGCGCCATTTCGTGCCGCACCTTCTTCGGCGACTATATTTCCCAAGACGCCGTTAAGAAGATTGCAGACGACTTCTACCTTGTCACTGCTGCTCTTGAATTGGTCAACATACCCTTGTCGATGTATGTTCCGTTTACCAAGGTGTGGTGGGGAAAGCGAGTAGCCGATGCCGTCCACGTTGAGTTTGCAAAGTCCGCCGCTGCTTGCAAGGCGAACATGGCAACTGGCGCAGAGCCCACTTGCATTGTGGACCACTGGGTACTGCACATGATGGAATCCAAAAGATATCGCGAGAGGCTTGCAGCGGGAGAAGCGAACGTGGAGAAGCCGCCCAACGTCATTCGCGAGTTTACAAACGAAGAGATCGGAGAGACACTCTTTACCTTCCTGTTTGCCTCCCAGGATGCTTCTAGCAGCGCTACGACTTGGATGTTCCAGATCCTCGCTCAGCGACCTGATGTTCTGGACCGCTTGAGAGAGGAGAACCTGGCCGCGCGAGGCGGCGACAGGAACAAGCCATTTGATCTTCCTATGTTGGAATCTCTGACCTATACCAATGCAGTCATCAAGGAGCTTTTGCGTCATAGGCCACCCGTCATCTTTGTCCCATACCTCGCAACCAAGGATTTTGCAGTCACCCCCAACTACACCGTACCCAAGGGCTCCATGATTATCCCTTCATGCTACCCAGCCCTTCATGACCCGGAGGTTTACCCGCACCCAGACGTCTTCGACCCTGACCGTTGGATTACTGGGGATGCTGAATCGAAAACCAAGAACTGGCTTGTCTTCGGATCAGGTGCCCACGACTGTCTCGCTAGGAGGTATGTCCCATTGTCTATGGCGGGAATGATTGGTAAAGCGGCACTTGAGATTGATTGGGAGCATCACGCTACGGAGAGGTCCGAAGAGATTAGGGTTTTTGCCACACTCTTCCCTATGGTAAGTATTTATCATGTGCTATGGCTTTCTCTACATTGTTGTGCTAACTCATTAATCATGTAGGATGAATGCCCGTTGGTATTTAGGAAACGCCCTTGAAGCGCAACATTTTGATGTCCGGGGTGGAGGTTAGGAAACAAACTAGGCGTTGTGTCGATTCTAGAGGTTAAGGATGATAAGAAAGTGTTAGAGTATTAATAGTAATATACAATGAACAAGCAACAAGGAAAAAAGTAAACTACAAAATCGATCGTTTCTTCTTGATAAATGGCAAAAGGACTTCCTATTGTTGCTGCCTTCTAGATCTGCAACTGTTGTCATCATCCCGGTTCATGCATCATAGAATCACCTTCAAGCCAGCCACTGATATAAATGGCCCTGTTTTAAGATGTAGTCCGCAGCGCTCAAAGAATTTCAACAGTCTTCATCACAACTTAAGGTTGAGACTGCTTGCATGTATATCAACCGTATCTGCATCTAGTCGTTCATCCAAAGAAGCCAGGGTACTGCAACTTTTAGAAGAGAAAGTGAGTAGGCCACAGAGACACATGTGTCAATAAAATTGCACCTGGATAGTCAATGAATTATGTGAACAAATGCATGAGATGATTTTGAAGCGCTCTCCGTGGCTGCTCGAGATTTTCCAGAGAAGGACAACTCCAATGACGACGCAGAATTAGCGCACAAAGCCAAGTTCTGCTTTTTGGTATTTAACCTATGTTGAGTACTGTTACTGGGGTATCAAGTTCGCCACGGGTCCTATTCCCTCTGTTGATGACATCATGTCCGGGTTAAACTGAGGGTCAAAGTTGAAGGAAGACATTCCATTGAGCATCATTTGCTCCCAAAAAACCTGTTCCATCGACAGATCTATCGGCCAAGACATGTTTTCATCCGAAACCGCACCTTCAGCGATATTGGTAGCTTGTTCCACCGGAAGCTCTTGCGGGACTGGTGCCACCTTGCTGATGTACCACTGTCGCATCCATCTTGCTCGATATGCGTAGTTTGACCATCTGGACGTATTGTCTTCGAACAAGCGTCGCTTCTGACCCTCAATCAGGGCAAAGTTATCGGCTTCTTCGAATCTCTCCATGACCCTACGTAGGTTTTCCGCATGATCTATCTTGCGTCGTGCGAGTGTCACATCCCAATCATGCGACCCATCTTCTAGCAGCAGGCGGGTGGCTGCCAATATGACAAAAGCCGTGTTAGAGACTAGGACAAAATTTAGGTATGCGTATGATTCAGCAGGTATAGTATTGAGAGCATCCATGGCATCCTGGATAGACTGCAGACAGGTCCACAACGCCTCAGCTCTGCTGTAAATCTCTGTGAGATGGTTTGTTTCCGATGGGGTTACTGCCCGCATTGCTATTGCCGGCTCGTAAACTCTCACAAGAAGAGTCAAGTATTGGGACCAAATGAAGGCTGCACAAACTTTTAGCTTCTCTGTAACCTACTCAATCTTGTGGCTGTCAAAACTTTGCTTACGATTTTGCTTATTTATAGCAATCTCCTCGGATGGAAGACTATCCATCTCCTTGCGTAAGGATGACAGAATCACACCATAGTGCTCCTTGAACAGAGGGATAGGATCTTCTTCTTCTCTTTCAAAGACTGGAAAGACCGCACGAAGGCGGTCAGCAACACGCTGCATGCGGATCAAGGCAAGTAAATTATCGTCAGTTGCAAGCTCTCTTGCTTCCCGGATACTTTTGCAACACTGTGCGATTTGTGTTGTGTAATGAATTTGAGGAGGTCTCCGCATTGACGAGCCCACACTAGAATGATTTTAGTCAGAAACATATGTAACTTAGACATTCCCAGTTGGAGAGCGTACCTAGATGCAACAAAATAGCCCCCGGCAATTGCCCTTTGCTCTTCTAGACTTGGCTTCGGTGGATCAAACTGCTTTCCTTTGGTTATGACAGTAAAGGCATCTGATCTCATGTTCTTCGGCATCCAGGATAAAGGTCCGACGAATTTGTTGAAGCTCATGTCGGAGACCAAGCCGATGACAAGCGACAACAGGCCATTGGCACTCATACCGGCCTGAATGTTAATGTCACCCCTAATATCAAGACGGTGTCAGCCAACAGAATTCATGGCTAAGAAAAGAGTGCCTTCTCTTAAGAAATGGTTTTTCTTTCTTTCTAAACTCACCATGCTTGACAGGCATAGTAAAGAAGTAGGCCTTGGAGATATTCCAGCTTTTTCTCTCTGTTGACAATGATGTGAATTGCCGCATGTTTGCGAATCCAATCATCAACTAGCTTCTGAACAACAGCACTTTGAGGCACTACACTTTGAATTATGCACCAAAAGAGAAATCTTTTCTCCCGGTGAACATCGATGGCAGTGGTTTTGAAGCTAATTGGTACAAATGGAAAATGAGGAACCATTCGAGTCCGGTAGATGTTGAGATATTCTTCGGCTTCTTGAATGCTAACAGAGAGCCCCGGGACTAACTGCAGGGAACCGGGCGATGGTCCACTGTCTGGGCTAGAGAAGGTGTTGCAATCCGGACTGGAGCTTGCAGAATTGGATTGCGAGTTTACTTCGTCATTCAAGGGCGGAAAATGAGCGCTGGCACACGAAAGGATTTGGCGTATGTGGTGCTCTTCGTTTCTGGATGCAGTTGTCTCTGGAGTCAAGGATGATGATTCGGGATGCTGGGGTTGCTGTTGTGATTGAAAAAGGTTGACCAAACCGTCAATCTTCTTTTCCAATTCCGTAACTCGGCTATAAAATTCATATTTAGCTCTGATACAAGGGACATTGCTGATAATAGTCCACCTATGATGATGACCTACCTGGATTTCCCTCTTTTTTTCCTGGGAACCTGCTCTGGCACCTGGCACCGGATACCTTGCCGTAAACACCTGAACCCCGTCAGTCTCTTGCTTCAATTCTCTTGCCTGTTTGAATAAACTGAAGAAGAGATGCGTGTTTACCTTGTGCATGTGGTTGCCTCATCATTCCTTGTGGCTGGTGGCCATCTACATCTGATCTTAAGCCGGGCGCAGGTGGAGCAAGCTCGGAGTTTCTTCGGGTTAGAAGCGAACCCCGACGTGCTTGTCTCGTCCTCTGGTAACATATTCAGGACCCAAAACCCGTGTATGAACGGACCGCGGAGACTTGGTCGTTATTTTCCCAGCCGACTGAAAACTGTGGGCAAAAAGTTGTGAATGCTGTGTCTATTGATAACCCAAGCATGCAAAAGCCGGGCGTCGGAGCACTTCTTAAGATCCGTAGGTTCGCCAACTGCGTAAATGGGGGCATTTGATTGGATAGCTAGCGAGCTGTAAGCACGGAATCGGACAGCATTTTATTTTCCGTTATCCGTCCTCCTACGTCAAGCCTACACATGGTCCCATTTTTACCTCCGGCTTACAATATCCGACTGAACCAATGTAAGCACTAAGAAAGACATTAGCCTCTACGCTCCGTGCCTACGAGTGTACTAGATCTTTTGTCAGCGTAGATAACGAGAATCCAGCGCCTATCATAACCGCAATGTGGATACAACTCCCTGAAGGCCATTTCTCCAGGCCTGCACATAGACTCGTCATTAATCACATCGGTTCACAACTTAGTCCCCGTATAGGCCGATGTGAAGAGGCAGACAATATCTTCAAGATGAGATATTACCTATACATAGACGGCTCTTTCTGTCTGGGCAAGGAACTCAAGATTGGACGCCATCAGCACTATTCAAATCTACATATCGAATCAAACAGGATAATTTAATTTTTTCGAACAATATCTTCCAGATTGCATCCTACCGAAACGATGTGCGTTTGTGGTTATAACAAGCAACTTGTCATGAAGAAAACTGCTGATGACATGAATCTATCTAGGCCATCAAACACTTTAACACCAGTAGGAAGCCACAGCTCGCAAATTCCAGAGAAGGAAGAGCCAGAACCGAGAATTCAGAGACAAGATGATGTCGTACAAGTTTATCCTAGCGGGCCAAGACTTGCAGCGATCACTATTGGCCTATTCCTGGCAATTTTCTGTTTGGGACTGGTAAGTTCGCCCCTCTTGCCAAAAGGTTTCCAGGGAGGCTTCTCTTGCTAAAATCTTGCCTTATTTGATTTGCAGGACAGGTCAATCTTGGCAACAGCGATTCCCAAGATTACGACCGAATTCAATTCACTATCTGATGTCTCGTGGTATGGCTCAGCGTATCTCTTCACGCAATGTTCCTTTCAGCTTTTCTTCGGCAAGATATACTCCGAATACAGCATCAAGTGGATCTTTCTCATCGCGCTTGCTATTTTCGAAGTGGGATCAGTCATTTGTGCTGCTGCTCCTAACTCTGCTGCCCTCATCATCGGTCGTGCGATTTCCGGAGTCGGAGCGGCCGGACTGATGTCTGGAGCATTGATTGTAAGATTTGATGTAATTATCCTCATGGAAGATGAATTGACAGAGGCCCAGATTGTAGCAAAAGCTGTCCCGCTTCATAAACGCCCTACGTATACTGCGACAGTTGGCGCTGCTGCTGGGGTTTCCCAGGTCATTGCGCCAACATTAGGCGGTGTTTTTGTCGACAAGGCAACATGGAGTATATATTTCCTCCAGATCAATCATAAGAAGCGGCACTGACTGAGATAATGCAGGGTGGTGCTTCTGGATCAATCTTCCTATGGGAGGAATAACCTTCGTCGCTGTCCTCTTGTTTCTCAACTTGAACGGTCCAGAACAGCAAAGCAAACAGACGTCCGGGTTCAAGAGTTTCTTCCGAAAGTTTGATCTCATGGGAACCCTGTTCCTGATACCATGGGTCATTTGTCTCTTACTTGCTCTGCAATGGGGTGGAACCGAGTATGCCTGGAGCAACTGGCGAATCATTCTATGCTGGTGTGTCTTCGGACTGTGTTTGCCGCTTTGGGCATTCATTCAGTATCGCAAAGGGGAGGAGGCTACAATCCCTCTCCGCATCATTATCCAGCGAACAATGTTTTGTGCGAGCTGGATGATACTTCTCTTGTTTTCCTTACTGTACATCAACATCTACTACATTCCGATTTGGCTACAAACCGTCAAGAACCACTCGGCCTTTCAGAGCGGTGTTGACCTCCTCGCATCATCGGCTTCCATGGTTGTCGCCACAATTGTGGCTGGAGCTCTTGTAAGTGCAAGCACTAACAATCTTTGAGAATAGGACCACTGTGTGTTGACATCTCATCAGACAAGTCGAATCGGTTATTATGTTCCGCAACTCATCGCGTCATCTATCCTTACCTCTGTGGCCGGTGGCTTGATCTTTTCTTTCACAGTCCACACTAGCACTGGTTTCTGGTATGGCTAGTTTCCACTCTTGTTTTATCTTTTATGCAATACTAAAAACTGCTTCAGGGTTGCCTCACTCATCCTAATGGGATTGGGTGTGGGATTGGGCGGTCAGCAATGCATCATAGCCGCACAAACAGTCTTTGAAGGGGGCGATATCGCCCTCGCCACGTCTGTCTTGATGTTCTTGCAGAGCCTTGGAGGAGCCGTGTTCTTGGCAGTTGCTCAGAATATTTTCAGCTCCCGACTTGTCTCTGAACTCCACCGTAACGTGCCCAACGTCAATCCGGCTGTGGTGATTGAGGCCGGGGCATCGGAATTGATAAGCTCGATGAGAAAAGTCTATCCAGAGTCGATAGATGGGATCATCGACGCCTATAACAAGTCCCTTCAGACCGTGTTTTTAATCGCCACCATCTTGGGGTGCCTGACCGTGTTCGGGGCCGTTTTCATCGAGTGGAAGAGCGTCAAGAAAGACTTGCCGGAGTCGGAAGAGAAACACCCGGCGGACGGAGAAGTGGAGAAATAAAGCATCGGATACTAGAACATAAGGGAGCAAGATCCTCGACAAGACCCCAGAGACTTAAGATCAGAATATGGGATGGGAATGGACACTTGTGGTAATAGATTCGTCGTCTCGACACGACTACGACATGTCAAAACTCCCGTCAACGTCGAACTGACGGCAGATTAAGCCCAAAACTCTGTTGACGTCAACGTCAAACTTGTCTCCCACGCGCGTGGGTAAAACATTCTGAGGGTTGCAAGGTCACCATGGTGTGCGTGTTCGTGATTGATCTGTGCCGATCTCCCGCTACCTTGGCTCTATCCCTATCGGCGTTCGGAAATACCCCATAGCAGCCGACGAGGTGAAGTCAGCGGGCGGCCAACGCTTTGTTGGCGTTCGAAACGACTCCACAACCGTTTCATCCGTACTTGTTTCTTCTTGTTAGTCTTGGAGAATCAAAAGGAGGCTGAAAGGCAGGAGTGGGACAGAATCGCTTGCGGTATTCCGTTGCAAAATTTGTCGTCCAATCTAGGCAAGCCTGGCACATCCAGACAGTTTTGTGACTGGCTACTTTCCCCTCCTCGTTAAAGGAGTAAGGTTAAACACCCACCCTCTTGTGTTATCTTCTGCCTAGGATTCTAATTTATAAGCAGAGCCATCTCGGTAGAGCGTGCCGCCGAAGAAACGAAACATGCCACGTTTGAGGTACTGGACAAGTCTCATTGGACAGCTCGGTCATCCCATCTCTCTGCTGCCCCAAGCTTCTGATACCACCCTTGCTGGCACCAGTGACTGGCCGTGAATAACACCACATCCGTCCCATTTCAATGGCATAGTCGGTCTCATGATCGAGAGGTGTATGCCCAGTGCGGAAGGTTACGAAGAAAGCTTCGCTAGACCTAGCTGGTATTGGCACGATGGTTTTTACCCCGAGTTCGACTCGGGTTTGAGGTTCTGCAATGCTGCAGAGGCGGCATATTAATATCACGTAGATTCCTCGACTCTCCCGTCCAGATCTTAGTTAGGGGCCACTAAATTTGTGCAGTCGAAGTAGCATTTCACTCTAATAATTATTCTCAAGCACACAGGTAACAGCCATCATCATGCGTTTCAATACCATCATCGTATACCTTTCGGCTTTGGCTGGAGTATCGTTGGCTGCTGCCATCGAAGGCAAGTCTAGAACAACCAGATTTTCAAATCACAACATTGTGCTGACCAACCTCTAGAACGCCAGGCACCACCAGCGCCAGCACCTCCAGGTGCCGCCCCTCCAACTCCTAAAGTTATTCCTGTAGTCGTTGGCAGTCCTACTCGCGAGAAATCGTTGTTATTCTACCCGGAAATTGTCAGGGCAAATCCCGGAGACATCGTCCAATTCCAGTTCTGGCCCAACAACCATACCGTTACTCAAGCAGCCAACCCCCAAGCGCCGTGCCAGCCCTTGCAGGATCAAGTGCCCACGGCAGTGCATAGTGGCTTTATCCCAGGCGTCACTGACGGCTCCCCTGTTGGCACCTTCAACGTACAAGTTGAAAACACTGAGCCGATGCTCATGTACTGCGCTCAAGGGATGCACTGCCAGCTCGGCATGGTTATGATTATCAACCCGTATGTCTAACCAAGCTTAAGCAGTCAAGAGGACTTTACTGACAACATTATAGTAAGGCGGATGCGGATGTGCAGGCATATAGACAGGCCGCCCAGGGGTCGCAGTCCAACGTTCCGGCGAAGAACATCGCCGGAGGTTCTCAAGGACGCATCCCTTCAAACCTCGCTGTCCCTCCAGTTGTTTAAGAGAGAAAGAAAGCATCTTCATGCATTTGTAGCGAAGATTTACTCAATACAATGTGAATTTGTCCACACACTGCGCCTGTCGGCACGTTTCATCGAGTCTACTCAGGATTTGCGGGAATATCGGGCATAATCGTTTAAGGAGGTGGCGATGGCAGTGCAGGGACGTGTGAATGGTGGATGCTTGGCGTTTTGGTTGGTTAGAAGTGAGGTCCAACCGTCGGTGACATCCGATCTCCCATACGTTTTGTATTTATTGAAAGGATTCTAAATACGGATTTCTGAATTTTGAAGCCATCCAACGTTACAGAACAATTTTTGACCGCCGAAAGTAAGACATAGAACCAGCTTCATGTGGAGCGTGAATCTGGATACCAAAATATAAAGAAAAGGGCTCTAGAGACAGCTGTTAATTTCAAGGCGCGTGCAGAACTGTTACAAACGGTACGGTTGGCATCTGTGCGTGTGGCTATGGTGCGGAACGGCGGATATGACATAATACATTTTTCAGGTCCGAAGCTTTTGCTTGGCGTCATAGTTGGCTTCCCTAACCTGGCCGTGACAAAATTTCCCAAAGAAAGAAGAAAAACAAACATTGCAGGCTTTAATAGTTCAGTGGCTCTCTCATATACAATAGCATCAATCTTATTAAAATCAGCTTAGGTGGCGGGAGGGCTCTACCAACAGAAGAAGCTAAGGCTGAGAGACTAATACAGACATAGTAAAGCCGTGTGAAGGGGATTAAAACAAAACTGCGCCTACAGATTGCTTCAGGGCATTTCTGATCAGAGGGGTTCCGGGCATTTCAAAAAGTTTATGTGTAGCTGCTCATGAGATAGGCCGCTTGATCAGAGACAGGGAAATCCTTAGAACCTTGAACGCTTTCGTCGTGTGCTGTAAACGTATTCGCCCTTTTGATGAGGATGGTTGGAGATCGTCTTTGTTATTGGTATAGCGAGGGATCGAAAGGTTATAGCTCTTAACAGGCCTTCTGAAAGCGGAACAACAAGTAACATGATAAAAGCTCGTATATTGGGCTCGTCTGCTACTTTGCTGCCGTGATCTAATGCTGGGAAAGTTACTTGTGATGCCCATGCGATAATATCACCATATTTTTACCCTCATCATACCCCTTCTTAGTGACAGAAGGGAAAGCGAAAATACACACAGCCACCCGGTGGTTTTTGGTAAGAATCCTTGAGGGGTTTTTATGGTATCACAGGGTACCCGTAAAGTGGGATAAACTTAAGGGGGAAAACTAGTCTTGTCTTGTGTCTAGTATGTCTATCTTATCTTCTGAAATAAGTTCTAGTAGAAGTGCTGGAGGAAGTGGCTGTTGGTCTTATAGCCGTCAGTCGGTCTGCCCGTCACGTAGGCAGCCCGGGTGCCAACAGGACTGCCGGTGACGGAGCCACTTCAAGCCGGAGTTCCGGCTATTCCAACAGGTTTTAATCCTGTTGCATTACGACGAAGCGGGCTGCGCAAAATCATTTGGTACCTAGGCCGTTGAACGGAAGCACTATAACATCGTGCAGCAATTAGTTGATTGACAGCAAAGACCTGACGGTTGCTTTAGTATAACGGAAAAGATCCTTCACTTAAGCCTTTGGGGATTGACTTAAGACTGCGATGAGAATTTTCCTTGAACACGATTTTGTTTATCGAAGCCGTCTGGAACTGCATTATGGTGTTCAAGTCCGAAGGTGAACTGAGCCTGGTTTGGTAAATGCGAGAAGTGCGCCAACCAGGGCAGACCCCTTGCCTTAGAAGCGGACAATATCAGGACTCAATCTTATATCTTTCGCCCGGTGTGCCGTTTCACTCAGCCTAAGGTATTTCTTTTCTTGTACTACATACTATCTTGACATGAGGTGGTTACTGTGGCTAGTGGAGCTCTGATACAGCGGTGCCAATCCAGTGTATTGGCTGGTCGCGGGACGAAAGTTTTCGTTGCCGCTGTGGATGGAGTAACCAGGGCTGTAAACGAAATCACCACGCTACCGGGGGTGAGGCAGCTGCAGCCCTAGATTTTAAACAGGTAAGACATTATGGACTAAATCCACATATCCACCACAAAAGTAAAAGGAACTTTAAAGATTAACTTAACTGCCAAGCTGGGGATGGAAAGTATCTTAGACGGTTAGTGGCCGGTGTGGGGCCTTCAGTCTGGAAACACACTTTAAGAGAAAGCTTGATCGGTCCTGGCCTGAGAACAACACCCTGCCCTACTCTTTCAACCATGCCAGAGGGTGTTGGCCTTTTTCAACGCTGATCACACACAGGACAGCCGTCTTTGACCATTTCAGCTCAAACATGATATAGATCTAGAAGATACTTTCGGACAGTAGCACATGGTAGCTTTTTAAAGACCCACAGGCAAGGTCATTTGACGCCAGATGAAGATTCGACTTAGGATCCATATTTGATAGGACTAGTTTCTGAAACCAAGCACCAGGAAAAGGGAATTTGCAGGTCCTAAAAATAGGAATGGAGACCTAACTCCACTGCTTCCATAAGTTCACTTCGTAAACCCCCATGTACAATCATCTTAACCAACCACAAGACATTACATACATCTTGCGCGTCTACAAATCCCCACTAACCATTTTCCAGCCTAAGGTATTTGCAGCAAGGACCTTTTGTGCGTGGTGTTTTGACAAGGCATGCCTAGTATTCGTAGCAGAGACGCGAACTTGTTGTTGTCATCAAATCTCTAACGGTGGCATCCTCGGCAAGTCCGCCCATCAGCAGGGCGTCATCCAAGGAGGCTGCTACTCTCGTATCGCTGCCCTGGACAGCAGCTTGTCCGGTGTAGTCTGCCTGTCTCGCTGCGACATCGGACTGCTGCCATAACCACCAGAGGCGATCGATTTGAGCATGGTGTAAGAAGAAAACAGGATCTGTGCATAGAAGTGTGAGCTTTTAACTTATCACGTGTTCATTGAGCTTGTTCTTACCATTAGGAGATGTAGACGGGTTCATTTCTCCACCGATAGAAGAATGAATTATACCATGGGGACCACCTTCTAGAGAGCCGTGATAAGTGTCGAATGAGGAACTACTCTGCACCTGGTTGACGAATGTTGAATTATAGGCCGTGGCAGCGACTTTTGCGTCAGGAGTGTCTCCATCAATCAATGACCTGAAAAGACAATGCTCCTCGTAGGTATATTCGCTAGGGTTAACGCCGAGGTACGTCGGCCGCAACTGTGAGAATGGGCCGTCGTCAACGCATCGGATGGTCTGACCACTCCTCAACGTCTCCGTTCGCGAATCGCTTCCGTCCCCACCGATTCCCAGGGTCGAGGACATAATGGGAGACTGAGCCAACTTCTGGACATCCTTAGTCCAGTCCCAGTAGCTGCAAGATATCAGCGATCAGTCGTTCTCAGTCTAGAAAGGTTAGGGCATCACCTACGTTGCAGCGCCATTGTATCCGCATTCATGCAACGCGTTCTCGTAGACTTGAGTAAAGTAGCGGTGCCACGGCAGAAAAGCAGCCACATTGTGAACTATCCCATAGACGTCAGCATACATGGATCCTAAGCTAGGATACCAGCATTTGCTTACTGATCAGATTGTACTTGTGGTGCACATAAGCAAAATCATCGTACCAAGTCGAGTTGAGACCCAGCTTCGAAGGCTTAGTCTTCAAACACCACACAGCATTGATGTAGCTCTGCTGAGATTCGGCTGACATTTCTCTCCATTCCAACCTCTTGACGGGATTTTCGCAGCCAGCCGTATCTCTTGGACGAGGAATACTGGCAGCGGTGGCAAGGCCAGTGAGCGTAGCAAAACGAAGGACCAACATGTTTGAACGAATGGTTTAAAATGAATGACTTGGGGAAAAGAAAGACTGGTCTGCGTGAGCATGTATGAGAGAATTTTTCAAGGGAAAAGTCTGAGATTTATAAAATGTCTCTTTCTACAAGGACTCAAAAATCGGTGTAGTCTTGTTATGATGGCGTCAAGATGCTGACCCATACACTCCATAATCATTTAACTTGGGTATCCAGGGCTTTGAAAAGTCTTCCGATTACCAACTAACCGCGTTGAAAGTTGGTGAGTTTTTATGATATCCCAGTCACATTTGGACTCCTGCGGCTTTCCCAGACGTCTGATGAGCTAGGCGATGTCCGTACACGAAGTAATGTAGGTGAGCACCGATGGCCTAACGCTGAGCATACCAGCGTGTATGGGTCAAAAGACGATACTCAACACAGGCATCACGCCCATCATATCCACAAATGCACACATTACATGTCTTTTCTCCACTGTCACTCAGTAGACGCTGTCAGCAGATTGCATTCTGGTGTGGGGCTTTCGTATGCCGAGTGCCAACGCTAAATCCATCATCCCCTAATCCACGTCAATTAGTCTTCTTTAGGCTGGTAAAACTTGACAATACGAACGGGGCTGGCCGTTAATTAATGGTAAGAAAGATTGCCAATGCTAAGGTAATCGGCTATAACAGTGACTTGGCATCTTCTTGCAGGGTTTATTATCTATCTCTCGCGGTTGCTGTGGTGAAGTGTATGAACAATGAGAGATCTAAGAAGTTTCAAGAGTGCTTCATTCGAATTTCATCGGCTCCGCATAATCGCTGTCTCTTTCTCACCTTTAACGGAAAACATTCCGCCTACGATCGCACACCGCCCGCAGAGCTCCCGTGTATCTGACTGGTCTGTGAAAGTAAAATGTTGACATCCCAAACAGCTGCCATCTTCATTTCGCTTTCCACCGAAGACTTTAGTAGGTTTGCATATTCCTCAAAACTATTTTTGCACATCAGTCAAAAGATGTCAACAAATATGCCATTATCAATCTTTGCAGTCGAAACCTTCCGTTTGCAAGTACGTTCGTCAAACCCTCGACACCAATGGGTCTAATACGAGCCTTTTCGTTCATCTCTTCCATTAATAGAGGTTTCTCTCATATTAGGATCACAGCTCTACAAAAATACGGGTCAAATACGAACTTGTTAAAGCCGCTGCTGGTCTCCGCCAGAGCGCCCCAGAGTCAACAAGTGAATACAGCACACAGAGGCCCGCTATTGGCCTCGGCATTTTCTCTAGACGTGGTCATTGCTGGTGAGGTACAGGAGGTGTCTCAGGTAATCGTTCGAAGGTACATTCGGAGTGCCCCTAGTTATCCCATCGGCTGTCACAAAGCAACTGGTACATACCAATCCGTTTTGGAGCCCATATTTTTTCAATTACTAACCAGATAGTGCTCATCATTCGACCAAAACCGTGCTATTAAAGTATAATTTGCTATTACCCCATATGGCTTGTATCCGCTGTCTTGCAACAGCCGATGGGATAAAAGGTGTTTGACGCAGTGCATATCGAGTGTTCGAGTGGCCGACATATTAGCAAGCAGGATACGGATGACTCCATTCACGAGCAAGGCCCCATGACCATCTGAAGGGCGGTAACTCTTGACGGCCCATCAATTTCACCTACACCGCCATTGCAGAGTTATCAAGGCGAGATTAAACGGGGAAAAAACTGTACCCTTCCCTGAGTCTGACAGAAAAGATATTGATAACCACCATGATGAGCACCGAATCTGCATTTTTCCAACTGTGTTAGGTAATAATTGGTCGGTGATATGTCTGATCATCGAGCTAACAGTCAATAAGGCTATAAAAAATTCGCTCTGCTCCAGGTTTTCCAGCAGACCCCAAGCTTATGATCTGTCCTGGCGAGAACTGGTCTTTTGCTAGCCAAACTTACAACTTGAATCTTTGTCTCACGTTGAACTTTCTCATGGGGAAATCATTTGTCACTCAAAAGCATATCATGTGTCACCTCAAAGGTCAACCTGACTAAATCAGCTTTATACCACTGGAAGTCTCTAGCCATGGTCTTATGCTGGCCGTGGGGTTTGAAAGGTTTTGGCAAAAGAAAGTGGTGCGGAAATTTCATGTACCAGGAAAGGCTAAGCCTTTGCTGGACAAAGGTGATTGGAATTCAATCCCATTTAGGTTTCGTCAATCATTTTTTGATGGTAGACATGTCTGGATCTGTTGCTGATTACGCGCGTCGCAAATGAGAAGACAATTCCCCAATCACATTAACTACATTGTGTGCTCAGAAGCGTGCTTGGCAAAGGGCCAAAAGGGTAAAACAACAAATTGATGCTTTCTACTATCTCAGCACATGTACACATGTATTAATTGTACGTGTAGAGGCAGTTTAATCACATCACATCATAAACCTGTGAGACACCTTATGATCAGAACCTTGCGACATTTACAAGCTTTTGTTTCACGTCAGCTCACAGCTCTCCCAGTAGGTTGATTGACAAGACAATCAAGGCTTGCAGTAGCGCGATAAAACAGTGTCTCCCAACATTTCAGTTAGATCGATTTGTGTATGATGTTTCCTTTGCTACACATGGACTTCAAGTACCATAAAAAGAGCGTAATTTACCTAAGAAGCCCATTCACAGCGGGTTCAGCAGTACCACTAACCTTAAGCAGTGCAATTGAAAAGCCGTATTTTCAGAGCTATGTAGCTAGTGATGATGAGACGTGGATCACTAGGAACCGTGATAATATCACGGCTGCTACTAGGATACCGACCGTCGGCATCAACTGTGGACGGGCCTGCCGTAGCTATTGGGTGTAATACAGACTGAGTCTTAGTTTTAGAGGATACGCTAAATGTATAGTAGACTGTATCAACTCTTATTTACGTCTTTTTTTGTCTCATTTTGCCTATGGTATATTTTTTCAAGCTTGGCGTCCAGTACGAATGCCATCAAACAAGTCAGTGTTATAGTGCACTAAAGAGTCTTCCAGCCTTAAAACTTCAGAATGCAGTTGATCGGTTGATAGTACCAAGTATAGGCCAATTTCACAAGCTCAAGCATCTAGGAATGATTGCTAATCTGAAGTAATCTTTCTCGGCGCCGCGTGACTGTCTCGCAATAGTTGAGATAGAACAATTTCGGAGGCAATATGTGCACCAACTCTTTACAACACTCTTGTCCCGATGTTCCCGCTCATGCGAATCTGTTCACTGACAATCTGGTCTTCATAACTGGCGCAAGTGAAAGCAGCATTCAGCTGAGAGAGTGAGGCGTTAAAACGCTGCCAGTACGAGAAGATCCACGAAAGATGAACGATAGACAAGGAGAACGATTAAATGCCATAGCTAAGCTGACACACGTGAGGAGCTAAATTGTGTGATACGAATAAAACACCGGCCCCAGTCTCGAACAATTTGCCACTCCTACAGACCGGTTCAAAGCTGTTATTCCGGAGGAGACCACCGCGTAAAAGTGGATACGGCGCGGTCCTCGGCCTCGGACTTCTCAACTAGTCCGTTATCCACCTCCTTCCATGCATCATCAAGACAAGGCCTTCTGACAATTAAGGGGCATTGTCAAAAGCATTTTGGAACGATTTTTTATTTATTTTTGAGACAGAAAATCATTTCTTCGGCTCTCTTTCAAAGCCATACATGAAGATGGTGAATTTAAGGCCGAATAGACGGCCTGATCAATGAACGGTTATTTTGAAAGCGTGCACTCAGACGACGATTTATGGCCAAATCAGCCCGCGATCCAAGCATGGGTTGTGAGTTACGCGATACTGTTAATCATTGGCTTTGATTCGGTAATTCATCCCGTAAGTCCCCAGGTTCGAATTGGTTTCCGTCCTTTCTCTGATGGAGCTGGTTATGACTCGTCCTCCCGGATGGGCCAATTGTTGATTCAAGCCATACGCCTTTACGATGCTGACCACCCTTGCTGATGATACGCCAATTGAGTATGTGTTAATGCCAATGCCGATCCTACCTAGGTATGAAGTACTGACTTCCCCTATAAAAGGCTAGCTTGATTGTGCCTGTCACAAAACCTTTCTCCATGATTTAATGACGTCCTACAAGCAGTTCATTCAGTTTGGAAGCCATTCTCGAGCTAAAAGAAAATGAATATCGAAGTCATATTGGCCTTTGCGGCTGCCGCGCTTCTCTTTCACACTGCAATTTTGATACTGCAGTGGCTACGATCTCCCTTGAGGTCTATACCAGGGCCTCTCTTAGCGCATTTTACAGACGTTTGGTACTTCTTACGGCTCAAACAGGGCAGTTTTGAAAAAGTCAATCTGTCTCTGCATGAAAAATATGGTGCGCTTCGTGGCAATGTTTGTTGCTTTAGTTCCAGTCAGCTAATCAATTGGTAATTGATGTCAGGTCCTATTGTGAGATACGGTCCCAATCGCTACAGTATCAACGACGCCGAAGCAAGTAAAATGATATATGGTCATGGCACACAATTTCCAAAATCTGTATGGTATTCCGCCTTCCAGCCGAACGAGAAAATGTGGAATATCTTTTCGGATCAGTCCATAAAACGCCATGCCTACAACCGGCGGCTTTATACCCATGCCTTTTCGATGACGTCTCTCGTCAGTTATGAACCTTATCTGGATGAATGTGGCGAAATCTTCTCCCAGAGACTGTTGGAGTTCTCAAAGTCAGGGGCTCCCGTTGATCTTGGCCACTGGTTTCAATGCTTTGCATTCGATGCGATTGCGTATGTCACATACGGTAAACGTTTTGGCTTCCTAGACTGTGGTGTCGACATCGGTGAGGTTATCAAAAACTTGGACAACACCATCGCTTATTCGACTCTTGCTGGAATATATCCATCTTTCCATCGGTACATCGCGCCACTTCTCATGAGTATAACATCAATTACTGGGTCCAACCGGATCATGTACATAATGGATTTCACACAGGATCGGATCATGGAAGAACGAGCTTTTCCAAAGTCTGTTATCAACTGCAACAATGAAACGGGAGGAGCGGAGGTCAACGAAACATTTTTGACGAAGTTTTTGGCTAAACACTCCGACGGCCCTGATACTTTCACCAACTACCATGTTCTAGTTGGATGTGCAACCAACATGTCTGCTGGCTCAGACACTACTGGTATAAGCCTGTCAGCTATTTTCTATTACTTGTTAAAGGACCCAGACTGTTTAGAGAAGCTCCGTGCCGAAGTTCGCGAATTTGAGAACCGGGGCGAACTGTCGAGAAATCCAACATTCAAGGAAGGACAAAATATGCCGTATCTACAGGCTGTCATTAAAGAAGCATTGCGTATCCACCCAGCAGTTGGCTTGCCACTGGAGCGGGTCATACCTAAAGGTGGTGCTACGATGGCAGGTCGTTTTTTCCCTGAAGGCGTGAGTACCATCATATGCTTCTGGATCAACAACGCTACAGACTTCAGCTAATATGTTTCCCTCTCGGTTTAGTCGGTTGTCGGTATCAACAGCTGGGTCCAGCATCGCAACAAGGCTCTGTATGGCGAAGATGCGGAGCAATTTCGCCCTGAACGATGGCTCATTAATGATGAAGAACGGCTGGCGGCAATGAATCGCAATTGGATGCCGGTCAGTATAAGTCTCATTTCTCACTTATTTCTTCAACGCTTACTTTGCTTGTAGTTTGGCATGGGCTCCAGAACATGTTTAGGCAAGAACGTGTCAATATTAGAGATGACGAAGCTAGTCCCTAGGCTTGTCCGTGACTTTGAGTTCAAGCTTGAGGGAAATGTATCGCAAGTTGGGAGCTCTTGGAAGACCGAAAATGCTTGGTTTGTGAAACCTCGAAACTTTTGTGTCAAAATGCAACCTAGGAAGATCAACAACTAGCGAAGGTGGTCGCTCTGGTTTGGTTTTTAGTTACCATTGCGGTGTATACGAGTCGTTCATTTTTTGGTTGCTTGAGACTTTCAGGCTTGAATCTTACGAATCATGATATTTAATCAGGTACTTCTTTGCACAGTCAATCATGCCAAAATCATCCATGTGCGATTTGTCACTTTCGCTCAACACATTACTGTACTTCTAGTTGTGCTTGGTGATAAGCATTCCATATAAAGCGGCTAATTTGTCTGGGGGCTCTACCAAGACCAAGTTTGTTTGCGTATTGCCTCTGCACTATCCTGATCCAACCATTACGGCGTTTTCTATCTAATGTGTATATAGGTACCTCATCCGATCTGTCTTTGGGAATCTCTATTCTTCTCCAGTTCAAAGTTTGTGGTTGTCTTACAGAAATCGGAAAAACTAACAATCGTGCCAACCACCGCTTCCTCAATCGTAGAAACTTACCAGAGGTAGGTGTGTCATCTTCTGGTCTTTCAAACTTATCTTGGTCACCACTAGGGCTTCTACTTCAGTGTGTGCCGCGATTAGTTAGGGACCTGGTCCAGTTTTACTGTTTTGCTATTGACTTCACCGCGAAAGAATAAAGCAGCTGATACCAAGAAATGAAACAGATATCAGCTTTATTCGTTATATACGTATGAATTTGAGCGGTGACATTCATTCGTAAGAAGCATGGTTATGTATAGTCCCAAAAGCGAAAGTGGGCTAGTTGAGAGGCAAAGGACAGCACACGCCGGTAATGTGATGGGTCCACAAAAGAAAGGGATTTACGGTGAGATATCGTTTGGCGGAGTCTGATTGTTTCTAGGGGCAAATCTAATCCAATGTTCCCTGAGACGTCCCTACAGATCAGGCTTCGACTGGGATACACCTGCCTTGGAGCAATGAGTAGAAAGCTCAGACATTATATCTGTCCTCCCTTACCTAACTGCAAGCTTTATTGGAGCACACTCTTACTTTTGTGATTGTCTCTCGGCGAGGCGGGAAAGATTTCCTACTTCCTTATAACTTATTGTCATTGGTCCTGACAGTCAAAAGCTATCCAATTGTCGAGATGTTACAGTAAAGACAGTATTTGTACTTCATTTTTGATGTAGGCTATGGATTGATGATTTACAATTCCTGAAGGTCAAAGAAGCCAAAATACTATGCCCATTGAAGTACTAAGTCTAAACTGCGATTTGGAAGTGGTAGCGTTCACGACATTTGAACTGACGAATGTGGGAAGAAGTAACAATTCACCCTGTCATTCCGTCTTTGCAATCCTTCGGATGTAAAAAAAAAATTGATTCCCCACTCTGTCATTGAGATATGGGCGCAGTTCCACTTTTAGGACTCGGCCGACAGAAAGTGTCTCAGCATGACAACTTGTGAGGTCGATTCACCAATATATTGGTGGGTAAGGCATCAACCCGTGGAATGTTGGGTGGCATTGGACCAAACGGCTTTTCCCCAGGCGCCTCGTTGTCCGTGTTACTCTTTTTCTTCCAAAACATTTAATGGAGTCGCTGAAGTTCCCGCCACTCACAATCATAAATATTTGCAGGTTCGGCATATACCCTCCGCCCAGAAAGTTGACCCTGCTGGTCAATGCATGCCAAGAGCTCGAGAATGGGGGAGTGAGTGCAAAAGTCTGGCCGCCAGTTGCTCGGCGCTTAGCTGTCAAGTTCCCCCAGAAGCAAGGGGCTGGGTAAGACGGATCAAGTATTTTTTACTCCGTTCCGATGACGATGACACTAAGTCGGACTAGGACAAGACTCACTCATTGTCGCGTGGCAAAAGGGCCTGATTCAGATGCCAGCATGCCAGACCACGAGGCAATGTAGCACTAGCATGTCAAATCGTTTCTTATTGAACAAGACACCCCACAGATCACCAAAATGTCTCTATCGTTAGCTCACGATTGGCCGCCGAGACATCGGAATGTTGCTTGCTTCCTATATGTGTGGTATGCCGAGGTGAGACATTAAAGCAAGTCACGCTGGGATGTAATCAATCAAAGACACCGAAGCCACGCTTTAAAAGAGATACCTTAAAGAGCCAACTAGAGTCCACGATCTGTTTGATCTTTATCCACTCCTGTAGCCAATCCGGTGATAGGGTTGCAGCCTCCCTTTCTCCCTGCATTCCTCTCAACACGAGCTAAGCCTCCTCCCCTTCGCCCTTGGGCCCATAATTGTTTCTTATGAGACTTTCATAATGAGATGTGACTGTTGGGCCTACTATACTGTTCTACATAAAGAACGCCATACTACCGCCACGAACAGATCTGTCTCTGAGGGAAATAGACTTCACCCGCCAGTTTCACCCCCCCAGCCTTACCAGGCAACACTCTCTCTTCAGTTTTTTATCATCTAATTCAGTTACTTGTCAGTTGAAAATTATTCCAAGATCGTCAATAGTGCGCTATAATTGTTCTTTACTACAAGCTCCGGAAGTCTGAATCATTCATTTGCTGACAAGGTCAGACGAGCTAGGGTTCGCTTGTTGGGACGCCTTCCAGCAAATCAAAGTGTAGAATCTGAGCTCCTTTGCTCCCGAGTGGCCACGCTGTGTCACCTAGCTTTTCTCGCTTTGGTAACTCAGCTTTGCTGCAACAGACACAGTACGTCAACCTGCGGTCAGGCTCAAAAGGCGGTGTTCCAGAGCTCGGACGTCGACGCGCCATCCTGCAGCATCAAACGTTACTGTGGGTTTGTTAGGGTGCAGTCTTCCGTGGCGTTTTACGTTTCAGACGGAACGGTCGCGGTCTGTCATCGCCACTGCTGAAAAGTCGAGGACGGCCGGATACTTGTATCACCGTTGTCTCTCGTTTTCCACGCGTGCCTAAGACATTAATTCTCGTCACCAACATAAAGCTTAGGACACTGAGCAACATATCTAGGCTACCAAATCCGCCCCTCGTCATTCTGCCTTCACTTTCTTTTCATCACCTTTGAACCACTCTTTTACAATGGCTATCGTGGATGCCCAAGACCGCAAGGACCAGGCAGCGCCTTCACCAGGCTTGCCCGATTATGTTACCTCCCCAAACGCTGTTTTCGGTGACGAAGGTGTTCAATGGAGATATGGTAGAGCCCCGGACTACACAAAAACGCGGAAAGTTTGGAGAGAAGGTAAGGTTGCATATTTCAGCCTTTTGAGCTCATTCCATCTAACAACTTACGCAGGCAAGAAGATGAGCCATGCAGCAGGTAGCCTACCAGAATTGGTGGAAAACCTTGTCAAGAACTGGGAAGTTGAGGCCTCATTCAAAACACGGCTCGAGGACTGGCGGACAGTTGATCACGCCAACTACACGTTTTCAGTTAATGGCGGACCACCGCAATCGGGTGAGCACATGCTCAAGGTGGGCACTTACAACGCCGTTATTACGCCCAATGAATACTACAGCCCCGATTATTCCGACTTTGCGTCTAGCCATAAGACCTTCAAGCGGATGATGCCCACTTTCGCCTGGGAAGTTCTCGAGGTTTACAGTGGTCCCCCCTGTGTTGCCTTCAAATGGCGTCATTGGGGTGTCATGAAGTCAGATTACGTAGGATTCAACAAGTAAGTGTTCTCAATACCTCGGACAACACTGTATGTTCTGACTGTAAGTCCAGCAAGGGCGAAAAGGTGACTGCGAAGGCTCATGGGGGCCCCATCGACATTCAGGGGTTGACAGTGGCTCGGGTTGACGATAATCTTCGTCTGCAAGCTGTTGACACGTGGTTTGACTCCCTGCAGATGTTCCAGCAGATTGCACCCCAGGGCGTTGTTAAGAAGGAGCCTACTGTTAAGAACCTTGATCCTGAGGCACAGCTTGATGCATCTGTGGGAAATGAAGTAAAGATGTCTCCCCAGGAGCTCAGTGAGTTACACAGTGGCTCTTTGAGTGGAAACACGTCTGGAGGGTGTCCTATGATGAATAGAGAATAGATGGATATGCTTCTTTTTGGGTGTATTTACAGACGAGCAACCTCGTCTTGAAAGAATAGGTCTTATTTTTAGAATCAAACTGAAGTCGAGTTTTTGCAAATGCTTTTATTTCGATCTAGTATGGTAACATTGAAGCACACAAATCATTTTGGCACATCGCGGTGAAGCTTGACTGAGTTGACGGAGCTAATGTTGGACGCAGCAGGTTTCCGATCATGAAGTCTCCTCGTATTCAATTAGGCTAGGCTCACTCAGCTAGCCCATAATTGTCAACATGTTGTAGGGAGAGAGGCAAACAGTGACGAGCTTTCTAAAGTGCTAGTCTTGGTCCGCTGCATGTTTCGATTCCGATAAAGTTATCACATGATTAGTTGAGTCAATTTCCTTCTAAACTGCATTTTTTACTGAGCAGCGATCGGTCCGCATCGGGTTCAACTGCTTCATTGGGACCCGGTCTTTCCGGGAGAAGATTCCGGCGCCACTCTGCGAAAACGCGAAACATGTCTCAGATCGATTGGATTCACCAAGACCGCGTGCCCCAGCAAAATTACACAAGTTCTTGATACTTCTTTGTCAACCGAGCAAATTTGTAGCCTGTCGGCCATCAAAGACATGAAAATTTCCCAATTTGAAGGTTTTGACCACGCCTCATCTAAGTTCCACGGGTCAAATCATACACCAGATAATCGGCGCAGACACATCTCATTCATGGTTTGGTACAAACGTATGGGGCTCTTTTAGCATTCAAGAACAGTTTTGCCGGGGAGACGGGCCATATGCTGATAGGCAGATGGCGAGTGGAAAGTCGGTCGATATCTGTTATAAGCTAATCCAGCAGCTGATGGCCGAGAATAGAGGATTTTCAAAATAGAAACTCGTAAGGTGCAATACAACTAGCAGTACCGAATAGATCATTTTCCAGATTACCATGCGTGAGTTTAACATTGGAAGTATATATGACTCCGGTACATGGGATTCAGTGAGAATTCGGCGGCTTTTGTGCTTCACGCATAGTGTAGCTAGAGTTACATGCTTCAGCTTATAACAAGGTCCCTTACCCCTGGAGACAAAAAGCTGGCGACAATGTGTTTACTGATGGTCTTATGTACTACAATCATTTCATGAATGCCTTTGCCAGAAAGCCTGACCCAATACCAGAACACTTTCTCTCAATGCCATTAATTCTGGCAGGTCATTTCGTCCCATCATCTCCATAATAGAACTCCAACTAAAACACTCAGGATTAGCTGTATTCAAATACCACAAAATATTAAAGGCGACTTTTGCCGCTTTGTAACTGGCAATTGCAAATATTCAGTTGTTCTTTCCCTTCTTGGGCCAGATAGCAGAGACAATGGGATTGATACATGTCTTTGTGCCAGTATCTTTCCTCTCATATTATGGAGAGGGGCAACCAAATAATTCCCAAGGCTGCGCAAACAAAATTGTCCAACATTCAGATAGCCGTCTTAAAGAAGGGTGGCATCATACCCGAGGAGATGAAGAAGCTCAGTTACACCAACGTCCAGGAGTCAAGCACCCAACCGACATTGGTGGCCGCTATGACCGGAGACAAAAACGATGATTTAACCGTCAGCGCTTCTTCTACGGATTCTGGCAAAACGATCTTCGACGATATCTCGAAAACCAAACTGGGGAAAAATGCATATTGGGTGGACAAGGACTACATCAAAAAAGGCATCTTAGCCAACCGAGTCCACGGCAGCCGGACTACCCCTTGTTTGGACGTCCTCTTCCCCTAAATCTTCCAGGCGTCATCAAGTGCGAATTCTCTCATTGCCCGTCAAGTTATCATAGAAGCTTCAACCTCGGAAGCCCGGATGATGCCTTATACATTCTTTTTCTTTTTCGCCTCATAAATTCTTCATCACTTGTTGGGCTGTTTGGAAAGGAAACGGATTGCCGACCCAATTACTTCATTATTTGTTATCTTCGCTCGTTCCCGATTAGATCACCAATCATAGTTGCATACATAAGAGGCCTCTTGCACTGATTTACTTATTTTGTTCCATCGTTTCATTCGCCAAATTGCCTGTCTGTAAATCCTATTGGCGTCTCGATGTTGAGACCATGCGAATTATGAGAAGTGAGTCGTGCTTAAACCCAAGACTACGTTGGCACCTATACAGCTCCTGTGGGGGTGGCTGAACCTCCTAGCATACATCAGCGCCTGCGCAACAGATCCCAGTGTTCTGCATGTTGGTGTTGCAGCAGACTGGAGAAGGGTGCACTGCCCCTCAAGGCCGACTTACATCCTTACGTCTACCAACAAACAACAAGCTGACAGTCGTCTGATGAAAAAGTGTTCCTTTAAATAGAGCACCAACGTCCTACGAACCTTTCACACTGGCACCTTTCATCCGAGGATTCATTCGCCTGTCCTCACACAGCATTCACGAAACTCCAAACTACATTTCAACTCACTCGCCAAGATGCATATTCTTGACTTTCCATTGGAACTGATTCAGAGAATTCTGTACCATATGGCACTCTCTAGAGGCGTCACCCGGGATTTGAGGTTGCGTCTTGTATGCAGTATGTGTGATGTGACGTGTACTTTGACTTCGCGACTAACAGTGGTCTCCAGAGCTTTTCCGGGACTCCCTAAGGTCTGCTCTGTTTGAAATTCGCCTTCTTGATGATTTTGACCCGGGCAGGGGCATTATTGCAACAGATGGACCAAGTCACGAATGGAAAACTGGTTTGTACGGAATCAGCACGGTGCTGAGGATTTTTGGCATTCCTATATCATGTACCGAGTTCGGAACGAAAAGAATCCACAGGTCGGCCGCCTGGTCGAGATACGAGATCTTGCAAAAGTGTACTGTCAAAAAACGAGTTCAACCGATCTCCATGGCACTATCGACACTCTTTGCTGGATGGCACTTGAACGAGCTGCCAGATGCCCAGCTCACGTAAGATTCTACATGTACAATTGCAGGCCATGGGATGACACGGACCGAGATCCAGGTCTGAACCTACTTAGCGCAGCGGCATATCTTGGCAATTTACCGCTGGCCAAGCAGTTGTTGAAGGAAGGTCAATGTCCGGTAAATAACAATGAGCTCTTTGCCTCACCCATGCGTCTTGCCGCATGGTCAGGCCGCTCCGATATTTTGCAACTCTTTCAGGAACAGCTACCTGAGTACGAGTGTTCTTCCACGGAAGCGGGCACTAAGTTGCGAGCTAAAGCTGACTCCGGCTCTATCACGGGAGCTGCGATTAATGGAGACTTAAATATGCTCCGTTTGACTATCTACCCTCCCTCACGGGCCAAACCGGATAACTCTGACTTTGCTGGATTCCCATACGGACACGCTGTTATAGAGGACCCGTTCGACGAACGAGTTTACGAGCTCTACAAAGCAGTCTACATGACAAGATCAGTAGAAGCATTCAATTACTATGTTAATTTTTCTAGCATGGGGAACACAAAGAAGTTATGGTAGACAATGTTGTCAGATGTCACTGCGAATGGGGCGATCTGGATATCGTCAAACATCTGGTCAAGACTTACAGCCTTGGAACTATCGACTTATACGGCGCCTATAATTCAAAGAGCAACTGCCTTGTTGGTGCAGCTCGCGGATGGCACGAAGACATACTTGACTACTTGCTCGAGTCTGGCATGCATCCCGCAAGGTTTGCCGGCGATGTACCCCCTCTATATGCAGCCACATATGCCGGGAGTATGTCGATTGTGCGCAAGCTTATCGACCACGGTGCGAATCCTTGTGAAGGGGTATATGAGAATCTTCATAATGCTGTACGCTTTGAGCACACAACTCTCCTTGAGTTTCTTTTGGAAAGAAATGGCTATCGTGATGAACCGTCGGCGTTGGGAAGGGCGCTAAAAGATGCGATTGACTTGGGACTGGAATCCATGGTTGAGATTCTTCAACGAAAGAATAGAGCTGAGGACACAAGATTAAATTCACGAGGCATGATGTATCGATAGTTTCAGAGCCACTTGAACCAAAGTACTTGTTATTCGCTATAAGACAGCATCATGGGAGAACTTCTCACCTCGCTCATTAGCGCTCAATTCAGAACTCAAATTAACGAGAAGTTTGATCGCTCAACCCAGGATAAAGTGTCAAAGCATATCCCATTTCAACAGCTTGCACAGTCTCTGAGATAAGTCGCCTCTTGGTTCGCCATTTCCTTCAATTCTTACGTTACTTAGATCTCTCACTCCCATCCCTACCTGCACCCTCCGATGTAATTAACTCTAACACGTGATTTTCGCCGATGAAAGGTAATTCCCACGAACTATACATCTTCTGAATGTCACAGTGTACTTGAATCTTGTCATGGTTCACTATCGACGCTTGTCTACGTGTTAATTCACTTCGCATGTAGTTCTATTTGAGAAATCATGCTTATTCTGTCTGTGTCACTGAATTCCCGTTTCAACAGTGACATGAAGGAGTTCAATTTCAAGGTTCTCAAAATTGTACAACGACAAAAGCTTGCCTTGATAGTTATCTACGTATCATTTCAAATATAACCTACCATTCGAATCGAGTTTCATTTCCAGCTAGCACTGTTAAGTGTCAGCTACCAAATACTGCGCATCAAGACAACAGTTTTCATCTTCGAAACCTCTTCTTGTGGCCACAGTTTAGACTGGGTCGTAGCAAAACGACACCATATGTCGATTAATTACCGCAATAACTGTGTGCTGTCCAAAATCAAGGTCCATTATTTAAAGGAACATAGTTCGAGAATAAGACCAAGTATTGAAATCGCGAGATTCATTTCAACCTGATCATTTTCATAATTAACTTCTCGTAATTTAACAAGACCTCTGATATCATAAATTCGCACTAAATGACTTTTCTGAATGGACGATACTCAAACTCGTGTATGACAATGCTAATCTATGTATTCACGTCCTCCGTGCCTTTTATTTCGGTAGCCTAAACACACCTTTCCTAGCGCGCAAAGATAGGACTGCTTTCTCTGGTAAGTTTTAAGTGTTGTGAGGATGGGACTTCTGTGGGTTAGATGATATGAGTCACGAAGAAACAGCCTGACACAGGCTGTGCTGGAAATTTCTCTGTCAGCCGCCTGGGTATACATAGAGTACCTCTAGGGCCGTAGATTCAAAAAGAAACAACGCACCTTGCGGACTAGCAGCTTCGTGTCCAGCGGGTCCGTCACAAATGTATGAGATATGAAACGAAACTAGACGATCAGCCTAAAACGAAGATAGCAATCCATTCTATAGGCCGCGCATAGGTAATGAAATATTCTGTAAGGATAATTATTAGCAACTCTAACGGGAACGAAAGCTATTGTCAAGCAAGATTTCGTAGTCAATAGAGCCCCTTATCGTTTTTGTTTTACCTAAGTGAATCTTGTGGCTGTGGCCATATCCGGAACTGCGCAAAATATCTTATTTTTGGAACAGCCAAATCCTCAGGTTGAAGTAGTTCCGCCTTCCCTAAACTGCAAATCATTCTCTGCCTACATGGCAAGCAGCCAGACGGGTATAAGTTCCGCAACCATTTAAACCAGCATTTCTATCAGAGCTCCTCCCCCAGAAAACAGACAGAAGACAAGAAATGCTTTACCCTTTATAGACATCCCACTTTACGGGTATCCTGTAATACCAACAATAAGATAAATGGAAGGGGAAAACTGGTTCTTGTCATGTGTCTCTGATGTCTATGGGATAGGTTTTAGTAGAAGTACTTGAGGAAGTGTCTGTTAGTCTTATAGCTATTAGTCGGTCTGCTCGTTACGTGGGAAGCCTGGGTGCCAGCAGGACTGCCGACGACAAATCCACTTCAACCCGGAGTTCCGGCTATTCCAACACTTATGTTATGGTTACGAAGGTAATGCAAAGGGTTTTTTGATCACAAGTTCCGCAGTATTCAACTAACACTCGTGTCACTAGAGGAAAAAGATGGTGATGAAGGGTTATTCACGTTCTGGTAACATTAGCGTTTGAATGATACATACAGCTTTGTATTACCATTACTTTTGAGTCTTGATAGTGATATCCCCCTATTCACTTCATCCTAGTCCCCTGGTCAGGAGGCCCAAAAGGGAAGGGGGGGGGCGGGCGGAGGGGCTATTTTGTTACAGTAGCATTTTTTTAATGTTAATGCTTCGTTACCCAGTATAACACATGTGTTGGGGTTCCTTAGTCCATTTTCTGTTTGTTTCATTTGGGGTCAAATGAAAGACCCGCACACTGGGAACAAGCCTATAAGGCTCAGACTTTCTATCCCTCCATTGAATAACGTAGGCAAAACTTTCTTACCAAACTTATCGACTGACTAATTATTTAATGAAAATCAATATGAAAATCTCCAGTTGCATCAGACCTCCTTCTTCTCCAGCCTCGTATTTTGGAAAGCTGAAAGCGTAACTACCGAGCCACACTTCTAGCTAAATCTACTTCGCTGAGTATGCCACTTGAACATGCTCTCTGCATAAAACTCCGATTGAGAATTACTTATCTCATCGAGGATTAGTTGGCAACAGATTAATAGCATGCGTTTCGCTAGCTAATCATATACTGGCAGTATGATCTTGTCAAACAATGAGTATTGTGTGATTAGTATTCGGAGAAATATGCACTTTAAAATGAGCCAGTTTGTACCTGTTGCCAACTCACCCTCGATGGTATATGAGTTTAGCTATGTAACTATAGCATTGCTAGTTTCTATGACTAGATTTGGTGGCAGTAAGGCTTTGCTAATAAGTGCTAAGCTCATAAGGGTTAATAGAAGTATTGGTTACGAACTAATACGGCTGACTAGTTGATCAAGGGTTTGAGGAAGGCAATCCATCTTACAGTAACGTCCCACACCCACTTCTGGGCACCCCCCACATTTGGGCACCCCATTTACACCAAAAACGCCGTTTTTCGAAATTCTATATTAAACTAAATACTTTACTTATTAAAGAGAATAAATATATGTTAAATAGATTAAGACTTAATTATAATACTTAAGTAGCTATATACTAGTATTATTGATAATAAGTATTATAAATTCAAGGTTTAACATTTATAATACTAATTTACCTAGCCTATATCTTAATATATAAAATAGGTAGAGATATTTAACTAATATGATTAGAATTTTTAAGTAAGATATAGTAGATTTATATATTCTTATACTTAGTAAAAAATTCTTTAAGCTTAGAATAATATTTTAAAATTTCCCTTAAGAAAAGTTTCTATTATAGAATTTTAACCCTTAATTATACTATATTTACTAAAGTAATACTTTTAAATCTCTTTTAGATATAATTATATACTTTTAATAAGTATAAATATTAATTTCCTAGATTTTTTAAATAAGTATATATGAGCGAAAATATATTTTTCTAATGTTAAGGAATACTAGTAAGTTACTAGTATCTACTAACATTTTAAAGCTTTTAGTTTTAAACTTCTATATTATAACTATTATTATATTTAAACCTTTATAAAAAATTAGATGGCTATAATTATACTTAACATAGTTTATATATATTTTCTTTTCTTAGTAAGTATAGTAGTTAGTTTAATATAGAATTTCGAAAAACGGCGTTTTTGGTGTAAATGGGGTGCCCAAATGTGGGGGGTGCCCAGAAGTGGGTGTGGGACGTTATCCAGAAACGGTTTGACGCTGGCATCTTGGCGCTTACTCTGCTTACCTCGAGCGCCACATGCCAAGGGATAATGCCCATCGCCAAAATCAGAGATATTTTGCTTTTCGCTCAGATATAAACTGATTCAGTTTGCCTCGTTCAGTTGCAAACTCACAAACATCCACATCTCGCACCCAAAAGCTCACATCCCTCAAACCATCAGACATGTCGCAGCCCCAGCCCGTGCTAGCAATAATAGGCGCTGGCAGTATGGGCCTAGCCATTGCCCATCGCCTCGGGTCCTCGCATCATGTCGTTATCGCCGACATCTCATCCGCTAATCTCGCGGCAGCGGAGAGTTCACTTCAATCTACCGGTCATTTTTACACAGTCCAGTCAATAGACATTTCCTCGAAAGATTCCGTGGCCTCATTCTTGGAAACGGCGATTAGCAAAGGCTCAATTCAGACCGTCGTTGTGACAGCGGGTGTTTCCAACGCTGTGAACGACGCTAAGCTGATCTACGAGACAAATCTCCTTGGTGCGGCACTCGCCATAGATGCCTTTCTCCCCCACATGGCGCCAGGCGGCTCAATGACCATCATTGCCTCTCTCGCCGGGCATTTGAAACCCCCGAGTGCTTCTCTGGACGACCACTTTGCAACCGCCACGCCCTCTTCACTCCTCACCCACCCTGAGATTGATCTCAACGGAGACCCAGGGCCTGCTTACTCTCTCTCAAAGTGGGGTTGTATTATTCGCGCTCGGTACGCCGCAATGGAGTGGGGGCGACGAGGGGCGCGAATTAATACTGTCAGCCCAGGAGCGATTATGACTCCTATGATTGGACAGGTCCTGCAGTCAGCAGAAGGGGCCTGGTTGCAAAGAATCATTGATGATATACCTCTTGGTCGTATTGGAACTCCCGATGATGTCGCCAATGTGGTCGCATTTCTGTCTAGTCCCGCCGCTAGTTACATCAACGGAACGGATGTAGTAGTTGACGGAGGTGCTGCACCGACGTACCGATGGCGCGGGTCCGAGGTGGAGCTGGAAAAGTCCGAATGATAAACCACGGTGGTGGGTTTGATGAAATGTTTGCTCGATTCTTATTATTCTCGTTCCTTTCCCGGCACAAACATGCGAAGCAAGTGTCATGCTCAAAGCGGAAGAAATCCCTTTTTGCACCTAATCCGTTTCTCAAGGTGGTGGAATCTGACCTTTTCATTCCGCAGAAGGAAGCTTAAGTCCTAGAATAACAACCAATTAGATCAAACTTGGTAATTAAGTCACCTCCCACATCATGGCCTTTTGTACTACGTTTTTATTAATTGTTTGACTGTGGCTTTTGTGATAGCTTGTCTGATTCATCTGCGATTTGTCGTATACACATTTAAACAAAATCCCCTGCGTCATTCAAGGTTAGCCGTTCGCTGAGTGGCTCGCGGATAAATGTTTGAGCAGAATTGAGAGCATTACCCCTCAGTGGTTTATCTTCGCACGACATCTGCCAAGCACTATAGCAACCCTGACATTACCCATTCGGGCAAGATAAAAGCTGAATTAATGACTTGCTATACATTACAGATCCTATCACGAGAGCTTTTGAGAGATTCGTGAGTTCTTTTCCAGTCAGCAGCGTAGCCTGGCCAGTCAGACACGAGCTACGGGAGCACCTTATGCCACGAGACGTAGTTGTGGCAGTTTCGTCATCTGGAGCAGGGCGAAGCGATTTACGAAAGATCCACAGGCAATTCCGCTCAGCTTTTATCTTCTCAAAAGCTCCACAGCATGGTAGTATAAATACCCGACATAGATGAACTGGTCGAACTCCAACACAGATAGCCCTTCATTAGTTCAAAAGTAAAGAGAACAGAGCCGTCATGTCTTACCCACGTCAGAACTATGGCAGTTTTGCCGCGTTTCTTTTTCTCTTTGTTTGGCCTTAGCGCCTTCAATTGTAGCTGATAAAACCCATGGCCAATCGGTTTCGTCTCAGGGTAGCGAAGACGAGCCATCCATCTCGCTAGGAATTGTAAGTTTATCCTGATATTTCAGTCCTTCACTAATGGGCTTCTGTTAGATTGTCTTCCCGGGCTATCAGCCTCTTGATATCTGGGGCCCCCTTGATATCTTCCATGGAGTACGTCATTCTTGCAGTCCCGGTAATTTTAGGATTCGGCTTAATATTTCCCCCACAGATGTCCAGTCTCCGTAAGATAAAACTATCAATCATTGCTCACAAGGTCGGGCCTGTATCAACTCGAAGCCCACCACGCAACGCAGCCCCGGGATTTCGGCAAGACACCCTAGATGCGCAGATTCTTGCGACACATAGCTTTAGCAATGCGCCCCCTCTAGACATCCTCCTCGTTCCCGGTGGCATCGGAAACAGGGTCCTTGAGCGAGATAACGATACCGCGATTGAAGCTTTTATCGCTTCTCGTTATGACGAGTTGAAATATCTATTGAGTGTTTGCACTGGCGCATCGCAACTAGCTACTTCAGGAGTCCTCGAAGGTCGGCGGGCTACCTCAAATAAGCGGGCCTGGAATTGGGTAATTACCCATGGGCACAATGTTTCTTGGGTCCCAACTGCAAGGTGGACACAAGACGGCAAAATATGGACCAGCTCGGGTGTTGCCGCAGGTTGGTCTATCCTCTCCAGTGACTTCTTGTTTTTCGAATCTTTATCCACAAATCTCACACACTGCACAGGAATGGACATGACCTACGCCTTTCTCAAGCATGTCTTTGGTGAGGAGCAACCAGGAACCATCATGAATAGTATGGAGTACACCCCTCATACTGATCCCGACTGGGACCCTTTTTCCATCGTCTGGAATGTAAGTATCTGAACATCAGCTCAACCGTATTGTCTCGCAATTCGCTTGAAGGAGTACTAAACCTTGGCAGGTTCCGGGAGCCGACCAGGGCGGTTCCCTTGTTGATTGTGTCAAGCCGGTCGGCTACTAACCAAGCAAAGGCTAATGTCAACATGCTCTCTTTTTCGGGTAGACCTTCGCGGTTCATTAGTTGCCAATGATCAACGAACTCTATATTTAGCTTTAGTTTCCTGGCCCTCTTGAAACGGCGCCTTTCTGATCTTGGCATCCGATATGCCGAGTCAGGCTCTCATAGAATTGATAGCAAGGAAGTTTAACTTTTGTCTCTCATTCGGAATCGCGATCTGGTATGAGACTAATCTCACAATACCATTCGGGTTGATGTGACATCCCGAGCACGGGTGTATTTAAGGCAAGAATGGAGCCAAATTGCCAGCCAGACCCTTCCGAAATGCTTGCCCCCATAACCTTGCACCTAGCCCTGCCATAGACACCCATTGATTTTCGTTCCATTCATCATTAGCTTACCCTTGTGGCTCTGTTGGCATGATGGCCTCTTAGCTGAAAAGGAAATTTTAATAGAGCTCTTAGCAAACAATGACAATATTGTTCTTTCTGGATGTAAACTGAAAGCTTGGGTTTATTCTTTCTCCGAAGGTCATTCGGGTATCATCAGATCAATTATGACATTAAGTATGTCAGTGCCAGAGACGTTTGTCAAAGGCTTGGCAGGGTCCTAGTTTCTATTCGCTCGTCTGTATACAGACAAAGGAATGTTTCGCACGAATCTATTCCGGCCAGGGCCATTTATGCAAGTCCTGATTATATGCACTCACAGATGTTATTGAAAAGCTGGTAGAAGTGATGCAATGTTTCGCGGATATTTCAAAGCCCAGTACCACATATATGTTGAATAACGCAATTCTCCAAGAAACTTAGCCGCTGTCCGACACTTTTTGGCTTTTGCCAGGATTGTAAAGATAATATTTTTCTCAGTAAAACCCTTCATCTCTTCCCATCCATGTGTTGATCCAATAAAAGTGCGGGGGAAGCGTGAGCTCCTGAAACTTTCAGAACAGGCGAAGTGTATGGTACCCCGCGCACGTCCGGCCTTTCGAGCCATGTCGGGAAGCTTAATAGCCTCACTGTTTTTGTCTCATCGCAAGAGCATGTTTGAGTACCTGGCGCAACTCCGAGTCAAGGATACCAGTCCATTGTCTGGGTCAGAATGTTGTAATGCTGAGGGGATGTGGCCAGCTTAGGTTGGGCAGCAGATGAATATCATATATATCCTGTGGAGCTAACACACGCACCAACGTTGTCAGTACGCCCGATTTGCCGGAGATCTCTCACTACGTTTTCTGTCTTCAGTTCTCTATGCACCACTAGCCGCTGGACGCTAGTTACCCTGCAAAATAATAGGTAGTTTCTCAGCAGGACGGTTTTTTCTATCATTTGTCAACATGAAGGCTGTTTTGAACATATTGGCATTGTTCGCCCCGCTGGCGCTTGCCCACGAGATGCCACCCCGCAGCATGTCGACCACCGAATTCCACCAAGCATTCATGGAGAGTGGCATCGTGCCAGAGGTCATGGGCTCCTTTGATCCTATGGTTTCTTTCTATACTGGCTACATGGCCAGCGACGGCGACAAGGTACTCATGATGCCGGGTGCTAAACTAAAAATGAAGGAGGTCAAGATGCCGTTCGAGTTTAGCGTCGAAAACGTTATCAACGCCCGAAATTTGACCCGAAATTCGAGATTCATTATCCACATGGTAAGAGATGTCGAACCTCGGCAGTTATGAGACAAATATTGATAATTGTGGTACAGATTGGGCCGGATTCTCCTTCACGAGAAAATCCGACAGAGCGAAACATGAGACACTACCTGGCTGGAAACTTCACCGTTGAGCAGACAAAGTCAGCTGTTCTTTCGTCTGCTATGATCATGACAAATTCATCACCCGCTTTCAACGAGTACATGCCCCCCGAGCCCAAGTCAGGAAGTGGCATGCATCGATACGTATATCTTTTATACGTGCAACCTGAAAGGTTGAACAAGATGGGATTTGACATGGTTGGAATTAACCAGATGAACCGTAAAAACTTCAACGTGAGCATGTATTCATCCACTGATCGGACAACCACTTACTTACCTTAAATAGTTATCCTCTTTTCGAAAGATGGCAGGCCTCGACCGACCCATCGGTGGCACGTACTTCATACTGAGTATGGCCCAGAGTGGAAGCGGCAGTGGTAGTAGTGGTGGAAATAACAGTAACACCGGTGGCAACGGCCATAGTGCTGCGTCTATCATAACCGCCGGCTCTTGTGTTGTCTTCATAACTCTATTTACCTCAATGTTCATCTGGATGTGACAAACCAACAGCAGCCTATCACAGTGGGATTAAAAGCTTAGTGGACTGCAGGAAATGTTGATTTAAGCAGTATCCCGGACATACTCACTTAATGCAACTGATTGTATTTAAGGACATCGGGCTTTTTCAGATTTTGAGAACTGGCTCATATAAGTGGTGCGTAAAGTAATTGTGATGAACGCCAAAAAGAAGTTGTCATTGCGTTATCAGTCCCCAACCTTAGGTTTTCAAGAAAATTGAAAATACACTCTTCCTCCCCTGAATCCTGCGGGAAGACTTTGCGTCTTCGTTGCATGTGGCCCTGAATTGTGGGGAGTAGCGTTCCGTAGACTTGAGTTAGTTGAATCAGATTGCGCAGCTCAACTAGCGCAAGTGATTTGTGATCCAAAATCTCCAGGATTGGCTATTTCGATTTTGGTCTCAAGATGGAGCATCTTTCCTAGCTGCGATGTAATCACCTCCACAATTAAAATTGACCAAAATGACAAAACCGTCCTCCCGGCGAGAAATCAACTCTGATTAGACTCACAGGCAAGTAGAATATAAACCAGAGAGTTATGTTCACCCTTGATCAGTTATCGAAAAGTAAGAAAACTAATTAAGCGTGACCTCGGGCTGAACATCCTGCTTCTGATCCCAAGGGAATCCATTCTTCCATACTAAGTCCGAACGTGACTTCTCTGTAAATAAGACCACCACGCATGAGAATTCAGTCATGCTCAAATTGACTATGCGATAGAGACCGCGATTCACATGCCGAGTCACCTGCTTCAAGACCTGATCAAGACTCTCGTTTGTTCCTGTGCGAAGCATGTTGAAATCCGTCGCGCCGTTGATGTTGACGAAGAGGACGTCCACCTTGCTGATGTCGATGAAACCCGACACTGAGCCAGGCCATCTGTCTGGGTCGGGGTTGGAAGAGAGGTCAACAGAATATAGTACGGAAGTTGACGTGTTGGCTTGCGTGACCTCAGGCAGGGTGTCATCCTTGCCGTCCCAATGGAGCCCACCCAAACCTAATAGTTCTTCTTCTGACTTCTCTGTATAAATAGTCACAACCCAGGTGTATGCGGATGCGTTCAAACTGTATAGTTGATAGAGGCCGCGGTCTACATGACTATTGATCTGATTCAGGATTTGATGGATATGCTTGTTGGTGCCTGTACGGAGCATGCGAAAATCTGACGTGCCGTTGGTATTGACGAAAAGCATGTTAACCTTGCAGTCGTGAATGTGCTTCTCAACTGCATCTTGGGGAGGCCAGGTGGCCGGATTAGTTGACGGGTCAACTGAATAGTGAAGTGGACTTGTCATTTGGAAAATATGTGATGACGGCTGTAGGAAATGTATAAGATTTGACTGTTTCCCTCAGGATCTGGACCCCATGGGACTTTTTATTTAGGCTGTGTTGATTGTGTTTTCTTTTCTTTTTTTTTAGGGATGGGATGTTCTAGTATCATGTGCAGCCTCTCTAACCCCCGAATTGAGGTTAGCAAACCGGAAATGACGTGTATCATTTTAGGCCAATCAACTTGGTTATTTTTCTGGAGAGGATCCCTTGCGAGATCAGTCAGCATTCAATAGGAGTACCGGTACAGTTATGCTGTGTAGTGTTGGTGTGACGGGTAGCTGCGGCTCTGACATGCAAGAGGAACACAGCCAGTGCGGAATTTTGGGACAGTGGAGCGAGCGGCATTATGAGGCATACATATTTCTCGCTCAATTAATTGACACCTATGATTTCGGCACTAATGCAGTATCTGATCCAGAAAGGAGAAGCACCAGCCCTCGCACTGCATTTATTACTTTGTAAGCCCATTGGCTCAACTCCGAAGAGGAAGGTAAAATCCAAGCTCAAAGGTTCAAATATATTACCATCCCCCCATGTATGTGAAGGGTTGTACCCACGATTTATTCAACCTACAAGTGCTTCTACTATGAGATTCTAAACTTAAGGAGAAGAAATACGATTCTAGTATTTTGTTGATATTTGCGGCCAGTGATTATTTCGAGTCACGGTAATCATGAACAAGCTACACTTACTCCATCATGCAAACCAGCATAAAGAAGCTGTGATGTTAATCACAACATAACACCCGAATTGTACGAGAGCTGGCTTTTCAACATGTTGAGGCGAAATGGCTGATTGACAGAAAGTTGCCGAAGCCAAGGACAAAGTTTCCGAGATCATTTTTTGCTGAGAAGCCAACGCCTAAGCCTGAGGCATTATTCTACGCATCCCTGAGAAAAGGCCGCACTTGGGGCAGTGTATCCAGAACAATTCTGTAGCACCGTATTGTTAGCTACGTGTAAGACCACGGCCGCATGACTGATGGCCAAACAAAACGAATGCGAACCCTAACAACCGAGGGTACTAATGATAGAGAAGTGAGAGGTTTCTCTTGTAGATACCTTACTCCGTCATATTTATACCATCACCCATTTATATCTCCAAGAAGATTCCTGGTATTAGTAAAGCAAGTGCTGATCTATTATGTTGGCTGCGGCCGTCGAGCGATGATGAGTTCGAATTGGAGCACTAGAGCCTCCGATTTTGCCCCGGAGAAACACATCTTGCCACGAGGTGATAGCATACCATTTCTGCGCTCGTTGTTGAACACGTCGTTCGTCCCTTTTCTATCGAGGTTAGCTGTTTATACCCTTCTCATTTTAGCCTTAAGCTGACATTAACTTATGCTAACAAACGAACCTGGATGAGCTAATATAGCATCCTGTCTCCGATGCGACCCATCTTGTTAACACGCGTTTACTGTGCTAGGTCCTAGGTTTTTGAAGTCCTCCGCAAGACTGCCAGACATTGCCAATTTGGGTATTATGGCTAATGCAGTGAATGACACATATTTACAGATGTACGCTCTCCTACGGGCCGCGAAGCTCTGCATGATCTATCTTTCCAAGCCCCAATTTTCGATAGTTATTGGGCAAAAACATACAACACTAGACCTTCCCTGGTCATCATCGACCCAACTACCAATCCGGCCCACAGACTCCATTTTCCGAGCCAAAGGCAACCAGCAAGCGATGCTTCAACAACCAATAAATTGAACCAGACTGCCACGCTGACTGGTCATAATGAACATGAATAGTTTTTCCTGCAAAGAGTTTTCTACAAGGCTCGATTTTCCTCTCAAAGTTTTGTTGTCGCCGCTTCTCCTAGTGAGTGCTGGTTAGTTGCACAAAACTAGTCGCAACACCTAGAGGCAAAAGGTACCCAGGGCCCGAAACCGGTCAGTCTATTGCCTGACGTACAACGAGGCGCTTCTGCTCACCACGGCCGTCATGCTACTTCTGACCGCATTCTAGATATTTTGGTAATAATACTATTATAATCGGAGCTTCGGCTTGCTTCTATGGTTTGTTGGCCTAACCTCCTCGCAATACTAAGATAACATACTTTCTCCTTGCTCTATCCCTTCTCTCTTTCCTCTACCTTACCTTCCGCGAAGCCGACTGAGGCCACGGACAGGCACAGCTAGATGGAAAGCCCCAAAAATATTATGATTCGCTAAGAACACTCAAAAGAGCATTAATAGTATACAAAGTATTAAGGTCCAAAGAGGGGCTACATGCTTAGCGGAAGTTGCCGGAGCCGTGGCAGCGGGAAAGTGGGATTCCTCTTTGCTTCTTAATGCAGGCAGTAATAGCACCACCGACCCAAGAGACTCCCTCGTATGAGCCTTCCTCACGAGAGTCGGCCATAAAGGTACCGGTTTGCTTCAAAGAGCCAACACAGCCCTGGAAGGTGCGTCCGTACCGACGGTTGGTCCAGGGCATGGTGATGACGGTACCGGTGTAGCCGTCGTCGATGGTGCCGCGGATCAAAGTTCCCACCTCAGTCTTCCAGGAACGGGAGTAGTTGATGCCCAGCTTAAGGCCCAGCACTTTCTTGATAAGCCCAAGATCAATACCAGCGCTAACCTGAACCTTGTTCTCGATACTAAAGGACTTTGAAATCCTAATATCTATGCCGTTACGGCCAGCGCCAATGATAACGGGGGACATTTGCACGTCCCAGTCGACGAATCGCTGAGTCCTGTCGACAACAAACTGGAAGTTGCTGTTACAGTCCCGCTTGTCGAGGCTGGTGTCGTTGACGATGTTCTCTGCAAAAGCATCGCCAGACTTGAGGAAATCGTAGTCAACCTCGGGGGCTCCAAAAGAGGCACCTGAGCTCTCAACAAATAGCTTCCAAGCCTCCTCGGTAACAATTTGAGCTGGATAGAGTCAGCGAAAGTCATTTTTCATTTCGGTACTCGTTCAATGATCCAGGCAGACAGTATTACGTACCTCGGTTGTCACCAACAACAAGGACCTCGCCGTTGCGGAGGGTGCGGTCAATCTCGGTCACATTGACAGCAGCCTCGCTCTCAATGATGGGAGCAGCGATAACGGCAGAAATCGCCGACAAAAGGGCGAAGAGGCGTAAGGAAACCATCTTCGCTTGGAGGATATGGAGATGATAGGGGCGAGTCGGGTGCGAAAGAATAGGATAGCAAACAGGTAGCCAAGACCAGCCGACGTTTCGCGGGAGTTGCTACAGATTTATAATGATCTCTGACTGCTATTCTGCTTCATTCTCTCATCCATCTCAGGTATCCAACCACTATCAACTACTGTTCCACAACTACTGTTCCACTCTAGATGGATATTCTGCCCGGATATTGATTAGTACTCCCCTTCGTATTGTGTTTCATTTAGTTTTAATTTGCACAGGTCAGCCTTACGAGTCATAGCCAAATGCTTATCTGCGTTAGCGTCCGCCTTGGTATAATGTGGGAAATTTTCAAAGTGCTTCATTTGAGTTTTAAGCATGATACATCTAGATCGAAGCTACCTAGTTGAGGATCTGCAACAAAGTTTCTAGATAGGTCTTGGCAGCTTAATCCCAACATGTGGAATTGTATGAAATGTAGGCTACGAAACGGGCCACAATCCGATACAGCTCCAGACCCCATGAGCTTGGCGATGTGCGGATTCTCTGCCATGGAAAAGACCACTGAAGCACTGCCATTCGTCAGAGCATGGCTAACCCTTCAGTCGGCGCAGGCTTGCTGTGATTGTGCTTTTGAACTAAGAACATGTCCCTAACACTCTTGGTTCGGGGAATCCTGAAAGTGCGAGCAGATTTCCAATTGGTGAGAAACCTGGCAAGGGACAAGTGCTGCATTGAACAGGGCTCCAGCAAGCCTCTCCCGACTTTCCCAAATGGACGCATCTGGGTCAGGGTGGGCATTGGGAGGTTCCAAAAAAGAAGAACACGAGGAGTGGACAAGGTGATGAGACCAACTATGAACGGCGGTGGGCTGAGTCTAGGCTGCCAATGGGGACTGTTGATGATGCCCACGTGATGGACAGACGAAGCCTACGGCCTTGTCCTTATTCTCGTATGGGCAGGAGAGCATTACTGTTTTTCCCCATTGGTATGTAACTATTGGTGGGATGTTCAAGTTTGTTTGCTACCGAGCGAGGTAATTTAATAACCTTGACGCATATTAACAGGTCGTAAATTTAAGCGTTGATCTTCGGCAGGCAGTTGTGTAGTATTGAGAGATTCGAAATCCGGCAATCAAATAGTGTGACAGTGTGCTAATCTTATTATATAGAGCCTCGAGTCGCGGGACGTCAACTAATTGGTTCCTTACTGTCTCGCCCGCTAGGGTACCCTTGCTTGACATTCACGAACGCACGTGTTCGCCCCTGCATCTATCTGATATTTCCTGACAGAAACGAAGAAGGAAAGCAGTCGAAGTCCACGTGTTGATGACACACCTTGCCTTCGCGGTCTCTCATTCGCTTGACCTGCTGCGAATTCCTATTGAGTCGATTTTTGGACTGAAGTGGTCCTTGTGGTCTCGAATTCCCTTTATCATTTAAATAAGCAAGGATACTTATTGCCGAAAAACAGCACTGAGAGCAAGTGTGTTATGTTCGAACAAATTGTTAGTTATTAAACTAAGACTCAAGATCTCTGATGCCATTTTCCCTCATCTTTGAGAGTGTCTGCGATGAGGAAAGAGGAAATCCTCGTCGTCGGAATTACCTTTATCTCTAATGCTCCTCCAGACAATTTTCACTATGATTGCTTAGTAAGCTACAGTAGTTTGGGACACATAAATGATGTGGAGCGAGCTCAAGCTGGCAAGGAGGTGATGTCCTAGTAAGATAATTCTAATGTTCCTCGAGTGCAAGACTGAAATCTGCGAAAGGCCCGGATTTTTGGGCCTCTGCCTTCCGGTCGTGGCGTTGGCTCGTGGAAATAAACAGTGGCCCAAGCTGCGGCAGGCGCATTGGCGGAGAACTGTGGCTTCTGATTCGTTACTTCGGGAGTCCTATCAACAAAAGGCAGTCTCTCATGGTGCACTTGATGTCGCTTCCACACTTTACCATCTTCCATGACATGTCATTCTTGTTGCTTTTTTCTTGAGAAAACATAATAAAACAGAGACCTTCGGGAAAAGTCTTCCAATTTTACAAATTGCAAGCACCGCGCCGCGACCTCATGCGCTGAGATTCTTTTTTCCCTTCTTCTTTCCCTTTTGTTTGGAGGAAAAGGCGATCTGATCAGAAAAAAATCATACTCTCTTGTCTATATTTTGCGATCACTTGAAAAACGCATCCTGATATGCACGGCGAAACTTCCCACTCCACTTCATATAGACATGATCATATCCAGAATCGGAGATGGTCCAATCGTTTCTTTTTCAAGAATCATGACGAAGAGAAAGAGCACGGATATGTGGTGGGAACCCGACTTGGACCTTCTCAAGTTTATGTTATTGGCTCGATTGGCTCTGCTCGCACCCTGCCCCTATCGAGAACTAACTTCTACTACTTTTGAAGTGGCTGCCGGAAACTGGATTGGCATTGAAGCTTGGTAGGTAGTCTGCAGGACCATAGAGACAGAACAGTCATCAGCTGAATATTCTCAAAATCAACCTCAGCCTAATGATACTTTAAAGTCCGACTAAATCGTTATGAAAACAGTGAAGTCTTTGAAGAGCTGACTTGTGCTCTCTAAGGCGTTCAACTGCATGAGCCTCCAAAGCATTGCCTATTGCATGGCCCATGTACCAGACCGCTTCGCTCTAAGTACTGTCTTTTCAATTGACCCAGGACTAAAGCAACATTTATCAAGCCACGACCACCATAGCATAAAATTCTCATAACTCTCAATGCATATAAACTGCTTTGCCAAGATTAACTTTCGACATGGTCTGTCTAGTCTCGCAAGTCATTGGCGAGGCCTTGACACGATGTGGATACTCACCGAACGATTGAAGTCTTGACACAAAAGCATGTTTACCCGCTAACTCAACAACAGGACCTTCAGTCTGGCCCTGCTTCGGAGTTACAAACGATGACTTAAAAAATACCTCCAACAATCAAGCGGTGATTGAGCAGTACGTATGACACGTACAATCTGTATTCCATCAAAAACCTACTAAATATACATCAGCCTCTGTAATCAACGATACCTTAACAGAAAAAATAAAGGCTACTAGTATACAGCAGGTGAAGGTACATATTGGCATACGAGCGAGAGCCTTAATGCTCCTGGATATATCGGAGCGCCGACAAGGCTCAGGTCTCACAAGCGGGGTAACATTAAGAGACGGAGTTCTGCTACTAAGACTACGGGAACTAACTCTAATGCGGCCAAGCCAGATGTTTCTGTTTCTGTCACAAGCACAACCGCTGGAATTCGACATATAGTTCTCACAACCTACCTGCAGGAACTGCTCGTTAGCTATGAAAAGCACCTGGTTATCAAAGCTGACACGCTGCAGTCCACCACCCATTGGAAGTACGACAAAACCCCAGGAATACACGACAAAATAAGGGAATCCTGCGTTATTATCCTTGTTCTACTCTAAGAGCACCAGAGTTATGGATATCGATATAAGCGAGGATAAGCCTAGCGTTACATTCTACGACGTAGTTCCATCCGATATCAGTGCCTATGCGTCTAGGCAGGTGATCAACATATTCATTGAGAAGTACTTCACGAGCATGAATTACTCACTCGCCAATCTTTTCGAACAGATATATAAAGACTGTACCACTGCAAATAGAATTTCTTTATGGCAAGATATCATGGCTTTCACGGCCGGTAAAATTTCAGACTAGGCGGGCATGTTCACTATACCTTCTGAACTACTGTAGGTACTCAGCAATATTTCAAAATTAACGACCAACCTTAGTTTGGAGAATTGCAAGATCTAGAATACAGCTTTTGATAATTATCACAATAATGAACGGGTTACACTAGTATCTCAGGCGATCATAGTAAACCGCAAACAATATGACCGAATTAGCAAGGCTATACGTATACGCGCTTTGTCTATTCTAGAGACCATGAAGGTGAAACGGAGGTCCGCCATTAAGCCCTTCATCGAGTCATTCAGAATACGGAACAAAATCTGCTGAAGGACATTTTAGACATAAGTGCCCGTATCTTACATTACAGAGTAACTCATGAGCGCCTGGCTGAAATGGTGGGCACACTCAAGGAAGAAGCCAAGGTTTGTCTTGAGGAGCTAGAAAATCCTGTCGTAGCGGGCCAATACCACTGAGTGAAGTGGTGCTTATGAATTGCTTTCTTTCTTTAGTCCGGGGAGGGCTATCTGAGAAATCTTTTATGGCTTTGTTATGGCCCGTTCGGCATCATTAACTGAAGACATAGGCCTTACCTACACCGACGGCTACGCTAATGTTTCTGTCCTCCGCCTACTGGGCCCCGTGCTTAGCTATCCAGCCGCCTAGCGGGCCAGCACTTTCTCACACGTATCTATGTGGGGTATGAGAGACTACATCCCTGCCAACATGCTTTATGTAGATCTTCCACAATTATGCATCTATAACAGTCTGAGAGAGGTAACATCATACCGGAATAATGCCGATAGAGAGGAATGACTACTTTTGGTTTCGTAATGCTTATGGTAGTTTCTCTTTGATTTTCTGTCGATTAGGAAGAATATCTCATGTAGCCAGAGGGAAAATGGCCACTTCACGAAAGCAGCCGCGAGTTCTGACTGCCCCACGACCTCCTTGCATCGCACGACACAAGGCATCTGCAACTGTAGCGCCACTTCATACCCGGCTTGGTCACGGGTATTTCACTTGCTATCTTATGTTAAGGTGCGGAGCACCTTCGGCTGAATATGGTCGAGACTCCTTTTTTTTAGCAAAACTGCCTACCCACCCAGTCAGGATACAACAGGGGTTAACAAACATATTGGCAAGATCGGTGAGCAATCATGACTCAGGGCAAAGCGTTGTATTTTTTTTTTTTTTGTCCTGAAACATTTATGTTCTATATTCCAAGCAAAATCTTTAGGAATTCGTCTAGCAGCACCCAAGAATCATCTGGGGTTGTGCCAATTGACAACAGTCATTTAGATTTAAGAGTGCCTTTACTTGAACGTTACTCCGCGCTGTATGATCTAAACTAGTAAGAGGACCAAGCGAGTCATACAAGACCTGAAAGAGATCAATATTGTGGGAAAGCCCCAGTACGCCATGACTTCAAGCTCCGCAATGGGAGTTAACCGCGTCACCGCCCTTACTGACAACTCCCAAAGGGGTAAATCCCTCATCCGTCATTTTAAGAAAACAAATGATCAGTATCCTATACTAAGCTATGTAAACATCCTTTCTTACGTAACAATATCTGTTAGTGAAGCTACTGGCTCTTGGGTAACAAATGGGCGAGAATGTACCAAGGTAACTACCGGCTAGCTCGACCATCACTAAGTCGCATGACCTCTTGCCACGCTTTAAAAGTAAGACCTAGTTGCTGTTCTAGGCGAAAAAACATATTGGATGTGTTTTCTCTTCCGCAACTCTTCTATTCACCTCAAGATTTTAGAACTAGATAATTGAAAATGAAGGCTTCTCTAGTACTCTGCCCTCTCAGCCTGCTGATAAGCAGTGCCATGGGCGTCGACATGAGTAAATATGAAGCAGAAAGTGGCGTCGATGCTTCATTCGAGCCGTTTCTTGAAGCGTAAGTTAGTCCTATTTGAGAGCTTGCCCAACGCAATTCCACAACAACCCAGACTCAACTTTACGATATAATCTATACTTGGCATTCTGTCCCGCTGCACAAAAGCTGACATAACCGACAAGCCTGTACGCTTCCGCAGAGGATTACAAAGCAACCGACACTTTCACCGACTACTTCGTCCCGGAGACCGGCCGACTGGTTGTCCTTGAGAACGTTGCGCAGGGCCCCGACGCCATCGTTAAGCTCAAGGAAGCGCTGCTCCCACCGACAGGTGAGAAGCACTGGAACCACCTGCCCAACGTCACGTCTGTGTACTCCGAGAGTGCCACCGAGAAAATCTACAACGTTCTCGGAGTCATTCAAACGCGATTCGATGGCGGTAACTGTTCTGCAGCATAGTAAGTTTCACTTTTAGTCAAGTCGCGTTATTTTCAATGTGCCTTTCTTGCTAGTTCATTGTCATGATAGATAACTAACAAAGTCTTACAACCAACAGCTACTCCAGCCGCTTCACAGTTAAGAAAGACAGTGACGGTAACGTCTTGAACCAGCCGCACAGCGGTAGTCTCGCCTTGTACGATGACTACATTGTGAGCCCTGCTGAATCCCCCACGCACATTCCTTGCTAGAGGAAAGGAGATGATGGTGGGGTTATTTGACATTAACGCGTCGAGCATCGGTATACAATGCATCGCTTTGTTGCCCGGCCCGATAGCCAGAAGTTCGCGATGCACCCTGAGACATATTCTTGTTTAGAGATTCATGATATGATGTTGTTGACTGAGGTTTGGAATAATGTTTTAAGTTAAATAAACACAAATGACCAAATTTTGTTCATATTTAGTAGGAACAATATCTCATAGTACGAGATAGGTGATGTTTAATCAGTAACCATGTGACTTGTGGTAGCATTATATGACATCTGGGTTTAGTGGAAATGTGAAAAAAAAGAACAAAAAATATTTACCTCATCTTCACAACAAGTTTGGCATCCTAAGAAATCAAACCGTGTTTTATACATGATACATTCTAACAACACATCATCAATGCAGTCAGTCCTTAACAGACTATCAGTAATGGAATCAATGTCGACTTCGTCCAAGTTGCTTGGTCAAGGACGCCGGGGCATCTTATGAAAGACTGAATTTTCGAGATACAAGATCTGCAGCTTTGTCGTCTACGAAGCATACAGATTTGAAAGAGAGTGACGAATGATTGGACTTAAGCAGGTGGATCATGTTCCCGAGAACACTTTCTTTTCTAATGACTGTTATGTTTTGTTTGAATGGCATGAAAACTCTTCAAAAGTCAACATGAGAACATCAATTAAATGACATTCACTTGCTTTGAGGCTGAACGGATATCATCGTCTCCGGAAAATCTCGGAAGCCTCATGCCATGTACTCCGAGGCCTTGTTTATGGGCAAAAATCAAGCGGCCAATCGAACCCAGACACGAGGCCAGAATATTCGTAGAAGATCTCCAGACAAAGGAGATCGGCACAGCTTAAGTTAAGTAAAAAATTCAGAATGTCAGCCTTCAAAAGGGCCGAATGGACAGTTGAGTGCTTCCGAAAACCTTGTGTCTCCATCTGTAGGTTTCACAGGGGGTGAAACAGGGGGTGAAACGGAATTCCGTTCGTCAATAACAAATAACAGTAAATTGGTTCTAATCGATGGTTCATGATGATAGTTGAAAGTGGTGTTGTTGACTAGAAGGTGGGGATATTCCCCCTTGGCCTGTCACGTGGGTCTGGGAGGCTTGGGCCTCTCAGCCTGGCGGGCGTGTGGCTGGAAGTGCCACACGGCTCCGTATTCCAACTATCGCAACACTGGAAACTCTCTTTTTATGGTGTTGAAGCGGTTGGAATACGTTGTCCCTATACAGTTCCGTCTCCTCGTCAATTCGGCCTCCTATCCCTACTTTCTCCCGTAGTTACGGTCTTGTTACCCATCCCTCCATACGTATCGTTATCGTGTTGCTATCAACGAATCTCTCGAGGGCTCGATTTGGTTTGCTCTTCGTGAGGGCATCAGCAGGGTTGTCTTCGCCGTTAATCCAACGAATTTCTTGTAGTTCTCGTCTTTCGTACGATTGTCTCAACGCCATGATATCGATCATGAGTCGCTTTTCTTTGGTAGTGCCCAGCTTCACGAGACACTCGTACAGCGAATAAGAATCGGTACAGACAACTGTCTGAATCGTTGGTAGGTTGAGGTGGTCAGTGATTGTCGCCAGGGTTGTGGCGAGGGCGTAGGCCATATCGACGCCAGCGACCATCCCGTAGATCTCTGACGCTAATACGCTGCGGGTGACTCGTTTACTCTTCGTAGAGCTGTAATGAACGAGGTTACCGTGAATCGTGAATTCTCCGTTGTTGCTGTCAGAGGAAGTGTCGTTGGCTAGGATGATCAGAAACCCTAATTGGGAGGAGAGGTCGTGGTTATTAGCGAACGACCCGTCAACGAAAACGAATAGCTTGGCTGTTGTAAGGTCGAGTGGGATAAACGTTATTCCTCGGTTAGGCGATTCTATTTGCCATCGAATCCGTTGATTCAGTGCTTTTATCGCTTCTGGCGAGGGGTCTTGGTGTTGGGCAGCAGTGGATAAATCGAAACAGGCCTCGGGTTGGCAAATTGACGCGATGTACGCCCCTCTGGCGCGTTGTTCGACATATTGCTGTTTTGGGTTGGGTTTAGTAGTCTCAATACATCGTAACTTCTTGGCTTGTCCCTTTTGCCTCAAATTGATCGAATTGTCGGTTGACAGCGCGATTATCCCTCCGTTGAATTGGAGGGGTTCGTCAATTGTGAGGATATTCTTCGCTTTTGCCGTAAAAGCCGCTTTTTCTAACTGTTCGTCTTCTAATTGTGAGAACGCCTTGTCTGACAAACCGAGGGTATCGTCGGTTTGCATGCCGATACAGCCAAAGTGTGGATTTTCGGTAGATGAGATCAATAGGCATGGATCGTACGAAGAAGTAACCATCTGGAGATTCTCTCTGTGATGCTTGTGATACGTTGCCCACCAGTGGGTTCCAGCTTCTGCGATTCCGTACAGAGGCTTCACAACCTCCATAATGGTCCCTTTTGGGTACTGGTCTTGAATTTGCTTCGGTGGGTAGGCGAGAATAGTACGATTGAGCCTTGTGGAGGATTGAACGTAGGCTTGTGTGATATCTCGAAGCCATAGTTGTTTCCCTTCTCGTAGGAGTGACGGGGTAATTGACAGAATTAGCCGTTGACTCGCCCGTTGAATCGTTGGCGATTGGGTCAATATAGCCTTCTTGCTATCGTCGGCGTAACCCTGTATTACAAGTCTCGATTTCTCGTAGGGTTCGGTTGTTTTACCCTTGACTTCGTTGACGATACGAGATCGGAAGATTCGTACGTTCTGGTGCCTTCTCTTATTGAACTGGGTGAATTTGAACACTCCTCTAGCGATGAGGCTGTTGATCTCTTGTTTAGTTGACTGTTCGAACGGTTCGCCTGGTGTAGTAATAACACCTTCTCGTCGTAGTTTGATTGCCAATTCTTCGTCTGCTTGCTCCTTAATCGATAGGAATATTTGTTGATAATCCGGGTCATCGTTGAATTCCTCTGTGAAGTGGGCGATTGGCAGTGGTCTCTTCCGGGGTCTGCCCGGGCGTCTTCTCGGTGGCTCCGGTGCCTCTTGCGGTTCGTCCGGTTCACTGCCTCCGCCGGCGACGATAATTTCGTCGCGTACTACTTCCTGCTGCGGTATCTCAGCTTCGGGTTCTTCTTCTTCTGGCGCGGCGATGGAATTAGGTGGTTGATCGGGATCTTCGTAGTATGGTTTGACTACGGTAGACCGGAAGGTCTTCGGACCACGTGGCGTATCGACAGTACAGGTTTCGCCGTTTATGGCTGCTAAAGTAAACGGTCCGGTCCAGCCCTTCTTTTCGCGTACATCGTACATATCGCCGCTGTATTTCATATCGTCGGGGTATAGTTTCGCGAATTCTGTTAATTGCTTTCCGATACGGTCTGTTGACTCGTATGGTTGGAAGTCTGTTAACGGAGAGACCGTGGGATGTGGCGGTCGGTACGGTAGTTGCCACTGTTGTTGTTCTTGTGGAGGAGGTGGCTGTAGGGTTGGTTCGACTCTTCCTCCTGTGCTGTTGGCTACTGTTGCCGGTCTCGTGATCTCTTCGTGGAATTCGGGGTCTTTTATCAGAGCCTTCAGGTTGCGATATCTCTTGACGCCTTGTTCGAGTTCTTGGGGTGACCAGTAGTGGAATTCTTCCTTTTTGAGGGCTAATGCCACGTTTTTCGAGATTTTCTTGCCATCCATTTCGACGTAGACGCCGTTACCGATTAAATGGTCTCTGAAGAATCGTAGGATTGGGGGAGGTACGTTCTGGAAGTCTTCTTCTGACCAGTCGGCGAAATCGGGAGAAACTTCGTTCCATAGCTCGAGGCCCGTGAGATTCCTCTTCTCATAGGTCTCAAGTAGGAAACCCATATAGGAACCCAGTTGCTGTGGGCTAGCGTTTGTAAGGTCGATTGCCCAGTTGCCCCATACTGCTGGATCGATCATACTTTCGATTCTCTGTGGGATGGGGACTGTTGATTGGCTTTTGGCAGTGACGCCGCTCGCGGGCGATCCTTCTCGTGAATTTCGCTCCATTCTGACAGTATAAAAGGATTACTTCTGTTTAGAATCTTGAATTCTAATCCTCAACAGCGTCAGCTGCGATTGGTGCAAGATGCAGGCCTGGAAGTGGGAGTCAAAAGACGATTCGGGATATTACGATTCTAAGGGGAAAGAATCGTGAAATCGGGGATTTTCGTCGGTTCGTCGTTTGTTTCCGTCGGCGCCGTTCTCGCTGATGTTCTCGAGGGGTGTGAGGGTATACACAGGTCTCGAATTGGTAGGGAGAGAGTTCTACCGTAGATTCTCTCGTGAATCTCTCTTTCTCGCTTCGGGCTTCGCTCCTCACTGTTGGGAAGTTTAGAATCTAGCGGACAGTTGGCCTTATGACGCCCACAACCACGTGCGTTTCTCCTAAGCCGCAGCCTCGGAGGCGTATACGTATAGCTGTATAGGCGGATTACCGCCGGTAGTCTCCGCTCGCCTTTCGGCGTGTTCTTCTTCTGGTAGGGAGGTCTCTTGTGGCAGGCGCCTCGCGGTTGGCACCTCGTCTGGGGATTTATTGAGAAACTAGCGGGCGCCTCGTGATTGGCACCGCGCGTGGGGGATAGTTGTAGTTGGGGAAGTTGTTGTCCCTTGTGGGATTCGTGAATCTTCGCCCTTGTGGCGTGAAGAGGTTGGAAGACCGTCGATTCGGTAGGTCTCTTCTTCTGGTGATTGAAAACGCGTGATGGAACGCTCTTGCCAGCGATAATTGGCTGCGATTAACCTTATCCCGCCTAGGGTGAGCGTAGCAGTCCCTAGGTTACTCGAATAATCGGATTGCTGGTAGATTCGAGGAAAAGAAGCTTTCTTCTGCTGGTTTCCGTAGATCCCAGTTACTCTCGCTTCTTCTCTCGTTAGCACGAAATCCCTACTTTTACCTGGGCTTGGGTATCCAGTTCAAGAAGTCGTCTCTTCTGGTGTTGACCTTGCTGATCTGCGGTTTGTCCGTAGCAGAGTGGTAATTGTGAAGTTAACCAAATTAATGGCAACTGTGAGGTTTACCACTGATCAGTGTAGGTTTCACAGGGGGTGAAACAGGGGGTGAAACGGAATTCCGTTCGTCAATAACAAATAACAGTAAATTGGTTCTAATCGATGGTTCATGATGATAGTTGAAAGTGGTGTTGTTGACTAGAAGGTGGGGATATTCCCCCTTGGCCTGTCACGTGGGTCTGGGAGGCTTGGGCCTCTCAGCCTGGCGGGCGTGTGGCTGGAAGTGCCACACGGCTCCGTATTCCAACTATCGCAACACCATCAGAGTCTCGTAGAGGCTACGTGGTTACCCACAGCCATTAATATCAAAGAAGTCTAAGGGCCAGACACAACGCAGTGTGTTTACCGGTACGTTATTTCGTTGCCTTTCTGGCGTCTTTGATATGTTGACAAATTCCAAATTTGCCGGCGCTAGAAAACACTCAATGATCTTGTTCACTGGTTTTAGCGGACAGAGGCATGCTAGACTGATAGCTTATATTTGAGTCAAGGCTCTAGCTCCAAAACTCCTTAATTGCTAGACTGTTACTTGTGTACTTTGAGCCTGGGTATATTATTTACTTATCATTTCATGTGTGCCGGAGACAATAGTCTATAGCAAAATGTCTCCTCTGTAAAAAGGCTAGTCACAATACTTGATACTTAGTGTTCTTCTCCTTTCCCACTCTTTTAATTCTTATTTAAGGGTCTGAAGTAAAAGTTACACTTTCCAGGATTCCAAACTGTTTACCTACTCTCCTATGGCCTAGCTGTACGTCACTGCGTTACAGTTGCGTGCGGAGCCTTCCAACCTGTAGGAAATTTGGGTAGTACAGACGCCTACTAGAGTTGCTACTTACTTTATGTGTCTTGGGATGCTATAAACAGAGGTTATCGCCCTCTAGAAATGGCCCCTTGACACTAACACACACAAACTCTTTGTAGTTATAACATGACTACCACAAACGTGTGGGTGCCAGGCGTCGCGGACACTGACTTATCTACGTCTGTGTCCCAAAAGAAGCCAGCACAACGAGTTGTGGATGTTCAATAAGTGGGTAGCGCATGCAAAAGTTGTTATCCTAGTAATACATTCCGATTCAGTACCGGTCGAGTATGTTAGACGATTTGACGGCAAAATGGTCGAAGTGTCTCAGCCAATCGCAATGCTGGTAGGCGTGGAAAAAGTTGAGGAGACCATATTTGTATCGTTTGATTGGAAATAAGGGCGTTGAGAAACGTTGCATCGTGTATAGTATCACATCCCGTGATCATACAAATTTGCACTCAGTTTCGTCATTTATCCTACCTTTGCGCCATCAAGTTCTAAGCGGGGTGTCTCCCTTATAGTGGGGGAGTTGCCAGGGTATCACCATGCGTGAGGGGGTTTGCCAAGGCCTTGATCGGCAATGCCTACCTTTGTAAAGTCATTTTATTTCTCAGTAAAGACTATTTAATCTGCCATTTCATCTTCGAGATCCACTGTTTCTCCCATCATCTTCAGTATTTTCAAACTGGGCCTTACGGTTGGGTACGGCATATCATGCTACCATTAGCCTCTTCAGGAAGCTCCTGGCTCAAAGCCAATGCCTTTAGCTCTATTGTCTTGGCATCCGTGTGCTGCGCTGCCACCATTCCTTATAATAACAGTCTTGCCATCCATCTACCATCTTACGGAACTTTTGATGGCACAACCTTGAATTCAACTACATCAGGGTACCCTCTCGCGAAGCCTGTTGATGTATGGTACGGTATCGATTATGCAACGCAACCGATTGGAGACTTACGATTTTCACCCGTCGGGTGGCCGTTGCCTTTTAACGGAACGCGGAGCGCGAAATCATACGGCAAAGTCTGTATACAAGAACCCGGCAACTCCAATTTGGTGACTTTCATCAAGACGGATTTAGAATATGGAGAGGATTGTTTGAACATGAACGTTTACAGGCCCTCTGGAGTGAGCTTTGAGAAAAAGCTGCCTGTGCTGGTTTGGATCCATGGAGTATTTCGCACCAAATTCACATTGAGTTGGCTAAGCTAAACAAAGGCAGGGTCTCTTCCGTAACTCTGCTGGCATAACTTGGGACGGAGCCTCTTTTGTAGCCGCTTCTCCAGAGCCGGTAATTGTCGTCACATTCAACTATAGGGTTCGTCGGTTGTTCCACTTAGGTTTTCCGTGTAACTAATACGCTCTTTCAGCTTGCTGCCCTGGGATTTTTAGCGTCGCCTCTTCTCGCTGAGAACGACCTGGTTAATCTAGGTCTCCAAGACCAACACCAACTTCTTCGTTTTGTTCAAAAATACATCTCGAATTTTGGCGGAGACCCAACTCGCGTCACTTTGGGAGGTAAATCTGCCGGTGCTCACTCTGTGGGCTTTCACTACCAGAACCCGTTCAAGAAGGGAGTGGAGCTATTTCAGCAGGCAATCTTTCAATCCGGTGGCCCAACTGGGCGTTCCTTCCCGAACGCGTCGGATACACTTATCGTTCACCAATATGAACAGTTTCTGGAAAGAGTCGGGTGCCGTAATAATATTAGCATTGAAGCTCTGTTGAAGTGCCTAAGGCAACTGGACGTCAAACTCATTGAAGAAACATCCACCGCACTGTTGGCTGAGTACCGTTTTGACGGCACACATCCTTTTCAACCTGTTTCTGGTGCCGTTATAATACCGCAGCTTCCCTCGGAGTCTTGGGATCTAGGGCTATGGAACCATTTACCAGCCCTTACTTCTTTTATCACCGACGAAGGAACTTTGTACGCCCCTACGAACTTGACTACAGACGATCAAGCGTGGTCTTGGCTTTCTAACCTGTATCCGGGGCTTGATTCAGCTGACAAGGAGACTTTTTCCCGTCTATACCCTGACCCGCAGACTTATGCAGACTCGCCATTTGCGGATGCTCGTGGAAAGTCCGCTCAGTTCACCCGGCTCTCTGCTGTTTATGGCGATACAACATACATCAGTTGCGCACAAGAGATTGCTTCTCGCCTCTCAGCAGAAGATGTTCCGGTGTGGAAGCTGCACTGGAACAGCAATAACAGCATCACCCCATACCTCGGTATTTCTCATAGTGCCGACGTCCCATACGGATGGGCTGAGCCTGGCACGCAGTTTCCGGGAGCTGGAACGATACTCGCTAGGTACTATGCAAGCTTCGTTACAAGCGGCGATCCTAACCAGCACAAGGCAACGGACGCTGTGCACTGGAGGAAGTATTCAGAGGCGGGCTCTGACGGCTTAGGATGGCAAGTTAATGTGAGCCCTAATGGAACTTGGATTGAGCGGGATGAGGTGAGAAGAGAAGCGATCGAATACTGGAGAGCAAGTCCGAGAAAGCTAGACCATTGATTTCGCTCTCTAGCAAGAATATGTTGACTCGATAACGGGTTCATATGCGGGCAAACATCACTGAATGCTGTTCCAAGTACTGTTCTGATGAACCATGTTGATCAGTTTATGATACACTCTAAAAAGATGCTTAGTGACCCTGGTTTATATTTTTATCTCTCCAATCCAAGCTTAGAATACTAAATTCAGCTCGATAATCAGTTTGTACGCTTTATTTCGAGCGTGAGACCATAAAGACTTAGATCCTGGCAGCTACCGAAAGGACCTTCAAATAATCCAACGAAAAAGTCAACCTTACATTCCTCCATCCTACGGAAGCATTAATCACCCCAACCTCTTTACATGAGAATAATAACGGCAAGTAGACAGAAAATGGGAGCCATAACACTGCGAGCGGCGTGGAATGGACTTGCTATCGAAACCGTAGGCTTCGAAGGATCGGTAATGGGAGAAGAATTGATTTCGATGCTTGCAGCTTCTACTCTCAAGCTCGAAATATTGAAGCAATTTGAACCATCGACAGGAAGTATTTTCGATTCGTCGCTTGTAAATATGATGTCTGCGCACTATTAAACTGTATGTTAGCGATGCACAAGCTAGGACCCTCAGGGAGAACATACACTGAACAGCGTACCGCCATGCTGTGCCGCCTGGATAACCTGAATCGACGCCTTGTCGCCCTCTCTCGGGTTCAATCCTGCAGGAATGGGCACCTTGGGTAGGCAGAATGTTCCATCGTAGGCTTCGTTGGTCGGCCCGGTGAGGTGGAACATGGGAACCATGACCGTGGTAAAGCTGGCAGGCTCCTCGCCGATGCCGATGTTGATGTACATAAGAGCACTCTTGTGGCCGCTGTTGAAGCCGGGTTGGACGGCGATGGCGCCGCCATCCAGAGGCCAGTGGGTTCTGTTGGATGTGACGCCTAGACCACCGCCTAAGACGACCGTTTTGTCAGCCCGTAAACCGTCAACTTCATACGTGGTACTGGATTTCGAATGGCGGCGGACAAGGAGGCAGGTTAGCATTCAACACATACATGGATATATCCACTGCATCCCAAAGGGGAATGTTTCGTTACTGAAGATGTTGTTGCCTCTCCATCCGGGATACGTGATGGCGACATGTGCTTGGGCTAGCGAGGCGAATAAGCCGCCGAGGGCAATGAACGATGCAGGCACAGTCTTCATGTTTGTAAATTGTATGGAGGCATTATCTAAAATGCACGAAGAAAGTTCAAGCTATTAGGGTAACTCGGTTTTTGAATGCATTCTTTAGCGTCACACTTGGGTAGGACGAATCCTCTGACACTGGTATTGCACATGCCAACGTCAGCGAAGTCCAACGTGTTACTGACAAAGTCCGGTGCCGTCATATCACAACCGTCGGATCGAATAAGGTTGTCCGAGTTCACAGACGCATGTCAGCCCTACGGAGGGCCGGGAGACGGACAGTCAATGTTTGCTGTTGTAGGCTAACGCCACGTCTGGAGCTGATTGGAGCTTCGGCTTCCGGTTGTATTTGTAAGGTTCACCGTACAATGAGATATAAGGCGTACCTACCAAGGAAGTTGGGCTTCTAGCATTAGACAGCAACTCTAGCCAACAAGTTTCTAGCCAACATGGCTGTTCCTTCGGGGTGGAAGAAGAACCGTTCCGGTAGTGAACTACCTTGCCTTTGGCCAATTGAAGCTTCCAATTGATTAAACAAGAAATTAATGGAGAAAATTACAGCGATTGAATCAAGGTCTGATCATTACAAAAAAACAAAGTATACTACATGGAGGAACAAGCCTGCTTTGATCTTACATCACAACGGGCGATATCGTAGCATACCCGCAAAAGCCTACTTAGAGTGACACCAGTTCCCTAAGTCTCACGTTTTGGTCAGCAAATCAATAGCAAGCCAACGCTTCTGATTGGCTCTGGTAATAAGAACCGACGTCAACATGCGCTGCTACAACTGCAGAGGAGCCATCCGTTTCATACAACAAGCGCCAGTTCAACTGCCAGCAGTGGGGGATGGGGAAGAGATCATTGCCAAGCCTACTTAATAGGGATGGTTACCCAAACGTACACCGCTGTCAGCGCTAGCGCTGCGTGTGCAGTGAAGTGAGGCAGTGTTTGAATGTGACGTTGGAGTGCTGCACCCAAGAGCTGAAAACCAGGATGAAGAAAATGCCCAAGAAGTAGAGGGAGGACGAAAGAGAAGAGAAACAACACAGAGGCATATAGGCTAGCTAGCCTGTTCAAACCAGCACATAACACTGACTGGCCACCGTCTTAGTGGCAGATACGCGATAAACACTAAACCCAGACAGTCCTGAAGGCATTGATGAGAGCGGACTTTTTCTGTCCTTAGCTATCGCAGCAATTGAAAGTGTCTGCCACTATCCATACAATGGCACGGCGGGACGCATTTCGTGGCAAACAACATAGCTGGATTTCATGTTGCACCCGCAACTCATCTGCTCTAGTGTACTACGTCGTCGTTAACCTCGTTTGCTAAGAAAAAAAATAATTAATCGGGGTAGCAAGGCTCCATCAATCCAGTGATGCAAGAAACCAAATCCTTCGAAACCCATTGATTGCGCCCGACAACAAATCACAACGCGTTTGCCACGTTCGAGACGCTCCATCACGGGCGCGGGAGGCCCACGCAATCTCCCGGCTGGGAAGGTTCTAACTGGCTGGAACATTACGCGAAGACGGGCCACTCAATATGAGGGCAAACAACAGGGATACCGGGGTCGGCTGGGCGTGAAAAACAATGGCACTCGTGGAGACGATTGGAGGAGTTTCGCCATGTTCCTAACCCCCACCCCCTGTTCCACCTAGGCGGAAGTCCCAAAAGACGCATATCACAAACAGTGTCCAAGGGCCGCTATCCAGCGGGAGTCTCCCACTTCCGGGTAGCAACATGGGATACGATCCGTCGATACTGTCAGTGGGATTCGGGTCTGGGCATCCGGATACCAGGTCCATGTTTGTGATGATCTTTGCTGCGGCAAAGTTATCCGTGTCTCTGGAAGCGCAAGCTCCCGTTCCCATGTCTCTTCAAGTGCCGTCTTCCCATTTGCAATCTCAGTCGGGCCAATGTCGAACCTCGTCGTGCGACTGGACTACTAAACACCCTCCCCTGAATTGCCCGAGTCCAGGTCTCGCGTTGCCTAGCCTCGTCTGCCACGGCGATGGCGGCCGATCATTGCATCACGCACGTCGCCTTCAATAGGCAGCAGGCCCTTGGCTCAGGGGGTTTTCTCGAACCAAGGTCTTGTCTGAGATTGGCCAACCATGGCTCCTTCAACCACTTCTCTCTTGGCCTAGCACATAGCAAGGCTGCCATGCCTGCTTGACCTCCTTGATGTATGTATGCGGATTAGGTAAAACTGTAACTTGCCCCGTCGAATGGCTTCCTCCAAGGGGGCACACCCAGTCACCCATATATTATTGAAAGTAACAAGGGTGGTCGGAGAAGGTATAGTTTAAAGAGCAAAGCTCCCCCTTCTACTGTTTACAGCTCGTCTTTAGCACAAAAGCTATTCAGCCTGTCAATACCTCATCACAACTCTCAAGACTGTAACTGGTCTCAGCTTGCTGCTCGCCACCCCCTCCCACACACATACACATACACCAGAACACCAGTTCAGCAAATCAAGGTCCCCTCCCCCCCAAAGTCAACATGCAGTCCAAGCTCCTCCTCGCAGCCACCGCCGCCACCGGCGCCATGGCCGTCCGCGACCTCTCCGGCGCCCTCCCCGAGCAGCTCCGCCGCGCTGAGCTCGCCGCCCGCGACCAGACCGAGTGTTTGGCCGTCTACGCAAAGCACTCCACCCTCCTCGACGACTTCCCCGAGGCCCCCACGGCGCTCGCTACCGCCACCGACATCCCCATCCCGACCCTCACTGACCCGTGCGTGTTCCCCACGATCACGGGCCCCGTCGGCGCCGTCATCACCTCCTACTCCTCTGCCCTCCAGAGCTGGCAGGACGCCCACATCACCGAGCTCCGCTCCCTCTACTTCGCCTGCAGCGACGTCCCCCAGTTCTCCCAGGTCATCCAGCAGTACAGCGCCGTCATCTGCTCCACGGCCCTGGACGTCATCACGTCCACGGGCGCCAGCAACGGGACTGCCACTGCTACCGGCACCGCCACCAGCGGCGCCACGGGCGCTGGCGAGACCACCGCTGCCCCTACTGGCACTGACGCTTCTGCGTCCGACGCTGCTGCGACAAGCTCTTCGTTCAACGCCGCTCCCAAGGAGACTGGCTTTGTCGTCGCTGCTGCCGCTGCCGCTGCCGGTATCGTCGGCGCCGTCATGCTCTAAGCTTGTCTGCCTGCGCTTGAAGTGGCGCTCGCGGCGGACGAAGTCCGCGAGGTTGATTCATGGGCCTCAATGATGTTGTGAGGATAAGGTACTCAAGTAACTAGAAATAAGACGTAGGCGTGTGTTACCTATGTAGTAAAATTTTGTAATCGATGGCTTTGGGGAGTAGATATACCCTGTTGATCAAATTTCCATCAGTCCCCCTGTGTCTTTTTTTGTCTGTGAGATGTCTTCAAGGGTAATCAAGCGTTGGCCATAGCTCCGCTCCCTGGGGAAGTTTGTTAAAGAGTTCATCTGTGGTTGAAATAACCGAGCATGGTATGACTAGGTTGATGCGACAAAGAGTATAATAATTCTGGGTCTGATCGGCCAACACATTGGATGATCCAAGATCTACATGTTCTACGTCGCGCTGGAAGAGAGCAATCCGATTCAGAGTGATAAATTGACCTCATCGAAAATTTCGGCGTCTTTCAATCGGCGTCTTTCAATTGAGTTAATCCTGTACGAGTTTGTATGTTGATGAAAAGACATTTCGTGTTCGAGTCTACTTGTCGACAAACAAGGTGGCACGAGCCAAATATGGACATGTCTCAACATCGAAGGGCAGCCTATATTATTCAGCCAGCGGCCTCGGCAGAAAATTACTAGGATGCAGGACACGACGGATGATTTTACTGTTAAAGACGAACCCAAAGGTTGGCGCTCAGAGATTGGTATCTTGTTACACTTCAAATAAACATGTATACTCCCTACGCCATAACACGGGCCTGCCACCCACCCCTCCGATGATAACCCAAAGCTGGAACCGGGAAAAGACCATTTTTATAAGTCAAGCAAACCGACGCCGGGACCAGACAACCATATGAATCACGCCCTGCCAACCCACCCTGCGTTAATGAAGAAATCAAAGATCCGGCCACCCTTCTGAGAATCCAGCCTACAGATTTCCTTGGCCTGCTTCTTCTTAAGAGTGCCGTTACTCTTGAGGGCTTCTTTGAGAATCTGTTCTTTAATCATCAGATACGGCTTCGGTTGCAACCGCACAATTTCGCAGAGTTTAGCTTCCTCAGGGGTGAGAAGGTGCAGGTCCGGCGCAGACTCTTGTGTAAGAGTGAGAGGCGTGACACCAGGTAATGCCTGCGCCATGTACTTCTGCCGCGTGACTGGACCAGAGGGGCCTGTGCCATTGGCCACAATGACAGTGCCATTTGTCGAGGTCCCGTTGACGTTGCCATTAGTCTGAGGCTTGCTTTCTCCGTTGGTGTCACTGGTGCCATTGGTGGTCGGGGCAGACCGGATTGGCAGTTCGGGAGCAACAAGAAGAGCGGCCCCGCTCGGGGGGTCGGGGACGGCGGCAGCCTTGGACCGCTGAGCCGAGGCCATGCGCTCTCTGTCCATGGATCCCATTGGAACCGCCTTCTGTGCTCTCTGCGACTTTTCGGTCTCGTATTTCTCTCCACTGCGGAGATCACCAATTTTCATGCTTCGCCATTCCTGGAGTTGTGTGATGGCTTGTCGCAGGTTGAGCTCATCAATAAGTCCTTGGCACAAGCTTTCAAAATCATCGTGGTTCATCATCCTTGCAAAAGGCTTGGCCTTGTTCAGGAGATCCCTCTCCTCCTTACTCCTCTTCTTTTCAATCTTGGTATTTTCACGGTAGTCAAGCAGGTTGTGCTCAAATATGACCTTCTTCCTGTCGACACGCTGTGTCAGGCGGCAGTTGTAAATGTCCATCACTGTCAGCTTCAGCTCCATTTCCGGCTCCAGTTCGCCCGTTCTGGGGTTGAGACCATCGCCAGGATCAAACTGCATAAGCTGAACAGCTTCTTCAGCCTCATTTGCGTATTCCGTCTCGAACTCCAAGCGACCGGGCATGTAGCCTTGGATTTCGTGGCATGCCGGCACTGAGGCAGTGGGCTTCGTTTTGGGTTGTAATGTAGGCGCATTCTTGGCAGCTTCCTTGCGCTCTTCGATTCTGCGCTTCTTCTTTGCCTGGAAGTCTTCTCGCGAGATCTCGTTGGCAAGCTCGTTATCGTGTGGGCTGCAACGTTTCGGCAGCGGGAACCGAGGCGAGTCGACGTAAACCTTGAGATAATGGTCTCGGACTTCGTCTTTATGGCGGAAACCACCAATGTGGTCGGCAATGTCGGCCCATGATCCTAATCCATATATCTCTGCACCCTCGAGCAGGAGCAATTCTTCGTCGGCGCCCCAGTCTCGGTCAAAGATGGGAAAGGAATTCTGTTCGATAACGCGATATGGATGTGTTTCGGGTTTGTGGTTCGAACTGGACTTTCCCTGAGAAAAGCATTGGACGCAGAGGTCGTAGTCATTGCAAGCGGAGTGGGCGCATCTAATGCGAACCTAGGGACACGAAAGGTAGGCGTTAGCGGGATGCGCGAGATGCAGGCGACGGGGCACGTATGCGCCGGAGCTCGGCCGGGGGGGTACACCAGCTCCGGGAGATGAAAAATCAAAGGACAACATACCGTCGATGTAATGTCTACAGAGCAAATGTCACAGTGATATTTAACACCACCCTCGCCGCCCCGGGTGACGGTTTTCTTTCTGATGACGCCCATTTCGTCCAGGGCTGCGGTGGGGACGTGGAGGCCAGCCCCTGGCAAGGCTAAGCCGACGAAGGAGGAGTTATTGCGATGCGGGAGAGAGCATAAGGGGGATTTATCGAGTTGTTTGTGACTTTTTTGAAAATGGTGTGCTTCGGTAGATGCGGATGCGTTGCTCGTTGATGAATTCGACTGATTTCGGATGGTTTGTCGCGCGCGTGTTGATATCCACGTTTTCCAAGGTTTGGCCGTCGAAACAACGCCAGGCTCCAATGGAAGCAATCTGGGGATGGCGGAACTTGGAGGTAATGTTGACCCGAAGTGTAGCCGATGTTGGGGTTTGAAGGGGTTGTGGCTGGCAAAAGTCACCAGCCACATGTAAGCATGATTACATAAGTGGTCCAATTCCCGGTTCAGTCTCCGAACTTGGTTGTTCTCCACCCGGCTCCGTCATCCCCGCTATTTAGATCAAGCAGCCAGCCAATGTCCGCATCGATTCTTCACATGCATTCTGAACACTACTGCAGTGCGAAATGTCTGTCAGCATCGTACCTTAATGTGCCGACACTGCGAGTAAGAAATTTTTAACAGGATACAGCCAAGAATTCGTTTTGAACATGGCTACATATCGAACACTTCCGCTTGTCCTCAATGCTGGCGAGGCTTTTTGTTCCCACGTGTATGGGGTTTCCCGCGAGTTTCCCGCCGCTAATTCGGCCCTTCAGCGCATTGAGCCCGCTAAAACAATGGCGCGCACCTCTGCAATGGTGGGGTTCGCGGGGCAATTCTTCACTCTTCGTCCTGGCTTTCAGATCCCCGAAGCAGGGATGGGACGTCACCGCGAGTGAGCTGTTTTGTGGGAGCTATCCGTCTCTCACTCGGCCGCGACCTGCCGAGGGCTGGAGTCCTGTGTTGTTCTGTACTTAACCAGATTTGTAAAAAGAGCCAACAACGTGATCCTTTAAATATCCTCGACTAACTTGTGTCGAAATTCCCTCTTCCTCTGATACTCCTTGGTTAGCAAGTCCGGCTCAGTGCGACGTCTCCAGAGGCTCAACCACACAGCCACCCCGCCATCCGTGACATTGTGTTTTCGCATCTCGACAAAAGAGTCGCTTCGCCGCAATGCCTGACAAGATTCTCGACGACATTTCCCATCGCCGGTATAACCCGCTCAAGGGTACCTGGTTGCTGGTTTCTCCTCACAGAACCAAGCGACCCTGGCAGTAAGAATGCGACAGCTGGAGATTCTATGTTGCGACATGCGCTAAGGTGGACAGAGGTCAGAAGGAGGCGCCGTCCGTAACGGAACTCCCTCCCTACGACCCCAAGGCAAGTCCAGGAAAGATGGAAAATGCAGACGGAAGTGATCTAACTTCTTCAAGTGCTACCTCTGCCCGCGAAACCCCCGAGCTGCGGGAGACTCGAACCCTGACTACAAGAACACCTTCGTCTTTGTCAACGACTACAGCGCCGTCAAGGAGGACCAAGCCGAGTACAAGCCGGAAGATGGAAGCGATGGCAAGTGCTAGGTTCTTCACGATAGAGCGACCCAGACAACTAACGAGAACAGACCTCGCTTCCTCCCTCCTGAGAGCCGAAGCGGCCACCGGCAAATGCTATGTCCTTACCTTTTCCGAGAAGCACGACGTCACCCTCGCCGACATGACCAGCCAGGAGATTGCCCCCGTCATCGACGTCTGGACGAAAATCTATGCCTCTCACCTGTCTCCCTCTAACCCTCTCTCGAAGGTCGCCGCCTCTCTTACTCTCCCTGGCGTGACACCCGATAGCACTATCGAGACGCCCAAGCACCAGCTGCGCTACATGCAAATCTTTGAGAACAAGGGCGCGGCCATGGGCTGCTCCAACCCGCACCCCCACGGTCAGATCTGGACAACCTCCACGATGCCCGAGGAACCCGGCACCGAGCTTGTGCAGATGGCCAAGTACCGCAACCAGCACGCCGGCCGTCACCTGCTCGCCGACTATGTCAAGGTTGAGATGGAGAAGAAGGAGCGCACAGTGTTTGAGAATGACGGCTTCATTGTCGTATGTCCTTGGTGGGGTGTCTGGCCCTTCGAGGTACTGATTCTGCCCAAGAGGCATGTTCGTGCCTTGGTGGACCTCAGCGCGGATGAGAGACTGCAGTTTGCCGAAGCGATTCAGGAGGTCGCCAGGAGATACGACAACCTCTTTGAGACACACTTCCCTTACAGTAGGTTTCGCCAAACCATGCACGCCGGAGTGCTTTGCTAACGATATTACAGGTTCCGGTATCCACCAAGCGCCTCTGGATGCTACTGAGGAGGAGGCTGAGAACAGCTACCTTCACATGCACTTCTACCCCCCTCTCCTCCGCTCTGCCACCGTTCGTAAGTTCCTCGTCGGTTATGAGCTCATGGCCGAGCCTCAACGTGACATTACTCCCGAGCAGGCGGCAGCCAAGCTCAGAGCCATGGGCGGCGAGCTCTACCGCAAATCGATTTAGTTGAGCATAAATAGCATAGTGGCGTAGGGGTGGTTGATATGGGTAAAAATGACAGCACTGCAGTGATTCCAAGAGTTTTGAATATCGATATTACTATTAATTTCGTTACCTGAATGTGCATGACCCCACCACCTGTCATATTTTCTGCCAGTGTCCCAGGTAGTTCTACTTACACTACCTGTAACTGACTGTGCTGATATCTCTTGAATATGGTAATCTTCCCCCCCCCCCCCCCCCCCCGTTTCACTGCTCCTTATACAAAAGCCACAATGTATAGGACAGTAATTGTCCATCTATGGGCTGTCCACGTAGAAGGAGCGAACCTGGGGCATCCAGATCAGAGCAACCGTAGCCAGCGTGAAGGGGAACGCCTGGGGGACGCCGAAAGTCATGCTCTTAAAGACGAACAGCTCGCTGGCGAAGTGGCCCAGCGCAACAACGTAGGTCCAGATGGCGAGATCGTACATGTGCGCGTGATGCAGGTGGTAGGCACAGTACAGGCGGACAATGCTTGTAAGCAGCGTCCAGGTGCCGAAGCAGCGCGCCGCAAGCGGCGTGCCCTGATCCAAGGTCTCAGACTCCTTTGCGCCAGCGGGGGCGGGGACGTATTTCTTGACCGAGTCCTCGGGATTGTAGGTTTCGGAACGAGGGGGGAGCGAGCTGTTGCGAACGAACTTTCCGTTGTAGACGCGACGAGAGTAGTGCAATGTCAGGTAGTTCTGGGCCGAGTTGCCAATGGCGAGGAGAGAAAGCTGGGAGAGGCTTGCGTCAGCTTCGAGATATTCTGTGCGTGTTGCACGGTCTAGATACTTACCAAGAGCATGTAGTAGGGCAAAATGCCCTTGGCAGGAGGAAGAAGGTCGGAGAGGGAAACCATTTTGGCCAAGTTGAGGAGTGTTACGGTAGAAAAAAAGCCAATTGGTATGAGGAACGACCACGAAACTGAGGATAAAAGAGGAGTGGACACTCACACTACTGGCAAACAGCAGACTCTCTCCCTAGAGCTTCAATTGTCGTACAAGCTTGCCACTAAGGATAGAGCGGGTAGGCTTGCTTCTTCCCCAACCCGAATACGAATCCACAGCTCTAAACGGCTTGGGAACGCATTTGTGGCTGACAAGGTCCCCTCAATCTCTGATTGGGCAAAGCTACTGCCCCTCTAAAGTTCAGCGATTGGAAGGTGCCGAGGTGTGGCTGGTGTACCATACATGCATTTTCACCATTTTCCTATCCCAACATTTTATCTGTCCCGCAGGTGTGTGTCGAGCTGGTATTTCCGAGGGCGGAGTAATTTTGCAAACATCTCCCTCTATTTTTTGATTCTCCCTCGCAGACTTAGATTGCAATCGCACCGCACACTTTCTGACGATGAAGGGAGTTACCGATTACATTGGGCAACTGCCAGAGCCCGTCCAGCTCGTGCTGGCCAGCATCGGCGCTCTGTTCCTTGCTAACAAGGCCTTGGGCTACGTCAAATTCCTCCTCGGTGTTTTCGTGCTTAGCGGAACTAACGTAAGTAATTTTGCTTTCATCTACATTGTAACATCAACCGAATACTGACGAGATCTTGCAACAGCTTCGCACATATGGCAAGCCCGGTACTTGGGCCGTTGTGACGGGTGCATCCGATGGTCTCGGCAAGGAGTACGCCTACCAGCTCGCTAGCAAGGGCTTCAACCTCGTCCTCGTGTCCCGAACCCAGTCGAAGCTTGAGGCTCTTGCCCACGAGATTGAGGCGAAGTTTTCTGGCAAGATCCTGGTCAAGGTGCTGGCTATGGACTACACCCGTGACGACAACGCCGACTACGATCGCCTCGCCCAGACTATCGACGGCCTTGATGTCGGTATCCTTATCAACAACGTTGGCCAGAGCCACAGCATCCCTGTTCCTTTCCTCCTGACCGCCCGCGACGAGCTCCAGAACATCGTTACCGTCAACTGCCTCGGTACTCTGAAGACCACCCAGGTTGTTGCTCCCATTATGCAGAAGCGCAAGTCCGGCCTGATCTTGACCATGGGATCGTTTGCCGGCTGGATCCCTAGCCCTTACTTGGCCACATACTCTGGCAGCAAGGCTTTCTTGCAGCACTGGAGCACCTCCCTTGCCGCCGAGCTCAAGTCTGATGGAATTGATGTCCAGCTTGTCGTCAGCTACCTCATTACCACGGCCATGAGCAAGATTCGTCGTACGAGCTTGCTAATCCCTAACCCCAAGAGCTTTGTCCGTGCTGCGCTGGGAAAGGTCGGCACCGGTATCTACCAGGACTTTGCTTACTCCTACACACCGTGGTGGTCGCATGCGCTGTTGCTGTGGGTAGTTGAGAACACAATTGGCGTTGCTCATGAGTGGGCCGTCGCTTTCAACCTCAAGATGCACGCTGACATCCGCACCCGTGCCCTGAAGAAGGCTGCCCGTGATGCTAAGAAGGCCTAGGTTTGTCTTAGATTACCTGGAGAAAATGATTTTGATAGCATGTGTAGCTTATGCTGGGATTAAAATCCAACATTAGTCGCATGCGCAGCTAGACGCATGAGATACGAGAAGCTCTACTGGGTATGGGATAATGCATCAGTACGGATGGCTTGTTGCTGGCAAAAAGATGTGATGCGCAAAAAAGAGGGACGCTTTGGCGTAAGAATCACCAATCAAGGGAGAGCCATTCCAAGAAAAGTATAATAGACATTAATATGCAATCACATCAAATCCACACTATAAAACGCACCAAATGGAATGTCAGTGACCAAAGCTCAAATGGGCGGAAACGTCAGGTTCAGCCTTCTGTCCCAATTAGGTTTAGTGTGGGACCACCCGGGCTCCAGGCGCGAAAATTCCAAGTGATGCTGGCCCAGCCTCTTGAGCTCCTCCAGAAATTATTTACGGCTTTTACTGCCCTGCACTTCACCTTTCCACACCGAGAGCCTCCGCAGCTCCTAATTTTTTCTTTGTCGAGCTACAGCTGCGCAAGCTCCGTATAGCATCAGCCAGCGTCTTTATTTTTCGACAGACTCCAATTGGACGGGAAAACAACGCCTGCCACTTCCCGTTGATGGTTCGATAGCGCGATCTCTGCCCGCCATCTACTGGCCGCAACTTTGCGACGCGTTTGCCCGCCAACCAGACCCCGATCCGACGAGCCTTCGACCGACCTGCTCGACGACAACAATGTCCTACCCTCAAATGACCCCCGTGCGGCCTGTGCCAGGCGCCTTCTTCAATACGCCCGCAGCTTCTAGATTTGCTGGCGGTGACAACGAGCCCGCGAGGCGGCGCCTGTTCCAAGATGTCGATGGAACCCAGGGCAGCACAACGACTGGCGGTAGCGGCGCCCTAGTAGGAGGATCAAATCTGGCACCTGCGACAGTATCTTCAGTTGGAACGAGCAGCGGACTTGTATCGACACCGCAAGCTCCCCAGCAAAACCTCCCACCCGTCACAAGAGCTGCCCAAGCGGTCAATCAGTTCCTCCAAGCTGATGAGAACTACCCTGAGTTGGATTCATACTGTAGGCGTAAGTATAGCGATTACTGATACTCTATTGTCTCCTTGACGTGGTTTCTAACTCCCAAACAGCAGGTGCATCCTCTGAATATGACTACAGCACCCTCGATTCGGCTTGGGCGCCATTCCACAAGACCCAGATGTATCCGATTCCCAACCAGGTCTTCAGCCACTACAACACTGGCCAGCTCCAGACTCTGATGGGCCTCTTTGCAGAGATCAACCATGCCTGGGTTGTCATCGATAACTCGCTGTTTCTCTGGGACTACACTCATCCCGACCCCGAGCTTATTGGTTTCGAAGACCAGCCGCACACGATCCACGCCGTCAGTCTTGTTGCTCCTAAGCCGGGCATCTTCGTCAAGACGATCACACACATCCTCGTCGTGGCCACATCGTCTGAGATGATCCTCCTCGGTCTTTCTGCCACACCGAACCAGTCAGGAACCAAGACTGTGTCACTTTACAGCACGAAACTCAACCTGCCCCTCAGAGGCACCGACGTCAGAGTCATTGCTGGTACTGCGGACGGACGTATCTTCTTCGGTGGAAGCAATGATACTGATATCCACGAATTGTACTATCAGCAAGAGGAGAAGTGGTTTTCAAACCGGTGCGGCAAGATCAACCACACCAACCCCGGATGGTCTTCGGTTGTCACTCTCCAAAGCGGTTTCTGGCAACAAAAGAGCCCCGAGGGCTTACAGAGCATTGTCATCGATGACTCGCGAAAGCTGGTGTATACTCTTTCCACTAGGTCTACTATTCGAACGTATCACATGGATGGGCCCAACAAGCTCACCAAAGTCATTGAAAAGGAGAGAAACGCTTGCCTCCGCGACATTACTCATATGATCACCCAGTCACCTCTGCTTAACGACCGTACGGCTATTGTTTCGATCAGCGCCATCCCTGCTCGGGAGGCATCGAAGCTGCATTTAATGGCTCTCACCAATACTGGATGCCGACTTTTCCTCAGCGCGACAAGTTCTGCTTCGTACATGATTGGCGGCGTTTCGTCCAACACACCTCCACAGAGCATGCAAGTCCAGTTCATCAAGTTCCCCCCGGCCGAAAACCCTGGACGTGCCGGTACAAACCAGGCTGGCGAGTCTATCATCGATTTCACATCCAAGGCTCTGGCTTTGAGCAGACTGGGAGCTCGCTTTGCTCCTGGCTACTTCTTGGACTTTGTCGTTAAGGAATCTGACCCCAATATCGACCAGCTCTTCGTCTCCGCACCCGAAACTGGCCGGATCAAGACCAACGCTTCATCCCAACAGCTCAAATACTACGAGCACGGCAACTGGATCGATATCGGAAGTAGGGCAGAAGATGTTGGTTTGGTCACCAAGCCCTTCGCTGCAGCTAAGCAACCCATCGGTTTCGGAAACGAGCTTGCCGTCCAGTTTGACGAGCCTGCCACTGAGTTTGCTGTTCTCACCAATACTGGTGTACACATCATCCGCCGCCGCCGACTTGTTGACACTTTCGCTGCTGCCATCCGCGGTGCTGTTGGAGATGAGGGCTTGGAACTGGAAACTCGGAAATTCATTCAACGATACGGCCGTGTTGAGACCATTTCTTGTGCTCTTGCAGTGGCGTGTGGACACGGTGGTGACGCACGACCGGGTGCAGCGCGCGCCATTGATCAGGCGACAGAAGATCGCGCCCGTACCGTTTTCGTCGATTACGGTGGACAACCCTCCATTACTGAGACCGACGGCACACCGCTCAACACCACCTCCGTTCGCCTCTCACCTAGACATGATGCCCTGTGTGTGTATCTCACCCGCCTAATCCGAACCCTCTGGAAAAACTACGTCGTCGCCACCGCAGTGAGCCCATCTGGTGGTGTCACCATCGAGTCTAGAGTATCACTCAGCAAACTTCTGTCCATCCAGGAGCAGTTGGAGCGCCTCCGCAGGTTCCTCGATGCCAACAAGAGCTTCATCCAAGGTTTGTCTGGCCCGTCTGACCTGCAGAGAGTTGCCAGTAAGCAGGAAGAGGTTGCACTTCAGGCCGAGCACCAGGCCCTGTATGCGCTCCAGAGGTTGATGGAGAGCATTTCAGAAGGCATTTCCTTCGTCTCAATGTTGTTTGATGAGCGTGTCAGCGATATTTTCACCAGACTCGATGCCACTGCCCAACAAGAGTTGAAGGAGCTCACCTACGAGAAGCTGTTTTCCCAGGTTCCTGGAAAGGAGCTGGCTAAGCTGCTTGTCAAGTCCATCGTCAACCGCAACATTGAGAGCGGATCGAATGTCGAGACAGTCGCAGATGCGTTGAGGAGGAGATGTGGCAGCTTCTGCAGCCCGGATGACGTTGTTATCTTCAAGGCACAGGAGCAATTGAAGAGAGCATCCGAGCAACCACCCAACAGCAACCAGTCTCGTACCCTACTGCACGAGAGTCTGAGACTTTTCGAGCGTGTTGCCAGCGCGCTGTCCTTTGCCAACCTCCACAACGCGGTTGCGCATTACATCGACCTCAAGTATTATGCTGGTGCTATCCAGCTCTGCTTGGTCGTCGCCCGCGAGAAGGACAGAGGAAACACTGCCCTTTCCTGGGTTCACGATGGCAAGCCCGCTAATGATCCTCGGGCCAATGCTTACGCGGAACGCAGAAAGTGCTACGAGCTAATTTACGAAGCTCTTCAGCATTTGGACGCTGCGTCTACCAGAGAACCCGAGACTATTGACGGCAGGTTGACCCTGATTGGTACCAAGCGTCTCGAGGCCTACACCGTGGTGAATGACGCGGAGGATGAAGTCTTCCATTTCGACCTCTATGAGTGGTACATTGAGCAGGGATGGACTGACAGGATCCTGGCTATTGAGTCACCTCACGTTATCACTTACTTGCAAAGTCTCGCCAGAACCAATGTTGCCCATGCCGAGCTTCTCTGCAAATTCTATACCCAGCGTGAGAGATACTTCGAGGCTGCCCAGGTGCAAGCCGATCTTGCAAACTCGGACTTTGACCTCGGCATCAAGGACCGTATTGTGCTTCTTAGTAAGGCCAAGGGCAACGCCAACGTTGCGACTGCCGGCGTCGGTAGACAACAACAGCAGGTCTTGGCTCACGAAGTTGGCGAGCTCCTCGACATTGCCAACATTCAGGACGACTTGCTGGAAAGGCTCAAGGCTGACAGCCGTATTGCTCCGGAGCGCAAGGCAGAGATTGAGCAGGCTCTTGATGGCCCTATACTGTCGCTCTCAGATGTAAGTTCGAGCCGCTGCCGAGCATGTTCGCAAAGTTTAGCTAACCTTGAATCAGCTCTTCAACCAATATGCCGACCAAGCAAACTACTACGATCTTTGCCTTCTCATTTACCACAGCGCCGACTACCGCAACCCCAGCACTATCTCTCAAACCTGGGTTAGCCTGATTGAGCAGATCCACGACGAGGCCGTCGAGCGCATGGAGGAGGCCGGTCCCGGCATTCCTGTGTTACCTTCGCCGTACGAATCTGTGTCGGTCAAGGTTCAAAATATCGCCCACCGAACATCACTCGACAGCTTCATTTTCCCCGTACCTGTGCTGCTTCCCGAGATTTGCAAATACGCCGTCGAGTACCACCAGGATGCCGAGATCGGCGCCGACCCTACCTGGCCTGTGCAGCTGTTCATCAGCCTCGGCGTCTCCCACGACATGGTCACTCGCGTTCTTGAAAGCGTGTTCGACACGCAGGATTACGGCTTCAGCGGTAACAACCGCAACCGCATTATCGAGCTCATCGTTTTTGTTGTAGATGCCTGGCAGCGTGAGGTGAAGCGACGTGGCGGCGCTTCTGTCAAGGGCGACGGGGCCATTGGCGCCTGGGTCAAGGACCTGCTGAGCAGGTGTGAGGCGTCACTGCCGCCTGCTGGCCAAGGTTCCAACCCTGGTGGCGCGGACTTGTCGGAGGTTCGGAGGCGCCTACGGGTTGTGAGGCGGGGGGTTGATGGACTCGTTGAGAGGGGTCCTTCTGGAAGCTTGCGCTTCATGTAATGTCTGAACTTGGTATAAAATGATTGGGTTGGAGGAAAGTGGAAGACAATAGATAAACTAGAGAAGACTGAGAGCGGGCTGCGGGCTTTTTTTTGCCAAAGAAATGAGCCTGGAAGCAAACGTGTACAAAGAGTTAAAAACAAAATCCTGTGTATTTTGCCGGGGTGTGTGGGGTTTGGCCGGGCGCGGCTTGGGTCAGGCGATGTAGGCTTAGGCTTTGGGATGGCTACATTTAGTTGGTGTTCTTTTTTTAAAAACTCATGAGTTGGTTTCCGAAAATGACGTGTTTGATCTGGTGGAATCAGTTGAGTAACCCGCTGCCTGATGTTTCTTCCAGCCTCGTAGGTTGACTAGGTATTCGGATCTCGAGATGACTTCAAATTGCCAAAATAGGCAATGTGAAAGTGAAGCGAATCAAATCCGAGGTCCTTTAAACGCCACTCTCAAACAGAATTCTTGCAGGCGGGCAGACTGGTGGTTCTAGGCCGGTTTACAGACATGGGGTCTTGCTTTTTACAGTGCGTCGAGAAGGCTTAAAAGACCTTGCGCAAAAAACGTGGTAAGGTGCCGGGGGGTGGTGGGAAATGGTGAGGCCGAGACAGGTCTTTGCTGCTGCTTACTTTGCAGACAGGGCTGGTGTGGTATGCATCGTCGGACGTGTTTTATTGGTCATTTGAGGTCCTTTTAAGAGGAAGGCAAGGGAGAGGGAGGGCGGGTGTTGCTGTTGTTCCTTTCTCGGCATGCAGATGTGGCATCCAATGGCTGTTGTTGGTTTGCTTAAAAGACCTTGCAGCTCGCTACTTACGGTTCGGGAAGACGGTGTGCGTGTGTATGTGTGCGCGTGTGTGTGCCTACCAAGTTTTGGTGTGTATTTGGGGGCCCTCGCTTGCCTGATGCACTGGTTCGCCAGGGCCGCAACTGTTGGGCTGGATATTTAAGCACCCTTGATTTCTCTCAAATGTCCCTATTTACACTAGCGTTTATTTAATGGTTCACATATTATTAGTATTCTTTTCGCCTCTAGACTCTACAGCCGTTTTTTACTTAAAGACGACTCAACCTCACCTTTACTGAAACCTGTCTTTGGTGGTATTCTCACGGAATTTAGTGCTTGGTAGTTCGGACGATCAACAAACTTTGAGCACAACGCCTAGGATGGCCGAAGTATTGAGTCCTGTGTGCGCATTGGAGGGGCCGGTTACCATGGCGCAGACACTGGCTCTACGTCCAGCGTCCCCTTTCCTCAATCCGATTGCTGTTCCGGACCCTCGTCTGCCTCGACCAACAGAAACTACAGCAGGCTTCAGCATTTCCTCAAAGAACACAGTATCACCAGAAGATTGGGAATCTAAGAAAGAAATAATACACCAACTCTACCTTAGAAAAAACCTTCCTCTTCACACAATTCAGTCCATCATGTCTCAACATCATTCTTTTTTCGCCACGTAAGACACCACTGACAATGGGAACCAATAGAGACACACTTGCTAACATAGTGAATCAGGGAAAGAATGTACAAGAGGCAGTTCTTGAAATGGAAATGGAAAAAGTACAATACCAAAACGCTGCAAGATTGTCTCTCTAATGGAGATGCTTTGGAGAGGTCGCACGGGAAAACCACTTGCCAAAGGTCAGCTCGACGGAATCTCAGCACTATCGGGCCCCAACGCAATGGCAGGTTTGGTCATCTGGCGAGATTATTCGAGCAAAAACAGGACCCGGTGATTCCTTCGGCCCTACTTACGTACGGCACCCGACACGATCAACTCACCTACGGCCTCTTCGTCAGCCTGCGTGACCTTATTTATGGAACCTCTCGGCGTGACCCTTGCTGGGCAGGACGTGAAAAGTTCTCAATTCCAGAAAGCTCCGCATATGGCATTGATAATCTATTCCGAACGGCCACCAAGTTTTACTCCATCTGCGATTTTCTCCAAGCTGGCGCGACATTCCGAAGAGCATTCTACGTTCTAGAAGATGTCATCGACAATGAAGCAATCAATACTTTCAGAGTATTATTTCTCGATATTCCATATGTCATTCCTACCGACGAGATACGTGGCGCATACTTGTGTCACATTTCCCAACTATTAGACATCAAAAAGCGGGAGCAACCGATAGCCAAGATTGCGATGATGTTACATCGGATTCACATGGAAGCGTGTGAACATATTTTCGAGCACCTATATCAGATGCACATTATCGCTGCAGATTACTTTTCTGAAATTCGAGGCAGAGACGACATACAGACGCTTGATTTTGCAGTGGATGCTGCGCTCCTCAGACCAGACGCAAACAACCCTCAAGTTCTCGAATACTACCTCAAAATGTACGATGAGATACTGCGGAACGTCATAGATCAATACGGTCCGTTATCTGCCGAAGCCCTGGACATAGAATATTGGAAACTTGTTTCTGCAGGCTACTTGAACCTCTCTTTTGAAACCTTAATGGAATTAAGCAATGGGTTTCTTCCCAAGTTGTCTGCTATAAACAATGATGGCTCGCTGAATACCTGGAGCAGCTCCTGTCTGTGGCTGTATAGTATTGCTGCACGACACGTGTCTACCGCCGCCTTCCGGTCTAATGATCCTGATTCGGGTATCACGTGGTTGGAGAGATCAGTAGAAGCATTGCAGTTTACTGTGGAAGTAGAAGCTTCGGAGGGCACTGATACATTTGAAACAAATTGTGCGCTAACACAATTTCGTGTTGAGCTATTGGACCACCTGTCTGAACTTGGAAGGGTTCAGGAAGCGGACGAGATAAGGGCAGCACTCGCTGCGTCCGAGTTCATGGAGGAAGTGATGCAGAATGACCTGGGCGAGAACTTTGACCAAATACTGGCTTGTTGACGCGGCATATTCATCTCGTAGGTATTTGACTATTTTAATGTATGATATAGTCAACACAGTCATGCGGCTTCCTAGCAGAGAACTTTTCAATCTTTCATCTTCACACGTTGTAATGTAAACTTCTTTTTCTTCTTTTTTCTTTTCGTGTGCATAGCGAACGAAAATGTTTACTTCAGCTAGTATCAATACAAAATCAGATGGTTTCTTGGTATTCACAATTAATCACAAATGAGATTACTCCCTCTCCGCCTTTTCATCTGTGTTGTTTGCAGAGTAAACCAGAACTCAACGTTGATCCACTTAACGCCACCTTGCTCGTCTCGTTATGGCATGCCTCTTTATGTGTAGTTTGTAAGACAAACTCTGGCATGAATTGTCAACTCGATGAGCCCGATTCAAGGTTGATGCCCATTTCAAGAACGACGTAAACGGAGTGGCTATGCACGTGAGGGTCTTTTAAGCTGCGAAAGGCTCTGGGTGTTGCCGTTGCCACGATTTATTTGCATGAAAAGCAAAGAAAAATCAAGAAATCTCACCCAACCACATCATTTCGTTCCTTAAAGCACCATGCATATGCGAGACACCTGAGGTGTAACCGATGAATAGCTGGCGTATCATCATGATTGGGGCTTTATTTGCCGCCTTACCGAAAACGTCGACATATGGAAGCACCTATAAAAGCTCAGACCAATACCTCTGAACGAGGGTTTCAGCTTGCACATCCATTGGATTATTTAGCCACAGTTTCTTGAGAAAAGGTATTCCAATTATTCAGCCAGAAGTCCTCCGTTACTGAGACCACGCCTTTCATAGGATTTTGGACTTCATCCACAGAGAGTTGAATGACCAGCATTAAGACGTTGCTATAACTATACCAGTCTCACTGCAATGCAACCAACCGGCCTTCGATCCATCACCCAAACAGCACCTGATTGGAGCTGTTTCAGGGCCATCATTCACGATCTTTACATGGTGAAGAATGTGAATCTTGGAATGCTGATGGAGGAGATGTTCCAAAACCATTCGTTCTTCGCAACGTAAGTGACCAAAGGCAACCTGTCCACAGGTGACCATTAGTAACCGCTCAGTCACAAAAAGTGAAAGAATGTACAAGCGACAATTCAAAAAGTGGGAATGGTTTAAATACAATACCGCGAACTTACAGAACACTCTTTCCAAGCCGGGAAACAGTGCACAGGTTTGCCATGGCAAGACAAGGCGGAGATCAAGACGGAAAATTCAACCAGTGGATGCACCCGAGGGTGTCCAGCATATTCCTGCGCAGTATCCAGTCACAGTTCGGAATGTTGCCCTCGACGATTTACTTCTTTCTGGACGGCTAATTCATTTTAACGCCGAGAGTCGGCATATGAATGGGTTGATTTCAAACCTTCAAAAACTTCTTTTAGGGTCGCCTCAGGTGTACTTGGCCCACCCAAAAGCTTCTGATCATGTTCGGATGCCCATGAGGGTGATCGGAGCTGAAGTCGGCCTCGGGCTTCAAATTGCGAATTTCCTTATCAAGAAAGGCAAACCAGATGATGCGTTGGCCCTTTGGAACCATGTGTTCGGCGCATTGGTAGTTATTCTTAGGGTACACGACATTTCAACATACATACATCTCTGCCTATGGATACCCGCCGAGCTATATAAAACGAAGCAGTATGAGTTGCTGGAGAAATATTTTCGTTATATTTACAAACTAACATCATCGAGAACTGAAAGACCACTAAATAAGATGGTGTTTATTCTATGGCGGATTCTGCACGAGTTCCCTGACGACTTAGGATTTGTCCTGACAGCCCTGTCACTGGCCAACACGGATGCCCTTCGGGAGCTCGAGCGGCAAAGGGAAATGGTAACGGTGGTCAGCGACATTGAAGAGCACTTAATTTATAGTGTATGTCTGTCTAGCTATGCTGACATACGCTTGTTCTATCTTGTTCCTGAGCTTGCGGGGTTGATGCCCATCCAGGGCTTGTGGCAAGAAGCAGCATGTGAAGGACAAGCGACCAGCCCGGAAAACAAGAACAAAAAAGATGACTTCACTCTTTCAGAAAAAGTGACGAACTTTTTCTCTTTCCCGGAGTGGTCTGATGAGCAGGGCACTTCTGAGAGCGGGTTGGTTGGTAAATGGATTGAACTGATGCAATATCCGAACCAGTACGAGAGCCCGTTTGAAGACAACGTTGATATAAACTCGTCCCAGTCAGAAACATTGAAAAGAAGACGCATGCAAGATCAGATCCGGATACTGAACGTGGATAACAGGCCATGGGCTCTGAGGTTTTGCAAAGGTACTGGTGAGTTGCTGTTGTTAAAAGAAGGTTCAGATACTCATTGCCGACATACGTCAGTTTAGTTGCGTTAGTTAGTCTTTGCATTATATAGTTTATCAATATTTCACTCAACTCGTTCCGAGTTCGTCACAGCCATAATCTCTTCAGCAACTTCAAGACAATTGATTGATTGATTGATTGATTGATTGATTCCTACACGGTTATGAAGCCGCTCTTATGCTAGCAGCTATGCCCGGAAAGCGGGGTTTGGCAGACAGCCGAAGCATCGACGATAAACCGCGACGCCCCACTTCGCCCTGTTGTTGGATCAGGACCAGCTGTCCCCAAGCTCCCACTATGCTATCTATTCTTGTGTGTTTATGCCCTCTGTTGAAGATTGTTGTCCTCCTGCCTGCTCTCTCGCTTGGTGTTGCCTTCTAGAATCCTTCTTTCGCGTCCTCCTACTTCGGTTCTGTTGGTGCTAGGCACCATGTCTGGTTCTGTATACCTATAGTCTCCCCCCAGCCCTCAGCTTCGTCTCTTTATCTTGTCCGCATCCTCTCAGACTCGCATGTGCTATATCTCAGTTGAATCTGTAAATCTTTTTGTTGCCTCATGCTGGGTTCCTATGTGGCTCTATGTTTCCATCTTTCGACCACCACCTCCATCCACCGCCTGGAGTCGGACTCAATCCGCAAAACACAATGCTCCAACCGCTTCGATTCGTCCGATTACTAAGTATGAGAGCTCGTACACAGATTCCGCAGACATTGTCATACGTTGAAGGGGCGACAATCCTTCTTCGCGGAGGGGGCGACAGGGGACCAATCTGTCTGCAAACTGTAGTATTTTGTGGCATCGATCGTAGCATGCCTGGTGTCTGGTGCTTTCTCTATGCAGGAGGTGATACCGTTCTGTCGGGCTTGTCGTCGTTGTTGTCGCGGGACGTTGCAAACTTTGTCGGGGGTGATAGGCGACCCATAACCTATCGGTGGCTGTGGTGTTGATGTTTGTTTGGGCTTGGTCGTTGTGCTCACGTGATAGCCCGTGACTCAACCGCGGTGGTGTCGATGGTGTTGTCTATTGACGTGTCATACTTTGTGGCTTGCTCTCGAATTTTTCGTGGTCAGAGCCCGCCCGCGGCCACGAGCAGGCTCTTTGGGAGCAGAATCAATGCCGAGGATGACATTATGCCCAAAGTGACCTCTGAGAGCGCGAGCGGGCGTGGTTTGATCAATTTGATGCTGTTTTCAAAAATTTCGTTCTCGCTGTTGTTGATGTTTTTCTCTTCAAGACAATTGTAGAGGGGGTTGAGGTGAAGTTGGAACCAAGCTTCCACTCACGTGATACCGAAAAAGTGGACTTGTCATCCCTTATCAGGGTGGTTAGGCCGGGGCCAAATTCAAGGACCAAGCTCCTGGTGGGCGTGACAGCTGTCACCTTTTGATTAATTGATCTCCAGTTTGCTCTGGGGAAAGCTAGTCCCCCACGTCACACACGTCCACTCCCGAGCCAGACAATGCCCCGGTCGCATTGCTAGGCCACCTCGTTTTCTGCTGGCTGCCCGACGACAACCTCACGACATGATGCCTTCGTTGTCGCATCTATTGCTGGGTGCCGCGTTGTGTCTGGCCCGGCTGGCCACGGCGCGTCCCGAAGATGGCCTCCCTTCCTACCACTACCTCGCACCCATCCACGTAGAGTGCATGAATCGAAGCTCGTGAGTCGTGCCCATCGGTGACCTTCCACAGGCTGTGCGCAGTGCTATCGATGCCAGCTTTCGTCCAAAGCTCTGGCCAGCTCGCGCTTTATGAACAGCAGCTAACACTTCCCCAGGGAAACAGGTGAACACATCGAAAACTCCAACCACGAAATCGAATGGATCCCCTTCCCTGTCTGCGAAGAGACGAACAAGCCCCTCGAGTTCCAATACGGTCACGAAGGCGAATTGAATTGCACCATTCCCATGATCACCGACCCTTTCTTCCATCTCCTCGAGTTCTACATCCACAACGATGCGCCGCTCTCGTGTCGCCTGCCCGCCCGCCCTGCGCCCCATGTCGAGGTCATCGGCGAGAAGCCCTACGTGCAGGAATACATTCCCCTCGTCTTCGCCCTCGCCGGCACGCTCCAGCTGAGCCACCTGCACGTGAGCACGCATATGAACGTGCTGCTGCACAGCATGCCGAAGCACCACACCCGGCCCCACGACTCTGGCGTTCTAGATTCCGGCACAGCATACAGCACGAGTCCGCTGAGTCACATGGACGGATCGTTTACGAAGAGGCTTGTTATCGGCGACCCGTTACCTCTGCGATTATCCGTGAGGTGGTTTCCGACACCGAACTTGCCCAAGACGGAAGGACACGTCGAGTGGCAGGGTATGGGCGGGCACATTTACGCGAGTACCGTGTTTTACATCATGACCTCCTTCATGGCTGGCGTCCTTGTTGCGGGAACGTACTTTTTCGGCGTCGTCTTGCCTAAGAGGTTGAAAGGGAGGGGACTTGGCGGCGCGACGCCCTTGGGACACGGGTTGAACGGTATTGGCAACGGGTGGGGATACTCCAAAGTGTCCAAGCGAATGGACTGAAAAGAATTGTTTTTTTAATTCACGATGGGAGGATTGTATGATTGTTCCGATTCATGTACATTTAACGCCGTCTATTGAAGGCTGTTACTCGACGTATGCTTGGAGTCTTTTTTGGAGAAGGATAATTCAACTTGGCCAGCGATGGCCGTGGAACCTGTATACATGGGCTATGGGAGAAAAAGGAGTTTGGATCGATCGTCTGGATTCGGCGCGCGGTCTCCCCCCGAGCATGAATGTACAATATCCTAATGAAACCAGGAACAAAGAAGAGAAAAAAACACTCGCTTGGTGGCCTTTTCTTACTGGAGTTTCTTGGCCTTGTCGGCAGAGTTTACGCGGTTGAGAATACGCAGCCACATGTCCAACCCCATCAATGCCGCTGCGACGGTCAGTTCGAACTCATCTTTCCACGGGAAGGGGCGAATACTCACGGATGATGACCCAGGGTCCGTACAAGTTGAAGATGAAGACGTTCTTCTGGGCGTCGCTGTACACTGAAGGATCCCAGTGGAAAACGTCGTAGATGCAGGTCAGCGTAGTCAGGACGCACTCAACGGAGAACACCAGCACGGCGAGCTCGAAGCCGGGGGTGCTGCCGGTGCGTCGAGAGAAGCGGTGGATCATCCAGATGGTCATGGGAAGCTGGTAAAAGGTTTCGAGGTAGGTGAAGAGCTTGTACCACGAGGGCAGGCCGGCGTGGGGCGCGACGAAGAAAGGGTCGTTGTATGTTGAGATGTAAAAGTCACGCAGGAGCTGGAGGAAGTGCAGAGGCGACGCTGGTGTCGTGTAGAGAGAGGGCGGGTAGAAGGGGACCAGGTCCATGACTGGAGGGGGTCAGCTTTGTTCTCACATGAGGCGTGAGATGGGAGTTGTGAATTTGGTGCAGAAGCTTAGGGGGGGACAAGTAGCCAATGCCTAAGTTGCGGGCTCTCTTGGATTTGATTGACAGAATGGGTGTTTTGAAAGCCCAGCATGGGCGGATATGATATCAATATAGGGAGAAACTCACGGAGCATGGCGGTCAGTTGAATGATGGAGACGATGAGATACGCGCTGTCGCGCCACGTCTTGACTGTAGCTGTCATTTTGAATGAAGGTCACAGTATAAGCAGCTGGTGAAGATATGAAAAGACTGTTGAGGTGTAAAGACAAAGACACGTCGAGACAACTGAGCTGCTGAAGTTCTCAGGAGAATCGCGAACTTTATCCATCCCACGTGGAGCAGCTTCCGCGGTTGTGGTTGAGCGTGGGTCCTAACCGTGGTTCACTTGAAATCGCTGTAGCCGATAATGCACAGTTGAAAATTGCAACTAAAGGTTCTGAAGCAGCCGTTTCCCCTTCGCCTACGCCTCTTAAATGCACTAATCACCCATGAATAATGTTGCATTGTACTGATTTTCATTAATTCTGGCGAGTGTTCCATAATTTAGACTCCCAGAGTTATAGATTATTTCCTCCCACACACCATAATGTCTAAGCAGTGTCAACAGTGTCAGAAAAACCACTGCCGGATTTTCAAAGTACAACACCCAAGAGCATTGGTGAGCCAGCGGGTCCATGCGACCGAATCAGCACTATTGAATCACGCGCAAACCGTATCAAATCATAAAAGCGGGCTCCTGTTCGCGATGAGTACCCATATAGGGGAAGCACCAGCTGGAGGGCTATTAAATGCTGCAGCACCTACGTAATTGGGTAAACCCGAGAAGCTCCAAAGCACCCTTGTTGTCACTGCGGTCGGTCAAGTCGATGCTACTACTCATCACCCTCCCCTCGTTCTTAGCTTGCAACCGGATTGTTCTTGAGTCGCATCCACTTGAATCACAATGTCGGGCCGTACCAATACGAATGATGGCAGGGTTCAAAAACGGAAGCGTCCCCGCCCTTTACCGCCCCATGTAAACGCTCGCAACCTGGCAATCGAGAAACGGCGTCGTGGAGAGATGAATGAGAACTTTTTGGTACGGTTTATGTCGCTTCAGGTCAATCGTTTCCTCATAGTTAACAAAAGATTTTCTGTTAAGGACCTGGCTCGCCTAGTCCCGCCTTTGGCCTCCGCGCGGAAGTTGACCAAAGTGCTCATCATTAACGAAAGCATTCAGCACTTTCGTGCCCAGCGTGACATGTGCATCGCCGCCGCTGCGGATATGCAGGACCTACTCGCGGAGAACCGTCGGCTTGTTTCCGAGATCAACACCATGCGCTCGCAGTTCGGGGGCCCGTTGACGGAGGCCAGGCCTGTCACCGAGCCCATGGCTTGGCTGATGAGCGTCAAGGATGAGGTTTACGGCACATTTCCGGCCGGCTTTGGAGATAACTGGGCTGAAGGCTCCAGTGAAGATCTACAACCGGGAGGTGGGATCGCAGATCAGGACGTATCGCTGCCTGTAGATGGCTTTTTTACGCCAGGTGACCAAGCATATCTGGCACGATTATCCCCTCCGGACGAGCCAAATCCGCTGCCAAACGAAGTCGCCGTCACGATGCCGGCATCGGACTACCAACAGGTCCCGTGGGGCTTCATGCCATATTCGGATAACTCTGGACAGCCTCCAACTATGCCCCTACTAGATCCTTTCGCAGCATCCGGCGTCTCTTTCGACAACCAGGTATTAGGGAATATAACTGATTCAGCGAACACTGTCACGAGCTCCTGGGTTGGAGGACTTGATCTGAGCGACACAGGATCCTATTTGCAGCAAACAACCTCGCAGAAAGAGTACCCAAATTCATGATAGACCACCTAATTCATATTTTATTTCTTTTCAACTGAGATAACTGTTATATGAACGCGCTCCAGCGGATGCTTTATGCCTGCTTCAACAACTCTTCGATAGCATTCTTGCTCTGCAGCTCACTGGACTGGAACATCGCCAGCGCTTCGCGAAGGCCCCTCTCGGTTACAGGGTCCTCTGCAATGGCCTTTTCCAAAGCCGCTCCATCGTCTGCAAGATAGTCAACATCAGTTGACGCCAACTTACCATCCCAGTTGGGTCCAGCGAGAGGGTCTGTTGACGCCAAGTGAGCGACACGAGGAGATGGAACGCCGGTGCGCTTGGGAGCGTCATCGCCTGGAGGCGGGTTGGCCTCGGCATCAAGCAGAGAGAGTCGTAGCAGGATGTCTTCAGGGATTGTTGCATGCTCGCACCCGAATTCGCCCATTGCCATGGCTTCACTGGCAGAAATGAAGCTGTGAGGTTCAAGATGTTAGTTACTGGGAAGCAATTCAATGGTGCGGACGGTGTACCTTGCGGGCTTCAACAGGGGCTGTTCTTTTCCCGTTTCTTCTCGGAGACGCTTGTAGACTTGCTGCATCTGAATGATTCTCGAGGACATGGGATGCTCAAGAGCAGGATCATCGGTTTTCGGCCACTGATTGGCCTTGTCCGCGTGATACCAGGGCACTTGTTCTAAGGTTAGGCATCAAATCCTAAAGCATCTTCGAGCGATTGTGTACTCACGATTGTAATAGGGGCTGATGGAAAGGCATCCAGCTTGACTGGCGGCAATTGCCTGAGAAACAGAGAACAAGGAAGTTCCCAGTGTGCGAATGCCTTCTTTGAGGAGTATCGGGCCCGCGTTGAGAGCGGGACCAGTAGCGGGGATTTTGATGCAGATGCGGTCCTTGGGGATGCCGAGCTTCTCAAACTCCCGGGCGTAGGAACGGGCGTGGGCGATGATTTTCTCCGTGTCGTAAGCGTGGAAAGCTGAAGTCTGAAGCAGGACTCGACCCTGGATGTTCTCAATGTTCTTGGCGCATAGGAGAGCACTCTTTGAGTCGGGGATGGTCAGAAATGTTGCGGGAAGATTACTGAATGGGCCACTCACCATGCGGTCAAGGATCACCTCCCACCCCTCGTCTTTGCCATCCTTAACTGTCTTGAGGAATAATTCGTGGTTCTCGGGAGCGATCATCTGCTCGTAAACCAGACGCTGGTTGCTTGTTTGATCATAGAATTTGAAGGGGAGAAAGCGCTTGGCCTCCGCGGGGTCCACGCAGTCGATATCAATCTTGACTATATTTTGGGAGTTAAATATGTCGTCTTGAAGTTCGAGCGGACTTACGTTGCTCTTGGAGCTTGTCAAGCCAAGTTGTGTTTCCCATTTTCGCGACGAAGTTAAGGTTGGTAACTGAGATGTATTGGTTTGCGTGGTTGCTAGGAAATAGATCAATCCGTCAAGTTCAAGAGGTCATTTATACATAATTCGTCTTATCCTTTTGGAGTTTGTAAGCGGCCTGATCAGAGCAGTCCTTTGAGCTGTTAGTCAACTTACACCGATGCTGGAGGTTACTGTACAGCTCCTGCAGACACTAATGCACTTACTGTACAGTTACCGGCCCACAGGGTTCTCTTTGTGGGTTCCAACATCTCCACACATCCCAGGGTCCGACACCATTGACTGCGTAGGGTACCTTGTACGGGTCGTTCCGCTGCAGATGCGCTGCCAATCTGCGGTATCCCAAGACGGCATTGGCAAACATTCATGGCCGAAACCCAGGCCGGGATCCATGGGAAGTTGGCCAGAAGAAGAGGGCCCAGGAACTTCGATCTACAGTAGTAAGCTCCTGAGTTCTGCCCAGAATAATGTTCATTCAAGTTGTTTGACAACAGCCGCGTCAGAATGGAATATCTTGATGGTTTCCAGAAAACAGACCACGTTCTGACAACTTAGAGCCCACGAACTACATTGTTTTTAAAATTAAAAAAGCTCAAATCAATTGCAATTGACGTCTGAAATTTGGCACATATATTTCCTTGCGTATGAAGATAGCGCTCCAAGGTTTGGCACATCCTCACCAAAGTCTCCGAAGCACCTCAAAAAACACTGATGCCTCCGTCAACGAGGATGTCCGCCCCCGTTATGTAGTTCCCCGCCTTGCTCGCCAGTAAGATCACAGCACCCGTCAGCTCCTCCGGCTGCCCCATACGCCCATATGGATTCCTTTGCTTCCAGACTTGTCTATGCTCCTCAAGACCCTCTCCCTCATTCAGTATAGTGTCCATGTATCCCGGGCTGATGCTGTTGACCCGGATACCGTATCTCGCCCACTCAGCTGCCAAAGAGCTTTTCACAGACAGAATAGCAGCCTTTGCCGCGTTGTAGTGGACTTGGGGCTGTGGGAAATTCACAACGTGGGCTGAAATGCTCGCCATGAGAATGATGCTACCCCCCGTTCCTCTGCTCACCATGGACTTCGCCACTGCCTGTGCACAAAGGAACGCACCAGTGGTATTGACCTCAATCATCTTCCTCCACTGTTCTGGGGCGATTTCCAAAGCATGAGCTGCAAACGCGATACCTGCAAAGCAGAGACAAATATTGATGGGGCCAATGTCTTGTTCAGCCTGCGCGACGGCTTCTGTGACCACCTTCACATCGGTTACGTCGACCTTAGTGAAGGTGATTATAGCTTCGGGAAACTCAGTCTTGAGACTGTTGACAGTGGCTTGGCCTGCTTCAGGGTGGAGGTCGAAGATGGCGAGGCCTCGCAAGCCGTGCTCGAGCAGGGCTCGGCAGGCGACGGAGCCAATGTCGCCTGCACCACCGGTAACGATGGCGTTGCCACTAACGCCAAATCGAGCCGCTGCTCTCGCAGCCGGTGTAAGAGTGGCGGGTACTGGCTCTAGTGGTGCTGTCAAGGATGAGGCGGACCCGTCGCTCAACTTCATAGAGGGAGGAGCCCGAAATTTAAGCTGTTCACGAGGAACGGACATGTTGGATGCTTTTGAATTTGATTTCGCAAGGTCTGCTTTTGGATGCACAAAGTTCTATTCAATGCAATCCTAAGAGACAAGATACGATTCGAGTTCAGTGTGAGCCTACGAGACTGGAAAGCAACGGGGGCTCCTTTAAAAGCAAGCTGTCGGACAATGATAGTCTTTTACTCTTTCCTCTAACAAACTATCCCTGTTGATTGTGGATGCGTGTACTGTACAGTAACTGCAGTACGGAGGACAGAGGCATCTCATCCGATTTTAGACTTGGGGTATACTGCCCCTCGCAATGGGTGTAGGAAAGGCGGAGATTCTGATGATGTGGTCTATGCTAGGTTGGTATGTAGTTAGTTACTGTACAGTAACTGCAGGAGGTAGGTGGGGAAGGCCCTTATCGAACCATCCAGACACCCCCGTATACGCGAATATCCCAGGAATATCAGCTTCAAGCGGGGGTGAGTGAACTGAAGCGTTTCCAATGAGATTAAGAAGCCTACGTCATGGTATTACGACTAGCCTTTTCCCCTGAGGCAGCGATTGAATGCGGTTAAAATGATTGAGCAGTAAATTTTGCTGGATTAAAGGGATCCTTGGATCAGTCAACTGTGGCCGAGTGAGGGTGGGGGAAGAAGTATGCCTGCCAGAAAATCAGATGCGTTATTGATCATCTATTGGCTGGAATTGAGGATGTTACTGTACAGTAACTGCATTAGCGTTCTCAGTTTGAATAAGCTTCAGTGGAGCCGACAGGGTGGAGCGGCGCGAGTTGCAGTTCGTCATGAAGCCAGACAGGATGTGATCTGAGTTGGATCAGTTCTTGCATATCTTACGTTACTTTGGTGATGTGCTTTGTTACATGTGTTCAGATCTCCGTTCTCAATAGAAAAATTAAGGGTTATTTGGGAACTGACAGATTGGTGGATGCTCTGCTTCATCACCCCGTGATCTGTTGGTCAAAGCATTCAGTATCTCAGCCCTGTGTCTGATGAAAGACGCCAAACGCCAAACGTGGATGATAAATAAGAGAAGAAGGGGGGAGACTTTTCAAGAACGAGCAAGGAAATGCATCATTGATTTCACGCTCTAAAGTGCTTCAATAATCTACTTTGCTCTTCTCGCACTCTTTGGTGAAATCGAATCCCGAAGCGCTACGCAAATCAATCACTACGACATCATCCCTCAATCCCTCTCAATCCCTTACGACAGGAGTCAATCGAACTTTCAGAGGACCCTTGTCCCATAAAATGAAAACCTTTTGCCTTTCAACCCAACCACGGCTCTCTTCAGCAAGCTCGAGGTCAAAGTTCCATACAAGGCGTGCAAGGATTAGTCTCATCTCAACATATGCCAAACTTCCAAGATTGTCTGGTTAGCATTCGAAGACATCAAAAAATCAAACAGAAGAATCTTACTTTCGTCCTAAGCAGTTACGGGCTCCAACGTGAAAGGGTTGAAATGCATCTCTATTATCGGAGGCGAATTCGGGATCGCCAAGGAACCTTTCGGGGTGAAAGCCAAAAGGGTGCTTGAAGTACGCCTCGTTATGATGAATAGCCCATTGGTGAATGGCGACAGTCGTCTGCCACAGAGGTTTATAAGCAATCAACGCAACACAATGTGACAGTAAAAGCTCCTATGCTTTTTAATCTGGAGCGAACTCACATTTCCAGGCACATAACGGCCACAAACTACGGCACCTTCTCGAGGAGTCACCCGTGGAAGCCCCATCGCCACAGGGGGATACATGCGAAGTGTCTCATCTAGACATGCAAGCATGTAAGACAGCTTACCAACCGATATGATGTTGATCTCCTCTTCGCTCTTGAAAGCCGACCGAACTTCGTCGGTAAGCTTTGATAGTATCTCCTTATGAGTCAATAGGTAGTATGTTGCACCAGAGAGGAGTGTAGCTGTTGTCTCGGATCCTCCGATGACGAGAGTATTGCTGTTTGCCGCGATTTGTGCGAATGATAAGTTCTAGGCATTCATTAGTAACAATTCTTAAAAAAGAAGGGAAGCCCATTGGGAGAAGGTTTCAGCAGTTGGCCAGCTGGCACTCACTAGCTCATCTCTTTTCTTAAGCAAACCCTCAATCAGATCAGGTCTACCCTCTTTACCACCTAGCTCGATACGCCTTTGCAACTTTTCTTTTGCCATATTGAAGTTTCTTCCTCTGGTCTGTTTTGCGGATTTTGTCGCCAGCAGATTGAACAAGACTTTTTTGAGGAAAGGATAATGACTTGCTGTCTGCACTATAGTTCCCAGGCGAGCTGAGGTAAATATCGATCGGATCCATGGATGATAATCTGACTTTTCTAGACAACCAAAGGGCTCGCCGAACGCTAGATCGCCAATAATGTCAAAAGTAGTAAAATTATACCACGCTAGAAGGTCAACCAGTTTCTGGTCGGTGCAGTTCTCATGGAGGCGCCTAATGAAGAGATCTATATATTTCATGACAAGCGGCTGCTGCTCTCTCAGACCACGTTCACTAAATCCATGAGACAGCTGCCGTCTTAGGACTGCATGGTCTCGCCCATTGGAACTGACGATGGAGGATGGTATTGTTGCAGTTGGGCGGTAAAACATCTGGTCTTTCTTGAATTCAGGGACATCGTGGCTCCGATGCCCCATTATATCTTTCCAGGCGTCGACATTGTTGAAGGAGAGCTCATTAGGGGCTACACGTACAACATCGCCGTACTTCTTATGAAGCTCCAGGACATCAAAAGGCAGAGTACCGCCAATGAGCTTGTAGCCAAAGCCCAGCCGTGTTGCTCGTAAAAGCAGAGGACCCGGGTAATTTCGCAAGGGATGAAGAAACAGGTTGTATATTGTCCAGGATGCAATATAGAGTGTAACCTGGCGATGTCTCTTAGTTATTCTGGCTTCAATTGTGATTGAATTGGACTCACAATTACAAGGCATGCTATCAAGCCTGTTGAGAAGGATGTCTGTAACGCCATCATTATCGTTCCAAAGGCGTAAAAGGAACGATGTCAGTTACTGGGCTTTACTCTTGAGCCTGCAGATAGCGTTCTTTTTAAAGTGATGTTACACCTAGTTACCCACAATCATGCATGCAATTGCCAATGCGATCAGCCACTTATGATGTGTTCGTACAAACCGAATAATACGAGGCGCCGGGCACTTTTTAGGACGATTCTGACCCACCCCGTCGGCCTTACTGGGTTCCGGCAGGGATAGGGTTGCCATGACTCTTGATATGGGTTGATGTACATTCCTAGATTGGCGAATTAAATGTTTGACGACGCGGGATGGGATTGAGTCTGAATACGAAACGTTGAGAAGCTCAGACCAGAACAGATCAGCCCGACATCAGATGCAGTATCTTCATCGCTTAATATTTGTTCAGATGAAAACACCCGCTATCCAACCCCGTTACAGGTAATTATTTGTAAGAAAAGGCCTGGGTTGTAGTGTTGTTCCGCCGTCGGTGATAAGCCATTCCATATTCAGCTTTTCATACGTTGACATAAGTATCCTTGAGCGAGTCGCGTTTTGGGTGACACGATGACGATTGCTCTTCATGACCCGATTCACTTGCCAGCCATCGAATGAAATAAACTATGAAACAGTACCATTGCATCCAAGTGATAACGCCCCAAGGTCTGGGTCCGCAGTATGGGTGCAAATCAAGGCGCAGATGTAAGACTTAGCCTACATCGCAGACGAGGGCTATGGCAGAGTTTACTGCACCCGGACTTCTTGATTCAGTCTTAAATAGCAAATACATGAGTCCATTTCTCTTAATTCAGTACCAATAAGTAGTGTCTGTGTGTCGCAAAGATCAACCCCAATGATGTGACGTATGAGTTTGAACGGACTGATAAGCAAAATTCTTGAGTACACTTTGTGCCTGGAATAACCGTGTCTGCAGGATTTCATTTGCCCACGAAACATTAGATTGCATGTGAAACAGTAATTGGCGACCATGTTAGTTCAGAGAGAAGGCTTTTTCGGACCACCACCGTTGTGTGCAGTTATAAGACCCTCCTTCCGAGGCGCTGCTGGCACTGGCATAACATCAAACCTTAAACTAAAGGCGAACAATCACAGGTTTTATCTCTTCATCTTTTGAAAATTAGGACGTGTGCTAAGTACTAGGAGAGTCTATGAAACTCGTAGAAATACTACCGTTAGTCTCCCAGGTTCCCAACATATCTGTCACAGCTAGTGTGAGAACTCTGAGACTATCAAATGTCTGTACAATTGTGGTATGATGCACACATTTGATGAGATCTATCTGATAGCATTACGCTGACGGATGTTCATATGTCAGTTTCGATTTAGAGTGGCGTCACAGCTATGGACATGGTCGTCGTCTGGCGGTAAGAGCATACAAAAATTGATGGACATTTCGCATTTATCAAAGATGAACTTCTCTCTTTATGATCATCATCTCAATGTTTGGCTCAAGAGCTGCCTGAACTACAGTGTTACTTCCAGGCCACAGTAACCCCCTTCTCATGGGACTCTCTCGCAAGCTCGATAACTCTGATAGCATCTCGCGACTGTGTTGCCTTAACCTCTAGCTCGGCTTTGCCATTGATTGCATTGGCAACGTTCTCATAAATACCTCGCCATCGACCAGTTATGCTAGGGTATCTGCCAGTGTATTTCTTGGTAGCTTCATCATACTTTTGAACGCTGCCGTCAAACTCTTTGTAGGTTGTTAGAATGCCGTAAAACTCAGGTGGTTCTTCACCGAATCCTGGATCGAGAGGCTTGCGGCCCTCTGCGATTTGTTCCTCCTGGGGGCAGGTGCTCCTCTGCTGGAACTGATCAATGAGTTAGCACCACATTCGAACAAGTTTGGATATGATATTTACTTTGAGCCAGGAACCCTTAGTTCCCCTGACCAAGTGCTTGAGCTGCTGTGCCATGGGCGTAGTGACTGATGTCTTGACTGTGACAAGTAGGTCTTTTTGCGCTCCGTCATATTGCAAGATTATCGTGAATGAGTCCTCAACTTCGCTTTCGATCCCACGTTGGGCTCTGAAAAAGCCAGTCACGGACTTAGGACGGCCAAAGAGTGTGACAGCTTGATCAATGCTATGAGTTCCTATGCGAATATTTGGTTAGCGAAACAGTCGACCTTGTCCAGATGCTGAACTTTACTAACCCAAGCCAAAGGCCATACCATCACCGGGGCTGTACTCCTTCTTGTTCATCAAACTCAACCATGGCGGTGACTCGAAGTCATAGTGAATCTCTGCCTCTTTAATTTCTCCGAGGGCGTCTTCCTTAATGAGCTTTCTCAGCGTCTGGAAGTCGGCGTCCTGAACATTGAATTAGCCTAATTGCTGTCAAACTGTTGGTGACTGAAACTCAGTCAGAACTGTTCTTTACCCATCTTCGGTTTTGGAAGCAAGTTATAATAAGATTTTTCTTTCTTGCGAGCTCGATAACTTGATCTGCCTCTTCCGATGACCTTGCAAAGGGCTTATCGACGATGACTACAGTAATGTCAATAATCCAATGACCCAAAGACATAACAGACCCTCCGTCCTAATCATGCGCTTACCGTGCTTCCCTGATTGCAATGCCTTCTCAGCAAAGGACGCGTGGGTATCGGTATGCGTGGCTACAACGACAAGTTGGATATCGGAATCAGCGAAGAAGTCTTCTGCAGTTCGGTGATGTCTAATGTTGGGAAAGTCGACTTTGCAGTGCGAACCGGCAGGTGCCGAAGAAGAATCAGCCGGGGCCTCCGCTCTTTGTAGAATTGCAACAACTTCGTAATCGTTGTTGATGGTGATGAATGGCAAGTGGAAGTTCTTGGCTGCGAAGCCGTAGCCTACGACACCGACTTTGATGGTAGACATGATGCCAGCAATAGTAGTGATTCAATGAGATAAATAGAAAAGTTTCTGAATTTATTATGTTACATCTCATAACGTTCGATCGTCGACTTTATATGTCCCAATATTCCATGTGCGGGGTGTTGTACAGTGGTCATCCTATGATGCGGGATGGCGGAATAGCGGAATGGTGGGGCAGCGGGTCCTCGCCGATATTCCCCGGGAGATCTGTGTCAGCTTCGGACGTGGGGCCGACCGACCGTTCAGACACGATTTGTTATGTAGTTACTCAAAGCACGTAAGACTGTTTGAAAGCCATGCAGAATTAGTTCTCTTATTTTGTTTCTAGATTCTTTATCCTTTCAAGTTTTAATTAACGGCTAGATTAAACGGGAAAAAGAAGTAAGAAAAAGAAGGAAAACGAACAACTTGGAGTATTCTGCTACCCGATACTTATTTGCGGCATTCCATTCTCCCCAAGATATCCCCTTACTACCAATTCCTGGATAACGTCACTCCTCCGCCGCAGATTCCATATCCCTATTTGCTTTACAGTGGCCACGGCAAATCTTCGGGGCGACCTCGATCGCCAGCGGCTTTAATGGCGTCACTAAGCGCTTGGCCCTTTCCTAATTTGGCAACTACAACAGTCGGATATTAACCGGCCGATTTGGGGGTGCGGCTAAGCACCAAGACCTCAAGGGTCAAGGCAACCATAGTTTCAATCACCGACCCAAGCAGCTATTCGATTGGGAAACCTGCCTAAGGCCAGCCCAAAGAACCTGAGTGGGCCCACATCTGCACCTGAGATCTTAAAGCACATTACAAGGATACTTTTGATTGTCGGGGTCAGAGGACGTTGTACTTTATGAAAACTGCTTTGGAGGTAGGCCCTATGACATATGATTATAGGTTGAAGTCAGCACCGATAGTAGAATACTGCTCAAGGATGACTTACTAAGCCTTTTCCATGTAGCTAACGGAAAGCATAATTAACCGGTGGGTTTTTTGGCAGAAACATCACTTGAAGCACAGGTGAAGTAGGGAAACGCCCTGTTTGCTTTTGTGCAAGAACTTCACGTATAAACCAAAAGTTGCTTGCAGTGAGAAAGTTCAGTGTCAAAATATCCCTTTACCGCCATACCTCTTCGCGGCGAATCATTCATCTTTAGATCAAGGGCAGGGTCGAGTGGTCGAGCTTACTGCATACGATCACTAGTTCAGTTCCCATGGTAACTGTCAGGCTGGGTGTCGCACAGAGTGGAAGAGTCAACAACGACACAACGTAGGGGATAGATTATACTATCATTCGAATCTGCCTCCTCTAAACCTTCCTAGGCGCGTCCCTTTATCCCTCGTGCGGACTATTGTAATTCCAGCCGGTGCCCCGCCGGTGGCCCCCCGGCCCCGGGCCCGGTCTTCCCTTCCGTAGCGTCCGCGTCTCTGACAGTAACATCTCGCATATTGCCACCAGCTGGACGTTGATGTGATCACTTGAGTGTCTTACGCTTTGAGTATGCTGGGATAACCGAAAAGGCTATGTACTGGGCTTTAGTGGTCTTCCTCCTCTACTGTTCTTTTGAACTTTTAGTTGACCAGTCACTTTGTGAAGGCGTGCCAACTGCCAGCAATCCAAGATGGTTTGCGCCGCCGTTGCAGAAGCATCTTCGACTTGGGTGCCAGGGCTTCCAGCCAAAAACTCAGCATTGACCTTCCTGTCGTCTTGCTCTGCCCCCTTGGTGTCGTCAAATATCGCCAATGGGTGTCTCGCCATAGACGTCGGAACATGGGTAGCACCGATGAGGGGGAACTCATCTTCATCAAGCGTTAAATACCGTTGCTACCTGCTTTTGCTATTAGAGTACCTCGGTCGGTCACCGGAAGGATCTCACCACGAGAAATTATTCGGCCGCCCGGACGACGTAATCACCACACCAGAGCCGTTCCCCCCCGGCTGGTAGGCCGTACGCATCCTGAGTTCTTTTCGTCTTCGTCTTATAGCCAGTCGAAGTTCAGGTGGTACATACATAAATACTACAAGTAAGCAGCCCATTCGACAGCCTTGTTACTCAGCTTTACAAAGCTTCAAGCTTTCTACATCTTAACCTAATTCTCTCAGCCGCGATGTCGGGACTTCGGAGGCCGCTCTTAACGACTTAAACCAGCTAGGTGATCCATGATGATGCCAATATTGACCCTGGATAAGCCTACAGAGCTGAGCGTCTACCACGAAATGTCCACAGCCTCGTTTCTGAGTAATACTATTGCGAAGCACCTCGGCGCACCCTTTGCCGTTGACGAAAAGCTTGAGCCGCATGAGAAAGGGGCTTTTCTGGTATCTCACTGCCTACATTACTGAGCTCCATGCTGATAGTGAAGCCCATTTCAGTATAAGACGAAGCGCTCCAAAATAGTGCACGAGGGCTCAGAGAGAACGTGGCAGGATACTCTGTTGCATTCGGCCACTAGGGCATGGAAATGGCAACTACACAGTCTGGCTCACAACAGCTGAGAAAGTGAATACGCTTCACGGAAAGCAGAGACAGGTCATTATACAGAGCTGGGCACCGTCACAGAAGAAAAGAAACCGGTTATAGCCCAGCCATCTTTGATGGGGGAGATTAAGTCTTTTCCTGGCTGATGTAAGTGTCGCCAATCTTTAGCAGCTGACTCATGTTTGAACTTCTGCCGGGGATTTTGGCAATGCCAAATATCTTGCAAGGCGACCTTTAGTTGGTGCTGCAGGGCGCGGCTGACTTTTCTTAATTTTGCTATTACTACGAATTGGGACTTGTGGCTTAGCGAGATTCCCAAACCAATAACGCCACACAATTTTGCTGCATTACTAGTTTGAAAGCTGAAACATTGTCAAGAAACCGGGCATCTGTAACGGAATTAAGCACGCAGTGGTCAGGCGAGGATGGTTGTAGGGTAGTGGCTGTTTGGTTTTAGAATGAGTGTCTATACGTACAAACGGTCATGCAAAAAGGTCTTTGGTGTGTGTCAAAGATGTACCTAAACAACTACATTCAGTTCAATTTATTCGGTCTGGAAGGACGTTATCATCACAAAATCGTTTCAAATTGTTTCTAGTAAAGCACAAGACCGGCTCAACTAAATGTATGGCTCCAGAGCCTGAATATTATCTGCCTGTTTCATAGCACCATGATGTCTGCAAGCAGTCACTGATACTGAGCCAGGCTATAGCCTCCTCAGGGCTAAGGATCTCCCTTACCCAAACCCAAATCCTCGCCATTATCGTTTAACAGCTTACCTCACCTCGACCTTATACTCACTTTTAACCTTGATTCCGCCGTTGTATCGTTCAGCGTCCTCTAAGCTACGCTCATCGCTACGGTTGTCCGCAAACGCGGCAGACCGGCTTTCTCCCTTTGGTTTGACGATATGTTCCTGACTACCAACTGAGCCATCATCCGGAATCCTTTCGTGGTCCTCCCTCAGTCGAGACCTTTTATGACTGGATCCGGTTCCACCAAATGTGACGAGACCAGTAGGAGTGTTGCTGTTTGTTGATCCTTTATGGCGACTAGGGAAGAGGGGTTTGATCGAGGGTGCGTTCGTGCAGATGATGCCAATAACCTTCAAGCAAAAACATTAGACAGTATATAGACATCAAAAACAATCAAACACTTGCCGTTTCACGAATTGACCAGTTCAGTCCTAGATCAAGTCTTTCGGGGGTATGCAAGCAGATAATGCATCGCAGCAGCGTGCAGATGACGATAAAGAAACCGGCGCAGAACATGAGACCGAATGAAAGTTTCCTGGCGTCATGTCAGTATCTTATCTCCAGTACTGGCTTACGAAGGCGGTAATACCTTTTAAGAGTTGTCTGAAGCCTCCACAACAGTGGGATTGGAATGTACATGATCAGTAAATCCGTGCTGCATGTCTGTTAACTAAAACTAAGAATTGAAATATGATAGAGATTGGCCTCACCTGACATTGGTCGTTACTAAAGCGTAGTACTTTGCCCTATTTTGGGTGCAATCGTCTGTTTGGAACGTCAGTAATTACATAGGGTTCAGGCAAATCAGGAACGAGAAGATTGCGCTTACCTCCAGCGTAAGGATACACCTGCCATAGACGGTGAATTGGTCGGCAGTGGCCTGTAATAACTGCCAAGGTCGCTAGGTACGCAGCGACTGTTATGATGGCTGCCACCTTAACCAGACGCTCCTCAGGGAGGGTTTTCCTTTAACATCCAACTTTAGTTCACAACATGAATCTGGGTGGCGATAAAAGGGTTGCTTACGTTACTCTGGAAAAGAAGAATAGCATGATGCCTTTCAAACTCCAGATCAAGCTGACATATATGTACCATGCGGCAAACAACCACTTCGCACCAGTCTCGTGACTTTTGTATTGTTCTGGTGTTAAGGTCAGAGCAATAGCATCAGTCATTCCGGTGATGCTTCCTTTTTCAACTAGACGCATGTAAGCCTGGAGGGAAAATGGAACGTTTTGAGGATAGCAGATTCAGTACCTATTATTTGGCACATCATTACTTCAAACTACAAAGCCGTTAGCATAGGCATAGGTATGATGATCATTCTTCTGTCAATCAACTTACTGTGAAAAAAATGATTGCTGCAATAGCTAGATAATCGTCCCCTTGCCATTTCCAACCCACCATTTTGCATCTGCTGAAGACGCGGAGAAAGAGGACCAATATGCCAACTGCATATTCAACCCACATCTCAATGACGGTTGGCCAAAGACTTTCTGGCACCATTTTTGCGGATATCGGTCTAAACCGAACTTTCACATAAAAAGAAAAACGATAATGAAGTAAAAAACAAACGAATAGTCTGTTACACACTGCAAAATCAACGTGGACAAACTAGTTGTATTAAATCGATGAACAACTTCACTGACAGATGAAAAATTTCGAGCATTCCGGATTGGGAAGAAGCGAAGTCTTGACTACGTAATCGGACCTCAGTCCGTATCCCCTTGAGGTTCCATTCGGCAATTGCCATCGATCAAGATCCAGTTACTGAGTCGCGGTTACGATACGAAATGAGTGTGGGTTAACGTTGTACTTTTAAATCGCACACAAACAGTGGCTGGAAGTGTATGAAGATCAGGTGGCAGGGTCCACAACGATGGTCAAGGCGAGGATTTCCCCTTTTCTTGTTTCTTTCCCCGAGGAACTCGCACTGAAGAGCTCAGTGGAAGTCATTTAAGCGAACAGATCAGCATTGAATTTGCCCCAAATTGGCGTCCCGCAAATCTCAGAAATTAAACTAAGACATATCAAACTAGGGGTTCATGGCACTGACCACAGGTTGGCGAACAAACTTGCTGTCAAAAACGGTACTGCAAGGAACATGGAATATTGATGTATCATTGCAAAGTTCGGTTGCATGTCTTGCGTGGAAGTATTTTAATTACGTAGTCGAGAGCTACCTGCGTTTTTAGGAGTCCCAGTTTCTTGAATATGTGAAACGGCTTCAAGTTGATTTACCTGTCACCCATGCTTAGTTCGAATGGCACATCTACATTTGATTCCATAATTGATGTTACCCAGAACGTTCTCATGGACCTCGGATGTGTCTGTCGCGCATGCCATCTCTCACACTACTAGACTATCTGACGAGATATGTTGTATTCATGCCCAACAGTGGGGAAAGCACATCTTCCGGGGATCTGGTCCGGACTTGGGATCCCTCCCCAAGACCCTGGTTAAACTTCTTACATACACCGCCAGCCATTGAACTCTATTCTGTTCTGGACTGACTCGTAACCACTTATACCCTCGCGCTCATTGGATAGACGATTACTAGTAGAATGCGGCTAGTACATCCGTTCGAGGTACCACAGAATGGCACGCAACATTGTTTTCATGTGAGCTTTGCATCGTGTTCCGTACGCACACATCGTATAGGTAGACATTGGCCCACGTCGCATGAACCGGAGCAGACTCCCTCCCCTTGACATGCAACGTATGCAAGTCAAAATACCACCCAATGTTCAATTCGCAACACATCACGTACCCAGCTTCGAAAGAGATGTTCTGTTGTAATCAGATTCAGAATTCAAGCTTTATTAAATTACTACCACTCAATAGGCTTAGATGGAATAGGCTGGTCGAAAAATGATGGTAGCTTCGCGACCTTGACTTGTTCACTGGCGAAGGACGGATGATCGTCATACGCCAAGAAGCCAGTTCCATCGTAGCAACCGATGTACTCTGCGTCCATCTCTTCACCCTTCAGAATTGCAACATCAACCCAAAGCAACAAGTCACCGCCCTCCATAACCCCACCAGGTCCGTATGCAGTAAAAAAGTCTCTCCTGAGTTTGACGTGGACCTTGTCCCACCTCCCCATATGCTCCATTTTGGAAAGATCCAACCAGAACAAAAGCTGCGCCTGGCGAATATAGTCCAAGCCAGGGAAGATGGATCGGCCCTTCGTGACAGCATCAGTCGTCTCCCCCTCGTGGTTGATGCCATTGGTTCCATTCACACCATTGGTTCCATTGACTCCATTGGTTCCATTTGTCGTAGCATGAGATCCGTTGACTGAGACACCATGAGTCGCGCCAGGTTGCTTTTCACCAGCGAAGGCATGGCAAGCTCTTGCCGAGATCATTCCCTTTTCGGGCCCGCCAGTGACAACGTTGGTAACCCATTGCTTCGTCAAGCCATCAAAGTTTTCGTTCCAGTAGTCGCGTTCATTCTGGGGCATAGCGCTGTAGTCCTGGCCTTCGACCACGAAGCAGATGTTATCAGGGAATTTGGAAATCTTGACTCTTCCGGGTCGAATCTTGTCGGCGAGCGGTCGGGGTTGGGGGACAGCGGGCAAAGGGGACTCGAATTTGTCGTCAGGAGTTGCAGGGGTCATGCGCGAGCGGTAGGCACCCCAGTATCCGGTCTTCTCAGTGAGAGGAATGAGGTCGCCGCAGTGGCCAAAGCCAGATGGTTGACTTTTGTTGGACTCGTACAGCGCTCTGGTGGCGGGGATGCTCACGGTCTCTCTCCAGAAGCCGGAATCAGAGGGCAGAGATGCCCAGAACGAAGAGGTCTCGGGGCTTTCCCACCATGTCTTGAAAGTCTGTGGAGAGGCCCAGTAACTCATCCAAACCTTGGAAGGGAGATCGTTTTGTTCCAGTTCCTCGACATGAATCGCGGCATTCTTGATGAGTTCGTCGAATTTGTTGATAAGAGCAAGCTTGTCTGATGAAGGAGAGTCGGCATGGTATTGGGCCCCAAACATAGACACTGTGAAGTGATGGGCGGTAGGGAAGCGAGAGCGCAACATGGTTGATAACTGAGAAGGAGTAACCCGCTAAAATTGTCCAAAGTAATCTGATACACCAGCAAAGTAAAACGTTCAGGCCACTTGGGTTTTATATATGCAGTCTTCAGCACCAGTCGCGGGTAATGCTTACCCGTTCATCGTCCTGCAAACTTACCCCTTGCAGCCATCCGTAATGAATTGTTCCTGACTGGAACAACTGTACATCCCGTCCATCTTTCCTCGACCCTGGGGTAAACCCTTTGTGCATCTACGCATCGATACTGGTGCAGGTTCGATGTAGTACTGCCAGTGGAGTGCCAATGCAGGAACTCTCCATCGTCAAGCTCGGATCCTCGATTGTTGCCGCGACTGTTGCCGCGGCCCACTGGCAGGCCAATACCACAAATGCCGCTGTGGCTGAAGGCGGGGACGGGAACTCAAGCCCGTTTTTGGACGATTCTCCCGCTGTCGTAACCACGACTCATGTAATTGCGTGCCATATTAATGTGCGAACGGGCCACTTCAATTGACACGCAGCACTGATCGACACTCAGCTATCCTAGTCAAGTTTGATACATGGGTATTTGTTTTGGTATTTGGACCCTCAGTTACTTTCTTCAATAGCTTGCCTACATGCGTCTCCGGAGTCGAGTCGCAACATATCTATCGTGCGTTTTGATGTGGTAATAGGTGCACTTGAGAGACTCTGTAAATCATACCAGTACAAAGGAAAAGGGGGAGGGGACAGGGAGGATGGTATATATATCTTGTTCAGATATGTGTCCTGACGCGATGCTCTTGTGGGAACTCTTAGAAACGCTTATTGGCGCCACTGGGATTAAAAGCGTACGGTACTCCTCTTTGTGTGCTCTGTAGTGGGCAACAGTGATAAGAAGAAATAAGCACTGTCCCTTCGAACAAGAACTTCTCCTGCACGATAGATTTGGGCTTCTTTTGCCCATGATGGATGGAAAACAGTACGAGGTACTCGAGCTACTTCAAATTTGACGCGCTGGAGGCTTGAGTCTCATGCTACAAACATTCAAATATTCACTTTCCCAGAGAAAGCGTTCTTCCACGGAAGCGTTCATTAAGATTTATCGCTTTATGGGGTAAAATCATTTCACTTTTACTTCCTTCTGGTCAGGCTGCAATGTGAAGCGAAAAAGTCATCCTATCGCCGGTGGAGCCGGTGTGCCCAACATGTTGTGAAAAAATGTATAAGAACACCCATAGTACGGTTCACGCTGCCATGAATTGCCAGTTTGTTTAGGCATCGTCTTTCCGAAAAAGAAAAACAAAGGCCAATTTGGTCTTAGGCGATGAAAGAGTTGGATACACTCGCTTCGTACGCCACTTTTAGTAGGTTCTGAATTTGCGCTTGGCACTTGGACCTTTCATAGCCTCCTGGTTAGATTGGTCGTGGCGCAATTAGGCCAATCAGGGTTCAGTATCGGCTGCAACACCCAACCAGGTTTAGCTGAAGTGCTCACGAAACACTTCAAGTGTTAACTGGGGAACGGCGGGCAAGCCGCCTGTTGAAGTAAGCCTCCCGTTAGGAAGACGAGCTAGTAATCGGGTTAATGTTTCACCGGTCCAGGATTAGTAATCCTACCAAGACGACTCCATGTTCATGCATAATTACGGGTGATCACGGCGCTTAACTATCAGATCCTTTCCCCTCACCTTAGACAATTCTGGGTTTTCTTGATATTGCGCTTCAAGTTATGGCTCAACAAGCTCTTATCAACTTGCCAGCTGAACTGATAACCGAAATCTTTTATCATCTATTATCACCAGACCCTAAGCACTTGCGGGACTATCAGAACTTCCGGGAAACATGCAAAACTATAGCTGAGGCAACTTCTTCAGCTTTCAAAGCACGCTTCTTCCGCATTCGCTACGTAATGCTAGAGAAGGAAAGCCTATTGAATCTTGTGAACATTTCACGCCACCATATTCTGAGTCAAGCGGTTGAAGTTGTCGAGCTCTGCGTTGATCATCTCATCCAACCCAAAGACTACATGAGCCACGAAGAACTAGAGATTTGTGGACTCAAAGACGAGTATGATTTCTTCCGAGTTCGGAATGGCGAAGTTGTCTTACTGGGCGACGATAGTTGGGAGCAAATAATCCAAACCTATAAGGATGGATGGCAGGAGCAAACGGAATTCTTCTCCCAAAGGCAACATATGAGTTATTTAGCGATAGCTCTCACTAACCTCAAAAACTGCAAAGCTATTGGGATATCGGATCATACCCGACCATGGGGCGCCTTTAAGCTTGGGCGACGTATTGGCGTACTTCCAAATAGGTTTATTTCTGATTTCTTACCTAATAGCATGGTTCATGCCTTAGTAGTAATCAGAACACTGTTTTTCGCACTTATTAAGAGCCGCCTTCCCATAGAGGAGATATATATCGAGTTTGGAGATATGATGGAAGGTTGTACGTCTGTTATTCCACGGATGCTATCGCTCCTAAGCAGTCTCGCAAAAGCCGTAAAATCCGAAATCACGACCATTACAAAGCTCAGTCTTGTTATCAATCCTAAGGATAGCGATAATCATTTCAGCCAAGAAATTAGAAAATTCTTTGCAGAGAATGACCCAGTACAGGAAGAAAAATATGATTGGCAATCAGACTTTCATAGCTTCTCTAGCCTTTTTCCAGCGCTCACCGATATTACTTTATTCTTCAACTATTGCGAAGAGAAGCAACAATTTCCAGGACTTTCAGAAAGCCTCTATATTCCTCTTCTTCAAAGGTTATGCCTTGAGTATCTAGACTGCACGAGAGACGAACTCCTGACGCTCTTACGGCGACATCAAAATACACTTCGAAGACTTACTCTCGAAAATGTTAAAATTACTACCCAAGGTCTAGACGCTTGGTCTTTTCTCATACAAACTCTTCAGAACGAATTTAGATTAGATGAGTTGGAAATAAGAGGGTGTGGTATTGACGATTGCGATTTTAATATAGATTTTGATCTCCCTGATCGACTTTCTGCACATACCAGCGAGGAAATGAATTTACTACAAAAGGAAATACTTCAGGTTGAAGAAGAAGAAAGACTTAAAGGGATCCAAGCATAGATAGCGATCTTCTTAGTATTGAATTTTGATATGCCTCATGTTTTCCAACGCAGACTATTTCCTCCCACGCAAACTGCCCCGTTTAGGCCGCTTCGTTAGACTCGCCCCATCACTGCTGTCTTCAATAGTCTCTACCTCTCCGGATCGCTTTATATTAATAGGCGCGACGTCGCGGAGGCCGTTAACAGAAAACGGATCATCATTATCGACAATAGCGTCCGAGGCTTGTGAACCTAAGCATATTAGCTTTCAGAATAATAAAGTAGAATCGTCAAGCTTACCATTATTAAACAGAGGCCCAGGCACTTTCGCGTCGGCAGACATCTGTGCGAGAGGATCGAACTTGAATTTTCCCTTCGTACGTTCAGTCATATCTCCTTTTGACGGCGTAGAAAACGGATCGCGCGAGGCTGCGGTCTGCCTAGGCTCCCCAGCAGCCCAGTCAACTTTGATAATCTCGATGAGTAGGACAAACTCAAGGGGGTTATAAGGATAATCAGAGGTAAAGACGGTATTCTTGTTGCAGAAACCATGGAAATAGCCAGTAATATAGGCTTTTTTTCCATGCTTGCGAAATGGTGTTGTCTCGACGCGGTAATCCTCGCACTTCTTCTTCATATGTGCTTTGCATTTGGGAAGCATCGCGTAAACGTAGTTAGCATACCATCCAGTTTTGGGGGTATAAGCAGCCTCTGTAGAAGTAAATCTAGACCACACCCTGAAGACGGCTGACGAGTTCCTGGTTATTTCATCGAGACCAACGGAGGGATCATCGGCAAGGGGGAACTTTTGGGTATCGACAAACCCGTTGAAAGTTACGAACGGAGGAGTTATCGGGAAACGAGGAGATAAGTCGGCGCAGGTACGGTCAGAAATACTAAGAGGGAGCTTTAGGATAAGTATTCTAATGCCACGGATGAAGAAACTTACGGCGTGAGGGCATCGTCCTGGATCCATGCCAGACGTTTATATTCCACCTCGTCTTCGCCAGATAGACCACAGGGGACGTAACTGAAGTGGGGATCGCAGATAATAGTAAACCATTGGTCTTCCCAATCCTCGGTAGTTAACGAACCTCCCAAGTGGAAGCGAGAGAGATCTAGCGATAAGGCCCCGGCGTGTAAGTTGTCAAGTATATTAGGGAAGACATTAGTCAACCACTCTGGCGTATGAATCGGTATCTGGATTTGACCAGACCAGTTCTGGTACCGAAATATCTGGGAGTCCCTGCTTAGAGATTCAACGGCAACCATTTTACCTGTAGCAAGCATCGTGAGGGGGAGGCTCCATGGCGAAGGCAGGTTCAGCTCGGGCTTCGGCCAATAGGCAGCCAAGTCTGGCTTTCCAGTACCCATAGCGGCAGGAGGAGGCAAGGCGAAATGGTAAACAATCTGCAAGGAACCAGTATAAAACGTAGAAGGAGCTTTCGAGACGTAAGGAAGAGCAAGAGAAAGGCGAATCCAAACATTCGGGTTATACTCTTATAAAGGAATAAACCTTGTACATGAGGGGGCGGAGGAAGAATCCATCGGAAGGGAGATTTTTCAGCTTTGCTCCCTTATCAAGTTATTAATACAGGAGAACCAGGTCTCGTGGTCGCCTGAAGTTGTCTAGTTTATGCTGGCAAGACGTAGACTGCGTCTTTTTTCTACAAAGTGGGAACAACAGGGGGCTTATTACCCTTCTATTGGTAGATCACAAAGTATTGTTTCTTATTCGGATGGAACAGGAATGATTCCAGCTTTATTATAGTAATGCAGCAGCAAGACATCCGTCTTTGCAATACGAAGTTACTTGCATCTCGCCTTGGGCTAATACTATATGAGAAAAGATGTTCTTATTGAGGCAGTAATAACATTTGCAGCTAGGGCAGAAGGTGATTTCAGCGGATGGAGCGAACACGCATTACTATTGCTAAGCTTTAATATTCCCATAGTCAAAGGAATATAATAGCTTTTTTGATCTCCAAAGACCTTAGAAATCCTTGAATCGACTCTAAGTTTTATCATGCCGCATCTTACAACACCAGTTTCCTCATTCAATGACACTCCTATTTCAATTCAGCCTGAATTGAGGCCGAGACAAATAGCCGGCAGGGAAGAGCAGACTTCTCCTTCAAACCACAGTCGCATGCTAGCACCGGGACCACCGCCTTCAGTCAATATTATGGTAAGGTCCCTTCAAACTCAATAAAATCACTATCAGGGCCCCTTTTGACACAGAGTTACTAGAGATCCCTCGACGAAGGATTAAAGGTTCCTTCGAATCGGAACCGAAATCTGCTGCCGACACCACCATCCTCGTTCGACAATATCCGAAGCCCGAATAGAATCGAATCTCCATTATCACCTAGATCAGTGTTAGTACAGACACCCTATAGCGAGGGGTTAAATACATCGCCTAGTAAAATTTCCCTTACGCCTAGGAAAAGCCGTGGAGGAAATAGGCAAGCCCATGCTAGTAGCAACCTTTGGGAGCAAAGTAATCGACCAACCCTACTTCCGTGGAACCCTAAGCCTATATCAAGTCTAAACACGCCCACTACCCTAGACATATCACAGCATAAGAGAGCTCAAGATAGCCAGCATATTCTTTCTGAAGCGCCAAGAACTCAAATACCGTCAGTTGCTATTCGCCAGTCTAATCCTATCCAGCAAAGGCATTTACCAATTCGTCCATCACTACCCAAGCTAAGCCAAAAAGCTAGCTATATTGAGCTACTAGACACACCCGAAGCATACCAAGCAAGGAAGAAGGAGATCGAACAGACAGTACAAGAAGCAGATCGCCGCTATATCCAGAAGAAGCTAGACTCTATGGATCGCACGTGGTGCCGACCAGTTTCCCGAAAAACGATTCTGGAAAAGACCAAGACGTTCCACGAAAGCATGCATGATGACTTTACACTCGAAATCGAATATTGTAGAGTATGTTACCAGCAAAAGCCTCCCAACTCACTAGTTAATTATACATGGGCCGAACTTGAGCCATTATACCTAAGGGTGGAGGACCAAATCCCTGTGTTAGACAGAGAACATTTCCTTTGTATGGAATGCTTTCCTAAGGAGCCAGAGGCAAACTTCGCTATTTGCACCCAGTGCAAGACCTCCTTACAGCATCAAAAACTGCCATACGCCTGCCAGGTGAATAATCTGTCTTTAGGCTGCATCCATCGGTATCCTCATGTTTTGAAAGATCTTTCACCACTTGAGGAGCGCCTTATTGGAATTTATACCCCCTGTGGTTAGATTACGAAGCTTACTATCGACGTCGAGAAGTCAACAAGTGGCCGCTACCGAAAACACAAGAGAGGCCATATTACTGTGTTCCCTAACGACGTTCAAGGCGTAGCAGCCAACATTCTACCTCATCCACTCGTAGAAGAGCGAGACAGGTTGCATGTATGCTTTGTAGGTCCTCGGACACCAGTACCATCCGATCTTGGCTTTATGTTATCAGTGAACCCCCAGAAGCTCAAGCGTGCGCTCGTTTGGCTTCGGGCGAACAACCCACTATACCGGGATATTAGTATTAGTGAGGATCATCTTAGGACCTGGGGGGAATGGTCTCCCGGAACTGAGGTACCCCAGGGACTTGTGGAGAGAATGGTAGCGTATGAGAAGCGTGCCGAAGACGAAATCCGTACAGGACACTATGTCCCTCCTGCCGAGCGAGGTCGCCCTGATGAACCTTTGCGTAATGCTCACGATGTTATTGCAAGTCTAGAAGATAGGGAAACCAATGCTGCGCACCTCGAAGCTGAAAGCAACGCTAGGCTAGGGGGAATCCATGCGGGTGATTGCGACCCATTTGATATAGACCCTCGTCGGATAGATGAAGAGCTGTCCGAGTTAACCTCAACTGGACTAATGGCTACTGAGGTATCTGGAGAGCATAGCCTACAAGAACGACTTAGGATTCTTCGAGAAGCAACAGTGAGAGGGCCCCAGCGTGGGAGAGGCCGAAAGCCAAAGGACGCAAACGGAGACAGCACCCTCCGATATAAGAATACAGAACCCTATCTAGTCAGTCGCAGAGGAGAGGAATTTGCTGATTCGAACGATCCCGATTTCTTCCCTAAGGCTTTCCCTTGTTTATTTCCATGGGGTCGAGGCGGCCCTAGGATATTACGTGAAGAAGAAAACGAAGATGATCAGGATGAACCGCAAGGTCCAGACATCCAAAGCAGTCATAAGCCGAACGGATTTTACCTTCGAACCTGGGCACGATTCTGCTTACAGAGGCATGGTTAGTAAAACTTCTGCTTTATAAATAGAAATAAGTAACTAAAGTAATAGTATAATAGGTGCTTACTTTGCTATACACCCAAGCTTCCCTTTTTTAGTATTCAATATGCTTCTTCGATCAGAGAACCGACGGATTAGTTACTTGCGAATGAAGAGGTCTTCATTTGCCAAAGTCGAGCAAATCGTTACAAGACTTACTCCCGAGGAGATTGAAAGAGCAGAAGAAGAGTACCGCGAGACCCGGACGACTACTAATAGCAATATAGCATACTTAATCCGGGAGTTAAGCGCGTTTAGACATAGGCAGCATATGTCAAATGAGGAGCGTCTCTATTCTCGAAGGAAGATAAAGTCACTATGCCTCAAGTATGGAATGCCGTGTATATGGTATACAATCAACCCAAACGATCTAACAAACGAGATAAATATGAAACTAGCCGCCTTTCGGGTAGCACATGGCAAGGCGGCAGAGGAGCTGATGGAAAAGTTCCGGAAGCAGGTTGGACGCGTACAGCATGTTATCCGAGACGCAGTTAGTTCAGCAAAATTTTTTCATCGAGAGTTGGAGCTTTTCTTTCAACATTGTGTTTCTGTTAGCGAGGAATCAATGTTTGGCAAAGTCTCTTGCTATTTCGGCTGCGTCGAGACAAACGAGCGTGGGGCTCTTCACTTACACGGGCTCTTATGGTTAGACGCCAATCTCGGGCTACCTGATCTTTTTCATGATCTTGCCAAGCCGGATAACGCGGACTACGCAGTACAAGTGTGCCAATATATTGATTCAGTATTTAGTAAGGTAAGCATGTTTCTCTATTTTCTAAGTTTATCATGCTAAGTAAATGATATAGTGCTGCGACGAAGGCAAGGCACGACGATACCGCCGGTGGGAAAGCGTCTTTACTAATATTAAACATCTTACGGAGGATATCAGCAGACTCGATGAAGCCCTTGATGCCGAAGCGAATTGGGTCGCCTACAGGTGCCAAATGCATAGCTGCGGTGCGACATGTACAAAGTATAGTTTCAAAGACAAAGGGAAGGCTGGGTCTCGGCATCCCTGTCGGTTTAAAGCACCATGGACACTGCGCCAGCGAACCGAGTTTACTACCGATGGCCTTCTGCATATCCGAAGAGATCACGAAAGAATCAACAGATACAGCCCAGGTTTAGCAGTAGCTATGCGTCATAATACGGATACTACATTCCTCCCGACTAACTCGGCTGGACTCTCCATGGTATACTATGCTACGAATTACTCAACAAAATTAGATACGCTGCTTTGGAAGAGAGCAGCGCTAGTCAAGGCTGTATTTGATGGGATGGCTGATCAGGGAGACGACTACGGACCGAATTGTGGAGACAGCGCGGCAAAGACAGCACAACGGAATAATAAGACACGGCAGTTTCTTGCTCGTACAGCAAATCAGATCTTTACAAGTCGAGAACTTTCGGCTGTAGAGGTTTGTAGTAATCTCCTCGGGTACAAGAATAGCTATTGCAGCGAAGCGAGTTGGATTAACGTCTATCTCAGTTCGCTTTACTGGGCTATTTTCCGGCGCTGGGAGGCCCTACGCAGAGCAGCAGGGCCGGAAGTGCAGCAGCGGGTAACCCCTGAAACGATTGGATTCGGCGCCGGTGGCATGACTTTGCCATACCTTGAGGCATATGCGCATCGCGGTCGCCTGTTAGAACAGCTTTGCTTTTACGAATACCTATGTATGGTTCGCGTACGGAGGGTCGGACGAAGGACCAGGATAAACTAGTCACGGTTTATACCGTTCGATTCTTTAATGACAGACCGGGAATCGTGGATACAAGAATTGCTCCCAAGGACACATCAAGCAATTCCAGTTGTTACCGGACATCTAAATCATGACGTACAAGGCACAGAAGAAGGGTATTACAAGAGGTAGGTATATATATATATATACCTCAGGCTATACAGTCGCTAACAGACAATAGGTCAGCAGTCCTGTTACTCGGCTTATTTGTGCCGTGGGAAACCTTTATGCAATCCACTAGTCCCGATCCAGGTGACATCTGGGAGAGATTATACACCGACATGCCAGGTCGGGTTAAGGCTGTGGTAAATAACATCCAACTTCTTCACAAGAGCGCAGAAGACGCAAAGAAAGACGCTAAGCTTTAGGCTAGCCGGAGCGAGGGCGATGAAGGATACGAATTTGATGTGCCTGAGGAGGGCTTAGACCTTTCAGAAGAATGGCACCCAGATAGGATAGACCTGCGGCACACCTTTCACGATGTAGTCTTCAGCCTACAGGACGGACCAGGAGTTACGAATGGTTCTCCAGGCATAAAAGAGTTGCTACAAACGCTGGATAACGCCGGGTTTTCTAGCATAGATGACGACTCTAGAATACAAAGCACCAACAGTCAACCACATATGCAAACAACACTACCAAAGCAACATTTAAAAATCACCAAAGCGGCGCAGGAAAGACTCCATAAAGAGCGAATGCTAGCCATCGAAGGGGATGAATCCGCCGAAAGACCCCTACATACCGGTGCCGAAACAGGCTTTGGCGACAACGATGCTAATATAGATTTCCCAGCCCAGCCAGCGATAGTTGGACTGAAACCTGCTTCAAACTGGATCGCAATTACGGCCGCTAATACGTTCACCCAGGCAGGGAAGATTATCGGTGCGGAGAGAACATTAAATCGCATGCAGGGAATAGCGCTTAGTCTCATCTGCGAGGCGCTCGACGAACGAACAAACGGCGCTGATCGGCAACACCTGCAATACGTTGGCGGGGGAGGCGGCACTGGAAAGTCGTGGCTTATCGATACCGTAAAAGAGGTTTTCGCAGCCAAAGGGGCGTCCAGCCGGCTTGTTATTACGGCAACGTCGGGAACGGCCGCAGCAGGTATCGGCGGTAATACAATTCATTCTGCTGTAGGGCTGGCATTTCGGGACGCCGATGGCGCTACCGTAGAACCAATGTTATCGAACAATCTAGAGAAAGCCAAAGAACGATGGCGCAGGCGGGATGCTCTGATAATCGACGAGGCCAGCATGCTCGGACTCCAAACATTATATAATATCGATCAAAAGCTCAGAATGTTAAGGGGCTTCCCAGAGAAGCCTTTTGGTGGCATTTCTGTCGTCGTGTTCACTGGAGACTTCTTACAGTTCCCGCCAGTTTTGCAGAAGAGCCTCCTTAGTACTACCGAACGAATTAGTATAGTGCTAGGAAATATAAGACCGGGAAGCAAAGCTATAGAGAGACGCTGGAAAGAGGCTAAAGCTAAAGAACTCTGGCAGGGGTTTACTAATGTTGTAGTACTCGACGAGCAAAAACGGGCTGAAGGGGACGCCTACCTGCTTGGTTTTCTTGAACGCCTGCGAGAGGGCAAGCAGACAAGAGAGGACGCCGCGAAGCTCGAAGCGCAATATAATAGCGAATCGAAATTCGATTTCACCAGCGGCAGGCGAGCTGTTATACCTCTAAACCGACACCGGTGGGATCTGACGTTGCATGCAGCCCTAGCATATAGCGTCGATACTGGTCGTAAGATATCGATATATCTTTCGAAGCACAAGTGGGAATCGCGGATACCTACAGCAGAGGAGAGAAAAGCAGCCATGCTATTAGGCGACGAGGGCAAGCTGAGCGCAGCTGGTATGTTCCCTTATGTCGAGGGTATGCCGGTGGTAATCAACGAGAACAAGTATATGGGTCTCAAGGTTGTCAACGGCGCAGAGTTTACAGCCGTAGGAATTCTTCATCCGCCCGGAGTAGAAGAGATCATCAAAAACGACAGGCTGTCCATATTTCTCGGACCGCCTAGTGGTATTATTCTCCAGTCCGAAGAAACGAACGGGTTAGCTTTCCCCCATCTGCCACCTAATACTGTAATGTTGCCAGCAGCCAATATTCGAGTACCAGAAAAGCACATCAAAATACTCCGGCCAGATCTGCAGAAAGCCAATGTAAAACTGGCGCTAGTCCGGACAGGGCTCCCATGCACACCAGGCTTCGCATTAACCGACTTTAAGGCACAGGGGCGGACACTCGAAAAGACACTGTTAGGGCTTTATGGGAGAACAGTGGGTAAGAATACGGGGGAGCTTGAAAGATGCGATGCAGTAAGCATGTATGTTCAGCTATCCCGCGTGCGGCGCTTTGAAGATATCGCTCTCATACAGCCGTTAAACGTAAAGCAGTTCCTAGAGGCGCGCATGCCGGAGGAGCTAGTCGAAGGAACCAAAAGACTAAGGATCCTCGCGGAAGCAACAGTCCGGGCGTTCGAGGCTAGGGAGAGAGATGAAGCATAGGAGGGCGGAATAGTAAATAGGGAGGTAAAACCATTAAGATGAAAGGACAGATTAGTAGTCTTGCCTTGGCGGTTCAGGCATGTCATAAATCGGGTTAACACTAGGTTATTATCGCGTATTGCTATCTTGTATAGTGCTGTTGGACTCATTGCTATGACCAGAAGGAGGGCATACAATAGGCGTAAAGTTAATATGTGCTAGACCCGGAGGAATCCTCCGTACCTCGAATGTCCGCTGGAAAGACAAGACTAAGGAAACCTCCGAAACCTGCTGGCCTAATAGCTGGCACTCGTTCGTTAAGTGAGCTATCGAGGCGTGGATTGCTTCTAACCGGGATGTAAGGTCTTTGTAATGAGTAACCAGCTCAGAAGCATCCATTCTGGCCAGTGTGGATGCACGCGAGGTAATACCAGGGTTACCGAGAGTCTCTAGTTCTATCTCCCATCGATCCAAGGCAGAGAAAGAGTCAGAGAGAGTACCTGGTGGCTGTCCGATCAAGCCCAAGGATACACCCGAACGTCTAGCGAAAGAAGCATCTAAAATAGTTAATAAAAGAGCAGGACGAAAGAGGACAAAAAACCTTACATACGGTGACTACAACGGGAACCAGTATTATTCCACCAACAGTTAGCACACCCACCATTCGTAGCCCGTAAACCCTCAGCGGACTGCATTACAATACATTGCTTCCACGGACCATTTGAACGGGCACATCGGTCGCATAGAGGTCGGCGCTCAACGCCGGTAGCCTGAACCAGGGCAGCAATGATGCGATAACCATGATCGAACGACAGCGTCTTGCCCTGTTTCCGGGGAGCAAGCTCCCGGGCTATTGGAGAGCAAGATAAAACTTCTATTGTTCGGCTGGTGCGCATAGAGGTGCTCACACCAAGTCGATCCAGCAGGTCACCGCCAGCTAGAGAAAGCATTAGTGACGTAGATATGAAGATGAACAACCAGAGGGGACTTGCTATCACAAAGCACAGGGGGGTTATGGGGCATAGACATAGAGGAGAAATACGATATTATGAAACCAGCAATAGGAAGGACAAGCAATAGATATTAATCAGATAGATAGGAAATCACGGAAGGTAACGATAGGGTGGTATTAGGATGGAAAGTTCGATGGGCGAGGTTGGGCCGGGCTAGGCCAGGGGTTGAAAAGACGGGAAAATGAGAGTGGTTGGCGGGAAATAAATGGAAGAAGACCGGCAAGACATTGGGTAAACGACGGGAAGACCCGAGGACGGCGAACATGAGAGGTGATTGGCCGGAACAGGGGTTAAACGAAGCTGATTGGTCGAACGAAGAATAACGAGCGCTGATTGGTGGCAGGGTCGCTACGACCAATCAGCATCGATTTTTGCTCTAGCCAATCACAGAACAGGAGACCAGGGGGGATCAAGGCACAGGATAGTTTTTTACGCCTTCGCGGATGGAGAAGTTAACCTTCCTAACGGAAGGCACAGGATAGTTTTTTACGCCTTCGCGGATGGAGAAGTTAACCTTCCTAACGGAAGGCATAATGTTGGTAACAATAGAATGCTCTCTCAGGTTTATAAAAGGTGAGCAATCACCCAAAACTCTCTGTAATCTTTCTTTTGGAGAAAATAAATCTGCTTCTTATGATCAATCTTTCGAATTCCTTCTCGAATTGACCGAAAACATTTTCCAAAGCATAAATCAACATCAATCATCATGGCTATTAGCGAGTGCCTTTGCGGTAACATCAAGGTCGAAATCTCGGGCCCTCCTGTTGCCGCAGTACGACTATCCCATTTCTCCTCTAAAGGTCTTGGAAATAACATGGTAACTGACATTGCAAACAGGCTGTTTGTCACTGCAGTGATTGTCGCAAAATATCCGGAAGTGCCTTTGGCTTTAACTGGGTTGTCTCGCAAAACGCCGTCAAAATTACAGGTGAACCCAAGACATTCAAGACCACTGCAAACAGTGGAAATCTAGTCACAAGTCACTTCTGTGGTAACTGTGGTGTAAATCTGTGGCGAGACGGCCCAGCAACCAAGGGACTCATGTACCTGAAGGCTGGTACTTTGAGTGACCACAAGGACCAGAACACTCCTCATCCTGTTGCTGAGATTTTTGTGTCTCGACGCTTGAACTGGGTATCTGCTGTCCCCAACGCCGGGCAAAAGATGGAGATGGAGTAAAGTCAGTCAATTGCACTTTCTCAACTCGAAAGAACTAATTGCCGTACAACTCAGGGGGAAACGAAGGAAGGTCCATCGAAGTGTACTTTAGATCTGTAGACACTGGCAGTTATTTTGGTAGCGCCAACAGAGCTGTGTAAAGTATCTTCTAATTTCTATTGGATCCTCGCAGCTATTATCACTCGACCCGTAAAAAAAAACCTGGCGTTGAAACCACTTAGTTCCAATCCTCGTGAGTGGCTTTGGGGATTCCAAATCGGTCACCAATAACTACCCAAGCAGCCACGAAAAGCAAGACCCTGAAAGATTTGACATCAGCCTTCTCACCAAACCCCCTGTTCAAAGCATCTTCCACCTTGCCATAATCCACAAACCCCAGATTCTCCACCTTCTCCTTTGTAAGTGTTTCCTGAAGCATTCTATGCAGTGGTCCATCTTTCGGCCAGACTATGGGTGCTGTGAAAGCATGTTTGCGCCTTTCGTATAGTTCTTTCAAAATAAATGGCTTCGCAGCTTCTCTAAGAATCCACTTCTCAGTGAGAGCTTGGGAAGCTACGCCAATACCTTCCCACCATGGACCTTGATGACGCTCCGGCGGAATCTTGTTCGGTGTATATGCTAGCTTCAAACTCGGAGGAATATTGTTGACGTATTCCGTCACATGGTGATCAAGAAACGGAGTGCGGGCTTCGACGCTGTGTGACATTTCTGTCAAATCGCCGAGACAGCTCAACAAGATGTTTGGAAGTGGGCCTTTGCTATAAATGTATTGTGCAGTGTGAAGCGGATGCCATTTCTCTTGCATCTTTTGTCGTATAACCGGTTTGAACGATTTGACGACGACGTCTTTGCAATCAAGGTTGGCCCATCGCTCACTATCTCGTACCCATGGTGCAAACAGTCCTGAATTCGGATGCCAAGCCAGGATACACGGTGGGAGGATTGAGTTGTTGACCTGTTTCATTGCTGGTGTTGACTCCCACCCGTGCTCAAAAGCTCCAGCTCGCGGAATGAGGAACTTAATGTCTCGTTCAGTTGCCTTTTGCATATTGTTTCGAAGTTCAGGATCGGTGACAAGGGGAGACTCTGGCATAGATAAGTCCGGTTCACGCAGGAGATCTGGCGGGAAAAAGGGGTATCCAGCGAAGTGCTCATCCGCACCCTCGCCAGTGAGAACAACTTTGACTCCTTTTTGATTAGGAAGAGACGATAAGCAGTACTTTCCCACAGAATTGAGATCGAAGTGGTGATGCTCGCAATGGTATGCACAGTTTGCGAAGTTATTAGCAAGTTCATCTTCGTTGATCTGCATCTTTGAAATCTGCACCCCAAGATGCTCCGCTGTTCGTTCCGCAATGTCTGTCATGTATTTGTTAGTGTGAGATGAGAATGCAGGTTTCATCCACTAACCAGATTCGTCGAAACCTGATTCTTTGGGAAACTCAATCGTAAAGCAGCTGACGCGACTCGCGGCATCCTGGTTGCCAATCTTTATGCCCTCTTCTCTTACCAGATGCGTGACAATGCCAGCGATCAGAGACGAGTCGATGCCACCCGAGAGGTAGATCCCAATAGGGACATCCGCACGAAGTCTCAGGCGGATAGCCTCAATCAATCTCTCTCGAAGACCATGAACCATTTCATCTGTACTGCGTGTTTCAATCTCTGTCTATTTATCTGTCAGGAATATTTCGGCAATAGGCAAATAAGTCTACTTACCTTGTCTTTGAAATCGGCGTCCCAATACTGGTGAATCTGCATCACACCTTGCTTGGAAATTTCCATCCAGTGCCCAGGGGGTACTTTCTTGACACCTTTGAATAACGAGCGACCGTCTTGCATCCACCCACCATCTACGATGGCGCCCACATCCCATTGCGGTTTCAATCCAAGAGGCAACAGAGCTTTGACCTCTGGTGCAACAATAAGCCTGCTGGTTCCATCTTCTTGGTGAACAATCGTCCATAACAGTGGCTTTATGCCGAATCTGTCCCGACCCAAAATGACTTTGCCAGTGTTTTCATCATAAAGCACAAATGCAAACTCGCCTCGTAGATGCTCGAAAAATCTAGGGGCGCCATATGCTTTATACAGAGCAAGAACCACTTCACTGTCACTACTTCCCTTAAACTTGTACCCTTGACTCTGACATTCATGGCGGATTCTGTCATGATCATAGATCTCACCGTTGACCACAGCATGGATCGTTCCATCGTCACTATGAATAGGTTGGTTACCATCAGATGTCAAATCATTGATCGACAGTCGGCAATGACCGAGGCCTGGTATATGTGAGATATTGGAATAATTAGAGAAAGTAATCATTTCACTACTAACCAACAAACTGATCTTTACTGATCCATGTCCCTTGTGCATCTGGGCCTCTGTGACTAATCGCTTGGAGGCTCTTTTTCAGCTGAGCCGTCAGATCCTGAGCAACACTACTTGGACTGTTGCCCTGAACACCCTCTTTTTTATCGGTTCCATTAGCATACCCATTTAGTGCTTCGGTATGAAAATGCTGCCCCTGCTTAAGGGATATACAGGCCGAGATCCCACACATCTTGCGTTTTATCTGAATAGTGATGGAGTGGAAAGGGGGCCAGGTAAGTTGGAGGGTCTCAGCTTCGGTTCTGTGCGCCTTTGAATGATAGACCGTCTCGACACTGATTACCAGAATCCGCTAGCAATATATGAATGACATTTACCCCGAGACTGTTAATTTCCATCATACTAAGAGTTTGGGCATATGACGATGAATGTAGGGCGGACCTTGCCCGATATGGTTTCGCTTAATCGGGCCGTGCCCGAAAAGGGAATGCCCGGCGCATTCGGAGGATTATGTTCACACTCTAATTGCCAGACAGATAAGATGCGACAATCCCTACTTCTTTGCAATCTACATGTGGACTAAAAGGCAGTACCCTGATGTTAACATAATTCTGTTTCGCTACGCCTATTCAATTTCCAACAGAGCAGGTGGTGTTAGATGACCGTTAGGAAAGAGAGAAATACAAGTTAAATGATGCACTACGTGAGACTGTGAGTGGTGATGAACTTAAATTCACCATGCTCGATGTGAATATTATGGATGAGATTGTTCAAGTGTTCATTTCATTTAATCTAGCCTATTGCGCAACTGCAAGATGGGAAGGAGGACTTTTGAGTCCTTAAGGCAATCTTTGTGGTCCTACTAAAGGTAGCCAGGCGATGGAACTTACAGGTCTGTAGTCGTGATACAGAAACCTTGGGTTGGGAGATAATGTCAGATTCAATGCAGCAAAAGACGGAGATCTTCAACTCCTGATGGAGACAAAAACAAACTGGAAGCGGGATTGTCGATCCTTGTCTTAATGACATATAATACTATGGATGATATTGCTTAAAATACCAGGTCCATGCTTGAGCGCTATGCAAACTACCTACGTAAGTTCATTATCCTAGGCAGCCTGTAGCATGGCAAGAACACCAGCCCAGGTCTCACGAACAGTAGCTTGAATCTGGCTGGCGGGGAGGGAGAAGCCGTAAGTACCCCGATCACGAAGTTCGAGAGTGTAGGTGTATGTAGATTTGGCAACACCGTGAATGTAGTCAGTACTGTCTCCAGTAGTGGCATATAGAGCGCGGCAAGCATTTCCGATGGTGTAACTGGTTCCGGAAACGCCGCGGATACCTGTGGCGCCGCGCTGAGCCATGGTTCTCAGAGCAGCGTCGTCAGGAGCCACGTAATTACAGTCGTATCCGAAAGCTTTCAGGATGAGAATCAGCCAAGGTTTCGACTCTGTTCAGGAAATATACTTACGCCACAGAATGTACTGTCCGTAGGAGTGAAAGTCGATGTAGAATCGAATGCCCTTGCTGGCGCTAAGAGTATCGACTTGCGCTTTCAAGCCCCGAATCTCGGGGGCGTCTCCGGCTGCAGCTCCCTTGTAGGTCTCAGAACAAGGGTTGGTCGAGGCGCCACCAGTGACCTCCCATTTGTATGGCCAGTTCCGGTTGGGGTCACGGCCGACGCAGGTAGAACCAGATTGAGTTTGGCGGGTCTTTCGCCACAGGCGGTCAGTTGTCTGGGTGTAAACGAAGCCATCTGGGTTCGCCACAGGTGTGATGTAGCTGGGTGAAGCAGTCAGGAATTTGTAACAAGACACGTAGCATGGCATCCACCAGACAACAATGGACTTACAAGTCAAACTTGTCGACAAGTGCCTTTACGGCAGAGTCAGTGGCGTACTTTGTGAGAAGCTGGTATGCCATGTACTCGGTGACCTTGGGCTTTTGTTAGTCAAATAAAGCATTATCGAAGCAAAGCGTACTAACCATGGTGCTGATCCACTCGCGGGCGTGGACTGTACCGTGGAAGATGACGGCAGGCTTGGAACCTTTGCCTCCACTTCCCCAGATATGGATACCTGTCAAGGCGCGACCCTGGAATGAAGTACCGGCTGTAACAATTTCTGATTGACTGGGAAAGCTGCTTTGCAGGTCTTTGAGAAACTGAAGGTGATCGGCGTAGCTGTGGTAAGCCGTGAACCAAGTCTCACTAGGTACTACCCAAGACAGATTGTTTAGCTACGTTTTAGGCCCACAAAAGCTCAACTGCAAAAAGATAAGAGCTTACCGGCATAGACAGTGGAGGTATCCTCCTCGCCAAAAGCGGCACCGACATCATCCACCAGAACAGTGGTGTTCACAGCCAACTGCGAAATGGCGTCAACATTATCGGGTGAAACGACAACATCGAGCGTTTCCTTGGAGCCCGGGTTGAGGATAGTTGCGGCCAGCTCATTGATCTGATCGGCAAGGCCCTCCGAGTTCTCAGGCAGAATCACGCGCAGGCCCTTGAATCCATTGTAGTCGACCTTGTTCGATTTCGGTACAACTGTGGCCAAGACCAGCGGCAACAGGCCTGCAGTTGATAGGATAGAGGCTTTCATGGTGAATGAAGGGTGTATGGCGTTCGCTTTCACCAAGGCCCAATTTTCAAGTCCGATCAAAAAGTTCAGGGCCTCGACATTCAGGCTTGGCACCAAGAACGAGAGAAGCCTTGGCGAGAAACACAGCACCGAGGTGCATCTATTTTATAAGCGCTGAGGGGTTAAGTGCTAGCACAGAATGTCTCTTTGTGCTTTGCAATCACAAGCAACTCCTAAAAAGAAAGTACCTTGTTGAATGGCGGAACAATAAGCGAAAGTGGTAGGTGATATTCTGGCTGGGGCTGGAGTGGCCAGCTGAATGTAACTTCAACTGCTGCCAAGACACATATCGCATGTCTGGGCGGCAGACCTTGCCGAAATAGGAAGTTCTGTACCTCTTGTCTCGGCAGTGATCAAGCGATTAGGTAGGTGATCATAATTGCCAGGTCATTAATATTGACATGGCAGAAAGATATATGGAAGGCGCATATTTCTGGAGGGTCCAGTAAGGCGCTGAGAGCCATGATTTGAAAGTGACCAAATGAATGTATTAGACAGATGATGCAGTGTTTTGCATGGGGCACCAAAGACGCCTTCCGAATTGCGCAGATTGAGGTGTTGCGACATCACTCTGGGAAGACGCAATTCTCAAACGATGCAGAATTGCAACTATTTTATCAAAAAGATTATCTCATATATGCGCGAAGGTACATGTGTGTTTCCCCTTGACTGCGTGATCGGATCGTCTCACTGCATACTCGCGAATTACTCAGAAGTACCCCATACGTCTAGCTATAAGCAGAGACAAGAGGGCAAACAGAATTATTCCACTCATAATACCAAAAAAGGCATTCAAGTTCTCATCGCCGCCCCATGGCACCTTGACATTCATCCCGAAAAGACCGCAGATAATGTTCAGAGGAACAATGATGGTTGCAATGACGGTAACTCGACTGAGGAAATCATTAGTTCGGTTGCCCATGTCAATATTGTCGATCGAAAGCTGTGCAAGATAATTGCTATGCGAGCGTGACAGCATGGTATCGAAATGGACGAGATTATTTGTCATTGTCACTGCGTGGTCTTGAATGTCGCTGAGATATAGGGCAATATCCATTCGCGGTGTAACGTCATAGTCTTCTGTGCATCGTTTGGTGAAGGCTCGTAGAACGTCTGCCTTACCACCAAGGAGCCGCATAAGACTCATTACGTTCTTTCGGGTGAGTCCGATTTTTCTCAAGAAGGCCTGGTTGTCCTCTGGCCGAGTGATGAATACCTGGTCGTCGATGGCATCCGCGTCATGTTCGATTTGGTTGATACCAGGCCCGAAAGAGTCGACAATATCGTCGCTGAACTTGTGTTAGTCTTGATTCTTGGTTGATGTGGCTTCGGAAATGAGCCTGTCACTTACATCAACGCATAACAGATCCAATCGCTGCTGAGTGACATGTGATCCTTCAACTGTGAGATACGGAACCGTACTCGAGAGGCATGCGAGTTTGGGGTGAAACTGAAGCTGAGTATGCCCTCACGGAATACGACAACGTAAACGTTGAAAGGCTGATACTCAATTCCATCAGGTTCATCCACAGCGACAAAAGACCTGAAGCAAGCGAAGTAATAAGATGGAAATAACTCGATCTTCTCGCGGCTTTCTTGATGGATGATATCCTCGATAGTGAGCGGGTGGATACCAAAGGCCTTGCAAATAGTCCAGACCTCTCCTCCTCTTGGGCTGTTCATGTTGAGCCACCAACCACCGTCTGGTTCATCCGAGAAGTCAAACAGAGATCGGACGTTCTCGCCGGGGAGGATAAGGTCCCTGAACTCAGCAGCATGAATCGTAGACTCCAGCGCTGAGGAAAAGAAGTTGAACCGGCTCTGTTCAGGATGCTGTTCATTGATGCGAATGCGGCTGCTGTGAGCGTCTTGTTCTTTCTCCTGCGAAATAGAAACGTTGTCGCTCACGAAGTTGATGAAGTCGCCGTCGGAGGTAAACATCGGCGCATTGTTCGGCATAGCGCTGTCGGGAAGGTTTGTCAGGTCGGGATTGGGAACTCTTCTTCCATCTCGACTATCCATCAAAGTCTCGAGGTAGTCGAAATCGATGTAAAGTTTCTCCTTGTGATGTCCCTGAGGTGTCGCATGAGAAACCTCATTGTCATTCGTTGCCAAACCTAGCGAGCTGCGCCGGCCACATTTATCATGAGATTGGCTTCGGCCGCTCCGGTTGCTGCCGTGGGGCTTCTCGGCAACGCATTCGGCTTCGTTCCCATCCTCGCCATCACTTTCTGGTTGCTGTTCCTGTCCACGGCGCCGGGCCTTCGCAAAGGCCTTGACCGAATTCGGCGGCGAAACCGTCCGACGTGTTGAATCGTAGGTCGGACGACGGGTGAGAGGTTGCATGCTTGGTGAACCGAGAAAAGTGTCCAAGCCGTCTTCTCGCACCGCAGCACGGTCGATGCTTCTGCCACGAGAATGTGCCATGGCAACTGCTTGTTGTGCGCTCAGGTTGGTCAAGGGAGCTGAAGTGTCAGTGCCTCGGACACCCTTGGCTTGCTCCTCGATTGGCATGTTTGTGTGTTTACTGGATTCGAGTTCTTTGCTGGGACTTAGACTAGAGAAGATGAGGTGGCAAGCATTCTATTAGGATAATTGTGATGCTGGGAGTTGATCGACGTCCGGTCTGGGGAATTTTCAAAAGACCTCAAGGGGGTTTCTGAAAAACTTTTGCCATAATCGGGAATTGCTTGTCTATCACACGACTGAAGACTGCTGATATTGAGTGCTGATAATTTCTTCATTTACTGTCGCAATATTTTTTGTCTCGTTGTCTCGAAGACGAGTCTGCGATCGTTCAGTCAGGTAACGTATGGCGTTTTACATGAAGCGCACGAAAATCAGAAGTCGAGAAAAGCAGAGACTGGCGAAAATGTTCTTGAAATGGTGATGGGACAAGAGTTTTGGATTATTATTGAGGCACAGCCTCAACGAGGCGGAGTCCGAATAAGCTTTTTAAAATTGGGTCGATAATTCGTCCTCTGAAGGATCAAGAGAGTGGGATTTGACACCCGGGAAGCAATATATCATGAACCCCTGTTGGCTTTCGGGTCGAGCTGCTCGGAAGGATTTGAAATGCGATGTGGTTGCAGGAGCAAGGTAAGAGACACGGCATTCCGAAGGCCCTCGCACAAGAGCATCACGCTTTGCTGATGACATGGCGTTGCTTCACAAAGTTACAAAAGGTGCCTAGCTTGTTCTAGCCAGCTTTAGTCAATTTACCCCACTGTACTACGTTAGCCGTTTCTCTCATGCACCTTGGAAGTCATCCCGTTTCCTGACTCGTCTCCTTTCTCTGCGCGATAAGCTCAATTCATCAAATGCCTCATACTACCGTAGATGACCCTGACAGGTGTGCGCTCCGAAGTGCTTTAGAAGGTACTAGTACCTACTGCAAAGAATCTGTCTCGGCGAGCCACTGCCTCGTCCACCGATTATGCCTATTGTAATTGCGCGGTGACTTTATACCGTAGTGATGTTTACCACGTCCCAACTGGCATATGGGGGCAGTCAAAAAACGGCTAAGCGGCAACAAGCGAAACATTAGGGAAAGAGAAAAAGAGCATCAGCGTGTTACATGTCTTCGATACTAAGACAAGACACGCGACTCGTTGCGAAAGCTAAACAGCTAACCTAGTCAGCCACGTGGAAGCGTAGTGCATCCTACGCAGCTCTCACCGCCTCCATGCTCTTGCACAAGGTGATTCAGTAGTTTACGTTCAAGGCCTGATATGATCGCGACTTTGTTTCAGTGACCTTGTTTGGCAGACAATACCTAAAACGATGCCATCAGGAAGATGTTTCCGACTGTTCTTCACGCTAACCTCGGCTACTATCGGCGTAAGGTGGTCTAGTTGAACTCGGCTTTGAATTGGTCCATTGAGGTTGATCGACAACCGTACTAATCGAGCTATCCATCGTTCGCAACAGGTTCCCTCGCCTACCTATGCAAACATCCATTCAATTTAGATCACACATCGTAGCAGAATTCCCATCATAATTGAGAGCCGTTTTACTAATCTGATTGCGCTATTAATGACAACAAAACGCCGCGAATTCGGCAAACTCTTCATCCTTCATTAACTGTTCCATCTCATCGTCAAAAAGACTAACGAGCAACTCGATACCGCCATGACTCTTCATAGGTAAAACCATGCAAAGCCTGAAGTTGGCATTGAAAGCATCCATCAAGGGACGCAGCGACTCCGGCTTGCCGTCGTTGTCAAAAATCTCGGCCCCGAAGTTGATCTTGTCCAGTGGCAACAGGAGCACAGAGGTGATCATAACATCGAAGCCATCCAGGCGCGTAAACGCGTGCTTCAGCTTCGTGTAGTCCGACACCTCCCGCATAAGAGTGAATGCATCCTTGACAAGCTCCGGGCTTACTTTGGCCGCCTGTGATCGAATCCTGAGAGCGACGTCTCTAAGGCTCGTTGTCGGGGCAGCGAGCTCAACGACAGGCATTGGAACTTTGTTCACAATGACGAGATTTCCGGCATAAGATGAGGGAAGAGCAGGATCAAAGTCCGGCCTGCCATCAACCGGTGATTCAAGATATGATATCTCATCCGGAGGTGTTGTTTGTCCCGCAGCGATGGCGGCTTTGTAACGCGCTTTCATCAGAGCTCTCCAGAAAAGAGCCAAAAGCGCATCGTTGGCCGATAAGCCCGTGCCGTTTTGTCCATCACCAAGGACTTCTTGCTTCAGTTTCTTAAAGTTCTCCGGTGAAATGTAAAAAATGCTTGACTCCATAGTCCGACTAGGGGCTGATGGCGAGGTCGTACTCGTTGGGACCTCATCCTCCGCGTCTGGAGGCTGAAACCCTAGGAAACCCCAAGTGTCGCGGGGGATCTCAGAAACAGGTTTGGCTGGCGTTTTGCTCCACAACCGTTCGAGAAGATTCCGATCAAAGCTTTCTGGGGTAATCCAGCTGCAAATGTTGGCATCAGATTGACCTAAGCTTCTGCAGTGTTCTGCCCATGCTCTCATTGCTGTAACCATGCCCGTAGCGTCACTGGCAGAGTGGTGGAATCCAGTTGCCAGGATGCAGCCACCGTTGACAAAATTTGCCTGGGCTAAAAAGACATCAGCGCCGCCTGTGAGATCTGGCACAAATGGAGCCGAAAGAACGAGCTCATCCTCGAAGGCGGAAAATTCGAAGCCTGCATCTCGAAGGTCTTCAAAGTCAGGTAATGTTTTTGAGAGATCTTTAAAAATGAGCTGTCGAGGGCTGTCCTCCTTGTTAGAGCCGGAAGGACTATAAGAGGCTACAATATGTCCAGGTCGCCAGCCGGGCTCACGCTCATCTCTGGGGAAGATACGGCCGTTGAGAAAGGGAAATTGTTGAAGGGTTTCGCGAAGCCCCGCCTGCAGATGCGCAAATGCTCGTTCAAAGCTGACTTTTGGCTGTAGTGGTAGATAAACAATAAACTTGATGTATACTCTGGGTGGTATCAAATCGAAAACACTCAGTTGAGTCGTAATGCTGTTGGCCGTCTTGTCGACATGACTGCTGTCAATGTGGCGGGATTTTGTCTCGTAGGTGTTTGTGGCCATGACTATTAGCATACTCGGGTAACTATAACAACTTTGATGTCTCAAAATTGGAAGGAATAATAGGTCAGGCTTAGTTTGGTAGAAGATGATCTTCAAAATGACATTTTACATTGTGTGCCTGGCCCTAAAGTCATTGTTGCACAAGGTTTACTTGATAAAGTTGTAGGTCATGAGTCGGGGATGGCCCCGAGAAACTCGGAGCAAACCAAAAACGGAAGTCAGAGGGCGCGGGGTTTCTCACCAAGTTGCTGAAGGAAAGGTTGACGTCTCTCAAAAGCTCTCTTGTGATATGATTCCATAGTGTCACGGGAGAGAAACAACATGTTTTAATGATCATAATAAAAGTTTCATATTTTCATTGTCTGAAGTTAACATATTTTTGATTTCAGAAATTACCGAAAAATGAAAAAGACAACGCCATGATCACCGCGCTGTTCCTGCAAGGCGGATAAGTTGCATCGGTAAATAAATAAATACACAAAACCTAAAAATCTACAATTCAGTCAAGAACATGCGCTATTTCGTAGGCCATCTCGTCCTCTTGACCGCTCGCGCGTAAAAGTTTAATGGTCGGACAACGATGAACTCTGGATCATACACTACCGTGTCGGTAGAAGCATTTTCAAAGTGATACCGGTAAACCAACTTCGCCATCACGCTTTTGACCTCCAGCAAGGCAAGATTGTATCCCACGCAGCCTCGAGTACCCGCTGCAAATGGAGTATATGACATCTTGTGTTTATCCTTGACAGCTTCAGTATCCCATCTATCAGGGTCAAAACGAGTGGGATTGTCCCAATGGTTTGCATTCTTGTGTATAGATGGGAAGGTGGGAATGATAACCGAGCCTTTGGGAAGAAAATAGCCACCTGGAAGAACTACATCTTCTCTCGCGTTACGGGCCGTCTGAAAAGAGGGGTTGTGCATTCTCTGCGTCTCCTTGACAAATTTATCAAGGAATGGCATTTCGTTGAGCTCATCGTATGACCACTTCTTATCTGGCGTTGCTCCGTGGTCGATGAGTTCTTGAAGCAAGCGCTGCTGGTTGCCTGGATATTTCACAAGAGAGTAGATCAACCATGCGAGCAGTGATGAAGTGGTGACGAATCCTGCACCTATCATAATGACGCAGTTGCTAAGCATGAGATTCTCAGGCAACTTCTCACCATTCTCATCCGTGGCGCGGCGTAAGTAATCTGCAACGCAAGTTGCATGAAGTGCAGCATCCTTCATCGGTAGATCCCCTGAGGTCTGGACTGATTCATCGATACCCTTAGCGACACCATCCCACAGGAGCTGTCTTACGAGGCGAAGACGTTTGGGTACACCAAAAGGAAGATACCCATACCAGCTTCCACGAAGGGAAGTTTTCTTCATCAGGGAGAGGTACTCCCCCAGAAGTAGAATTGTCTCATGAGGCCTGGAGTCGATGGATTCAAAGTGACCCAGATCCATGCCAAGAATGACTTTCCATATAATCTCGCCAGCCATCTTGAACGTGTAGTGATACACGTTGAAAGCCATGTCCTTCTCATCCAATTCATCGAAGACGCTGAATGACCTATCCACACAAGCCTGTATAATTGGGGTATAGTGACGAACTGCCTTTGGCGTCAAGCTGGGAGGAATGTACTTATGCGCGAGTTTGAATGCTGGTGCATCGCTGTCGCAGGTGAAAAGCGCTTCGTTGTTACGCATGTAGTACAGTGGATGGCTTGGATCTGACGTAGTCTTGGTGAAGTACTTTCCTTCCCGAAGAACTTCACGGGAAACATCAGGATCATTAGTCAGATAGATGGTGGTGCCCATGTTGACGGTCTTGATGACTGAGCCGTATCGATCAAACAGGCGGTCATAGTTGCCAAGAGGGTCCGGATACAGTTCATAACGGTTTCCGACATAGGGTAATGGATCTGGCCCAGGTGGCTCTCTTACAACCTCTCCATTAACTCGAACTTGGACGGGAGCTTCACATTGCTCAATTTCATTCAGAGATGTAAGGATGTCTCTTCGGCTGTAAAAGCAGATTGCTTGGGCACTGTTAGCTATGATTTTCACGAGGTGGAGTATTTCTTTTGGGGCTCACAGTCACAATCCGAAACTGAGAAGATCTTTGCTATGCCGGCCCTCAACTCTTGCATACTCTTGATACTGGGCAAGCTCAAAGTATGACATTGCTCAAAAGCACCACGGCCAATAGTAAACTGTTGTTGGAACATCGTGACAATGATGAAAAGACAGCCTCAGACGTTGATGAGCTCAGTGTGTAAACCGCAATAAGTCATCAGGCTGAGATGTGGCCGTAAAACACCATTTCACCGGTTCAATATGTTGGCCACGATGTCTATCAATGTCGCTGCAGTGAATCCTGTCGGTCGTCTACCTGGTTTGAAAAGAAACAGGGATCTTCCTAGATGATTTAGTCGGAGGTGCTGGATATGTTAAGCCGAAGACCAAATGAGGAACGGTCCACGGCCACCAAACTGGAACGATTACCACTTTTGGCTAAGCCGTTCTACAACCCACGCCGGAATCAATAGATGGGGATCCTGGTAAAATGACTAGAGCAAATGTGGAATACCGGACTTCTGTCAGTCAAACGATGGCCCAACTAGTATGACGGTAATAATCATCAAGCTACCAAAGTACTGGATAGACGGCGAATTCAAGCGAATTCAACAAGCTCAAAGATGACGGTCTTCACTGAGGCAGAAGTTTCGAAACATCACAACGTACACGATCTCTGGGTATCGATCCGGGGAAGAGGTAAGATTTCTATGGAATTCATTAGATGTTGCTCTGACCCAATGCAGTTTACGATGTGACTGGATATGTAGAGGACCACCCTGGGGGGATCGAAGTTTTGAAGGACGTTGCAGGGTCTGACGGTACTGAAAGTTTTGAGTACGTTGGCCATTCTGATGATGCGTACAAAGTACTACAGAGGTTTCAAGTTGGCACTCTTGAAAGTGGTGTACGTTCAGTGTGGCTAGATCTCGCGATTGCAATTGCCCTGCTGATTCTATCGACAGATCGAGGAAGAGGACGCCGAAAAACCGAGCCAAGTCTGGGGTACATATCGTGCTCAGCTTAGAAGCACATCGGTCAAACCTGTTCCATCGCGTGGATTGTGGGTGGTTGGTTTTCTCATAGCTGCGGGACTCATCAGTCATTGGCGTTTTCAAAAAAGTATGCCCGAAAAGACGGTTGTTCTGTTGGCGTCGTCTGCCTCAACAACACGAGTTTTGTCGCCTCTTATATTAGTTGCTATTGTTACTAGCATAAGTGGGTACTTCTATCTGTATGCGAAGTTCACTAAGACCTTGCACTACTACAAAGAGGTCTGGGAGTACCCTTCGTACTTCAGTCACAAAGTGAACAGATCAAATATTTGAAAAAGAAAATGGGCAATTCCTGAATGCTGGTTTTGACTGCGCATATCGCATGACTCGTACATTAGGACGATGATGACATGAAAAGATGAAAAGTAAAGGTTATTATCAGGGTTAAAAGTCAGTCGATTCCCCTCATGATCTGTGAATCCTCCCAAGACATGACACTACGAGCATATTGATTCATCTCGCAATGCACACGTATTTTCTCGGCTTGAGTCTTGTTGGATACGATTCCCTCTGGGGGCGGATGGTACGTAGCGGCGTGGCAGGAGCTATTGGGTCAGTGAAACGAACAGGAATCTTCCCGAACGGCGATGCACTCAGAACCAGCTTCACAGGTCTCGCAGGAGTAGACCAGTATCTCATCCCTGCAGTCATATTTTACAATAACATTTTAAGCAATGGCTCCGCGAATGATCGAATGCTACTCATCAGTTTGTTTACGACTATGCAGACGATGTCGCATTGCATGCTGGTTCTTGGATGGAATCGAGGGAAAAGGCCTTGGTGGGCGACTTGGTAGGCCTTTGCGCTAGAATTTACAGGGGAAAATAGCTGACATAGTGACAGGGAGCATCTCTTTTGGGGCGTCTACAACCAAGCTTGGGGTGCTGCAGCCGTGTATCCCCTTTACTGTTTTTCACATGCTGAGGGCTTTCTCCGCGATAATGAGACCGAGACAGACGAACAACGTCCAATCGGTCCATCTGATCCAACAGAGGCTCTTGCGTTGATTCCAACCGCAATCCTGGGGTCAATTACACCGGCAATGCTCCTATACCCCGCTTTCAATCCAGGTTGTGATACTGGCCTGCGGCAAGGGATTATTGCTTTTTACCGGTTCACACCACTTGCACTTGCTCTTGCGCATCCGTTCTTTTCTTCAGTCCAGAAAAAGGCGCAAGGCTCATATCAATGGAAATCGCCACCTATAAAGTCGGAAAGCCTTGTCGCGACATCATTAGTTATCTCAGGAGCCGTGGCCACGGTAGGTCATGGATGGGCTCTGCTTGGTTCCATAAGTAGCGGTATCCGTGGGGTATTCTGGCCCTCGAAGCAACTTAATCTTGTTTCGCCCATGATGATTGCTGATGGAGCCCGCGATTTCCTTCAATGGGACATTATCGTCATAACAGCCGCGCTGGTCCCCTTTGCCGATCAAGTATTGAAGTCGTCGGGGCTCGTTCGTCGTCTGCGGAAGCGCAACAAGTTATTCTCGATACTGTCTGATTCGTTCATAGGAAGGATGGCGTTGCTTACCTTGGCTAGTGGCATACTGTCCCCTGGTGCTGTCGTCGCGTTTTCGCTAGCAGTTAGATCATATACATAAAACACATTACAAGATAATGTGCGTAGCAATAGCAAAAGCGTTCTGTAGGCAAATTCATGAAATTACATGCCTTATTTGTGTAAATGAACAACTATCTTCTACTCAGGAACCCCTTGAATCTTTCACTAATTGCGATACCAGTTTGCTCCTGCCAGCAATTTCAAAGGCAATTTTTGACAGCGGTGATGGACTTAATAATTCAAATACCGACATGTCGCTCTGCAAGTCTCTGAAAATACGATTGCGAAGCTCAACAGCCTTGAGGGAATCCACTGGAACCACCCCTTAGTATGTATGTACTTGGATAAAAGGAGCGGCTGATATAGCTCGAGGGTATTGATGAAACGTACCTCCAAAGTCATAGAACGCCTTTTCCGTATCGATGTCATCTGGCGAAACATCGATGGCCAGGGCAGCATATATTTTGAGCATCTGCTCAAAAATTGAGACCGCGTCTGTGAAGCTCTCTGCCTTGGTAATCTGATCCGCTACTGGTTTTCCGTCGTCCATTGAGGTGGTTGCGCCAATTCGATGGTTGATGCGATGGCTGAACTTTGGATCTTTCGTCCATGTTGCGGCCGATGGACCACTAGGAACGTTGCTACCGAGCCCCAGTACAATTTGAGGCTTAATCGCTTGTCCATTGGCAGTTTGACCCCGCATGGCTGCTCTTAACACAATATCCAGATCTCGTTGCGTTGTCTGGAGACCTTCCCAACGGTGTTCGTACATCTGAAGATAAGCGTCCATATCAAAGTCCCCAAGGAAGTGCGCTGAGTCGGTCACAAGCCCGACATCAATCGCTGTAGCCGCCTGACCGTGAGCTCGACGATAATGGGCAAAGGCATCCTCAAAAGTGTTGCCCGCAGCATAGTTGGACTGCGCTGCATTTCCAATGACACATGTTATAGAAGAGAGTAGAATGAAAAAGTCCACGTCTTTGGGCATACAGTCGTGCAAGTTCATTGTGCCTTGAATCTTTGGGCGCGTTGATTTCTGCCATTGCTCGTAGGACATATTCTCAAAAATTGCATCCTAGTTGTGCTGTTAGTTTGTTCTGCTTCAGATGCTTTGGAATTTGGAAGGTAATACTTCTAGAACCATTGCACTTTGTATAACTCCTTTTATCAAGCCCCCTTGCCATGTCACGGCCCGTACTGCTTCTTCGACTTGGGAAGCATCGGTGACATCGCATTTGAAAGCGTCCACTTTCAACCCTCGGTTGCGGAAGTCACCCAACACCTCTTGGCTCTTTTCACCTCCAGATCGAGAAAGGAAAACAATATGACCAGCCCCGTGTTGAAACATCATCTCAGCAATCTGTAGGCCCAAAGCACCAAGGCCTCCAGCAATAACGTAGGTTGCTTTAGAGTCAAGATGAAGTTCAGGCAGTCGTGTTGGTCGAATAAGAACCAGGGAGTTCTCGTTAAATCTGAAGACAGACTCCTGAATGTTATCCATACCGCTAACTTCTAAGGTGCTTATTGATCTGACAGTCACAGCTTTTACTGGTGAGACTTTTCTCTTCTCAATCAAGTCGACAGATTTGTTGAACAAGCGCTGCGAAAGTGCAGGCTTCGCCCGAAGCAGTTGAAAGGTGTCGGCCTTTACAATAGTAAGGTTCCGGTCAGGTTCCGCCGTCAGTTTTCGAGAACCTGGCCCATTGTTTAGATCCACAAAGACACCAAAGTCTGCGAGACAATCCAAACATTCAGCTGGGGAAGAATATGGACCGCAGTTGAGGATCACGTCAGCACCACGCCCATTTGTCATTTCCAAGACTGCGGTCCTACAGCTTCTTGTAACGCTTCCAAAGATGCGATCCTGGCCAATGCCATGAAGCTTGCCGAATAGTTGCCTGTCAAGAACTCCACTGACGACAGCGAAAACTTTGGCACCCACCAAGTGGGCGAGCTGGATGGCGACCTGACCGATTACTGATTCAGCGCCATGAATGAACAGGGTCTGGTCGCTTTCAAGTCTAACCACGTCCAACAACGTATATTGACTTGCAATCAAAGCAGGGAGAGTGGCGGCTGCTTCTTCTGGTTGGATATCCTGAGGCAGTTGTCGAATGCGCATTTCGTTCGAGCGAATTCTGTTGCGACACGGGCCTGACTGTAGAGCAATCACGCGTTGCCCAACTTGAAGCGATGTAACCTCAGTTGATATGGACTCAATCACCCCAACAACAACCGAGACGTTATATGGGTGGGACTGGCTTTCCGTAGAACCTCCTGCGCTCTGTTTTATGGTTGCATATTCCACACATATCTCAACCTCTCTTCGACCAAGAGGTTGAAGAATCTTGTCATCAGTGACCCATACCAGGCCCTCGTCTTCCTGGGCAAGCATTCGGGGGACCTTATTATCCAACGGTCCTCGGATGGGTTTGAGATTTTGGTTGTGGGAGGACAGATCTGTATCGATATCCTCATCTTCTGTGAACCGGGGAATGAAAAGAGAGCCGTCAAGTTCTGCATATTCCATCTCGAGTGAAACTTGCTGTTCGTAAAAGGAAGACGTCCAGACATTCAAAACATTGTTGATGGTTGTTTCCGAGCTTATGTCTGACGTTCTGCTTAGGTCAAGGTGTGGCAGGATGATGTGAGGGTATTCCGTACGCATCACTCGAAGAAGCCCCTGAGAAGGAGCGAATTCCAAGCCACCTTCCCAATTCTGCAGAACACCACCTCGGCTTATCCAAAGCAGATGGTTCGCATTAGATATCAGCCGCTTGAAATTTGCAAACTGTTCTTTTGACCATTGATAAACGAAAGGCTTGTCAACCTCGAGCAACGATATGATGTGCTTTCCATGAAAATCATGGAATGTTTCAAGTGTTGCCACATAAATATCGCAGCCTAACGCTCTTAGGCGATTGGCTAAGTTCATTTCCATGGTCTGAGCCTGAAGCGTAGGCTGTGAGCCATGAAGAATTACAACCTGCTCCGGAATTGACCTCGTACTTTTTATTAGAGGTTTGCTAGCAAGAACCATCGATTGCTCTGCTGATTCATCCATCACAGTGATCTTGAATTCTAATCCAAAGGATCTCAACAATTCTAGAACATTGTCTCTCAGAGCCGTATTTGCAAGGGGATGGATCATCCCAATAAATCCATTTGGACGCACTGTTTCATACAAATGCGATAAAATAGAAGAGTTGCAAATTGTCTGATAGGATGTGTCAACTCCCAACACTATATCGAATTGTTGTTCCGAGAATGGCGATGGCTCCTTTGACTGAGGATCCCAAGTCTTGACATCGATAAGAGCCTCATGGGCCGTTGAGATTGTCTCAACCAGGCTTTTGGCTTCAAGCGTCATAGCTATGATTAGAAATTTGCTGGGCGCTCTTATACCAGTTTTCTGGCCTGTACCTAGCATCCGAAAAATGCCTTGAAGCATTGATCTGGACGTTTCCGTTGCGCTGGCGACAAATAAAACAGTGTCATAGTTCGGCTTTTTGTGTCCCATTCTGTTCATAAGTTCAAGGAGAGCGTATGAGACCTTCTCATTACTTTCAAAACCGCAATTGGCGGTGTGTGTGGTTTGAAAGTCGGATAGCAAATCCGAGGCGGTTGAATCAACATCTTCTTTCCATCTGACATTTGCGCAGACCTTTTGGGCAGCGTCATCCCTTGACACAGAAAACTCTTGGGATGATGTTACCTGCCTTAAAGCAAAGTCGTGTACAACGATTTTGGGACACACCCGGCTCTCGTCCGATACAATCAAGTCACCGGATGTCTCTCGGCCATCAGTCCTTATCAGTTTGGCGTACCCCGTAAAGATACTTCCATGGCCCTGTGGCAGGTCCGTGGAAATATACATCTGTTTTAACGTGTATGGTACTGCGGCTTCTGCTAAAGGCTTTCCATCTGAGAATGCGATGAAAAGAAGATGAAATATGGCGTCCATAGTGGCCGGATGGATAAGATGAGGAAATTCAAAGTTATATGGCATTATTGATAGAGTGTCCGGAATGCTGATCGACCCGAAAACAGAATGCTCCCCAACAATGGCAGTGGCTTGGCGAACGTTCCTGAATGATGGTCCATACTCGACACCAATTGATTCAAGATCGTCATAGAAATCATCCATGTCAACGTTCTTAGATATTTGGCTCTCGGTTTCCTTCCAGTCGGGAGCAAGATCGTTCCATGTTTTAGATGAGATCAAACCTTTGCTGTCTTCGCCATCATACTCGAGTGTAAGAGATCCATGACAGTGTTTTGTCCAAGTCCCCGCTGTTATTGTTGAAAAAACTGTGAATAACCACGTGTGATTCTGCGTATTGTCAGGCCGCATGCTGATTTCTGTTTTTACTGCCTGATCTCTGGAAGGTACTACCAGACCACGTTCAAACTTCAAATCGCTGAATGTAATTCCTTTAATGGTCCTGCTTGGTTCTTTCAACTGTATTGCAGCCTCTATGGCCATCACAATCATACCAGCTGCCGGATACAATGTAGTTCCCGTTATTTTGTGGTCTTCGATCCATGGGTTCTCCGAGATACGTAGGTAGTTGTGCCACCTAGGCTCCATGGGATTTTGCAAAGCGACTGGCACTCCAAGTAGGTCTGTCCACGGGCCACTTGGGAATCTATTTGAGCGGGCTGTCATAGATTCATGCCAATATTGTTTGCCATGATTCCACGGATATGGCGGTAAATCTGGCAGGGATACGGGTAATGATTCGGGAATAATTCCATTGACTCTTTGGAGATCAATGCTGTGCCCTGAAACCCAAAGCTTGCCCGCTAATTCAAGTATTGTAGTCTCGGCGTCTTTCCCACGGGTGATGGCTGATAGATAACTTGCATCTTTAGCAGCCTTGCTCTGGCTTGCTTTCACAATTTCCTTGACCGGGCTTTGTAACGCGCCGTGAGGGCCAATTTCAATGAAGGAGCTCCATGGTGTTCTGTTACGACCCCGACCTTGCAATGAACTTGGGACATAATTCAGCAAGTTACTCATGGCCTTTGAGAAACCGACTTGCTCGCACATATTCCGCATCCAATATGCCCCATCTAGGTCTCTTGAAGTGACTAAGTCGCCAGTAAGAGATGAGAACATTGGTGCGATTTGGTCTTCGTCAGCAAGGGGAATAATGACGCCCATGCGATCCATGTACTCTTGGGCAACAGTTGCCATATGTGGAGAATGATAAGCCGTCTTTACCTTGAGAAGCCTGGCAAACTTGCCGTCTGAATTAATCAGGTCGCATAAGGTAGAAATATGATCAATGTCTCCAGATAAGGTTACGCTTGACGGACTGTTGACACATGCTACCACGACTGATCCGGACGGCACTCGCTTCAGATAGGCAGCTGACTCTTCTTCTGAGATACCAGCTGCGAGCATGGCACCCTTCCGCGGGCTTACCATGTCGGCAACTTTGGCAGAGCAAACCCCTCGAAGATATGCAACTTTAACCGCGTTACATCGAGAAAGAAGACCAGCAGCATATGCCGCACCTATTTAAAGTTATTAGAATTGCATATTTTAAGAGAAATCAACTCCCAACTGCTTACCTATTTCACCGCTTGAATGACCCACTACGGCCTTGGGAGTAACCCCCCAAGCCCTAAGTAAGTCTACTAGACCTATTTGAAGCACCGTACACAACACTTGACTATACTGCGGAAGATCGACATTGGAGTCTGCGGTTTTTGATAGTTCATCAATCAAATCCCAAGAACAGCCATAGTGCTCGAGTAAAACTTGTGACTTGTGTAAACTCGTCCTGAAGATGCAGTTGTTAAGAAGCTGCACACCCATAGAGGGCCATTGAGCTCCTTGACCAGTGAAGACAAAGATCGGATTGTCATGCTTTGAGCCGCGCTTCAACTTTGGCAAGCCTTTCGACATCTGATTTTGCAAGTCCAAGACAGACTCTGCTATTGCAAAAGTGCGGTATTCGAAATGGGTACGCCGTCCTGAGAGGGTATGCGCAAGGTCTGCCAAGAATCTGGTACTTGATGTCGCCTCTTTATTCGACAGAAACTCATTGTAGAGTGGAGAAAGCCTCTCAATACCGTTTTGATCTCTCGAACTGAAAGCGAAAAGCCTTTTGTTGACATCCTGCCTAGGTGAGTCGGATCCTATACTGATTCCAGATTCGGATGAGTCGTCTTCGAAAGTCCTCGTAGCATGGTTTCCAAGTAGCCCACGTATTCGCATATAATTATATGCATCATCCAGGATTACGTGGGCGTTAGCACCACCGAACCCGAAGGAATTAACGCTGATACGGCGTTGGCCTTTGGATGGCCAAGCCATGTTCTCCGAAGGCAGAGCAAGGTTCCATTCGGAGAGCTTTAGCTTGGGGTTCAACTTCTCAACGCCGGCAGTAGGCACAAGAATACCCTTTTCCAAACATAAGATTGACTTAAGGACACCAGCCAGGCCGGAGCAACCTTCGGTATGGCCCACGTTCGCTTTGATACTGCCGATATACAGTGGACCGCATTCTGCTCTGCGCCCAACCCCAAGAGTTGCCCCAATTGCTGAAAGCTCAACAGGATCCTTAATTCTGTTAGTACTATATTAGGACATTGATGTCTTCTAATTCACTTACACCGAGAGGAGTGCCTGTGCCATGGGCTTCAAAGTATTGGGTATCCGAGAAAGAAAGGCCTGCTGCTTCGTATGTGCTTTTGATCAACTGGGCTTGTGCTTCTGGGCTTGGTTGTGTGATTCCTGGCGTCTTCCCGTCTGCGTTAGTGCCCGTGCCACGGATGATGGCCCTAATTGTATCGCCGTCTCGTAGTGCGTCTTCAAGTCTTTTCACAATGAGGCAGCCGATGCCTTCACCTCGGCCGTAACCATTTGCTCGATAGTCAAAGGAATGGGAGATGCCTTCGGGGCTTAGCATATGCATTGATGAGAGTTGATGCATGAAATTTGGATGTAGAACTAGGTTGACCCCAGCTACCAGTCCCTGAGAATGGTGTAAGCGCTAGCTTGCCTTTACCTGCTTTCAAAATATGGCCTTCACTTACCATGTTGGTTTCTCTTAGTTTCAAAGATTGACATGCCAGATGTAGTGCGTATAAGCTTGATGAACAGGCTGTATCAAGTGTGAGGCTCGGACCTTTCAATCCAAAAAACCACGATACTCGATTTGCGATCATGGCCTCACTCATCCCAGATGCTGCAACATCACCTACGTCATATATGTCATGTGTTGACAACTGCTCGTAATCGCTCGTCATACATCCGACATACACTCCAGTTTGAGAGTTCATGAGCGTATCGACAGGGATGCCAGCTTTGTGCGTGCTATATTAGCTACGAATGTCTTGATGTAAGCAATAGCCACAGCTCACCATTTTCAAATCCTTCATAGCTAACTTCTAACAGCATTCTTTTCATTGGATCCATACCAGCGGCTTCCTTTGCCGTCATTGAAAAGAATGGCGCATCGAATAGGGATACATCTTGCTCCAGAAAATAGCCATGAGTGACGCTAATCTGCATAGTCGACCAACCAAATTAGTGATGAAAGAGATTTCAAGTTTCCCCAAAAAATATTACTTACAGATCCTTTACGATCAGGGTCGGGATGATACCAGGCATCGGCGTCCCACCGCGAAGCTGGAACCTTCCCATGGGCATTTCTGCCATGGCTGATCATATCCCATAACCTTCCAAGTGATGTAGCTTCGCCTGAAAGGCGGCAAGCTGCGCCAATAATGGCAATAGGCTCTTGCTCTCTGTGCTGACTCATTGTGAGATATGATGCTGGCAGTTGAGTTGGCGGTAATTGTTAGAAGGTATCAAATCCCCAACTACAAGTCTGACTGTAGAACGACAAAATGAACTACAGCGGACAGTTCTCAACCGTTTAGCGCGGTAAGTTCTATCCCACTGTCATACTAGTATTGCTGGTTTAGGTTTGGAATGAAGGCCATGAGTCCTGTCCAATAACTCAATCCAGTAGCTTCTTACTTTCCGAATGTGGCCATCGGCTTCATCCCAAAGAGGTAAACAATACATAGATTGCCCGAAGTAAAACAGCCGAAACTCTATCACAACATGCAGTGCAATTCTTCATCCCACCCACAATAAGAAATATGTATCGAAAAAGTTTCCTTTTATTTTCCGCCTCGCAGAAATTCTTGTCTAAAAATTACTTCCACATTGACTTTGTAGTTACTGCCGTTTTTCATCTTGAAAATGAGAATTCTTGCATTGCATGGCGTTGGCAGCTCTGCCAAAATTTTAGAAAGCCAGATTGTGGGCTTAATGCGATCTGTGGATGCAAGCTACGAGTTTGTGTTAGTCGATGGCCCAGTTCCTTCACACCGAGGGCCTGGTAAGTTGCAAGCGGCATGCACTAAAATCAACGTTTTGTACTGATGATTTGCCACAAGGTATGAGCCCTGCTCTTTCTGGGCCGTTCTTTTCACATACAACGGGCTACTCGCCTGCGGAGATTGAAGCGGCACATCACCATCTTGCAGCAACCATTGACGAGCTAGGCCCATTTGATGGGGTTTTAGGCTTTAGCCAAGGTGCATCCATCGCGCTCTCTTATATCCATCACCAACAAGTCAATGGAGAAGAGCCCGATTTCAAATTCGCGGTGCTCTTCTCATCTGTTGTTCCATTCGCATGCGATGCATCCTATTGCGAATCTGAGATCGAAGAGCTGTGCACCTTTCGTCAAAGTGGAATTGGTGCCAACAATCTTGCCCCCAAACAACAAGTTTTCAACGACTGTCTCGTACGCACTTTTCAGTCTGCACTAAAGATTGGAGCAGTTCTGCCTGACTTTAACCAAGACTTTTTCAGCAATGTGGGGGAATCTGTTCCTCGTGTGCTGCATCCTGCGCTACTTTCTGAGCGCATTCATGTTCCGACGGTTCATGTGCATGGAAGGCGGGACTTTCCATTTATGCACGACATGCATGAAATAGGGTATCAAATTTGCGATAAGCGATTCTCAAAAAAGTTGCATCATTCCGGTGGACATCATCCGCCGAAGAAAGATTCCGAGATAAAGGCGGTTGTCAAGGCCATAGAGTGGGCTATTGACCAGTATTACAGGCAGCCACCATCATTGTTATAATGTTAGCCATGATTAAGACGTGTAAATAAGCAAATAGAAGTCACCTTACTCAAGAATTGGAATCTGTTCGCATCAATATGAATATCCACCCTTTGAGTGATGTTGTCAGTTCTCGTTGATCGTATGTCCAGGCACACGGGAAAAAGACATGGATAGATACTGCTGTGCTAACAATATGCAAGGTAAATTAAATCAAATATAAAGAAAGACTTTGGTTTTGACAGAATCAGATTGTACTCTAGTGCTTTGGTAATTATTGGTATACTACGGTTCTCGGTATCTCGTTGACGGTTATAATGCGTTCTTAACAGCAACACCATCCGACCGATAAATCTGAGACCTGGTTTACAAGACCTTTTTCTTCTTTTGGTGCCAAAAATTTCATACTGTTCCTTTACTTTAGACTAAATAGACCAGTGCGATGCGCAGAGAATGGATGTATGCGATATATCCTTCTGGCAACCTAGCTGTTTGGGTTGTCCTCAGATCTTTGTTCTATCGTACTTTGGTAGCTGGGTCACAAAGTATCGTCGTGCTTATTAAATATGTTGCTTCTGCCGGAGTTTGTAAAACTCGGGTCTTGTTCTTTCATTTCCACCATGCCCCCTCCTCCTCTCATATTACTCTCACTTTCAGGCGTTTCATCAGCAGCTGGCGTAGTCTCCTGCTTCACCGTCTTCCACTGAACCATGGCACTTCCTGCAATACTTGCACAGGCCAAACCCACGGCAACGTACCATGAATTTGTCAATGACTTGCTGTAAATTCGTATGACAGAATCCAATGCGTCGGAAGGTATGACACCCGGTAATCTTATAGTATTGGCGCCGCCGTCAACAATTGCAGTTGCGTTGATGTTGGGTAGCTCTCTTGCCAGGCTGGCACGAAGTTCGTTCGTAAAGACGTTTTGCGCGACAGAGATGAAAATAGCGCCCCCAAAAGTTTGCAAGAACATGACCAAGGCGGTTCCGAGCGGAATCTCTGACATCGGAAGCACGGTCTGAACCACCATCAAGGGTGTCTGCATGCTTTGACCGGAACCTATCCCGTACAAAACCTGATACCCGATCCAACCGCCTGCTGGGGTATCAGGCCTCCAGGTTGTTAAAAAGCCTGCACCAATAGACATGAAGAGTGTCGCGGCTATCATGAATGGGTTATAGTAGCCTAACTTGGTGATGCCGATGCCACTGAAAATTGACATAAGTGCGGTTGCAAGAATCAAGGCTAGGTTCATCAAGCCTGAGTCAACAGCAGAAACGCCTTTGATAGCTTGAAACCATATGGGAATGTACTGCCGCAAGGTAAAGTCTGCTCCAGCCGTACAGACTGAAAACCAACATGCGGCAGCAACACTTCTTTGTGAAATTACAGTGATTGGCAGTGTTGCGTTGGTACCATTGCGGACTTGAATAAAGAGGAACACTGCGGATAACAATCCAAATAGGATAAAAAGAACGATTACCCTAGGGTCGTTCCAAGAATAAATCGTACCGCCCCATTGGAGTGCGAGAAGAAGACAGATCACGGCTGGCATTAATGCAACGGTGCCCAGAGGATCCACTTGAAGGAATTTCTCCAGTAGAGTTGCATCTTTTCCAGAGCCCTGGCGAGGAGGTGAATGAAAAATGAAGATCATTATAGCAAGAGCAACGGCACCGATTGGAAGATTGATATAAAACTGTTAAGCGTCATCATAAGAATACTGCAATCAGACATCGTGCAGTTGTATGACTTACACACCAACGCCAAGTGATCTTGTCTGTGAAAACACCACCCAGTAGTGGCCCAACCACGGAAGCAATGGCATAGACCGCTCCTACGAGGCCCGTGTATGCAGGTCTTTTAGGGAGAGGAACGATCACGGCGATAATGGTAAAGGTTCCTGCCAGAATACCGGCACAACCCACCCCAGCAATGGCTCGTCCGATAATAAGTGCAGTCGACTGAGGTGCTGCGCCACAGATAGCGGAGCCAATCTCAAATATAGTGATCGATATGAGGTATGTGGCTTTGATTGAGAAAAGCGTATACAGTTTGCCGAAAGTGAGCTGAAAGGTGCAGGTCGTAAGTAAGTAGGCACTGCCGTACCAGCCGATGTCGTTGATTGAATGGAACTCGTCAGTGATGCGCGGGATGGCTGTTGATATAATGATATTATCCTATCGAATGTTCTATATTAGCAACACGAATCTTTTGTTTCTCGTATTGTTAACACATACCAAGCCAACTAGGAACAGTGTTAAGCAAAGTCCAAGTGTAATGGCTAACAGCTTTAGACCTGTTGGCTCATCGTTACCGGAGTCCGTGATCGTTGTGTGAGAAATGTGATGTTCGGTGATCTCAGGGTCTCTGGATTGTTGTTGACCATGTTTTGTCAACTTGGACATCTTTCCCGCGAAAGGCATCTTTGCTACGAAAAACTGAAAACCTTTGAATCGGATATTTTTGATTAAGAGTTGGTTGTACGATACTTCTGGTGTCGTGCTTGATGAGCCAAAATTTGAGTAGAAGATCACAAAACTGGCTTTCTTTTGATCCTGGAAAAGAAAAACAGCGGAATTTCTCTTTCTCGAAGGACTATAACGATGGTAGTCACAAAGCAACAAGGCGCAACACAAGCAGCATGGCTGCAGCATACTCAGATGACAAATCGAAATGCCCAGCTAAGGTTTTCATTCAAAGCACTCCTCAGCCCATCATCGTTACAGGTACGTGTCACCACAAGACGCCTTCCTCAATGGTACTCTCTTTGGCTTTGAATCGCGAGCATCTTAGCTCGCCAAGCTTCGATGGAAGACCCTTAATCCTAGTCATTCCTTAAACATGCTTAGAAACTAGGTTACCGTTTAAAGGCAGATTGACATGCCGGGTATCCCTCTCCAACTAACCTCTCCGGGTGATTCTAACAGTCAGTAACCAATGGAGATTCCGAAAATGGTTGACCATGTGAAGACGGCTGGTGTTTACTCCAATTTGAATTACAGTTGGCCGCATGAATCCAAAAGTGGGTACTATGTTTGCTCGGAGTTCACCCATTTGGACGCCCCGGTTGTCGAGGAGACAGAAAGTTTCAGTGGGAATCTTGGAAAAGCAATGTTTCAACAAAAATTGTATCAATAGAGCAGAGGCAGCATTGTAATCGCTGCGTGGTGCTCGTATGATTAGTTGGCATGACTTCGTTTATTCGCATCTACTCCAGTCTCAGATGCCCATCGCCGTCGACAAGCTGCAATAACTTTTCGATTCACTGATCCTGGCGATAAAACGTGGCCCGTGTGCAGCAATCAAGTTTAACGACAGCTACCTAGATCGTCCAAAATGGCACCCTACATGACTCATACGGCCTCTGAGCTGAGCTCCCCTGTGGACAGTATTCAGTCGCCTAGAGGAATGCCATCAGACCCTATTGCCGTCATAGGTATGAGTTGTAAATTTTCTGGGGAAGCTACAACTCCAGAGAAATTATGGCAGTTAGTTGTCAAGGGTCAAGATGGCTGGTCACCTATACCGAAATCGAGATTCAACTCGGATGCATTCTACGACCAAGACCATGCAAAAGTTGGAATGGTATAACGTTGTCCGTCGCTTACATGCATCTACGTACAGAGACTGACAGCTGGAATTATAGTCCAACGTGGTTGGTGCTCATTTTATCCAAGATGACGTCTCAAAGTTTGATGCATCCTTCTTCAACTTTACTTCAGAAATTGCCAATGTGGGTTGGGAATTCAAATTGTGTGGTGGTCAAATAGTTAACCAGCTTAATATAGGCAATGGATCCACAAATTCGAATGCTTCTCGAGTCTGTTTTTGAAGCATCAGAAAATGGTGAGAATGACTGTTATGCAAGGAAGGATGTATGAGAGCTAAGTGTTGAAAATAGCTGGAATGCCTCTACAAAAATTAGCCGGAAGTGACACTTCGGTATTTATGGGATCGTTTTCCAGAGATTATCATGATAGTCTCATGAGAGATCCGGATACGTTGCCAAGGACTGCCCTCACCGGTAATGGCGTTGCCATGATGTCGAACCGAGTCTCACATTTCTTTGACCTTCGAGGCCCAAGTTTGACGACGGACACAGGCTGTTCTGCAAGTCTGGCCGCCCTTCATTTGGCTGTACAAAGCATTCGTAACGGCGAGTCTCGGATGTCTATTGTTGGAGCATCAAATCTCTTGTTGAACCCTGACCCATTTATCGTCATGTCAGGCCTTGGGTAAGTTTGGATCACGTAGGCCTCGGTAATTTACTAACGATTCACAGCGTTCTCGGAGCGGATGGTCGGTGCTTCGCATGGGACAGTAGAGCCAATGGCTATGGTCGTGGTGAAGGCATTGCCACACTTCTCCTCAAACCTCTCGGCGATGCAGTCAGAGACGGTGATCCAATACATGCGGTCATTCGCGAGACTGCAATCAATCAAGATGGGAAAACGCCGACTATTACTTCTCCCTCATCTAAGGCACAGGAAGAACTAATTCGCGCTTGTTATCAAAGAGCTGGTTTGGATCCAATCCACACACCTTATGTCGAAGCCCACATGACAGGCACTCCAACTGGAGACCCAATAGAGGCCAATGCAATTAGCCGTGTGTTCAGTAAGGGCCGTTCAGCCGACAATCCAATCTTAGTTGGCTCAGTCAAGACAAACCTAGGCCATCTTGAAGCGTCAAGCGGCATCGCTGGTGTTATCAAAGGCATCATGATGCTCAAGAATGGTGTCATACCTCCCAGCCTGAATTACGAAACCGCCAACCCAAATATTGACATGCAACAGCTAAAGGTCAGAGTCCCTCTTGTTGCCCAGAACTGGCCAGAAGGAATGCCCCGACGTATTTCGGTCAATAACTACGGTTATGGTGGAACAAATGGTCATGTTATCATTGATGGGCCAACGGAACATGTCCAAGAGGTCGTCAATGCCTCGCAAGTGATAACAACACCTCGCCTTTTTGTGTTCAGCAGTAAAGATACCACTGCCACTTCTCAAATGGTTGATAACTTAAAGACCTATCTTGAGAGCCGAAAAGCGTTAGGTATCAATGTCGACTGCGACGACCTTGCCTATACTCTGGAGGCCAGGCGCACACATTTTCCTTGGAGGTTTGCTATTTCAAGCATGAACTGCCAACAGGACCTGGCTGATGGCCTAAGAGACTCCGTTGGAAAAGCAGTCACACTAGCCAAAGATCCACCACGTGTCGGATTTGTGTTCAACGGACAAGGTGCTCAGTGGCACGCCATGGGCCGCGAGCTAATCGCGCTATATCCTACATTTCAAAAGTCCCTGCTTCGTGCTGATGCAGTGTTAAGCGATTATGGTGCTGACTGGTCTTTGGTTCAAGAGCTACGGCGTGATGAAGAGTCCACTCGGGTCAATGAGCCACGACTTAGCCAACCGGTCTGCGTCGCCCTTCAGATCTGTTTAGTTGATCTGCTGAAATCGTGGGGCATCCAGCCAAGTGCAGTAACAAGTCACTCTAGTGGTGAAATTTCGGCTGCGTACGCGGCAGGTGCACTCACGTTTAAGGAGGCACTTGGGGTTGCTTACTTTAGAGGCACTTTAACCGAGAAATATCTTGCAGCTTTACCGCGTGCAGGAGGCATGCTGGCAGTTGGTCTGGGTGCCGACGATACATGGTCGTACCTGGCTGAACACGCTATTAGTAAAGATACCGTTACGGTTGCCTGCATCAACAGTCCATCAAGTGTCACGCTCTCAGGTGATCTTGACGCGATTGAGCGCCTTGAAAAGAACCTAATCCAGGACCAGATCTTTGCACGGAAGTTGAAGGTCAAGTCAGCATACCACTCCCATCACATGCTTCCGATGGCAGAGGAGTATTATAGGACATTGAAAAGTATTATTCAGCCTAAGCTGAAGTGGGAGAAAGTTATTTACGCCTCTCCTGTAACCGGGAATCTCATTGACAGTCCTCAAAAGCTTGGGCCACAACATTGGGTAAACAATTTGCTGTGGCCAGTTCTCTTTTCACAATCTTTTGAAGCGATGTGCGCGCCTGCATCCAACGACAGTCAACCTCAAGTCGATTTTATTCTCGAGATCGGGCCGCACTCGGCTTTGGCTGGCCCGATACGCCAAGTATTCAAGATTCCAGCTTTGAAAGATCTCAACCTAGGGTACGCTTCCTGCCTGGTTCGAAGCCAAAACGCCGTCATCTCAATGCAAAATGCGGCAGGGTCTCTCTGGTGCAAAGGTTATCCCGTCGACCTGTCGGCCATCAACTGTCTAGAAAAGGGGAAGCACCGCCGTGTCATATCAGATATTCCTTCATATCCTTGGAACCACAACAATAGCTTCTGGCAAGAGTCCAGACTCAATGTCGTGCATCGTCAGAGGAAACACGTGCGGCACGAGCTGATTGGCTCCATGCTTCATGGTCCAGCATCAAAAAACCCTACCTGGAGACATTTTCTCAAACCATCCGAGCTGACTTGGCTACGACACCACTTAGTGCAGTCGGATATGGTATACCCTGGCGCCGGAGGCATTATAATGGCAATTGAAGCTTTACGACAATTTTCTGGACTAGGTCCAGAGGCAATTGAAGGTTACTGTTTGAAGGAAATCGATATCATCAACGCACTGGTTATTCCAGATTCCGAGGCAGGTATTGAAGTTCAGTTGTCGCTTCACTCCTGCGATAGGAAGGCTTTGGAACCAGGATGGTATGAATTCTCGCTCAAATCACCTGGCGTTGATCAAGAATCTTGGACAGAGCATATTCGTGGGTACATTTCTCAAAAGAGAAAGTTGGATGTTCCATTTTCCACTGTGCAGCCGACCGACAGCTCCGTCCAGCAAGTAGGCTACTCCCACTCTATTGAAACTGACGACCTATTCGAGCGACTTCGGAATCTTGGTCTTGAACATGGACCTGCTTTTCAAAATATGCTCAACATATGGACAACTTGTTCCGGCTCGAAGTTTGATTTCCAAGTCGCAGATGTGGGATCTGCTAGTCACCACATCCTTCACCCAACAACACTTGACTCGATATTCCAAGGAGCTTATGCTGCGCTACCATCCGACGTATATCAGAACTCTATGGTGATGCCTCGATCGATTGATGAGATCTTTGTGTCACAATCCATTTCTTCATTCCCAGGAAGTCGTTTTGAGGCCTTTGCGACTGTGAACCAGCAAGACAGGTCTGGTTTCCGATCAACCATAACCACCCGCGATCCAAATTGTCCAGAATCAGTCAATCTGTTGGTCAAAGGACTTTTCTGTCAAGCTGTAGGCGGGATCAGACGAGACCAAACAGCAGCAGATGCACCAAAGCTGCTTTTTAAGATGCTGTGGCATCCGGACATGACACTTATGCCTGTTGAGACAATGAAGAACACTTTGAAGTTCGACGCCGATGCACAAGAGCTATCCATCAATAAAAAGCTTATCCGGGCTGCTTGGTACTTTATCCAAGATGCAATTCAAGACATAAACTCGGATCAGGAGGCTCTATCTCAAATGGAATGGTATCATAAGTTGCTTTTGAACTGGATGCAAACTAGATACGAGGAAGGTCTTTCAGGCACTCTTGCTCGTGGAAGTGGTTCTTGGCAAAAGGCAAGCAAAGGCATGAAACACATGCTGTTCGACGAGGTGTCCTCTCAGAGCGTTAATGGCCGTCTTTTATGTCGCGTTGGGCGCAATTTGTCTAAGATTTTGAGAAAGGAGGCATCTCCTTTGGAAGTCATGATGGAGAATAACCTCCTCTATGATTTCTATGAGAAAGCCCTCCGCTGCAATCGGTCGTATGCTCAAGTTCAGAAATTAGTTCACCTTTTCTCCATGAAGACTCCTCGGGCAAATGTCCTAGAGATCGGAGGTGGCACCGGTGGATGTACAGGCTCCGTTTTGAAAGGACTGGCCGAAGATACCCCAGACGGCAAATACCGTTTCTCATCTTATACTTTCACGGATGTGTCTCCGGGATTCTTCGAGTCAGCGGCGAAAAAATTTGAAAAATACGGAAACATGATCAACTTCAAAAAGCTGGACATCGAAGTGGATCCCGAGCAGCAGTCATTTACACCTGGGTCATATGATCTCATCATTGCTTGTCAAGTGCTTCATGCGACAAAGAATATGGAGAAGACGATGAGAAACGTCCGCAAGCTTTTAAAGCCGGGCGGAAAACTGATCCTCGTCGAGACTACGAAAGATACTCTCGATGTTCAGTTGATATTCGGTACTCTGCCTGGATGGTGGCTTGCGGAAGAACCCGAGCGCAAAGGAGGGCCAAATCTAACGCTTGATCATTGGGGTCGCGTTTTGAAAAGTACTGGCTTCACCGGCATTGAAGCAGATATTCACGATCTGGAGGAGGATGAGAATTATTCCTTCAGTGTTATGACCTCGACCGCCGCTGCTTCGGTGTCTTATCCATCGCAAGTGTTTATTTTATGTCCTCCTGAGGTGCCCATGATTTGGAGAAACAGCCTCACAGATGCCATTAGTTCAAGGACTGGAATCGCAACTACATTTGCGGATTGGAGAAATATCGAAGCAACGGACAAGGTTTGCATCATGCTAGCTGAAATTGTCGAACCACTACTGAGCCGCCTTACTGAGGAAGAATTCAAGTCCTTACAACACCTGCTGACGACTGCCCGCGGTGTGTTGTGGGTCACCAGGGCAGGTCTCACCAGAGGGGTAAATCCTGATATGGCGATGCATTCTGGGCTCTTGCGAACGCTGCGAATGGAGGATGCCGGCAGGCGCTATATTTCCCTCGACTTGGACACTGTTGATTCTCCATGGGCCAGCAAGAACGCGGAGTTTATCTCTGATGTTGTAAAAGTCTCATTTGACCTCAGCCGCAGTTCTAAAGACATTGACTGCGAGTATGCCGTTCAAGATTCCCTGCTGCATATATCTCGCATTTACAGCGACGATGTAGAGAATAAATTACTTGCACGGGATTACATTGAAAACGAGCCAGAGGTCAGGAAATTCGGCTCCCAAACTTCAACTTCTATCCTTCAGATGGAAGTTGGGACGCCGGGCCTGCTTGACACACTGCAGTTCCGAGAGATCAGTCGAGAGGAAGCTTCAATCTCCGCCGACCACATTGAAATTGAACCCCACGCTTTCGGCCTCAATTTTAGAGACGTTTTGGTTGCTTTGGGTCAGCTTGACGAGACCATTATGGGCTATGAATGCAGCGGGGTTGTTACTCGACTCGGTCCAGAAGCCCAGAAACACAGCGGCTTCAAAGTTGGTGATCGCGTCTGTGCCATTCTTCGGGGACACTGGGCCACGAGAGTACTAATCAACTGGTCATGCGCTGTTCGCATACCAGACAGCATGTCTTTTGAAGAGGCCGCAACAATTCCGATGGTCTTCGCAACAGCGCATCATGGCTTGTTTGATATTGGAAGACTGGCCAAAGATGAAACTGTTCTAATTCATGCCGCTACTGGTGGAGTCGGCCAAGCCGCTGTGATGCTGGCCCAAAATCGAGGTGCCAACGTCTTCGTTACGGTAGGGAGCCAAGCAAAGCGGGATTTCGTCATCAAGGAGTTTGGTATCCCCGAGAGCAACATATTCTCCAGCCGTGATGTCTCCTTCGGCCCTGCTCTCATGGCAGCTACAGGAGGCAAGGGAGTTGACGTAGTGCTCAACTCACTTTCAGGACCTCTGCTCCAGGAAACCTGGAATTGCATGGCAAGGTTTGGCCGATTTGTCGAAATTGGTAAGCGAGACATGGAAGCCGGCAAAAACATGGAAATGAGCCCTCTACGTCGGGCAGTAACGTTTTCTGCGGTCGATCTTTTCCAATTGGGAAAATATAGAGGTCCTGTAGTTCATAACGTCCTTCTAGACGTCATGGACATGTTCAGCCGTGGATGCATTCGGACTGTAGCACCGATAACGAAGTATTCCATCTCAGATGTTGGCAAAGCTTTCAGGTTAATGCAGAGCGGCAAACACTTAGGAAAGATTGTGGTGACGCCACATAAGTCAGACCTTGTCAAGGTAAGATCTCGCAATATTGTGATTTTAAAATTTTGAAATATTGGCTGACTTGCTCAAAAGATTATCCAAGCTCCCAAGGCCGCCTTTCTTTATCCAGAGGCGTCTTATCTCATTGTTGGCGGTATGGGAGGCATAGGCCAGTCTATTGCACGTCATATGGCACGCAATCTGGGCTGCAAGAACCTCGTCATTCTCTCACGGCATGCACTGTCGCACCCAGACAGCGCATCGCTAAGATTTGATCTCGAGGCCGCTGGATGCAAAGCTGTCATACAAAACTGTGATGTTTCAGACGAAGAAGAGTTCCGCCAATTACTGAGCCAAGTTCAACAAGAGCTACCGCCAATTCGCGGTGTTATTCAAGCCGCGATGACTCTGAATGTAAGTTGTGAATTACTTCTGGCCTGCCGCTTGAGTGAGTGGACAATAAGCTCATGACATACTAGGATTCAATTTTTCCCAACATGAAATATCACCAATGGCTTGCCGCAACAGGTCCAAAGATCTCCGCCACGTGGAATATCCACAGAAATCTTGCAGAACTTGATTTCTTCATTATGCTGTCGTCCTTGACTGGTCTTGGAGGTAACACTAGTCAAGCGAATTATTCAGCTGGAGGAACGTTCCAAGATGCCTTCGCCAAGTATCGAACGAGTCTTTCACTTCCTGCGGTTGCAATTGACCTAGCCAGCATCCAAGGTGTGGGTTTTGTTGCCAATACTGCCGGTGTTTCAGAGCGGTTGACCAAGACTGGTCTGGCCGATATTGGCGAGGATCAAATGTTACAAATCATTGAGACGGCAATCCAAAGGCCTTTGCGGCCTGTTGATCTCAGTCAACTTATCACGGGTATTCTGGAATTCGATGAATCGTCTAGTGTTGCTTGGGTTAATGACACGCGATTCACATCCGCACGAGTCACTCACTACACAAGTGGAGACAAGGACAGCAGAACAAATCAACAGGGAGTCACAACAGCTCGGCTCTCAGACTCTCTTCAACGTGCAACGAGTGGAGAAAGCGCAATAACACTCATTCAAGGTGCCATCATTTCAAAATTGGCAGAAATGTTTGGGCTGGATGCAAGCGAGATTGACAAGAAGTATCCTGTTTCCAAGTACGGAGTTGACTCGCTTATTGCGGTTGAACTTAGAAATTGGCTCGTGTCAAGCGCGGGCGCAGAGACGACAAGCATTTTTGACGTGTTGCATAGTCCAAGCTTAAGCATATTGGCTGAAAAGATTGGAGAAAAGAGCCGCTACGTTTCAATGCTTGTCAAACCTACTTAGTCCAAGTATACATGCAATATTTTAGATAATAGAGCGGATCTTTTCCTTTTCTTTATAATGTTTCGTATATTATGCGTTTAATTTTGACTGCTCACTGTATGTAAGCAATGTCTATGAAAATAGACTTTATATGTTTTTTTTTTTTTTTTTTTTTTTGGACGTTCTTGCTACAAACCAACATGTCCGCTGTTGGGACATGCTTTTGAGATAATTCTCGCTATAACTTTGCTCTCATGCGCAGCCGAAATCCCTGTCCTCGTCTGTCATTGTTCGGTAAGATCCAGGGTCACTGCAACAGTATGCTTGTCTATGGGATGGATGCGATGAAGGGGCATAACACTTTCATCTCAAACTGCGAGGTACGAAACTCAAACATGCAAACCACAATTACACTCCACGCATATGCACCACGGAAGCATTTCTGCTATTAACATCGCGGTCATTCTGGCGGTGTCTTGAAGAGGCCTGACATAAAGGATCCTGCATTTAAGCGGTTCTGCCATCTTGAAGTTTGTACGTTATTTCATCTAGTTATGCTAGCAAATTCATCTCACTACCACTGTCGCTACTGCTTCTCAAACCTCTATAACCTTCGCATTGCATCAACATGGCCCGCATGCACTGAACCTTTCTCTCGGCTCCTAGAAGTGGAGCCAAGTGTGCCTTTCTCGTTCCAACTCTAGCTTTAATCCTGCTGATTAACTGACAGAACTCTGTCAGTTGTCCTGTTACCAGGCATTTGAGAACCTGGTTTCGTTCTGATTCGCTCTCGATCTTGTAAGATTGAAACCACATGGCCGCTTCTCCAGGCACTGCACAGCTTGTTGGTTGTGCTGACTGGACCACATCAACATAGCATCGAACTGTCTTTTCGCAGATATTGCTCAAGTATTGTCCAGCCATTGCGAGTAGCATCATGCTCTCGGAGCGTGACTTGCACAATGTGCAGCCAAGTATTGAGTCGCAACCTTTAATGGCTTCCCGGCAACAGTTAAGGAGACCATCCATCGTGGGCTGTTCTGTATTAGCCCCCTCATTTCCTAGTTGTTCTAGAAGATGGGCCGCAAGTTGCAAGCAACGACATTCGCTTTTTCTCTTATATGTAGTTTCTGTAGTTTCGAGGAGTGCGCTTAGTGGGCTGACGGCTGTCGCAGGGGGGGCTTTGTTTAACGAAGGAGTTTCTCTTCGAATAGGCGGTGATCTTTTCGTTGTTGGTGGCTTGGATCTAGGGGCGCTCGTATTAGTCGAGAAGTTTTCGTCTAGTAGCATGTCTAAACTCGATGACGATAAACAGGGCGTGGATGAACAATGATCCACAGCATCGTTAGAATCTGATTAAGAGTAAGCCAAAGCAGTTCTACAGCTTGGAAACAGTTGGTTGAGAATATACCATTCATATCCAAATCTTCAAGCTGAGTCTCTTGAGAGCTGGTTCCATCATCTCCACTGTCTTCCAAATGATCAAAATATCTCATGTCTTTTCCGAATTCTTGCCATGAACCACCAAAATCTCCAGATTTGAGACCAGAAACTTCAATTGTTCCATTCGGTGAAAACAAACTGCATGACGCAAGCCATTGATCAATCTGGTCTTGCTCGTGTTTCTCGTTATGGTTATCTGGTGCGTCGATAATCATGTCATTCTGGCATTGTGCAAGATCTAGCTCGGGGCTAGGAAGAGGCTTTTGATGCTGTAATTGGCGCAATGCCACCGTCTCTCCAGTTTCTTGGCATGGGTTGTGGTACACCAAAGACGGATCAATTTTGAAATGGTCTGAAAACGCTGGTGATTGCGGCACAATGGCGCCTTCTGGTGTTGATGGATCTGGCTCAGATGAATGCTTGGCTGAGCAATTCGATTGTTTTCGTTTCCGGATACCACCTTTGTTGGTAGGATATTTGCAGACATTTGAAGCTGATTTGCATCTGTCACAACCGTTTGGGTTTCCATTACATCGAAGCTGGAAACACATAGTTTGTATTAGCGTAGCACTTTAACTGATTGCCTCAGTACAAAAGCGTATTACCTTGCGAGCCCTGCAAAATTCGCATGCAATATGAGGCTTTCCTCGTCGATTTCGATTTATCACATTTTCTGCATTGTTCTCGATGAATGTAGGCTCGTTATGCCGTAAATCATACATCAAAGTGCCGAACATTCTTTCTTTCTTTCGAGAACAAGAACGGAGGGTTTGACCAATCAGTCGTGGAATGGACGGTAAAAGTACAAAGGATGTGACAGATACAGTTCCTATGGAGTGTTCCGATAGTATATCATTTGGGTTTTGTTGGACATTCCCCTCCAAATGGAGTTTCTAACGCTTTTAGGGGCTTTAGGCTTCTTGAAGAGGGTGTGTTCTCTCGTGCAAACACTGGCACGGGCGGCTCTCGCATCCCATGGTTCAACCTTCAAAAGTAGAATGTTGTGATGTACGAGGAAAGCTTAGCAAACAAGATTTCCCCGAGATTAGCCAGACTGGTAGGGTACCCCAGTGGCTTATTATCTGGTCAGTATTCTGGCAGTTGCTGAGCAGACCCATGGTGAATGTCTAAACGCGGAAAACAAAGTCCACTCCTGCAGCAGAAACGGCGGCAGACTACCTTTGAAACTTTAATTTCTTCTGCTTCTATATGGTCGCATTAAGGTAATGTATTGTTGCGAGCGGTTCGTAGAATCCTGAGTAATTAGGGCATTGTTTTTTTAACATATCTTACAATAGTAAAGTAAAGTTGGTGCGAAAAGTTCGGAGCATTTAGATTTCCTGACCTTGATTGAAACTAGACTTTCAGTATAGACTCCGATATTTTGATAGAACCGGGAACCGCCCAGTTCTGTAATGTCAAACGGACTATTACTAGGGATGTGTAATGGTTAAATCGCGCCTCGTATTACCTATTTCGGCAATCCTTGACTGGTGACCCAATTGCGGCATAGACTGCGCCTAGATCTCATAGCGTGTTTACGGAATACCTTCGACGCATTGAGCCTATGCTACAGTGCGCGACTTTCTTTTCAAAGTTTACAATGCAAGACAGATTCAAATCGTCTAACGGCCAAGGCATCGGTGTGTGATTGAGATCGATTTCGAGATGAGTCATGAATATGCACTACTATGATTCAATATAGTACTTGCAGGAACAGTAACCAAAACAGAAGTTGGATGGAGACCCTCTAAAGCTACATACAGCCATGTAGCCACGAAGGAAGGATGTTGGATCTTACTCATTACTGATGAAGGTGACCAAGAGGGGTGATGACCGGGATCTTAGTTGCATGCATGGTTTTTAAATTATCATGCCATCTCTAGTTGTTTAAAGATTTCTCGGGGATATTAATTAAGCATGCGAGCAGACCTACAAACTATTATTGATGCGAATAAGGCACCTTGTAATACTGAGGCAGACTTCCCTGCAAGGAGAAATATCGGCGATGAGAGCTTGTCACTGAAGGGCTGGCTTTTATCGTGGTTGAAACAGGCTCGTAAAGTTTCGACAGGACACTTACCATCAATGAACTCTATTCCACGTAAGACGGATAGTTCCTTTACATCATCACATGAAATTATATTGTGAATTGCTAGCCCTAGTAATATGTCCAAGGCTAATAATACAAGGATGTTGCGCTGGGATTGCAACTGGTCGGTATGTACTGTAGCTTACGGTACTAAGCGTGTAGTACCGAGGCACGTATCGTCTGAAGCCCTGCATATGCCGGTAAACCGAGACCGAAGGTCTTGCCATAAACGGTGAAGTCCGAAGTAACAAAGCTACTCCCAGAGTCGATGCAATTGGGTAATAAACTTTCGGAGTAGCTCAAAACGAATCCCCGAAGGAGTGATACGTCTAAAGCGGGAAAATGCAAACCGTTCTTTGTCGGTGTATGTCGTTACTCGCGGTTGTTGACAAAACCAAAAATGCGATTCGTTCGGAAAGGAGAAGACCCAAACAGGAAAGAATGGATTCAATCGGGAACTACGTACAGAAACCAATGCTGTCGGATGAAAACAGACATTCTACACCTAGTCCTCATCAGGCAGTTTCAGATTTTGGATTCATACGTAAGGAACGTCTCTTTAATGCTCAGCATATATGCTAAGTTCAAAAATTCTCTGCAACATGATACCAATGAATCACTTGTAGAGAATCATCTGCTGTTATCGAGAAAAAGAAAATGGACGCGACAATGGGATCATTGCAATCCACCAAAATTCACGTCATCAGCATTCCGTGGATTTTGCGTCCAGTCTCTAGCTGGTTGACCTTCAACAATGTTCTGAGATATTTCGGACTGATGGTACGTCTGAATGCTCTAGCTAGCCGTCATTTGGCAGCAATCGGCCAACATTGACTCGGAAATATAGCTTATAATTTGCCCATTACTTCTGGTTGCTTACAATTACTATCTACATCCAATTGCGCATGTAAAAGGTCCATTCATTGCGGCGATATCTCCGGTTAGTAACTACAGTTTCTTGTATTTAATTCTCACTAACCCACAAGCCAGATTTGGCTCATGCGTTCTGTCTCTGGACATCGACTAAATACTGATATAGAAAAAATCCATGCAAAATACGGTAAGAATTTTCAATTTGGTTTTTATGAATAAAAGACAGATATCCAAGAAAAGGACTCAAACTGACTATCATACTCCAGGATCTGTTGTGCGCATCGGACCTAACGAAATATCATTCGCTACCGAGGATGCTCTCAAAACAATACACAATCCCGGACCCAGTGGTGGTCATTTCACCAAGCAGGGTACGATTGAATCACTACTAGCAAAGCTTATCTGGGCGGCGCCCAACCTGTTGACGACGACGGACAGAACGGCACACAAGCGACTCCGCACTGCACTACAGCCAGCGTTCACTGCCAAAGCTCTTATGGAGCAAGAAGATATAGTCCAATATCATGTCAATGGAGCAGTAGAGGCGTTGGGTAAAGCCTTGAAACCAGGCAATGCTGTCAATATCAGCGATCATTTTGCAAGAATGATTTGGAGTATTGTTGGGGACTTGTCCTTTGGGGAACCATTACTACACGACCAGATGAGTACGCTAAGCTTTTGACTTCACCAGCAGGAGGCTAACCTTTCTTCCAGGTGCATACGAAAAGTTGAAGTATACATATGGCAAAGGCGCACCACTCTTGGAATTGTTCCAATTCTTCACGGAAATACCTATATTCGGGGGCCTTGCTAAGCTTCCCGTCATGATTGTACTATACATTTTTAGAGTTCCCAAGAACTTTCTGTTGATGAATCAACTTAGAGGGCAAGTCAAGTCTAAGGACACTGGGTCCCTACCTAAACTCTAATGGTGCTATAGATATATTGAACTGTTGCGATAGTTGGAATACGGAGTCGTGTGGCACTTCTAGCTACACGCCCGCCAGGCTGAGAGGCCTAAGCCTCCCAGACCCACGTGACAGGCCAAGGGGGAATATCCCCACCTTCTAGTCAACAACACTACTTTCAACTATCATAAACCATCGATTAGAACCAATTTACTATTATTTGTTATTAACAAACGGAATTCCGTTTTACCCCCTATAAAACCTATACTAATTAGTAGTAAACCTTATAGTTGCTATTAATTTAGTTAACTTTATAATTACTACTCTGCTATAGATAAACCGTAGATTAGCAAGGTTAATACTAGAAGAGACGACTTCTTAAACTAGATACCTAAGCTTAGGTAAAAGTAGGGATTTCGTACTAACGAGAGAAGAAGCGAGAGTAACTAGGATCTACGGAAACTAGTAGAAGAAAGCTTCTTTTCCTCGAATCTACTAGCAATCCGATTATTTAAGTAACCTAGGGACTGCTATGCTTACCCTAGGCGGGATAAGGTTAATCGTAGCTAATTATTACTAGCAAGAGCGTTCTATTACGCGTTTTCAATTACTAGAAGAAGAAACCTACCGAATCGACGGTCTTCTAACCTCTTCACGCTATAAAGGCGAAGATTTACAAATCTTATAAAGGATAATAACTTCCCTAACTATAACTATCCCCTACGTACGGTGCTAATTACGAAGCGCCTACTAGTTTCTTAATAAATCCCTAGACGAGGTGCTAACCGCGAGGCGCTTGCTATAAAAGACCTCCCTACTAGAAGAAGAATACGCTGAAAGGCAAGCGGAAACTATTAGTAGTAATCCGCTTATATAGCTATACGTATATGCCTCCGAAGCTACGGCTTAAGAGAAACGTATATAGTTATAGGCATTATAAGGCTAACTATCTACTAGATTCTAAACTTCCTAATAGTAAGGAGCGAAGCCTAAAGCGAAAAAAAGAGATTTACGAAAGAATCTATAGTAGAACTCTCTCCCTACTAATTCGAGACCTATATATACCTTTATACCCTTCGAGAATATTAGTAAGAATAGCGTTAACGGAAATAAACGACGAACCGACGAAAATCCCCGATTTTATAATTCTTTCCTTTTAGAATCGTAATATCCTAAATCGTCTTTTAACTCCTACTTCTAGGCTTATATCTTATACTAATCGTAGCTAACGCTATTAAGGATTAGAATTCAAGATTCTAAATAGAAGTAATCCTTTTATACTATTAGAATAAAGCGAAATTTACGAGAAGGATCGCTTGCAAGTAGCGTTACTACTAAAAGCTAATTAACAGTCCCTATCCTATAGAGAATCGAAAGTATAATCGATCTAGCAGTATAAGGCAACTAGGCAATCGACCTTATAAACGCTAGCCTATAGCAACTAGGTTCCTATATAGGTTTCCTACTTGAGACCTATAAGAAGAGGAATCTTATAAGCCTTAAGCTATAGAACGAAGTTTCTCCCGATTTCGCCGACTAGTTAGAAGAAGACTTCTAGAACATACCTCCCCTAATCCTACGATTCTTTAAAGACTATTTAATCGGTAACGGCGTCTACGTCGAAATAGATAGTAAGAAAATCTCGAAAAACATAGCATTAGCCTTTAAAAAGGAAGAATTCTACTACTAGTTACCCTAAGAACTCGAATAAGGCGTTAAGAGATATCGCAACCTAAAGGCTTTAATAAAAGACCCCGAATTCTACGAAGAGATTACGAGACTAGCAATAGTAGCTAATAGCATAGGAGGAAGAGTCGAACTAACCCTATAGCTACCTCCTCTATAAGAATAATAATAGTAGTAACTACTATACCGACCGCTATATCTTACGGTCTCTCCGTTAATAGACTTCTAACTATATAAGTTAATAAACCGTATCGGAAAGTAATTAATAGAATTCGCAAAACTATACCCCGACGATATAAAATATAGCGGCGATATATACGATATACTCGAAAAGAAGATGCTAGTATTCGTAGATTACTATAGAATGCTAGGAATTTATACCTCCTAATATAACAAGGTACTTCCCCTAATACTAAAAGGAATAGCTAAAACCTACTTCTACGCCTCGATTAAAGTAATCAACCTATAGCCTAACTTCGAGACTATAATTAACTAATTAAAATCATACTTCGAGACTAGGGAAAGGCAATAAGCATACGTTACGTAGTAGAATATAACTACTCTTCCCTAAATCATTCGCAATAACCTTAGAAAGACTAAATCGGAGTATTTTAATATACTATATAACAAATTAAGCAAGATTCAGCCTGGTTTGCTATAATAGGATTATAACGACCGATCCCTCTATACCTAACTTCTATACGCTTATAGAGATATTCTAGAGTATATAATAGCGTTATTTATACCGGCTAAGACGTACGAAGGACTTCGTAGCTAATTAATCTCGTCGATCGAGATAGCTACCCGTCTTAACTAATAACAATTCAATATAGTAGCTAACCTACTAAAGCAGTACTAGACCGATAGAACTTTTAATAGTCGAAGGCGTTATTTACGATATAGTCGTTTATTACGAAGTCGATCATTACGAGGAAGAAGCCGTAACAAACCCTTATTACTGCTAACGCTTAAGAAGTGCTACGTATATAGAAAACCTAACTACTAGTTAACTAAATATACTATAGAAGAGAGACGAAAAGCGTATAAGAAGTTCAAAACTACCTAATATACCTAGGATACGTTACTTCTAGCATATAGCTAATTTCTCGTCTAATACAAGGGTTTCGACGGGTTAGACTTATAACCTACCGCCGAAAACCCCTAGCAATACTACTACGTAACTAAATAAACTAGTAAAGGTAACGAAAAGGAAGAGACCGGCAGCAATAGTCAATTCCAAGTCACCGCCTATTTCACTATAATAGTAATTAACAGCAATAGGATCGCTACGATCCTAGCAGACTAGTTAACTTGCTATGCTATTACGAAAGAAGACCTCTTCCGCAACTAACTAGAACCGAAAAAGCTACCTTCGCAATTCATACTCAAGGGATGCTACTCTACTTAAAACTTCCAAGGGATTATACCCGACTCAAGCGTAGCAGGATTCTCAACCGCTAGCTACCTATAATTCGTAGCCCTATAATAAATTTACGAAGGAATTATGTTAAATACTACGGCGGCTAGCAGCGTTATAATAAAATTCGGCGATAAGATACTACTAAAGTCTATAAGGACTACTAAAATACTAACGCTGTTTAGAAGCGTTAAATTTTACGTTATTAAGACTAATACTCCCTTCCTTATATGCCTAGGAGATATAGACCGATTAAAAGTCTACTTTAATAACGTTATAAATACCCTTATCTAAGGAAATAAGGTCGTACCTATTATTCGCAAATAGGGCTACCTATAGTTATTACTTGATAAGGAGAAACTACTTGCCTAGAACTACCTTATAGACGCTAAATTGCGACGGGTTTACCGTCGCTTCGGATACCTATCTATTTAACGATTATATAAGGTGCTCTAGAAGGCCGGCTACCTAGTTAAAATTACGGTAATTAAGTAACTATCGAAAGTCTACTATCGATACTAAATATACGTACTAATACTATTACGGTTTAAATTTACGTTATAAGACGATTACGAATTTAACTATAAGGTTATCGCCGACGTAATATACCTTAAGGGTAATAGACCGGTCTTCTACGTCGTCGATACCGCTACGGCGTTTAACGCCGCCCGGTTCTTTAAAGACATTTCTACAAAAGCTATTTAGGAAGCCTTACGCCTCTGCTAGATAGATATATATCAGGGACCCCTAGACTAGCTAGTTACCGACGCTAAAATAAACTTCTACTTAATAAAATTCCGAAACGTAGTAAGAGGAATAGTAATTAAAATCAAGGAAATTCTTATAGAAGCTTATAATAGTATTAGGAAAGTTAAACGATACTATATACCTCTAAGGAAGGCATACGAAATCATTAAAGCAGAAGACCTAATAATTACGCTAGAATTAGCACTTTAAATAGCAGTCAAAGCAGTTAATAATACTACTAGCCTAAACGGAATAGTGCTAATACTCTTAGTATTCGGCTTATACTTACGAATTACTAACGATTCGCTGCTATCTCCCGAAGTCATAAGGTAGGCGAAAGCGATTAAGAAGGCGATAAGCGAAGTACGTAAACTTTACATAAGGCAACAAGTAGTAGAAGCTATCGCTACCTGTAATAGCCTTAATATAAGGCTAATTATTAATTTACTACTACGGTCGTAAGTATAAGTATAGCGCGAAAAGAAAGGCTAGACTAGACCGTTTACTTTAGTAGCTATAAATAGCGAAACCTATACTATCGATATGCTATATAGTCTAAAGACCTTCTAGTCTACTATAGTCAAACTATACTACAAAGATCCCGATTAACTACCTAATTCCATCGCTACGCTAGAAGAAGAAGAACCCGAAGCTAAGATACCATAGCAGGAAATAGTACGCGACGAAATTATCGTCGCTAGCAGAGGTAGTAAACCGGACGAACCGCAAGAGGCACCGGAGCCACCGAGAAGACGCCTAGGCAGACCCCGGAAGAGACTACTACCAATCGCCTACTTTACAAAAGAATTCAACGATAACCCGGATTATTAACAAATATTCCTATCGATTAAGGAGTAAGTAGACGAAGAATTAGTAATCAAACTACGACGAGAAGGTATTATTACTATACTAAGCAAACCGTTCGAATAGTTAACTAAATAAGAGATTAATAGCCTGTTGGAACGGTAGGTAGGAATCTCGTAGATAGTACGATATCCTTATAACAGGGTATTAGAGTAAGGGAACTTGTACTTATGAAGTAGGGCTTTAATAGTAAAGAATGTATAGGCTTATATTGAAGCTGAGTTGGTTGAGGAACTAATAGCTAGCTAAGGGAGAGAATTAGGCTAGTTATATAGTAGTATAACGTCGCCTATAATAGCTAATATAG